TGCTGATGATAATCCCCTTAGGGGATTGCCCTTATATCGTTGTCGATTGAGGTTAAAGGGGCTCCTCAAAAGTATATCGGGGTGTAGCAGAGTATCATACACTCTGAATTTGATAGGCAGGAGAGATACAGTAACAAAAATATGTACATGTTCGCTCACAAAATGCCTTGTTTTTGCAAACTGTTTAAATACGGTTAGCGAGGTAAAGAATGAGAACAAGGGGTGGCGGAGAAGAGTGGTATATCTAGTTAGGGATACGTACTCAAGGTAGATACGTTCAGGCATGACATTGCCCTCGGCGTCTTCCATTTGGACAACATTCTCTTTGATATCCCGTTCGTGCTTTCGTTCCTTTTCGAGGGTCTCCCACAGTCGTAAGGCTTCATCAATCTTGGTAATTTCTCTGAACAAACTTGTCTGTTGGGTAATACCAAGGCACCTTAAACCGTAGATATGTCGAGCCTCCGAAAAGTGCTTATCAAACGCACGGCGACCCATGTAAACGAAATTCCCACATATCTCGCAAGAAAATTCCACTCCAAGTCCATGAAGTTTGTAGAGCCAGTAGGGTATAGGCTTTCCATCCCATGCTAATGGCAATTTCAATGGATTGTAGACCTTTTCATCATTATCACTCTCCGACTCAGAGTCTCTGCGCTTTCCTGGACCCTTGTCTCCAGTGTCGGCGAAGAGTGCATCAAGCTCCATTTGACGTTCGCGCTCTGTCATTCCCTGTTTCCTCTCAACATTGACGCGAGTAGCTTGCCGTTCTTCCTTGAGGGCCTTTGCTAGGGATGAAATGCGATGCTCACGCTCTGCAACTGCACGCTCTTTCAGCCCACAAACCAAGGCATCTTTGGATTTTTCGGACTGTGACTGTTGCGTCTCCGAGTCGCCATTGGCTTTCTTTGCCTCAGCGGCTCTAATATGCTTCTTCCCCTTCAAGTGATTCTTGTACACATTTTCATTTGTAAACTCCTTTTCACAATCCGCACACCATATTCCCTCTCCTGTACCTTCTGTCTTTGGGCCAGTACCGTTCTTAGATTGCGATTCCTCAGTCCAGCCTGGCAGTTTCTTTGCTTCCCAAAGTTCTGCAAACTCGGCATCAAAGCTTGCAAAAAGTTCATCGAGAGGTTCCAACGGGTTCGATCGTTTGATAAATCCTTCCAGGTATGCAGCGAGTTCGCCAACGTAATTAAAGTACTGATCCGTAAGTTTATTGGCTCGTTTCACGGGCAACTCCGGCTGGGTAAATGTGTCAAATAGGTCCAGATATTGCAGATACGTCAGGCGTTTCACCCCTGGTAAATTGAGATATAGTTCATGAAGCTTTGTGAGATCAAAGAACTGGCCTAGCGATTCCTCTCCAGTGAACATATTCTCTATCTCTTGTATAGCAGCGTCGTTCTCGCCGGAGCCTTGCCGATATGCCTTTTCAAGATTTTCCACGGGCTCATTTGGGTATCGGCGGTGAAAATCCTTTATCTCTTCCAAGTGTTTATAGAACTCATCCATAGGATCGCCGACGGTTAGAGACTGGATCTCTTTGGCGCGAAGCCCGTTAGCATCTTCGTAGATATCTAACAGCCGTTGAGACTGCTCCTGTATGCGATTGAGAAATCTAGCAACTTGATGGTCACGGAGAAGTCGCTCTCGAATCTGATTTTGGCCATATCTATGGTTAGCCGGTGACATCTAGTATTGTATTGATTGACCAGTACAATACTCACATTGCGAGGCTCTTCAGCAACGCGGTCACTGATTCCTTGCTCAAGCCTCTCTAGATCCTCGTGGATGAATCTCTGATCTTCTAATAACATCTCGGCGTTTTGAGTATGGTTGCGCAGAAATTAAGCACCGTTGGAATGATAATACTCGTCGTTGTGTTGGCTTTCGTACTCTCTTCTCCAGTTCGTTTCTCGATATCCTCAATCTGATGTTCGTCACAAATTTAGGAGCTTCAGAAGCTTAAGAGCATCACGTGACAATGAACCTAAAAATCTCCCAGCGAAAAGAAAGAATTCAAGTTCAACTTCTTCGCGTCGTCGCATTCATGAAATAAGTCCAGCTGATGCGTATTTTTGTTCAAATATACTTGGTGGATACACTCAAAGCAGCTCTACATTATACAAATCGTCAAAATGGCTGACGGTATTGACAGACAGGCGGATGGTAGGCTACTATTTCGAGATTTACCTTGAACTGCCCAGCTAACTAGAGAATATGTAGAGCGGATGGAGTTCTCGACCTCGAAGGAGGTCACTGTTGCGCCGACTTTCGATGACATGCACTTGAAGGAGAATCTCTTGCGTGGCATATATGCGTACGGATACGAGTCGCCTTCAGCCGTTCAGTCTCGCGCAATTGTTCAGATCTGCAAAGGACGAGATACTATCGCTCAAGCACAGTCCGGAACAGGAAAAACAGCTACCTTCTCCATCAGCATCCTCCAGGTCATTGATACTGTGCTGCGCGAATCACAGGGTATGTTTCGTTGTGCTCATGTGAGAGTAGGGTAATTTGAAGCTGACCGAGCGCAACACAGCCCTTGTCCTTTCTCCTACTCGAGAACTCGCAACTCAGATTCAATCCGTCGTCATGGCGCTGGGAGATTATATGAATGTGCAATGCCATGCGTGTATCGGTGGCACAAATGTTGGTGAAGATATTCGAAAGCTAGAACACGGTCAACACGTTGTCTCCGGAACACCAGGCCGAGTTGCTGACATGATCCGACGCCGACATCTGCGTACTCGTAACATTAAGATGCTTGTTCTTGACGAGGCAGATGAACTACTCAACCGCGGATTCCGAGAGCAAATCTACGATGTATACCGGTACCTGCCTCCAGCCACTCAAGTTGTGGTTGTTTCTGCCACTCTACCTTACGATGTTCTTGATATGACGACCAAGTTTATGACAGACCCAGTGCGCATTCTTGTCAAACGTGACGAGTTGACTCTCGAAGGCCTCAAGCAATACTTCATCGCTGTGGAGAAAGAGGAATGGAAATTTGACACACTCTGTGACCTCTATGATACCCTAACTATTACCCAGGCAGTTATATTCTGCAACACAAGGCGTAAGGTCGACTGGTTGACGGATAAGATGAGAGAAGCCAATTTCACTGTGTCCAGTATGCATGGTGAAATGCCTCAAAAGGAGCGAGACAGCATCATGCAAGATTTCAGACAGGGCAACTCTCGAGTCCTGATCTCTACTGACGTTTGGGCTCGTGGTATTGACGTCCAGCAAGTCTCTCTTGTTATCAACTACGATCTACCAAGCAATCGTGAAAACTATATTCACAGAATTGGCCGAAGTGGTCGATTTGGTCGCAAGGGTGTAGCTATCAACTTTGTGACTAGTGAAGACGTCCGGATCCTGCGAGATATCGAACTTTACTATTCAACTCAGATTGATGAGATGCCTATGAATGGTACGTGGCTCTTAAATTTAACTACAATAGCCATGACCTTTTCTGCTAACTTGTTCAATTAGTTGCCGATCTCCTTGCTTAAGTTCCTCGTGGCAGACTGGTCTGGCACTAATATGCCCGCCGGATATGAGTTGAAGCATGACTGGAGGATTGAAGACGAACGTGATTTTCGGTCACCACACATAGCATGCCTTTCATGCACCACCGGCTTAAGCCGTGGTACAACACCAACGTTGAGCATTTCGCCTCGGATGGCTAAATGAACATGTCTCGAAAGAGTACGCGTGGGGGAATAGGGGATATTATTAAAACGAGTATGTTGCCATTCACAGCCATCCATTAATTATTTGAACAACATTTCACTAACGCCAAATCCCTCCTCTGATGCTTAGAATTGTTTACTTTTTCTTAATGCAAATTCTTCTGTTCGAGGCTTCGATATGATGTACTTGAGCCTCTAGCTTTGATGTCTGTTAATGTCTCAATCTTCTTCCGGTTAGGATAGACTTGAAATGAAAGGCGTGCCTTTGCTTATAGCCTAGGCAAGACACCACTATCTGATCTTCTTACTGTTTTCATTTACGTTTTTTGGATCAGTTCTACGGCACATTTATGGTAAGCTGTGGACTAGCAACGGTGACTTCCGTATAAGCGGGCTTGGTTGACTCCAGGATAAAACCAACCCATTCCGGCCCATCCCAAATTCGCAAGTGTAGAGCAACCCATAATCAGAGTTGTTCGTTAAATATATTATGAACGCAAGATTGCACACTGACGGGGATAGTAAGCCGAGTGATTGATGGTATATAACTTAACTAGTATCAAAAGGATGATTATCTTCTGCAAAAGACAAAACGGAAGAAATGTATTATGCAGGATACGCCAAAAAGAAGAGGGAAGACAACAAGCAAAGCCGAGAATAGCCAAGATATATATGGGGGACAAGTCCCGGTTCGGCATAGGCAAGAAAAGGTGAAGCCGTGCCATGGGAAAAGAATAAAAGCGCTGCATTGTCAACCTCCGCGTTCGAGATACCTCCGACCACCAACCACCAACCGAACCGAACCATTTCTTACCCTGTTGAATGAATAGATGATGGGTAGTAAAGAGGGAAACGAGAAAATAACATATAAAGCAGATCAAACGAATGTGTCGTGTCGTAAAGTAGGATCCAAACGCATGATAACCCCGTGATAATGCAATTGATACTTGTAAGTGGTGTAGTAAACTTAGGTACGGCGAAAGTATAAGATGGATGGATGAGAATGATAGAGGGGAACCAATGAACTCCGTAAGCAATGGGTATGTGCAATCCGCGGTGTTCGGAGGCGATGGCGGAAACAGGCTTTGTTGGTGTGGGGGAATTGGATGATCGCATACTTTTGCTAAAGCATGGCTAGCCAGAAGGCTTTAGGGAGACGGCACTTGAGGATGGATTGCTTCGAATTGATCTCCTGGATTTATTGCCCGACGACGTTCCTAGGCATGGCTGTCTCATCCATCTGGAAATTCAGTTAGTGGTTGAACGAGGGATGATGGCATTATAAAGATGATATGCTTACACTCTGACTTTGCGATCATCTCCAGCCGACGCAAACATTCCAGGATCAGTTGGATTCCAGGCGACTGCATTGACGCAGCCAGAAACATGGCCTTCCAGAGACTCAACAAGTCGACTGTTCTCCTTATGCCAGATGTAGATTTTCGCATCTAGTAGTAACGGCTGTTAGGTATGGTTGGACTGCTCATGAGGAGATGGGGGTTAAAGATATACCTTCACTTCCACTGACAACAAAATTCTCAGCAGCTCCGCCAAAAGCGCTTCGAATAAGGAAATTGCCTTGCTTCTGACCTAAAAATCGTCGAACCACCTCTGCTGTCTCGATATCAAGGAGCTGCACTTCGTTTTCAGACATGTTAACGAGCATAAACCGCGAGTCAGCGCTAACACTCAGACAAGTGAGATCCAGTTTGAGGAGAACGCTGTACTCTTCTTCGCGGGTTATGAAGTTGTAAACATAAATTCTCTTTTGCAGAGAGATGGCAATTAGTCGTTTACCGTCCGGAGTTATAGCACAGTCGCGGACCCGGTATTGACCAGGCCAGGTATATAGTAGGGATTTATGGGGGACACTCCAATGGCAGAGCTGAGACTGGCTGTCAAGAGAACCTGTGACGAAGGACTCTCCATCTGGAGCCCATGAAGCGGATGTGATTGGGGCATGGTGATGTTCAATTGTCAAAAGACAAGTTCCACTCTATGATTTTTCTTGGTAAGTATATTGGAGACACCATATAAAGGCAGCATTGACATACCGGAACATCCCACAATTTAGCCTTGAAGTCTTGAGAACAAGTGATTAACTTGGTATCGTCAGGGCTCCATGTAGCGTAAGCAACGGGCTCACTGTGCTCCGTCAACCGATGTATTATTTCAAAGGTTGTAGAGTCATATATCAAAACGGTGCAGTCGCGGCTTGTTGTGGCAAGCTTGGTTCCATCGTGGGAGAATTCCAGGTACCAGACCTCATTGGTGTGGTGACTGAGTTCGAACGCCGTCCGGAGTGGGAAACCGCTTTTATCACACAAGTGATCCGAATACAAGGAAGGCGACACTGCGGTGTTGTGATATAGACAGTTATTTATTTGGGTTTGCTTTACTTGGTCAAGCAGTACTGCTAATCGGTGATCTGGTATCATGACAGAAGGAGAGATAGACCCTGGGCATAAGGTTAATAAAAGTGATAGCGAGATAAATGTTAGCTCAGGAATACTCACTAGTGAGTTCCGATAGGAGGTTCTGTCTAGATTCACTAATGGTGCGTCCCCAACCGGCTCGTGCTCGCAGGTTCTCGGGCGTAGACATTAGTAGACTGGCCAATAGTTAGTGACATGTCCAGCGCTGACGTATCATAATCTGGAGTGAATACCTACCTCGAAAGAGCGTGGAGTTGTGTGATATCATGGTTCAATGGTGTAAGTTCCTGGCGTAGGACGACCAAAGCCGTTGTCAGGTCCCGTCGATCGAGTAGCTCGAGGAACTTCTGTTGCCTTATGCAGAACAGCATCTCGTTTTCGTTGGCACCACTAGCCAGGACAAGACCATCTCGTTTGGCAAGCTGTTTACCAGTTACGCCGTCTAGTTCTCCTGCATCCCCATCGGGGCAAAAGGAGCTCAGGAGTATCCTCTCGGCCTCATTCCAGTCCCCGCCCAATATGGCAGTCCTAAAAGCAGCTACACCGGGACTCTCAAGCTCATACTTGCTCTCAGCTGTCAAAGTAGAAGCAGCCTGGTGGTAACCCAGCTCGTATAGACTCTGTATCAGTATCCTCGTAACTTCCTCCCGGTCGTGGCCGCGGTATGTAGGGGATAGGGGAGATGATCCGTTCGACATGGTGGCATCCTGATATTCGGCTTGCGACTGTTTTCCAGCAGGGGAATTTGGAAGGGGCGGCTTTTGAAGGGAGCTTGAGGCACCGTTCGAGACGGACGTAAAACCGTTCGAATTGGAAGGGGAAGGGCCACCGTCTGGTCTCATAACGTCAACAGTATACCTTCTGCGTTTAGTAGGCGGGCGTTCGTTTTCCGTCGGAGGTCCAGTAATAGTAGTGGCAGGTGCTGCAGCAATCTCCGTGCTATGTTCCGCAGCTCCTTCGGCAGTATTCACCTGGGTGGGCTCGGAGCTCTCAGGCTGGTCAGAGGGTAGGTCTTGACGGCGGCGTCGGCGGTTGCGGCGTGGCCCGGCCTCAGAGGGCGTGTTCGTAGGCTGCTGGGAGGGTTGATCAGGTCTTCCCAGAGCAGGTAGGCTATGCTGAACGGATTCTGTCCTTTGGATGCTGCTATCCCTAGGGATTAGCAACAGGTCAGAATGAACAGAATAGTATTCTCTCTCTCTTTCTTTTTCTTTTTCTTTTTTTTATTCTTTTCTTTTATCTTTTATAGTCTTCTTCTTCTTCTTTTGGTCAGGTTGGAACTCACAGGGAGCTCGATGATGGATCAGAGAGGCCGGGTCCAGCTGAGACAGGTGTATGTGAGGGAGGTTCGTCTGCCAGGTCGAAGACAGCGTCTGAGCCTTTCAGCCTGGTTCAATAAAGAACCAGCTGAGGTAGGCCGTTTTGTCAAGGAGGGAGCTGGAGGGAGGGATATAGATGGCCGTGGAGCAAGGTCCAGGACAGTGGCCAGCGGAAGTAGTTGGTAACGGATCGAGGAGCTACAAGAAGTAACTGACAAGGGAAATAGAGGTTAGATCACACAATCTAGCCGTCTGGCTACCTGTAGCGGGCTGAAGGAGAGAGAGGTGAAAGCGTACGTACGGGCAGCTGTTGGATATCAAGATTGCACTGCAGTGAATAGATATCCTAGCGAGGCGATAGCAGCAAGGGACAAAGGGCTGTGACAGGCAGCCGGTGAGAGAGCACGAGAGAGCGTAACAAGCGGGGGTTTCGCTCCGTCTATCGATCTTCTGCTACCTGGTAGTGGTGGTGAAGAAGAAGAAGCTGGTTGGAAAGGGGGAGCGAGGTTGATATTTAAGAAGATGAAGACGAAGACAAATGGAGGGAGAGACGAAGATGCATATTACGGTCAAGCTTTCATCGAGCGAGAAGATCAGCCACAACGCCCTATTTTGTTTACTGCCAGTGCTCTACCCTGGCTCTACTGTTACTGATTTCTACCAGCTGAGTATCCTGTGCCCTATTTCTCGTGTACTCTGTGTTTACTGTTTGTCTGTTTGTTGCGTCTGCTGCTTGCTTGCTGACCATGTTTTGACTGCCAGTTGCAACTTCTACCACTAAAAACGCCTCCACCGATGGCATCAAAAGCAAAAGAAAGCGATGAAGAAGGGGAAGCCATGGTGAAAGGCCTCAGTGTAACTAGTCGCACTGTCGAGACTGTTGAACGGTTGACAGCTCGATGCCCAAGGTGACTGCAGAGCAGCAGCAGAAGAACGTCCGGCCCAGCAGCAAAGATCGCTGCCAGCCAGCATCTCCGTCATGCGTAAGGTACCTCCACATATTACTACACGAGAGGTCACTATTACGTCTAGGGGAAGTCTGTTTTGCAGCAGGTAACTCGACGGTCTCTGCTTATCCTACATGGGTTCTTGTCTTGACTTTGGGTACCTCCTTCACGGCTTCTCGGCGGAAAGTGACCTGTCTTTGCCTTTTGGCCTCTGCCAGGCCCCTTCATCCCCATGCTAGTGACGCCAGCACATGTGATTGGCGAAGTGCCGCCTATCAGAGAGCGAGGGTTGGGCTGCTTGTTCAATCGGGAAGACGCAGAAAGTACTCCGTACTGGATGCTGCTGCAGCTTGGATGCGTCGATGTATCTGGCGTGGCAGGGCTTGACGGGCCGGACAGGGACAGGATACGCTGCAGAGGAAGAGATATATATCTCTTGGACTTCCGATTGTTAACTATTTCACTCTGTCCGTTGACTTGGAATGTCATTTCCCCAGCTCCCGACCTCTCCTCGCCTCCCGCCGGCCACAGCTAGTCCGATTGCCCAGGGCCATCAGATGACCCTCACTCGGCCTGGTGAGTTACCAGCAGTTGCGAGTCCCAGAGCTTTGTATGAGATGGACCTGGCCTAGCGAAGCTAAAGCTGAAGAAGCTAGCGGGCTCTTCGACTGTCTTACAGCTACAGACGACAAAGAGAGAGAGAGTGAGAGAGAGAGCAAACGACGAAGGCAGCCCCATTGAACATGAGGTCTCAAATACCAGAGCACCTTGGCAGCCGAGATGACTATCTACATGCTAGCTCACGCCGTAGTTGCTGTAGGAGGCGGACAGGCGGACAAAGTAGAACACCTGTAAAATAGACACCAAGCGGTAAAAGGAGAGCAAGCTGTATGATACTGGGACTCGGACGACCGTCTTTCAGGCCACGACCGTCTCTGCTCGGCCTCGTCTCTGCTGCGTCGACGTCTTCTGCTGCTGCTGCTGCTGCTGGTGATAGTGATGGCGATGGTGAAGCCTGCAGCGCCCTAAAGCAGCACCAAGATCCAACTCCACCGCGCAGCTTCAACTTCGTCTTCACCACCAACAACAACAACGTCAACAACAACAACGTCAACAACAACAACGTCAACAACAACAACGTCCACGACACCACCAGCAACAACAGCTGCAGATACAGCAAGGACGACGAGAGAGAGGAACTCGACGAGAGCGAGGACAGCCACAGCGTCGACGGCTCCGAGACAGAGAGCACATCGTCGTCGTCTACTGCACCGATCGAAACGAGGTCGCCGCCAGCCATGGCACCCAAGGACTCGAAGGAGGAGGCCGGGGATGAGCAGAAGGGAGTCGTCTTCTCCATCTCCGGCCCTGTCATTGTGGCAGAGAACATGATAGGATGTGCCATGTACGAGATGGTCGGTTGCTCCTTTGACCCCCTACCCTTTGGCGGGATGTTTACAGACCGGATTGCTGATTATGATGATGCCTGCAGTGCCATGTTGGAGTCGACAAAGTCGTTGGAGAAGTCATCAGAATCTCAGGAGACCAGGCCACCATCCAGGTCTACGAGGAGACAGGTACGCAGTCCCCAGCAATTGGCCCGTCTGAATAGTCTGGAGTAGCCCCCCCTTCTGACCACTAACTGACTGCTACTACCACTACCACAGCCGGTGTCACTGTCGGTGACCCCGTTATCAGAACCGGCAAGCCACTATCCGTCGAGCTGGGCCCTGGTCTGATGGAAACCATCTATGACGGAATTCAGCGTCCTCTCAAGTCCATCTCTGAGGTCTCCAACAGCATCTACATTCCCCGTGGTGTGGCCCTGCCCGCTCTTGACCGCAAGAAGAAATGGGCCTTCAAGCCCGCCGGTCTCAAGGTCGGTGACCACATCACTGGCGGTGATGTCTGGGGTACCGTCTTCGAGAACAGTCTGCTTTACGACCACAAGATTCTCCTACCTCCAAGAGCCCGAGGAACCATCACACGTATCTCTGGGCCCGGTGACTTTACCGTCGAGGAGAAGCTGCTAGAAGTCGAGTTCAATGGCAAGAAGACCGAATACAGCATGATGCACGTATGGCCCGTTCGTGTTCCTCGTCCAGTTAACGAGAAGCTCGCCTCCGATTCTCCCTTCATCGTCGGCCAGCGAGTCTTGGATTCTCTGTTCCCCGGTGTCCAGGGCGGTACTATCTGTATTCCCGGTGCTTTCGGCTGTGGAAAGACCGTCATCAGTCAGAGTGTGTCCAAATTCTCCAACAGTGACATTATCGTCTACGTCGGCTGTGGTGAGCGCGGTAACGAGATGGCGGAAGTCTTGATGGATTTCCCAGAGGTGAGCCCGTTCCCCGTTACTACTTACTACCTCCAAGCTTGTGTCTAGCTACTAACTTGTACAGCTTACAATCACCATTGAAGGACGCAAAGAGCCCATCATGAAGCGTACCTGCTTGATTGCCAACACCTCCAACATGCCTGTGGCTGCCCGTGAGGCCTCCATCTACACCGGTATCACCATCGCAGAGTACTTCCGAGACCAAGGCAAGAATGTTGCTATGATGGCAGACTCCAGTTCCCGTTGGGCTGAGGCTCTCCGTGAAATTTCCGGTCGTCTAGGAGAGATGCCTGCTGATCAGGGTTTCCCCGCCTATCTTGGTGCCAAACTTGCTTCTTTCTACGAGCGTGCGGGTCAGACCACTGCCTTGGGCAGCCCCGAGCGAAAAGGAAGTGTCAGCATTGTCGGTGCCGTTAGTCCACCTGGTGGTGACTTTGCTGATCCCGTCACCACAAGTACGCTCAACATCGTCCAAGTCTTCTGGGGTCTCGACAAGAAGCTCGCCCAAAGAAAACACTTCCCGTCCATCAACACTTCCATATCCTACAGTAAATACACAAGCATTCTCGACAAGTACTACGCCAAGGAGCACCCCGAGTTCCCTCGACTACGTGACAAGATCAAGGAGCTGCTCAGTAACTCCGAAGAACTGGACCAGGTCGTGCAGCTCGTTGGAAAGTCTGCTCTTGGAGATGCCGACAAGATCACGCTGGACGTGGCCACCCTGCTCAAGGAAGATTTCCTTCAGCAGAACGGATACTCTGACTATGACCAGTTCTGCCCCCTATGGAAGACAGAGTACATGATGAAGGCCTTCGTTTCCTACTACGAGGAGAGTCAGAAGGCCATTGCCCAGGGTCAAAGCTGGGCTAAGGTCCGAGAAGCCACCAGTGCCATCCAGACTGCCCTCCGAAACATGAAATTCGAGGTCCCTGATGACGAGAAAGAAGTCACCGCTAAGGTACGTCCCCGTCTTCCACCTAACCTGCAATACATATATACATAAAATTATCTTACTAACCTGTCTGTAGTACGATAAAATCCTCCAAGACATGTCTGAAAAGTTCGCCTCGGTGTCGGATGAGTAAATATTTCGGTTTTTACCCCTTTCTTCCCTTTTTTTTGTTCGTACAAATGCAAAATGTCAATTCACCAAATAAACTGGCCTACAGGACCAAGGTGAACCAGCAAAGCCATTTATCATAATAATCTATCCTGCCCGTCGGGTCAATAGACTGTTGAGTTTCTGTGCCATCCCGCGAGGTCAGCATTTGATATAGTTATATATACGTAGACGCAGTATAGGCAGCAGCATTATCAACATCACGCTATAAAGCCCCAACTTTTTCACCACCTTTGCCTCCCAGTCGATTCACTGTATTTGCTTCTTCGAATACTTCTACCTGCTCTTCACTCTAGTCATCATCATCATCATCACCACCCCCCTGGTCTATCAATATCAAGTCAATAAATACACAAGCTGCGTGTGACGAGGGTCAGCTGCACGTGAACAGGCCCAAAAACTCTCCAGAACATCGAACTTGTTCAAAACGCCCAAAATACACCAGACAGGAGAAATATACCTAGCCCAACCACAACCAACCCTTGCCTAACCACGACATCTTCACCAAGACAGCTTCTTTGGTCTTGCTCTTCCTCTTCGCCGGTGCCTCCTTCAGCTCGACTGTACATTATATCGCCAGACCATGGCGGCCCAAGCTGGCTATTCGTAAGTACTCTTCTGCGTCTCCTGCCCAAGCACACCAAACCCACGATCGGCCATGTTGCTAATGCAGGAAACTCGCCTGGGTGTAGGATAAGCGTCAACGACCCTAGTCTGATCTCTCTCGTCAATAAGTTGCAAGATGTCTTCACGACCGTTGGAGTATGTTGTTTTCCTACCCCTGGAGTGGGCACCGACCGTACCCATACCGCCTAGACAGAACGCAGACCCTGACCAGCGGCGCACATTATACAGGCACAAAACCCGATAGATCTACCACAGATAGTCGTCGTTGGATCGCAATCCAGCGGAAAGAGTTCCGTCTTGGAGAACATAGTGGGAAGAGACTTGTGAGTTGGATAAGGCCCCCCTCCCTCCACCTCCTTCTGGGAGCAGGCGTTTTGCCTCCCCAACAGAGTATGCTGGGAGGACGTTTAATGGTTAACACGGCCGGTTTACCAGTTTACCACGAGGGTCTGGCATTGTCACTCGACGACCGCTGGTCCTCCAGCTTATCAACAAGCCCCGCTCCGAAAAACAATCGAACGGTGTCAAGGAGGAAGACAAGCTAGATACTACCGACAGCGAGGCAAACATTGACGAATATGGCGAGTTTCTTCACATTCCAGGCCAGAAGTTCCATGACTTCAACAAGATCAGAGAAGAAATTGTCCGTGAGACAGATGCGAAGACCGGTCGCAATGCCGGAATCTCCCCCGCGCCTATCAACCTGCGAATCTATTCTCCCAACGTCCTCACTCTCACACTGGTCGATCTGCCCGGTTTGACCAAGGTGCCCGTCGGAGACCAGCCAAAGGACATCGAGAAGCAGATAAGAGAGATGGTGCTGAAGCAAATCAGCAAGTCGAATGCGATTATTCTTGCCGTCACGGCTGCGAACCAGGATCTGGCCAACTCCGATGGTTTGAAGCTTGCTCGAGAAGTTGACCCAGAAGGGCAGAGGACGATTGGTGTTTTGACCAAAGTTGATCTTATGGATGCTGGAACTGACGTGGTGGATATTCTCGCTGGCAGAGTTATTCCACTACGCCTTGGATATGTACCGGTTGTCAACAGAGGACAGCGAGATATTGAGAATAAGCGAACAATCTCGTATGCTCTTGAGCATGAGAAGAACTTCTTTGAAAACCATGCCACATATTCTTCTAAATCTGCCTACTGCGGAACACCATACCTTGCAAGAAAGCTCAATGTGGTATGTGTCGTCAGGAATCTTTAAGCCGGGTATAGCTTACGACTAACTGTTCACTTTTAGATACTTATGATGCACATTAAACAAACCCTTCCCGATATCAAAGCCCGCATTGCATCATCGCTGCAGAAGTACAGCGCCGAATTGAACCAGCTTGGTGACTCGATGCTTGGAAACAGTGCCAACATCATTCTCAACATTATCACAGAATTCAGTAACGAGTACCGAACCATCCTGGATGGTAACAACCAGGAACTTTCGTCTGTTGAGCTTTCCGGTGGTGCGCGTGTTAGCTTCGTTTTCCACGAACTATACTCCAACGGTGTCAAGGCCATTGATCCCTTCGATATGGTGAAGGACATGGATATCAGAACAATGCTGTACAACTCGTCTGGTCCTTCACCCGCCTTGTTTGTCGGAACAGGCGCGTTCGAGTCTATCGTTAAGCAACAAATTAAGAGACTCGAAGAGCCTAGCTTGAAATGTGTTTCTCTTGTCTATGATGAACTTGTCAGAATCCTTGCCCAGCTCCTGAACAAGCAGCCTTTCAGAAGGTATCCACAGCTAAAGGAAAGATTCCATGGAGTCGTAATATCGTTTTTCAAGAAAGTCATGGAGCCAACGAATAAGCTTGTCAAGGACCTCGTTGCCATGGAAGCTTGCTATATCAACACTGGCCATCCTGATTTTATCACTGGACACAGGGTAAGGTTTTTTCACCATATCCTTGTCTGATGACATACTAACAATGGACGCATAGGCTATGGCAATCATTAATGAACGACAAAACGCATCGAAGCCAACGCAAGTTGATCCAAAGACTGGAAAACCCCTACCACCCTCGGCCACTATGCCACAGCGATCTGCCAGTCCCAGTCTCGACCTTGGTGACTCCAGCCCAGGCTTCTTCGGCAGTTTCTTTTCCTCGAAGAACAGCAAGAAAAAGATGGCTGCTATGGAGGCCCCTCCACCAATCTTGAAGGCTTCTGGAACCCTCTCAGAGCGAGAAAACACCGAGGTTGAGGTTATAAGTATGTCTGACCTTGTAAAACTCCTTTAATTAGCCGCGTACTAACCTCTACCTACAGAACTCCTAATCAACTCGTACTACAACATTGTCAAGCGAACCATGATTGACATGGTGCCCAAAGCCATTATGCTCACCCTTGTCCAGTAAGTTCCAGAGCACTTAGACCTAAATATCGCTACTAATGTGAATCATCAGGTTCACCAAGGATGAAATGCAAAGAGAGCTCCTAGGGAATCTCTACAGGGCAGAAGAACCGGATGACCTCCTCCGCGAAAGTGAATTCACCGTCCGTCGCCGCAAGGAATGCCAGAGAATGGTAGAAAGTCTCACCAAGGCCAGTGAAATTGTCGCCCAAGTCCAATAGAACAACCGCCATGAAACGTCAATATAGGAGCCTCCAGTCCGTTTCCAGACCAACCTCAAAATAAACAGACGTATAAGCCCCGGTGAATGGAACAAATCGCCAAATGAGAAAATCACTACTGAAAATACAACTTAGCGCCACATTCGATCTTGATAGAAATACGGTTTGGGTGTGTTGCCATCAGTCTTTATTCCTTACATATTTACTCACCCAGAGTGATTGATATCCCTTTTCCAATATGTTCTATATCACACACTATTAATCATCTTTCTCAACGTTGTTTCATATTGTTACTCGTCTCTGTCGGTCTTATGTGCCCATGATACATATTTCTTTGCTCCTGACGAACTTTATTAGGTTATCATCTTTCTTAATTGTAACCCCGTCATCAACATGTTATCTTCTCTTGGTCTCTTTTCCACTTAGCTACGGACCCGCCTAAATTAACTTTATTACGTCATCAGAAATATACGGATCAATAAAAATACGACAAAGTTACGCATGGACCAATAAACTTTCTGATATAAAACCCAAATTAATACCAAAGGTCAGATTGGATGGTATATACGATATTGACTTCCCTCGTGATGAATTTACCATAAAAACAAACAATTTTTATGCTATACCAATACGAAATGAGAGTGTCATGCACCTTTTTCCGGGAAGAAATGAATCTAAAGCTTCAAAATCCAGCATGAGCAGAAGACGTGTTTGTGTCAACTAATGGACCATCTTCATCGGGGAATAAAGGGGACAGGTAGGTTGCTCGGGACCCATTCCCAAATGCCAATCCAATCAAAGTTTTCCCTTCAAATATAGTTAGTATTACACTGCCTGATGTTCCTGTCAAGTTAAACAAGTCCCACGCCTTTTCACTTATCGTGGTGATATTTCAAGGTGTACACGGAGATTTTGTAGTAACTATCCAGCCCCATAATCGCCATTTCTAATTAGATATGGCTAGTCGTAGGAGCCACATCAGATTTAGTATTGATGATGCACACGGTGTCTAGTAGTTAGGGTTAAACTTACTATCATAGCAAACATTCCGTTAGCTGCACGCTCTTCATAGTTCGAAAAGACGAGCTTCTGATCGATAGTTGGGTGGAACACTGGCTGTGGTAGCAGATTGCTGGGCTCGGGAGACATCTTGGCTACTACGGCTAGGCCATCCGTGGCAGGCTTTAATCTAATACAGGGCAGTGTATCATTGGAACCACCACAGCCAAGCACTTCAGATAAGGTAAACCAGTATTTCTCAGACTGTTCTGGGGTATTTGGCAAAAAGCTTATAGCAGTGCCAGGCATAGGTACAACAGCATAGACAATAGGGTCCTCAATGTGGTTATACGTATAATAATCAACTGTAACTCCGCCGACAGAGTGGCCGACTAGAGTAATACGGCAAAGGTCACCCCTGGAAGTCGCAATGTTATCTCGAATCCATTCTATTGCCATACGCTGATCAAGCAGTGCAATGTTTCAAGGAGAGCCTGGCGCACCAGGGTAACCAAAAACGTTGAGGCGGTAGCTGTTTACCAATTAGGTCCATGCATCGGTATTTACGAACGGCGAACTGCATGCCACCTACTTCATTGACACCATGATAATATCCTCCTTATCGGCAATGTATTGACCCTGGCAAAAGGGGTTGTTTGTGCTACCGAGGGAAAAGCCTAGAACATTGCTAGATCCGTTAACCCGATTGATATCTATCAAACAAGGTATAAAAATAGACCTACGTCCTCCATGAATCCAAAGTAACACGGGTTTCTTCTTCCGTGACGTATCCTGCGCCCAAACGTTCAACTTCAGGCAATACTCGCCCTGAGGCATCACATCTTGACCAGCAAAATTGGCGATGATGATTGCTGGAGGGCTGTTCTATTCGGGTAATGACCTGATTTGCCTGGAGTCTGTAGGCCAGCGCTTTAGGTTCACACACATGTCTTAGCCAACAACCCGCTTCTTAACCAACAGTCGTTGGCAGCTTGATCAGGACATACAGAGACTAGTAAAAAGACGATATCTTGGTTAATGTTGGACCACGAAAAAGAAGATGACCGGTCCCCTTGTAATATTCCAGGAGAAATGGGCAGGTGACTTATAAAATCGCGGATTCGAAGGGTATATCAGACACGAATCTAACGGGTGGTGCAAATCTAAGGTTCCCAACCGGAGCGTTCACATATGGGATTCCTAGATATTCGACGACAGATGGCCGAGAAGTCGACGCATAGCCTATTACGAGTCAACTGGTTGTGTTAACTGGCAAAGTATTACCGCAATAGGCACAAATAGGAGAGAAATTAGCAACTGAGTAATTGAAAGCATGATTTCGATGTTAGGCCTTTTTTTCGTCAAAGTTGGAGACCATTTTTCTCCGATCCAACAATTTTGAGTCCATCTGGGAGAAAGAAGTCGCTTTACGGGCAGTATTATGCGGAACATGGTTGATGGCAACCCCCCATGCAATCATCCACAGCGATAATCGTCATGCATCACTTGGCATTGCCTCGTCCAAGGGTTTCATTTCGATCAAGATAGATTTGATATTCCGGTTAGGTCACATTATCGCCAACAATTGTGTGACCAGGTGTATGGACCAGTCTACTCTGAGGACTATACAATTTTCTCCGTCGCGTTGTTAGTAAAACACCCTAGCCGTATACTCCATTCGAGTGAATGATGATTTGTAAATTGTAGCCCCCCAGGCTTACGAAGCTCACTGTAGCCTATTCAACTGGTAATAAGTTCAAATAGGTTTGGACGTGTCCATGGATAGAGAGCGGGCAGTTGAATTGAGCGTTCCGGAAAGTTAAGTTATAGGAGAATGCGGGGGAGTCTTCTACTGGGGATACACTTCGGGGTCCAACCTTCACTTTCGTCATACAACCAAAGGCTTAGATAGAAGAGTCAAATGGAGGAGGGATACCCCTGTAGAGGACCCTGGTTGATATACTATCTGTGATATGCGGTATGGACATGCATGATCTACACGACAGTCAAGTTGAATACTACCTGAGATAACAGCCGAAGTTATATTGATGCCCCAGAGAACCCTACTGTTGCCGGCTGTTAAGCCAATTGAATAAAGTATCTAGCCACTATTACTTGATAGAAATGAGTTGGCAGCATGCATGTTTCTCCATCTCACAGATGGATCCGGAATAGTGGTAGCTGAGCCGAATCTAAAGCCAAGTACATGACGCTGAGCTACACCACAACTACCTAAGGAGATCAATGTTAATATCATATATTACTCAACAGCCTGACTTTGTCATCTGTTGTATGAATTGCAGTATATCCATTCCCCGCTCTAACTAAGAGTGTGACTCCACAGATAGCTATATGCTTGTTTCTGGTTTTCTGATCGCCCGCAGGGGTTGAGTTTGACCTGCTTGTGAAATAAACAAGTTTTCCAGGACAGGGTGGCAGAGTAAATCCGTGTTTGACGTGCTGCTCTCAGGATACACAAGATTTAGTGCAGGAGTCGTTGACCCGGCAGACATCTGTCTCTGTACAAGCTTTGGTATCCATGCAACCTGACCATGCCAGGCCAAACAGAGACGTAATCTCGCAAAAAATGGCAGGGTACATGGGATACAGAGAAATTTATACATATAGATCCATATCTTTTCTGATACCTGGTTCAGACGGGCGGAGATGTTCTCCCTACGCGGTCGAATATCGGATATTCTGGCTGCACGAGGAAAAGGTAGACGCTGACGGTAAGACGAATGTCCAAAAACATGGGTATGTAGCAATGATATTCTCTGAATTCCTGCTAGTTGATGTTCGGGCGGAAGGATATGGCAAATATACCCAGGAAGCATCCAAGGGGGAGTTGCATGACCGTGAGTGAAGGTTGGATTAAACTATTATTTTAAGCCCCATGAGCTTAAATCTGCTGCATCCAAGATATTATGGCTACTAGTTCAACAGGCGCCCCATAACAAAAACTGATAACAAACAACAACCGAGAGTATCTGTAACAGGGAATGAAAAAAATGCGTTCTCGTTGCACAAGAGCTCTACAAGATGGTCATCTCCTTGTCGAAATGCCCGGCTCTATTCCATCTGCCCGCTGTTATTATTCGCGGTCGAGAGGTAACTTCGCCAGGACATGCAAGGCTCTGATCGCGTTCAATGTGCTGGTCCGAATTTCTTTTTCCTTTTCAACCGTCTGGGAATGCCGCCCAACAGAGGCGTTTTGGGCCTTAAAATATTCCAAACCACCGCTGCGTTGATCATTTTTGGAATATGGCTATCGCACGCGGTAATCGAATCGCGACCAGCTCCAGCTTCTTGGGGCTACCAATCTAGTAGATAGCTCGGCTACAACTTCGAAAAAAGGACAAGCTCGCGTTGGTTATGGTTGGAATTCGTCTCTGGGCTTGGCGGTTTGTGGGAGTTTCTTTTCTTCTTCTTCCCCCTGGCTTCATATTTTCTTTATATAGCCCTGCGAACTAGTCGGTTCGGTTGGTACTCGGGCTTGAAACCTCTGTATCATCTGGGAAACCAATTATCGCCGCGTCATCTTCATCGACAGACGCCACCTGTGAGTGCTCTGACCCCTTTTTTCTTGGAGACCTTTTTTAATTTTTAAAAAAGTAGCTCGGAATGACGCCGGCTCGAATTAGCAGTGGGAAGATATACTTAGTTAGCTAATGCTGATCGTGGGAAAAAGGGAGCCAGTCCCATAGCTAGTTACCAGCCACGATATGGAGCGTTGTGACTCTATCGAACGTGACACCAGCATCATCTGTGCCTATCTGCAAACCGATGATCGGCCAGCCACTCTCTGTCCTGTTCTCCTCGAGGACTCATGGCCATTGGCACGGGGGAGTTCTCATGCTCCAATTTCCACCAAGGCACGCGGCAGAAGCACTGCCTGCCCACGATATTCCTGCGAACCCCCACTTGTCACAAGCGCCAGTGTGTCATGGGCCAGCGAAGGAGCAATTCTATCCGAGGGGATAACAGTACTTTTTTCTTTACTATTTTATTACGGTGCCCAACAGCCTACGGCCCGAACCTTGACGGCCGCTTTCTCTTCCTTCTGCCCGCTTAGAATCTGAGGCCGTGGGTTCCAGATATAAGGGCGTTGAATTGTCTTGGCTGGGAGCTATCTGAAGGGAGGTGGTGTCTGACAGCCAACGAATCTCCACGTGTGTGTAGCTCTATTTTTAAGGACCAGGATCTCTCATCTTGGTTTACCCGCTGTGTCGGAGTTTATTTTTTGCTTCTTCCCCTGGCTCTGGTCAGAGGCGTTATGGGTTGGGTTGAGGATGCAGGGTTTCACGTTTTTCTCAAGACACGCGGGTCCGGGGGTGAATGCAAGAGCTCTCCTATTGGGCATAGCAAGCCAACAAGTTACTTCATCGGGATATATAGAGGTTTCTTCTCTTCTGCCTTTTTTTTTTTCTTTTAATATACGGGGAAGCATGTACCAGCCAGAGAAAGCAATGTTACACGCGGACGATGCTTCCGGTGCCGAAACCTGCACGTCACGCTGGAAAGGCAAGGGAGAAACATGGCAGAAGGGAGAACTGCCAGCCTTCCCTTCTGCTCCCTGACCGGGCCAACGAAAAAGTGTCGGAGAGTTCACTAATTAGCTGGCCTATACCTATCATTTGCCAGGGACGGAGATGCCCGGTCACAGTTACATGGCACCGGCGTACAGGGGGCGGTGGAGGACTCTGGCCCTGGCTCTCGCTGAGCGGTGTGTCTGTCTTACCGATAGTCGTCGAGATATCGATCTATCTCGCAGCCCGCCGTCTATCAAATCGACCCCTGGAAAGCTTTTCTATATCGTCGAGATTAAGATGAAACCATAGCAAGAAGCTTCTTTTGCCCCCCTCGGCTATCGCCACGCCACGCGCTATCTATTTCCACCGCGCCCCACCCTGCCGAAAGTCACCCGGAATAACACTTTCGCTGGGCTAACTTTTTCCACTAGCTACTGCCACCGCCCGCGGCCGCTGTACCCACGCCAAGCGACTTTTCCAACTTCTTCAGCTTCGACCTTTTTTCTTCCTCTTCTCTGCGGCCGGCTTCAGATCTTGGGATCGAGGGGTGGCTTTCTTTTTTCTTCTATCCTGTAGTCACTGCCCTCGTCCGTTTTCCTTTTTATATCTAGCTCTTTTCTTCTACCCGGAGCATCCTTTGTTTTTTGGCCTTAACTCTCGAGCGTCATCCCCCCCCAGCATGCATATCCCAATCTCATCCAGCTCGCGCCTTTCAGCAGTCCTCTCCGCCGCGGAAACGCTTCTCCAATCAGACTTATAGACCAAGGCGAAGGAAGAAAAAAACATAGAGAGACTGATCTCTACCTCCTGCTCGTCCTCCTGTCCTGTCCCGTTCGCATGCTGTGATATAAAAAGGGCTGTGTCAGGACTTGGGACTACCCTGCTGTTCCGGGACCTCGATACGCCTCACCCGCCTCACCCTCCCTCCCCCTTATCGAAACATCCGCATTCAAAACATCTATCGACTTGATACTTTTCCCCATGGGCGCACGAGCTCTGGCTTGAGTGGCCTTTTTCCGTCGAATTCACCTGTCTGCCTGGAATTGATAACCGGCAGCACATTGTATATACAACATCACTTATTGGCCTTTTTGTTTATTTTTGGTGAAATATCTATCTATACTTTCTATATATATACCCCCAAAACAGCTTGGATTTGAGAATGGACACAGTCAAGGCAGCGATTGAGCGGTGGAAGCCGAGTCTGGAGACGCGCGAGAGGCTATGGGCCATCAAGAGAAAGACGCCAGTCCTGAAGGACCTCCATTACAACTTCATCTGCCTGCATTATGCCTGGATCATCGGTGTGACACTCGTGGGATCTATCATCTTATACCCGGGGGGAAACATGTCCTACGTTGATGCGCTCTTTTTCGCCTCGGGCTCGGCAACACAGAGCGGGCTGAACACGATTGACGTGAACAAGCTGTACACGTACCAGCAGGTGTGGCTGTGGATGGGGTCTATGATAGCCAACCCAATTGTCATCCACTCGGCGGTCGTGTTTGTGCGACTGTACTGGTTTGAGCAGCGGTTCCAGCACGTTGTCCGGGAAGCGAAGGCGCTGAGAAGATCACGGTCCCGGTCGAGAGCTCCGACGAGAGAGCCGGACGATAACAACGACCTACACCGAGCAGAAGCTGGAGTGCGCGGACGTGACATTGTAGTGCTTCGAAACACTGACGGCCATGCACAGGGACGATTCCTGGATGCTCCCAAGAAGGAACCGGAGACGACCTCGGAGAGTGACTCGTCCATCCAGCCTGCAGAAGGGCAAGGTGAGACAACAGCGGCCAACGGGACCGGACAGTCGACGAGCAATACTTCCTCCAAGACGAACGAGACGCTGCTTGCACCGTCACATTTCCCTGGTGATGCCAGGATACAGTGGTCTGTACCGCCTTCGGACAACGAACGGCACATCACGTTCCTGGAGCACCAGAGACGACAGACCGGTGCGCTGCGCATACCCAGTCCACGAGAGTACGACCGAGGTGGCATGCCCGAGGCGCTGGACGAGACAGATGGGGCAGACCTTGCTCGTAATGCAACGGTTCAGTCAGACCCGCCGGCCGAACTGGCTGGAACGTCTCTGCCTACTTCCCCTGGCCCGATCAACCAGCACATCACCATTGACGAGCCCAACATTACTCGTACGCGCAAAGCCACGCACTCAAGGGGTGGCGAGCGTGATCGAGACCGAGATGGGGACGAAACGTCGACGATCCGACGAGTAACGTCCCGCCGGTCCATGGTGCCCAGCTTCATGCGGTCTCGCACGCTGGAGCAGCTGCAGCAGGACGCTCCCTACCTGAGCTGGGAGCCGACGATAGGACGCAACTCTGCGTTCGTGGACCTGTCTGAGACGCAGCGAGAGGAGCTGGGCGGGATCGAGTACCGTGCACTCAAGACGCTGGCGATCGTGCTGATAGGCTACTTCTTCTTCTTCCACCTGCTGGGAATCGTGTGCTTGATACCCTGGATCCTGAACACTCACTGGGGGGAGATCGTGCGTGCCGCTGGCCAGGGCCGGCCATGGTGGGCGGTGTTTTCAGCGGGTTCGGCGTTCAACGACCAGGGCTTCACGATCACGCCGGACTCGATGCTGTCGTTCTACGATGCGGTTTTCCCGATGCTGCTGATGACGTTTTTGATTCTGATCGGCAACACTGGTTTCCCATGCATGCTTCGGTTTGTGATTTGGTTTTTCAGCATGATTGTTCCCAAGGGCAGCGGGGTGTGGGAGGAGCTGAAGTTCCTGCTGGACCATCCGCGACGATGCTTCACGCTGCTGTTCCCTAGTTCAGCGAACTGGTGGCTGTTCTGGGTGCTGGTGCTGCTCAACGGCGTCGACCTGATCTTCTTCGTCGTCCTCGACGTAAGTCTTCTACTACTTCTACTACTTTTACTGCCTAGTCTAATATATGTATGTATAGTTGAATGACCCCGACGTGACTCGCATCCCCGGCGGCATCCGGTTCGTGGACGGGCTGTTCCAAGCGGCAGCCACTCGCACGGCCGGTCTATCGGTAATTGGGCTTACTACGCTTCACCCGGCGATCCAGGTGTCGTACATGATAATGATGTACATTTCCGTCTTCCCGATCGCCATCTCGGTCCGCCGCACCAACGTGTACGAAGAGCGCAGTTTGGGCATCTACTCCGACCCGGACGAGTACAGCGAGAACGAAAAGGAGCCCAGCTTCGTGGGCGCTCACTTGCAGCGCCAACTCAGCTTCGACATCTGGTACATCTTCCTGGGCCTGTTTGTGATCAGCATCATCGAGGGCACTCGACTGGACAACCCCAAGGACCTGGGCTTCTCGCTGTTTGCGGTGCTGTTTGAGGTGGTGTCTGCGTACGGCACGGTGGGCCTGTCGCTAGGCTATCCAGACAGCAACACGAGCTTTTCCGCGCAGTTCCACACGCTCTCTAAGCTGGTGATTATTGCGATGGAGATCCGAGGACGACACCGTGGACTGCCGTATGCGCTTGACCGGGCTGTGCTGCTCCCGTCTGAATCGCTGCACCGGAAAGAGGAGGACGATGCATCGAAGCGGCTGAGACGGCGGAGTTCGAATGTGAGTGCCTTTTCCTCTGCGACGGGCCAGGCTTCGGGACTGTTCAGGGACGACGGAGGCCTCATGGCGAGACTTCATCAGCAGCAGCAGCAGCAGCAGCAGCAGCCACCGTCTTCTGGCGGAGGGGGAGTAGGAAGTTCCTCTGATGCGCCGCCCCCTACGGCCTCTTCAGCCCGAGGCGCAAAACGCCTATCTACCCACCAGGAGGACGCTTAGCCTGAGTATATTCTACCACTATACACTACTACTACTTCTACTAGTACTACTACTACTACTACTTTTGTTCCTATGGATCATGTTTAGCGCAAGGTGTTTGGTCGGCAGATTACAGTTAAATTAAAACGTTTGAATTACGAGTCCCCTCGAGTATACATAGTTTATTTAAATTATCGACTGACCCTGGGAGCAGCCTCCAACGCAGAACCAGGAAACCTGTTTGCCCAGTCCACTCTTTCTCCAGTTCCTGACATCATAGCCTCGGAAGGCAGGTGAAGTTGGTAAACAGTCTTATTTAGCCGTGCAGATGTAGATAAACAAACACACAGACAGACACAGAACCACCAACACACTGACAGACATGACATGACATCTCGCCCTCCATCGACCACTGCACGACGATGGTATGCCTGCCCCTATATAAGTATATAAGTGTATAAGTATAAGTACTGACTGTTTAGAAACTCCCACCCACTCCCGGCCCCCTGCAGGCCCGCGACTACATCACCACCGCCCCCCTGAGCCCGCAATGCAACTGTCTCAGCAACGGCGCCGTCGCAGGCATCGTGCTCGGCAGCGTCGCGGGCGTGGTCCTCCTGTTCTGGCTGCTGCGCTGCGCCGTGGTGTCGACGCGAGTATCGCCGCGAGGGCCGACGATGACCACGACGACGACATACCATCACCGCCGTCCGAGCCGCAGCTACAGCCACAGCGGCAGCTATCGTAGCAGCCGCAGCCGCAGGGGGTCGACGTACTATGGCGCCGGGCGGTACATCGAGCGGCCGTCGACGGTGTATGTCGCTTGACGCTACGACTCTACGACTGTCTGTTACTGGATTATGTTATATATGTGTTAATGTACTGTCTTCTATTACTGTCTTCTCTGTCTATTACTGTCTATTACTGTCTATTGCTGTCTTGTCTGTGTGTTTACTCTCTGTTTACTCTCTGTTTGCCCCTTTTTTACTTTAAATCCATCAGATCTCGATGCCAAGACTTGAGCCAGATTAGCTTTAAGGAGAAGAAGAAGAAGAAGAAGACGAGAAGACGAGATGAAGAAGATGAAGTTGATATCAAGAGAGAGTCGATGATGATAGAGATGATAAGAGGAGTAGAGAGCAGAAGGTAGCAAAGGACTGGAGCAGAGAGTCAGGAAGTAAGAGAGAGAGAGAGAGAGAGAAGAGAGAGAGATCTTCCTGACTAGCTAGCTAGTTAGCCTGCCCAACGGCCTCCTGCCTCGCTGCCTGACTTACTTTTGCTCTCTGTCTCTACCATCTTCCTCTTACTCTCTCCTTGCTCTCTCCTTACTGTCTACTATCATCTCTCTCTGCTATCTCTCTCTCTTCTCTTACTGTTTTACTCCCTTACTTACTCTCTACTTCGCCGTCTACTCGCTACTGTCGACGCCTCACCGACGCCCTGACAGCCAACTCGCACACAAACAACTCACAGCAGCGGCTTCGTTGCTTTTTCTCTGCCTCGAAAAAGTCAATTGACTAGAAGGAGGCAGTAAGAGAGAGTATACTTAAGAGAGAGGAGAGTAAAAGAAAGAGAGCAAGAGAGAGAGATGGGGATGACTTGAGGCTGCTCACTTTGCTTCTTCTCTGTCTTTACCCCTGGATCTGTCCTGTCCTGCTGTCCTGCTGTCCTGCTGGCTGTCACTCCTTTAAAGGCACTAACAAAGTACTTCCAGTTGACCATCCCTGGCCTGTCTGTACATGCACTCACCCTCTCTCTCGTTACTGTCTATTGTCTCTACTGTCTACTGTCTACTCTCTACTGTCTATTGTTACCATGAGATAGTCTAGACAGCAGTGACAGTCATGATGGCCTCTGCAGACGCGCCTCTCCCTCTCCATGCGCCACAGAAGCTCGCGCGCTATCGATCTGTCCGGGCCTCGCATCCTTCTGCCCTGTCTTCTCATCCTGTCTCCAATAATAATGCTAGTGCTGCTGTCTCGACTGGCCCGGTGTCTGCCCAGAATGCCTCCATCAGCCGCAGCATGTCGCGGTACCGCAGGACAACCCACGGCGTCCCTCCTCCACCGCTGCCGCTGCCCGCCCAGCTCGACTCCCAGCGCCCCAGCTACGACCTCGCCTCATACGACCACCACCACCACCACTTCAACGAAGAAGAGGAAGAGGACGACGAAGAGGATGCACAGCAGAATGTCGGCTCTGGGCCCGCTAGCAGAAGAGTCTCCATGCAAAACACCGCCAGGCCGCTGACGGGCGCCGCCGCGGCGGGTGCGGCAGCAAGACGCTCTCTCGACCGCAACTCGGCCAAGCGCCACTCCTCGTACTCCCAGCACCACCAGCAGCAGCAGTACTTTGACGGCAGAGATAGTTATGATCGGCCGTCTCGCTCTTCAGGGCCGTACTTCGTGGTCGAGCCTGGCATGGGGCCCAACACCTTCGACCAGCCTGCTGCTGCTCCCACGACGGCGACGACGACGACGAACAACAAGAAAAGCAAAGGAAAGCTGCTCAAGGAGAAAGGAGGTGGCTTGCTCGGCAGACTCAAGGGCGAAGAGCGTCTCAAGAAGAAGAAGGACAAGATGGCTGCTGTCGACGGCGGCTATAACACCGCCAGTAATAATGCTGCTGCTACTACCAACATCTCCAGGTCCGGGGCTGGAGTCGACGCCCCCGTCTCGGCTGTCAACGCCGGCGAGAGGAGAGTGACCGTCACCTGCAACGAGGCCTCCATCTGCCTGCCCGTCACCCCGTCCACCCAGGCCCAGGACCTCATCTGCTCGGCCGCCAACTGTCTGGCCGAAGACATCGTCCCCGAGGCCGCCATCATCGTCGAGTCCTTTGCCCAGCTCAACCTCGAGCGTCCCCTGCGCAGGTACGAGCATGTCCGCGACGTCCTCAACTCCTGGAACTCAGACTCCCAGAACACCCTCAAGATCATCCCCGACCCGGACCCAAACATCATTCCGGCTCTGCTCGCCAAGTCTGCTCCCCGAAGACAGCCTCCCGACGTCTCCTTTAGCCTCTACCACTGCCAGCGGACGGGCAAATGGGACAGACGATGGGTCACCCTCCGCATGGATGGGCAGGTCACCGTCTCCAAGAAGCAGGGAAGCGCCGACAGCACCAATATCTGCCACATCTCCGATTTCGACATTTATACCCCGACCCGCAGGGAGTACAAGCGGCTCAAGCCCCCCAAGCCGCTCTGTTTCGCCATCAAGAGCCAGCAAAAGTCCTCCATGTTCCTCTCCACCGAGAACTTTGTGCATTACTTCTGCACAAAGCACGAGGAGGTCGGCGGTGCATGGCACAATGCCGTCCAGGAGTGGAGGAGCTGGTACCTTGTCCATGTCATGGGCGAGGGCGCCAGAAAGAAGAAGAAGCAGCAGCCTGATGCCGCTGAACTCATAGATGATGATAACAATAATACCCCGTACCAGCTAGGGTCCTTTCAATCCCTATCTATTGATCCTAACATTGAAGAAGCCTACAACAAGCTTACCGGCAAACGGTCTCGACCTACCTCCTTCAGCCATCAGACAGGCAATCCTGCTGCTGCTGCTGCTGCTGCTCCCTTGGTCAACCAGGCAGTCAACAAGGAGCCAGTCAAGCCCAAACGGACCAAGAGCAAGTCCAAGAAGAAAACAGCGGCGGCAGCAGATGACAGTCTCAGTGAGGAACAGCCCTTTGCGCCAACCGGCCTGCTGGGACGCACCTACACCCAACGACACAAGGCCATGCTCGATCGCGAAAAGGAGCAGCACGCCCAGCCCGACGAAGGCCCATTCATCTCTACCGGCCTGCTCTCCAACATGCGTCACCATCAGGGGCCAACCTCGCCGGTCTCAAACCACTTCCCGGACCAGCAGTACCCACACTACAACCACCCCAGCCGCTCCAACACCACTGCTGCTGCTGCTGCGGCTGCTGCCGACCCCAGACCAACAACTACCTCCTCCCGCTCCAAGTCTACCCGCCACCCGCCCAAGCCCCTGATAGATCTCACCCCGACATACAAGGAGCCGCCCCAGCACGCTCGCAAGGGCCGCGGCGTGACTCCCATCCAGGGCCTACCGCTCGTCGAATCCGCCACGGGCCCGGACCTGCATCCCAACGCCATCGTCGTGCCTCCCTCAACCACCTGGCGCAAACCACGCACTTCCGATCCGAGTCCTAACACCTCGCGTCACCGCTCAAGACAGAATACCGGTGGTGCTGTTGGTGGTGCTGGTGGTGCTCCGCTGGTTGATCTCAACGCTGCTGACCCAATAGACCAGGGCCACGGCCACGGCCACATGGCGATGCCTGGCTCGTTCCCGTTTGCGCCTACGGGACTGGTAGCGCAGAGTCAGAAGCTGGCTGCCTCGCAGGGTGCAGCGAGAGGAGGACGCGGCGTCGCGACGGGCGATAGGAAGAAGGCGGGTAAGCCGTTGCTGGACATGAGCCATGTTCCCATGCCGGCACACTATCAGCATCCCCAAGCCGACTCCGACTGACTAGACTGAACTAAACCGATTGACTGACCGATTAATTGATTGATTTGATTGACGAATGATGGATGGATTATTGAATTGAATACAGCTTAAAGAGACGGGAGGCGATTTCTTTTATTCCTTTTCTTTTCTTTTGTCGATTATTTCGGACGCGGGAAATGTACATGTATTGATGTCTGTATGTGTTTACGAGCAACGAACGAGTCATGCCAGCCAGCCAGTATTTAAGCACCATCACCACTAAACAACTTTACTACCAAACATCATAATCTACAGGCTAAAAGTCCCAAGTCCCTCTCTTCCCTACATGCTCCCTCCAGGGGACATCAAGCAGTGAAAAGAGCCGCCTCGCGACCTCCGACGCTGTTGACTGGCCAGCTAGTCCATCGACCATCTGCAAGAGACAGGAGACACAGCGGCCAGCCATCCACCGTCAACACAACCACCAACAGCACTATCTGTTGCAGTTAGGAGTCAAGTTCTTCAAAAATTCCCAGCCGATCCGAAGACCAACTAGAGCGGTCATTGGTTTGTAGTTTTCAACTAGCAAAAACGTTGCCTCAGGCGAACCTTCACTGGAAACGTAAAACCCTTGCACTCGGATGGGAGAGGAAAAGGAGGAAAAGAAGAAGTTGGAAAAAGAGGAGGGCGCCGGGTGGCTTTTATAGACTGGGGGAGGGATGAGTCAGCAAGCGAGGTTTGGACGATGAGTCATGGATGATTAAGACTGACTAAGACTTACTCACTGACTAAGGACTGACTAAGAGAGATAAGATAAGATGGGGACTACAGATGGATATACTTAGATGGATATAAGGAGGAGGAGGAAAGGAGGAAGAGGATAGAGTAGACATTATTATAGTGAGTAGAAGTAGAAGTAGAAAAGTTACCGCCAGAGGTCTCGCTTCTCGCGACGGCCCCCAGACGACCGCGTGCTCGTGCTTGGCCGCCGCTCCTCCTCCGCCGGCACCGCCAGAAACCCTCCAAAGCCATTGCCGACCAGCACGCTCCTCCTCGCCTCGCCGCCCCAGGCCGGGCTCAGCTGGGCCCCATGCAGACTCACCGGCCGCGTCGTGCTCATGCGTCTCCCGGCCTCTGCAAACGGCTGGTACGTCGTAAAGTTCCACTCCAGCTCGTCCATCCCCTTGCTGTACACGGACAGCGCCTGGTTCAGCCCGACGTTGGCCTGCGACTGCCGGCTCGGGTCCCCAAACACAGGCGGCGGCGGCGCCAGCATCAGCGTCTCGGGGAGATTGGCGTCGCGCACATACAGGTCCGTCAGGTTGGGCAGCGAGCCCGTCAGCAGCGAGGACATCAGGTACGTATAGTACGATGTCGACAGGGCCTGGGCGCCGAACGAGCTCGAGCCGGTCTCAGAGGTGATTTCGTAGTGCAGCAGCTGCAGCGAGTTCGAGGTCAGCGGCGGCACGTAGTCGGGCGGGAACTCGCGGGTGACTTCCTGCTGCATCGACAGACTAGATAGCAGCGGTGCCTGCGCCAGAACCTCGTGCAGTCGCTGCGGTTCCACGCCCGTGTTGACCATCGACAAGTGTCGCAGGGCGCTGCGTGTCTGCGAGCTGCTGCTGCTGCTCAGATACCATGTCAGTCCGCGGCTGGTGATCTTCGGTGTGTCGGTGAGGGTGAGGCGTTGCAGCGCCGGGAAGGGCGGTAGTGTAGGCACCGCCTTGAACACCGTGTCTTCCAGCCACGGCATGTCCTCGAATCGCAGATCGGTCAGACGCTCAAAGTACCCCAATATCATACGCAGCAGGTTGGTCTCGATGTTCAGCCCCGAGAGCTCCAACACCTCCAGGTTCGGCCATCCTTTAACCTTGGGCAGCCGCGAGAAACTGCTCTCCGCCCCCTTGGCAAATTTCATTCGTCTGATATCCGGGCACCGGGCCAGTAGCTCTTGTTTCAGGGTCAGGGAGGAGGCGTCGTCGCTGAAGAACCCGGCCGGCAGGTCGACGTAACGGAGGTTGGGCAGCACTGATATCGTCCGTGCCAGCTCGCTCTTGCTGGCTTCTCGGGTCATGTATGGCATTCGCAGCGACTTCACCATCGACCCGAGAGCCCGCGAGTCGCGCACCGTCCGCATGAACAGAAGTAGTCGTGTCCGCGGCGCATCCAGTGGCTCGGCATTGTGGTTGAGGAACGAGTTCTTCTTGCGTTTAGCCGCCAGCTCGATCTCCAGCTCGCAGTAGTGCACCGCATCAATGCGAATATGCTGGTATCTAGTTGTCCATTTCTGCTTGTTAGTTCCTAAATTTGTAAGAGACAGACATGTCTTCCCAGTGTTGGATGAACGTACAGTATGTTCTGTGCTATGCCGTACCAGTGCGTGCAGACCAGCGCTGCATGCGCCAGGTCACGCATATCACATAGCATGCACCCATCCTCCGTCATAGACTCCTCTGACGATGTCAGCGACGTATCCCGTGAATGCGGGCATACTTGGTAGAAGATATTCGACAGCACATTCGGCGGCAGTGTCTTCGTGTAGTCTCGTGCCGGCCGTCGACCAAAGCTCCCTCCTGGCTGCTGCTGATACTGCGCATATGGCTGATACTGGTCCTGATCCTGCTCTCCGTAGAGATCCCGTTTCCCCCCGCGGCTCCTCGTCTTTGCCCGTAGCCGTTTGAAAAACCCCATCCTATACCATAAACCGTTCCCTCGTCTACTGCGCCCGATTCGTTTCGTGCGTTCGTCAACTTCGTTTCGTCGGCCGTTTCGCTATCTCGTTGCTCGCGCCTGCTAAGCGCCACCGCTCCGCTTGTTTCTCGCAATTCCAGCTGCGACAGGACACAAAGTGACAGAGCGTCACGGGTTGATTTGAGCGGTAGTTCAAACAACAAAAACAAAAAAAATTTAAAAACTTGTAAAAAGACGCTGAACTCGATTAAGCCAAAGTAGTCGAGGTCAACTCGTCAACTAGCGTGCGGAGGGGGGGGGGGGGGGGGGGGATTGGGGCGTGGGGAAGGATATAATTAAACTGCACAGGGGAAGAATCCTAAAACAAGGCGGGCCGCTAGCGCTGAGGGAGATAAAAAAGGCCGAGTTGTTGGCGACTCCCGTATTCAATAACCTCCAGGAACAATGTAGACAATGGAAGTCCACTCAACTGACTGTGAAAGCCGCCCTTTTCCTGGCCGTCGTCGTCGTCGTGAAGGAAGGCAAGTGAAGGAGGACAGGAAAACTGGCCGGTAAGAAGTAGGGTATGACGAAGCCAAAAGTCACGGCTTAAAAGAAAGCTGTAAGCGCCGGCCAAAACTGACCAACACATTCAATTGGATCGCCAAACCCTTGTCTTGAGTTACTTATCCAGCGGAGGTTTTTATCTTTCCTTTTTGACTGGTTGGATCTATTTTTGATCCTTTTCCGTCATTCGCTCCCTTTCTTGGCTAACTAGTTAGCTGCTGCTGCAGGGAAGGCGATACATGTGTAAAATTAGCAAGTCAGAAACCCCGTACGTTGGTTGGTGTCTGGGAGGCAACGGAGAAGTCGTTGCGTTAGTTTGATGTTTGATGTTTGATAAGCCGTGGGGCCCCTGATGCCCCTGAATTCGGGTTCTTGCGATTTCACAGGCTAGACGTCGGCACCGGCCTAGCAAACCTGGTCTATTTGTTGCTCATTAAATATTGGCACCGATCAGATTTGTTTCCTCGTCGGTCGAATGGAATGGTGAACGCAGGGCGGGTGTCAGGAAGAGAGGCATTGTTCGCTGACTGACTGGCTGACGATGAGCAAACCAGTTTGTTTAACTCGTTCAGTTGCTAATATCAAACCTGACCGAGGCTGGGGGCTAAATCACAGGTACTCGGGTACTCCGTACAGACGGGTACAGGCCACAGACAGAGCAATATGCGGATCATGTATAAGCTGACCCAGTTTTCCACAGCGGGTACCTTAAGCCAGCTCTGCTGCTTGCTGGATGGCTTGCTGAGCTCATTCTGTCTCCAGATAAGAAGGTAATCCCTGAAGGCCCAACGGCGCGTGAGTATCCGTCCGTGTGTTTAACGTCATAAGCACAAGCATCACTCTCTTCACAATAGGTACCGCACATCCTAATCTCGGTTTATGTGTTGGCGATAGCTGTCAGTATAATTGGCCAGGGGGATGATCAGTGTCATAGTTTGTTAGAGAGAACGGGGCCAAAGGGAGTAAGATATTGTTAATATATCAATCAACCTGAGAGTCTTAGAAGAAATTAAAAACCCCCAAAATGGAACGAGAAACGTATTTTATTGTGTTTTTTTACCTTTGTTCGCTAAACCAAGAAATATATGTCCAATATCTTGTAAGATTTGCCAGGACCTAAGTAAGCGGGCCTAGAAAGGTCTCTCGCATCTATCGGGAGCTAAAATCGATAGAGCAAAAGGATGAAGACCTCGAGACCAATTCCAATGAAAAAAGGGAATATGTCGCTATGAATTTGATATAACTTGTCAAAAAACACAATGGGCCCACCGGAAAAATGTCCTTGAGAAAGAAAAAAAGGGGGGAAGGCCAGAATAAAGGTGCAAAGAGAAGAAGTATAAGACAAAAAGAAGTAGAGCATGAAGCATCATGAACAAGGGAGAGAATAACCAAAATTAAATAGTCATAAACACGTTAGGAGCATGTTGGGTCAGAAAGGAAATAAAAGTTATGTGTAAGTAGACGTAGGGATGCTCCAGACATAAACGTAGAGTGTGTGGTTTCCTCCAAAATAAACGTAGGTCGTATGTGTTGCTTTTTCTGCGCTGGTTAAAAGACAGTACCGTCCGATATGATCATGATAGGAGGTTGCTTGGTATTCGGCCTGGAGACTTCGGCAATCTCTCGTCCACCCTGTAGGTTTATGTCAGTACTTGTCAAGGCTATAAGAGGAAAACAAGGTAAAATGGAAAGGCAACTAACCTTCCATGAACCCGCCTCGAGCATCTGGGCAAGACAGAGTTGTTGTCCGTCCTTCAGCTCTAGGAGGTTGTTTACTTCTGCTAGCAACTGGTCCAAGAAGCCAACGGTGAGAGCCCTCCATTCCACGATGACATCATCATCAGGACTGAACAGTGGGACTACCTCCACGTTTGGCTGCCCCTTGATCATAGCGTTGGCCTTGTATGCCTCCAACCCCCGGTTAGTGTCCTCTGGTTTCAATGTTAGTAGACCCATATCGATCAAGAGTCCGCCGTTCCGATACTCCGGTAGACCGGTCAGCAGCTCACGGCCTGAGAACCGGATATTCAATATCTTAGTCATGGGAGCCATGATGGAGTAGCAGAGCCATTGTGTCAGCTTGTGGAAAGGGACGATGTTCTCCCACGGTTCTGCGGGGGGAGATGAAGGCATTGCTTTGCAAGGCCATGCGTCACCAATCGATATTCCGTCGATCTGGGTGCGAGATGGTGGCCATATGGGTGACAATCCGTCCATAAGAACATTCCATAGAAGCGGGACGGGGATGATGGGAACCGAAGAAGCGAGTGTAGATGGATGAGAGAGGAGGTAGTCTAGTAAATGGTTAGCACTGTAACGGTGAGTTTGTAGGGGGAGAGAGATTAAAGGCAAAACACCTACCAAGCATGTTTCCGGGGCGAGCATCAACGCCAAAGAGCTCCTGGTTGTTCAGAGCGTCTGCCAGCCGGGCCAACAGGCCGGCTCTGCCCTCAAGACCAGCAAGAGGATTCTCTTCAGAATGCTGCATTCTCTTGGCCAACGCCCCCACAGTCAGGCGCCTCAGACCAGCTCCGTCGACCTGACATGGCTCGGTGTGGTCACTGCTGAACATCCCGGCCTTGAACATCTCCAGACTGGCGACGGCGAGCCCCTCACTCCGCCTGTACACCTTTCCGGACTCCTTTGACTTGTAGCTCCAGGTGTTTCCGGCGCCGGCGTCGAGTAGAACCGACACAAGAAAGAGATCTATCAGCCTGCGAGCTCTCTCCAGGTTGTCGATAGTGCTAGGCCATGACTGGAGCAGCTGGTTAATGCGAGGCTTCCCGCCAACGTCAAAGTGTTGCCAGCGTCCGTGATCAGGAATGCTCTGGAAATCCGGAGCGTAGTCTCTCTACAGAACGTGTATATACGTTAGCATGTGTCATGTTTATGTGGTTATTGCTGTTGCTGTTGTAGCTGCGGTTGTAGTTTGGTATCAAAGTCAACCCCGCGTACCTTGATGATAGAGACGATGTACTGTGCCGTCGTCTGGAATTTGCTCATGTCGACGTCGAAGTGGTTCAGCTGGTTCTCCTTTGCCTTCTCCATCACCAGGCCGCACCGCTGGCGGACGGCATGGATGCTCCTCAGGTAGGCTGCTGGGTCCAGGTTGGGATCTGGCGGCGGCGCCATGGGGGCTTCGGGTATTGGATGGGACGTTGGGCTGTTGTTGCTCGACCGGATGGAAGACACCGGCAGTCTCGCAGACGTACTCGACGCTCTGGAACTGCTATTAGAGAACACCGACTCCTGGCCGTCCTTCTCGAAGGGGTGGTGGATGTTGTGGATGTTGTGGATGTTGTTGTTGCTTGCTGCCCGGCCCTCCTTGCGCCTGAAGAAGCCCATGGCGAGGAAAATAAAAAATAAAAAAAAGTAGCGAGAAAATACAAAAAAATACAAATAAAAAAAAAAAATAACAAATAAAAATAGCAAAAAAAATAGCAAAAAAAACGTCGTGGCTTGCAGAGTCACTTGATTCGCAGATCCAGACAGGAAAAAAGGAAAGAAGCGAAAAAATAGGGTCAACTTTTGCTTGCTTTGCTGGCGAGTTTTATCTGCAGGCCAGGGCGGTTTGTACAGTCCGGAGTATACACGGACAACGCAGACGGGCAGGACGCAGACACGACGGGGCAAGGGAGCGAAATCTCGATCCAAGACGATAGCTAGCCGGCCAGAGATATATTATTTATGGAAAAAGAGCTGAAGCAGTGGGGAGATTTAGCTGGCGGGGCGGAAACGAGCTTGCCATCTCTCTCTCTCTCCCTGGCTCGCTGGATGCTGGCTTTGCTTGCTGGCTGGCGGCCGCCGGCTTGCTGGTCCTGGTCCTCCGTTAGGATCTCTGGTCTCTGGTTGGGACCAGGCTCTTATGCCTGTCTGGTCTGCCGGCGTTGGGACGGGGTGGATGCCTGAGTCTGTCCTTATATCATGTAGGTCGAATAATGCGTGCGTCTGTCTCTCCGTCTCTCTCCCTCTCTCTCTCTTGTGGTGCATGAACTAACTAGCTCAACCGTCCGTCCAGCGTTGTGTACTTATATATAGCTGGCCAATACTGACTCGCATATAGCCATCCCGACTAGCATGGCATGGACAAGTCCTGACGTGCTACATGGCACCGCGACAGGCCAGGGATCAGGGGCAAATCCGCCTTCCCGTCTTAATATTACGGCTACGGAACTCAGTATCAAACTGTCATCATGCATGATTCTTGTGAGAGCGAGAAACGGTAGCATTCGAGTTTACCCATCTGGACCCAGGATAGATCCATGCAGGATAACAGTTGACAGGAAAAAGTTACGCTCCCTTCCTGGCCAGGCTTGTGAGCGGCTTCCTATCAGCATCCCTCGGGGGATGGTTTATCTCATCTCGTTTACTTATACGCCGCCCCTGATTGGACTCTGAGCAGAAAGGGGTTAAGATCGCATGGCCATCTCAAAGAAGCTCTGGCTAATTCGCCCCTACATAAGTACTTACATCAATATTTGCGCCAGGCGGGAAAGTTATATGGAGTTGATGCCGCCATCGAACCCGACCCTTTCCTCTGCGCGAGGGCCATCTCGTCCACTTAAAATGGAGCCCGGCCGATTAACTCATGTCTATACTTCGGTTATGCTGGACAATAAGCATGGATATCGACAAATGACATCCTAGGAAAAGGACCTAAATAATTAGTCGAACTGCCAAATAGTTTGGGGGAGCTGGGAAAGAGGGCCCCCGTCTCGAAACGACACAAGCCCAGCTGCATTAACTGGCAAGTAAGAAAGCACGCAAATCCTCAATCGAAAAAACGGGGTACTTTAACTTCCCCATCGACGTGGGCTAGATGTTTTAAACCTGCATCTGCTGGGTCCTGCTAGCACCGGCCTATCACGAATGATACGCGGCCATCCAAAAGCCATGTGGAGCTTAGCCTGCTGGAGCCTACCACGAAGAAGAAAGAAGCAAAATGGAAAACGGCACAGATTTGTCAAACAAAAGGCGAGAAGGGCAACGAAGGTTAAAAAAAAAAAAAAAAAAAAAACCGCCCTGGCAGCACTTTCTCGATTCTTGTCCGTGTTGGCAAAGGGGACGGCACAAAAGTGTCCACACTTGACGGAGCAGCCGTACTCCATCCCATATGTTCGTTGCCATAACTATAGAACTGGATGGCAGCCTGTGGGCAGTGGACAGCATACGGAACTTAATTCGTATAGTATAGTTCTCCCAACAGGTAACCACGGTTATGGGCATCGAAGCTGCACTACTACTGCTCACTCCCACCCAAGGACTGCCTGCTCTCCGCTTCTGCTGCCTGTAAGCTTTAATATGGCGTTAAGGCATGGTTGCCAATCGGCTATAGTCGCGGAACAGGCACAGCGTCCCGTCCGGAGTTCGGTGAGAAGACATGTTGATTGGACTTTTGGCAGCCTGATACTGTGGTTCAGCCACCGTTTCTCTTGAAGCCAGTTAAACGCAGCCCAAGCCCGGAGAAGTTACTTCGAAGGGAGAACGGTTGACTATGGGGGTGGCCAAAATTCAATAATAACGGAGCACTTACGACCATCGCCTTCATCTATGCAAAACGGAGCAACGCCGAGTTACCAGAGGGCCAATGTCATGCCATCTCAGACCATTTTGTCATACCTGGCCAGACACCTATCGCCATCCTGCAAGGACGAACCATTCGTTATTCTCTGTCATCTATGATTTGATCTGTGATTCGATCTATTATTGTCATTACTCTTTCTTATTTTCTTTTCCTCTTAGTTTTTGTTATCGTTTTCTTCCAACCTCGGCCCATCGCTTATGTAATACAACTTATCACGTGTCTGGATGAAAGAAACTCCGAACCCCGCGGAATTTCTCTTGGTCCGAGCGCCCTAGGTTTGGTTGTTTTTTTCGATGTTTTGCAGCGCAAAGCGGAAGAAACGCCGTGAAGAAGCGCCGCTTACTGTTTTTGCTGATTTGTGTTGATTTACAAGCTGTATAGAAGCTGTTTGGCGGGATGGCATGACGCCCCGATGTCTGCTGGAAGTCCCTGAGCGATGTTGTTGTGCGTAACACCGGCGTATCACTTCAGCTTCGCCCCCTTTTGTTTGCGCCAGCATCGCCAGTTTCACACCCAACGCAGGATAACCTGCTGAGCGAGCCCAATTCTCCCTCTACATACGCCGTTCGTTACCTATCGTCGCAAATATGGATGACCTATCGGGCCTTGACTGGAGCCAGAGCTCGAGCTCCCAGAAGCCCGCGCCGGTAAACACTCTCTCAAGCATGTCTGCCGCGACTCTACGTCCTACACCCCCCATTTCCGGCCGCTCAAGCCCGTTTCCTCCACAACCCACCACGGCTTCGAATAGAGCTCCATCGTCGAAGCCAACGACACCTTCAAATAATGATAGCTTTGCAAATCTGCTGAACTTTCCGTCTGGAAACGCTACCAAGAACCTCTCCCTCGCCGAAAGACAGAAGCAGCTGTCGGAACAAAAGGCACGTGAGGAGAGGGAGAAGCAGGAGAAGCTCAAGGCTCAGTATGGCGGAGTCAATGATCAGATATGGGACAGTTTGGAGAAGTCCGGGACGGGCCAAAGTGCTCCCCAAGCTCAGGCCGGTGTGGTGAAGGGCGGGACAACGTCTGGAGGGGATGATGAAGATGATCTGCTAGCTGCCTTCAACGCTTCTGCGCCTGTTGACAAGTCTACCAACTTTCCTATCCCGAGCCCCTCTCCTCTGTCTCGGACAGATTCCCGTTCCCCCGCCGGAGTTCCTACTACTACTGTCCTGGAGGACGACGACGATCCATTCGGCATGGCGGAGTTTAGTGCAAGCCGGCGCCAGAAGACAGAGGTTCAAGCTACGAAGGCACAGGCGCTAAATGGTGCTGACGATGATGACGACGTACTGGGCCTTCTTGCAAAGCCAGTATCTGAGTTTCCGAAACGTGAGACGACCAGCCCGGCACTTGAGGTCCCCGAAGAGCCTGAAGCGGAGCCCTCACGACATACCCCGGAAGATAGAGCCATTGCAGAATTAGTAGATATGGGATTCCCCATTCACAAGGCGCGAGAGGCCCTTGCCGAGACTTCGTCCGGCACAGATGTCCAGCAAGCCGTCGGCTGGCTGCTCAATCAGGCTCACAGCGAAGCAAAGGAAAAGGCACAAAGTAGAAACCATACTGGCCAGCAGGAAAGATCACCGGATCCCCGAATGTCTCGACGGTCAAGGAGAGAAGGCGATGGCTATGCTTCCTCTCGCGATCGATCTTCGAACAATGGCACCCCCAGGGAAAAGGATCCCGCTCAGCTGGCATCCGAATTTGGAAGCACTCTCTTCAAATCAGCCAATTCACTTTGGAAAACGGGTACGAAGCGGGTTCAACAGGCCGTTCAAGAATTCAATAACGGCTCCTCAGACAATTCGTCCCAGCCTCGCTGGATGAGAGAGAGCACGCCGGATCCTCCGAGAAGCAGGGAGCGGAAGGTGGATACCCGACGTGAATCCCCCCAAGGATCAGCACAGACAGAAACAATGACGAATGAAGCTATGATGCTGGAAACATCCAGAGAACCACCAACTGCGTCTTCACGTTCCCGAGGCGGAGAGCCCCAAGGTTCGCCCCACCAGGCTAGCTCGCGAGGCAGACCGGCGGAACTTCCTTCAAGGCCACGTTTTCAGCAGGAGGACGATCCGCGGAAGCAGATCCAGCGCCCGTCTCATCATCCTCAACCGGACACCAGAAAACAGCGAACACTGCTATCACGTTTTGATGCGGACGAGGAGGCGTCTCAGGCGTACGTCAGCCCAGCAAGGAGGAGGAAAGCTGCCTCTTCGGTTCCTCCTGGTTTTGACGCACCGGAACCAGACTTGCTGCAAAGCCCGTCTCTGCCAGCCCGGCCAGCTCGCCCGGCAACAACATCTCCGGCAAGGCAATCTCGCACCTCCACCCCAGTCCGACCAAAAGCACCTCCAAGGACAGTCCCACAGATTTCCCCTGCATCACTAGCATCTATACACAGCCACCGACAGAAAGGAACAGAGGCTTATAAGCGAGGTGACTATGCTGTAGCGCACGCTTCATACTCCAGTTCCATCTCACTAATACCCAACGACCACCCCATCGTTATCATCTTGCTCACCAACCGTGCCTTGACCGGTCTAAAGACAGGTGAACCTAAGAGTGCAATTAGTGACGCGGATCGTGCTCTCTCTATCATTGGTCCCTCGAAGGGTGACTCTGAGACCATCGATCTCGGCAATGGAGAGCCACCCAAGGATATGCGAGAGTTCTTCGGTAAGGCCCTGATGAGGAAGGCCGAGGCATTAGAACAACTTGAAAAATGGAAAGATGCGTCGGCCGTCTGGAGAGAAGCTATTGAATCTGGCCATGGCGGTAATACCAGCATACAAGGCCGAAACAGGTGCGAAAAGGCGGTCTCTATAGGACCAAACGGCGCCTCGTCGACGCCATCTAAGCCTATTTCGGCACCTTCCCGCCCCAAACAAGCCCCTAGACCTGCCGCTCCCAAGTCGGTCTCGACAAAGCCGGCTGAGGCAGTCAGTCGCCTCCGAGCAGCAAATGAGGCAGCTGACCGGATAGATAACGAGAAGTTTGACCTCGCTGATGCCGTTGAAGCGAAACTCGCGGCTTGGAAAGGAGGGAAGCAAGACAACTTACGTGCCCTCCTAGCCAGCTTAGACACTGTATTATGGCCCGAAGCGGGATGGAAAAAGATCAGTATGGCCGAACTGATTCTTCCTAATAAAGTGAAGATTCAGTACATGAAGGGTATTGCCAAGGTGCATCCTGACAAGGTATGTCTTGTATCGATTTATTGAAGAAGAAGAGCAATGCTAAACAATGTTAGATTCCCGTAAACGCTACTACTGAGCAGAAGATGATTTCCGGCGCGGTATTCAGCACCCTCAACGAGGCGTGGGACAAGTTTAAACGCGAGAACAACTTATGAAACGGTGAACAATACGACGTCCACTTTGATGAATTTCTTTTTCGTAATATCCCGTTTGGATATTTCTTTTTTCATAGGTTTAGATACCATTTTGATTCATATATATCATTACTAGACTATCATTGCATGAATCGTTACCTGGCCGTGGGAGCATTAAGACTGCGATATCCATCAAACTAAGTATGAGTGGTACAGACATTGGCGCCAGCTCTTCCTACCAGGGAGGAAGATTGTAACCTAAGGCTCCTGAAGGTACCACAAATGTTATCCTTCTTTTGGCAATCTCAGGAGAATTCGATAGCTCTACATACCCAGTGATAGTGCCATGAAATTTGATGGAGGAAGCAGCGGCATATGTGAGACTCAAACTGGGCCGATGTCTCCTTTATCATAAAAATATACCAACATCTGGATGAGATCCTATTTTCTTTCTCTAGCCTGTTTGTTCTAAGTTGGATTGGATGACAATGAAGGACAATCGCGGCTAAGCATCCTTTCTATTGGTCAAAATCCTTGAATTAGCCCTAGCGCGCCAAGATTATAGGCGATAATACCCAATAGAAAAGCACAGTTAGCGCCGGCCTGCCGCTGAGTTCTAGCCAATCAATAAACTCTCTTTACATGCGTTAGGGGACAAATATATTCCATTCACGAGTGATTCTGGTTGTTTATTAGTAAATATATCCTCCGGTTTCTTCGATTGGTTGGTTCCTGGTCGGGTTTTACTCTGTATCGCCCTGAATACACGTCTGGTGTTCTAGACTTCTTTTGATCCCTAGCTGTTTACATCGTTCCCCGCATGTGAGATGCACTGTGATGAGCAGGGTGTGCTCGCAGCAGGTAGCAGGCCGAGAAGTCAACACAGAGCTCACATTTGGCCCTCATGACGCCGTATGATCTCGTAATCATACATAAACCCATATGATTATGCACATAGGGAGAGATACCCTCCGATACCTGTTTGTTTACTGGAAGGAGTAGACCAGGGCGAGAACTTTACTGAGGCATACACCCGTATCAAAAATTATCTGTATGTGACTCCTAGTTGTTTATTGAGTGGTATGATGTCAGATTTTATATCACTTATCAGCAGATGGTGGCGAGCAAATCGTAGCGGATGGTTACATATCTTGTAGTCCTCCATAAGAACGCACAGATGACCAGACCCGTGGTTGGTGGCAAGCCCCTTCGGATATATCTCCACCGGCGTCGCCGGAGTTTCGCGGACAATTGACATGGATTATGCGTCATGCCGGGGGTGTCCTGCATAGGGCCATGCACATGCAACGAAGCGATATGGCTAAGGGAGGGGAGCGCTCAGGGCAGCAAGGTGTCGATATGCACTTCAGCCCTGCCCGCTGGCGAGAACGAGGACATCTTTATGCTACTATGAACAGCGATTGGCTTACTCTTCCTCTCCTGATCAATGAAGCACAGCCATTGAAGGGTTTGGCCCCATGCATGACTTCTTGGATAACGACATTTTCAGCTTTGTAAGGGATGGGGTAGAACCCTTGACGTTGTTAGCCAGCTAGCGAGCGCACTCTCCCTTTTCCAGAGCACAGTGATAAATTTATATCGCGGGCTACCTGAAGGAGGATGCGAGCCAAAATATTAGTTTTTACAAAAGAATCTCATTGGACTAGAGCCAACAGGCCCAGCCGGAATTCCGTGGATAATACGCACTGGGCTCCAGGGAATGACAGGGAATATTTTGATCCAGCAGACTAACTGGTCAAAAATAGTTCAGAGGATAAAGCTCACCTGCATAACCCATGTCCCATCACAGCTGTCTACTCTTCTTGAATGTTACTATGCATACTCCTCGGGGCTCTCTTCTTCTTACATATACCATGTGTGCCTTTAAATAATCGTTCTCCTATATTGAAAAAATACCCTCAATACTGGGCTCCTCATTCTACCGGATTACGCTGTGGCCCCTTAGTTGGCGTGTGGATAGTTAACCAAACCAGAAACTGTTTCTACATAGGCAGTTTGTCATGCTATCCGAAAATGTCACCAACTGCGAGCGATGCCCTGGTTGAACGACGGCGCCAACAGAATAGAGATGCACAAAGAAAACGGCGTAAGTTCCTTTCGTTTTATTCTATTCAGTCCATCCGTCAGCTTGTCCACGAGATATCAATATCTTAGAGTAGCCACGGGATTGCTAACATGTTGATTATGTAGGGAATGCTTTGAAAGCGCAGATTGTAGAGCTCCAAGCTAGGAACCTAGAGCTGCAAGCCTTTAAAGAGTCTGCAGTTTCAATTGCAGCTAATCAACAGACCTTACTCGGTTCCAGAACAATGTTGACCTCGGATGTAAGCTGCAGCTTAGGAGGTAGCTTTAATAGCCCATGCCACACATCATCCGATGGTCAGAACGAGGGTTCGGATACAGCATCAGCAGTAATACTGCGTCCCGACTATCCGAAATTGGACGATACATTCATTCAAGGGATTTCCGAGAACCTACAGCCAAATGCACAAATGATGTCTAGAAGTCAACCTGGCAGCATTCAGGGTTACTACCATGACGCCGAAGATACGTCCACTCAAATCGCTATATCAACATCGGCCTCGGATCCTGGGTTTGGAAGCGGCGGAACACCTCTGCCAGCAGCCGCCTATACCGATGTTACGATGAGTCCTTCGCCAGGGAAGTATGACCTGAGCTTACACTTTGGGGACACGTCACTTCATGACACACTTGATCTTGCATCACTTCGCCAACAGTCACCATCAGAGGCCGGTTCAAGAGCTGGGATCACTGAGACTATAAGCAGACAACTGTCTGGACCTAACGGGCTTCGACCTTGCTTTCGGGACAAAAAGCAGAATGCCATGGCTATAGCGGTGGCCAATCGACAAACAGCTGTAGTACGGCTACTACTACGACATGGAGTGGACATAAATGCCAGAGATGAACGGGGACGGACTGTCTTACATGATACAGCTGAGGCTAATGACACCGAGATGATGCAGTTGCTTTTGGACTATAACGCTGATTCGAATATTGTTGACAAATCTGGTATGATACCTATTGAAATTGCCGCATCCTTGGGGAATATAGAGGCAGTTGAAATATTACTAAAAGCTAATCCATAGAGATCATTGGAGCTGATTGACCCAAAATGAACATTTTTTCGTTTTCCATGGGCAGGTTAGACATGAATGGTCCTGAACTATGGGATATAGAGCCAGATTTCTGTTCTGTAAAAAGAAGTTCCCGGACTTTCCTGGATGCAATAACTAATCCATTCGCTGGTCATGCAAGTTTCGCCCATTTCTTGACTTCATGTCAATGAACCTTGTTCCCAGGTTACCCCAGTGGTTCAAGCTGCGCGGTGCCCATTCAGCTTGACAGCCTAACAGGGGTATCAATCAATCATGCATGTCTAGATAGTGAGCGAATGGTGACGGCTGACAAGCAGCAATAGTAAAATGTTTTCAAGTGACAAACTTCAGTCCCCTGACTAGCTGATATGGCTACAGGGATTAAGTGTGAGGGTGGTGTCAGCATGACTGTTCGAGCCGGGGGCCGCGAACTGAAGTCATCGCATGGGGAGGATACCTCTAACTTGTCAATTCCCCTACACTCGATTGTGGCATGAAGTAAAGAGATACGCAATGTATATATCTCGTGAGACTGGACAATCCGTAGATATCATGAATTAGATATCCTAGTTCCGTTGAATAATTTAGCTACCTGACTTTTCTAGCAAGGAAGATCCAAAATAGCAAAATGAAGCCAGCTTCAAAGGAGGCCACATCTGTATGGAAGACCTGGGATAGCTGCTGTATCCTTAGTGCCAAAGAGAGTTGCCTCGCAGCGTCTCTGCTGGCTGATTTTCAAACGGTAACGATCAAGGACGCGTTAGATATAAACGCACTGGTGGAATTCAGCCGTTCTCACCAGGTCCCAGGGGGTATAATAGTGAAGCTCGCCTGCTGCTCCGCCGTTGGGGGCTACGCCGGTGTGGAGGACGTATGCATCGGAGTCGAAATTGGCGGCACTAGCAACCTGCTCCGTTGTCACCTCGATAGCCAGCAGACCTTCTCAAGCCTCTCTCAGTTGATCGAGGAGATAGAGCTTCCAATTACTGGTGATTCAAGCCCGAATCTTCTTGACCTCGCTGGCTCTACTGGCCTCTTTGACACCATACTCTCGATTCGAGACTCCGACTCTGGAGCCAACGCAGAGACCGGCAAAGGAATCGATCATGTTGATTCTCCTCGTTATTCGCCTGTAAGTCGCTTATAACTCCATCTCTGATATGGGATGTTGCTTATGTCTTGTGCTGGTATCAAAAGAAAACAGGCGGCCATTTGGCCATCGAAGTGAATCTCCCGCTGCGAGAAATCAGCATCAACTACCCAGCCAGCATCTTCAGCGCGGTACAGGCCAGACGATTCGCAGAACTGCTCTCAAAGACCATTTCGGAGCTCATTGAGAATGCTGACCAGCGGCTATGTGATTTGGACTTGCTCACAGCCACCGACGCGCGCAACATCGCAGCTTGGAACGATCGAGACCTAGGCTCCTACGATGCCTGCCTCCATGATGAGATAGGCAAACGAGTAGAAGAGTCGCCTGAGAGTCCTGCAGTCTGCGCCTGGGACGGTGATTTAACCTATCGCCAGCTGGACATCCTTTCATCTCGTGTTGCTTGGAAGCTTCATGAAGTTGGTGTCGATCCAGGATCGTCCACTGTGGCCTTTTTGTTCAGCAAGTCAAAGTGGTCGGCTGTCTGCTTGCTCGGTATCTTCAAGGCTGGTGCAGCCGCGGTGGCTCTGAATCATGACCATCCAGGAGAGAGGTGCAAGTATATTCTACAGGCTACCGGCGCGAGCGTCCTGCTCGTTGGCAAAGATCTGGAGGACTTCCCAGAGATACCACTTGACATATCACTTACTAAGATAGCCGTTTATGATTCTTTGTTTGACGGCTATTTGTCCGAATCAGACCATGCCGGGACGTTCGTTTCGACCAGAGTTAAGCCAGAGGATGCTGCGTACATTCAATTCACCTCTGGCAGCAGCGGTACGCCCAAGGGGATCATAATGGAACATCGTACCTATATGGCAAACGCAATCTCCCAGATCGAAGCATACCATATGAACAAGGAGTCCAGAGTTCTCCAATTTGCAAGTCATAGCTTTGATGCATTTTTGACCGAGGTTGTCACTACACTGCTCGTGGGTGCCTGTGTCTGCATTCCATCTGAAGAGAGCCGTCTCAATGACCTGTCAGGTGCCATAAATGACTTGCAGGTCAACTGGGTGGGTATGACACCGACTCTTGTTAGGACACTGACACCAAAGAATGTCCCCACCCTGAAAACTCTTGCAACATGGGGGGAGGTGACCAGTGATGATATCATTGAGACCTGGGCAGACGAAGTCGAACTATTCAACCTCTACGGTCCATCGGAGAACTCAGTTGGAGCAGCAGTTCATTTGATATCCAAAGGAATCCGAGATCCTAGCCACCTGGGCAAACCTATTAGAGCAGTTAATGCGTGGATTGTTCGAATCGATCACCGGGAAAGGCTTGCACCTATCGGGGCTGTCGGTGAGCTTGTTCTACAAGGCCCAACTGTTGCTAGAGGATACCTGCAGAATGATACCCTAAATGCAGATTCGTTCAGAAACTGTATACCGTGGATGAAAGATGATACTAGACATCAGAGAATCTACTATACAGGTGACCTTGTTCGATATACTGGTGATGGCAACTTGGAGTTCATTGGTCGTCGAGACGCACAAGTCAAGATCCGAGGTCATCGGATAGAACTTGGTGAGATTGAATATCACATAAATCAAGTGCTCTCTGGGTCGAATTTTGGCTCAGTGGTAGAAATCATTCGTCCTTCATACCGCCAATTTCAACCGATGCTCATTGCATTTCTGGATGCACGCAGTGATTGTATCACTATACCAATGCATGATCTATTGCTACCTGCATCTGATAGATCCAGAGCTAGAGCAGCTGAGATTGAAGAATATTTGGCTAAGCGTCTACCGACACACTTTATTCCTTCACTATATTTACCCCTGGCATACATACCAACGAATGCATCTGGAAAGGCAGACAGAAAATTGCTCAAAGCAGCCTGCGAGCCTCTGTCAGAGTCGGATTTCTTGACGTATTCATCTCAGGGTAAACCAAAGACCGCACCCCAGACAGAAATCGAAGCTAAAGTAGCTTCTCTCTGGGCAGACTTACTCGGTGTTGAACTGAATAACATTGGCAGAGAAGATAGCTTTTTCTGGTTGGGTGGAAATTCAATCCTTGCCATGAGATTTGCTGTGGCAGCTCGCAGCGAGGGTCTTCAGGTCACTGTGGCTGAGGTTCTTTCAAATCCACGACTGAACCAAATATCTGATATCCTAGCAAAGCCGAATCAACACCCACAGCCAGATGGTAGCCCTCTATATGAACCCTTCTCCGCTTTACCTATTAGTCAGGGCAAAGATTTTGTCTCCGAAATAATAGCTCCCCGCTTGGGTGTGGACGTTAATGACATACAGGATGCTGCTCTAGCTACTGATTATCAGATCGAAAATCTTGCCTGGTCTTCTTTGAAGTCCCGCGGTGGTACAAATTATATAACTTTTGACTTCTCTACAACGGGTGTTACGGCTGGCAATCTCCAAGATGCCCTGGAAAGGCTGATACTATATCACGATATCTTGCGGACGGTCTATTTGGTATTCGAGAGAAAAGTCTACCAAGTCACGCTGAAGCAGCTTTCAGTTGATATTATACATTGCATGTATACCAAAGATGTTTCTCGGGCTACCTCAGAAGTTGTGGAAGCAGATACCCCCATACCAGTTGATATTTCTCGCTCACTACTCAAATTTTGGCTAATTCGCGGCCTAGACGGTACAGTCCAACGTATGGTTATGCGTGCATCTCACTTGCAGTATGACGGAGTGAGTCTCATACGCCTATGCAGGGAACTTGGTCCTGCGTTTCACGGTCAAGAACTATACCCAACTACTTCATTCTTTGCATACTCTCACTTTGCTGCAACACATAATGAGGATTCTGCAAGAGCTTTCTGGAGCAAGATACTGGCTGGTTCTACAATGACTTCCATTTTTCGCCACACCAGCATCCCTTGGAAATATGTGCTTAATGGGCAAGTAGATATCATGATCGATACTAGTGCTGTTCGTTCAGACCCCGAGATAACTATCGGCACTATAATAAAGGCTGCGTGGTCTCTGGTTCTGGCAGAAATGTCCGGCAGCAATGATGTCGTTTTTGGCTCCGTTATTTGGGGTCGGAACGCCATGTACCCAGGAGTCGAGCATGTGGCAGGAGCCTGCATAGACAATATCCCGGTTCGAGTCCGCATTGGAGACGATATGACACGGCGACAGCTTCTAGAGCAAATACAAGGGCAGTACTTTGAAGCCGTCAGCTTCGAAAATTTCCAATACAAGCGTATTGTAGAAGAATGTACCGACTGGCAGCCATGGGAGAGACTCAGCACCCTGGTGGAGTACGAAAACCTAGGCGAGGAAACCACAAGCTTCAAGCTGGATGATACGCAACGCTTTACGGTTGATGAGATCCGTCCCCCAGCAGATCGGCATGACATCACGATATTCAGCACACCTGTTGGACCAGAAAAGACATTTATTGCCCTCGATTTTTGCAAAGACGTCATTCCTGAGTCTCTAGCACAAAAGATGCTGACCCGAATGTTGGAGCATATCCGTGGCTTCCATGAGAATATTGATGACCCACTCCAGCTTGCTGCAGCAGATATCATGGAGTTGCCTTCTATCCCCATGCTACTCCCTGGCACCCTTGCTCAAAGTGACATGGACCCAGTGAGGCTACAGTCATCCCATGCTGTCATATTCTCCTCCCAGGAGCTTCGTGAGAGTCAGAAGTTGTTTGTAGAGGAAGCTTGGGCTGATACTTTGGGTTGTCAGCCAGAGCAGCTGGCCATATATTGGACAGAGAGAACTCCCTTTTACAATGTGTGGGGCAATCTCATTGCTGCCTATGGTCTTTCAAAAAGGTATCAAGAAAACGGGATATCTGTCTGTATGGAGCAAGTGTTAGAGAACCCGGACATGCAGTCTCAAGTGGCATTGCTCATAAACATCGCCAGTTAACTAGCTAGCAAGACGTTAATGTAGATGAATATCGAAAGTGATATAGTAGTTATTACGAAGACTTAACTATTCTCTCTTTGGAGCCATTGCTGCTTTCTTCTAGATAGCGTATTTGGCATAGCATTGTATTCTACTGCCTGCTGATGGCCAACTGGCTGCCCCTGACCCCTGAATCTTCCTCCCCCTGAAGCTCTAAACCCAGATTGGGGAGTCAGCAATGTTTCATGTGACTCAGATGACAACCAAATCCCTGGCAACAAAAAAGAAAGTTGAAAAATATTGAAGAATGGACAACATTGTCGAAATGTTTGATACGGAGGAAGATATCTTGTTACTGACATACAGCACAGTGCCATGCTGGTGTTGCTGCTGCTCTCCTTGTCATGACTACGCCATGACTGGCACTTCTGGCCTGTGCTGATTCAAGTTGTGCCTCTCGGGAAACTGGGACCTGGTTAACACCTGGCTACTACTATGTAGTAGTTTGCAGGACGCCTTATCAGGGGATAGGATAAAGCACAGAGTATCCAGCCGTGAAGATGATATTCCATATAAGCTCTTTTACTGGCTCGCACTGGACATCTGCGCAGTGCGCTCTCGTCCTTCAACTGTTCACCTCTCCTGCTATTCAACTCCCACCCCTAACCGTGATCCAACCACACTACGGCCATCTGGCGTGTTATTGATAAGCGAAAAAAAAGGATGAATACTGCCGTCAAGAAGTCACCGCTTCAGGTGGCTATGGTTGGCATTGGTCATCGTGGATACAAGACCCATTTTCGTATCATTCTCGAGAACCCAAGATCATGGACTGTGGTGGCCTGCTGTGATACCAACGAGAACACCCGACAGGCTTTTTCTCAGAAACATCCGAACATCAATGTATACAAAGATGTCGACGATCTACTGAAGAACAACAAGCAGAGACTAGACTTTGCAATTGTCTGCGTCCCGCACCAATACCACTTAGAATGCTGTCGGGCGTTAGCTCAGAGAGGAGTACCTATCCTGAAGGAGAAACCCGTTGCAGAGTCGCCGGTCGAATATCAGCAGCTCCAGCAACTTCCCGTCAAAATCGGCATTACTTTCCAGAAGCGCTTTGAGCCACGCTATCTGGCGATCAGGGATCTCATTTCCCAGGTTGGACAGGTTGCTTCATTCACTGCAACACTTACAGCCAATATCACGGAACTGGACGCTACGTGGAGGGCAACAAGTGATGTTGGTGTTACTGTATGTATTCCCCAATTAAGCCTTATTTCCGAACATAGTTGAATAACCATTATTTACTTCTTATAGGAAGACTTAGGATGCCATATGTTGGACATGATCGTGTCCCTCTTCGGGAGGCCGACTTCAATCACCGCCCAGAATACCAGGGGCATCGGGGTTGACCAGGAATATGGGGGAGATGACGTTTCGAACATCATCATGAACTTTGGAGAGGCAGCAAAGCGTAACATAGGTCATGTTCATCTCTCGAGAGTAGCTCACAGGAACGAAGAACGTCTCATCATTACTGGTACCCACGGCACCTTTGCCTTGGAAGGCAAAGATGTAAGGCTACGAGATAGTAATGGCAACGAAACGTTTCATTTCCACGACACTTCTGAGAAGAAGTATGTTGTCAACTCGATGTTGCAACAGTTCTCTGCCTGGGTCACCGGTGCAAAGTCCGATTTCCTCGCCTCTATCGCCAACCTGGAAGATACAGTCATGGTGATGGAAGCCACTCGCCGTGCATACAACAACCCCAATGCCACTGAGACGGTTACTACTACCGGAAACTCTGCTGGATCTTATGCACAAGCTTCTCTAGCAGGTGTACATCATGTATGGCCACTGCTTTCACCCGAGTCTGAGGCTGCTGTTGTACGTCAGATGCATTCTTCACTGTCCATCTACAACAGGTCCGACATCTATGAGGTCTTTGAAGAAAAATGGCTCAAGATGCATGGCTTGAAACACGCTCTTGTATGCAGCTCTGGGACAATAGCAATTCTTCATATGTTTGAGGCGTTGGACTTGCGACCTGGAGATGAGGTTCTCTGCCCCGTATACACTTTCTTCGCCACAGCATCGCCCTTAATGCAGTATGGTGCTGTCCCTATATTCTGTGACAGTCTGGAGGATGGAAACATCGATCCAGATGAAATACTCAAGCGAGCCACGCCTAAAACAAAGGCAGTTATCGTCACACATATGTGGGGATTGCCATGTCGTATGCGCCAGATTGTCGATAATGCTCGGAAGGTGAACATCAAGGTGTTGGAAGATTGCTCCCACGCCCATGGCGCGATTGTTGATGGCCGGATGGTCGGATCCTGGGGTGATATGGCTGCGTGGTCTTTACAAGCTAAGAAGAATGTAATGGGCGGACAGGCCGGCGTCCTAGCTACCAATTCGACGGATTACTACTCCCGAGCCATTCTTCATGGGCACTTCAATAAACGTGCGAAGCAGGAAGTTCCGCAGGATCATCCATTGCGGAAATTTTGGCGTAAGTACATCTCTATATCTCACCGCATCGATTCATAAGTTTATAGAACTTACCACTGAATCTACTCAAGTGACGGGCCTAGGGCTAAACATGCGAGCCCACCCACTGGCAATAGCTCTTGCGAACCAGCAACTTGATCTCCTGCCAGCCCATGATCGATACCGCCAACATTATGCTTCCTACATTGCAAAAGGCCTATCCACTATTCCCTTTCTCAAAATGCCTGTTGTCAACAACAACAGCAATGATAAGCATGCCTGGTATGCCTTTGTAATGCAATTTGATTCCACAAAGGCACCTGAGGGCCTCACCCGTGATGAGTTTGTGCGGGAACTAGTCGATGTCCATGGGTTGCAGGAAGTGGACATCCCGCGTTCAACAGGCTTGCTGAACGAGTTGCCATTGTTTACCCATTCCCACGAAGCTGTTCCAAGATTTGGTGATAAAAGATGGGGCAAGATACAGCCAACGACAGAATTCCCGAATGCGCTGCAATTTTATCAGTGTGCTATAAAGCTCCCTGTGTGGGCTACAGAGAGTGACATGCCTATCGTGGAACACTATGTGAAGACATTCCTAGCTGTTGCTCGTGAGATGACACAGCGGGCACTGAGACGAAAGAATCCGGGCCCTGGCTCCATTGATGAACGGATTCAAGCGAGACTATAGACATAAATATATATCTATATCTAAAGTCAGAAGCAAAATGCCATCCTTCCATACTAGCACCAGCGTCAAGGCCCATTATTCACCGTGTTTTCACGAAAGAAGGAAATCGGATCGTTAGTTATATATGGAGAGCAGGTCCAAAGTTCTGAATATACAACTTACAGAGCAATTATGAGGTCTTCATCTCCAAGGCAAATCAGTAGTTCTTTTCAACTAATTCGCTGCTATTGACAATCCCTTCCATAGATCATAGTGATTATTATCTCCCTGCCCCTTCGTATATTGCATATTCTACTTGCTAGTTATCTTCACTGCGTTTGCTTCATTTATACATTCACTATTCTTCTTGCTTTCTCTAACCAGTTCTTCACCTTACGATAGGCTGCTGCCCTAGTCGAGTCACTGCCTAAGGGGTTGGGGAAAAGAGTCGGTAACGGCCTACCAGAAGTGCACTTAGAGAGAGCTGCTAGGCCGCAGGGTAAACAGGATCTCGACATCACTGCGTAATACTGTCATTGACCAGCCGTTTACCATGGTATGTAAGCCTACTCGTAGTGGAGTTGTGATGACTGTGATGACAGCCTTGAGACCCTTGTCAGGTCATCAAGATCAATAATTACCCTTACCTTTCCTTACTACCATATTGCACTCGATAACCCATATTAAAATCAAGAGCTTCCTCTGTTTGCCAGACTAAATGATGAAGAATTAAAGGGGAGATAGAATAATATCCACCTCCAAGAGTGCTTCAGGGGTGGTATAAGTATTGCATTGATATGGCCCAAACCAAGGATATCACCCTCCTTCACTTTAACGACGTGGTAGTTATACAACCATGAGATCGTTATTCAGTAGGTCTAAACAGCTGATATAATTATTCTGAACGTAGTACCACATATCCGACGCTGAACGGGTTGCACGCTTCGCATCCATCCTGGCCAATCCACGATACCTCGCTCGTGATGTCTCTGCCCCTGATCACCAGCTTCGACTATTCAGCGGCGACGCTTTCTCCCCATCTCTAGAGGCATCCGTCCTTCGTGGTGAGCATATACCGACGATTCTCAATGCCATGAACATTGATGTCGCTTGCTATGGGAACCATGACTTCGATTTTGGCGAAGACCGCCTAGTTGCGCTATCCAAAATCACCAAGTTTCCCTGGCTGCTCACGAATGTGCTACGGAAGGACTCGCAGTCAACTCAAGGGGGAGATGATAAGTTGTTAGCCCTGGCACATAAACATATCATCCGAGAGGTGGGTGGGCTGAAGGTTGGATTCATCGGTTTGGCTGGAACGTAAGTTCATCCTATTTGCATGACGTATCCATCATTATTCCCGGATGTTCAATCAATCAATCGGTCGTGTATGATCTTCTACTTACAAGGGTTAACAAGTGACTGGCCGTCAAACTGCCAGCACTTACCCAGCTGCACCATATGCGACCCTGCCAGTGTGGCCCGAACCACAGCAAGATATCTGCGGGAGTCGAAAAAATGCGACCTTGTTATAGCGTTGACCCATATGCGGCTGGCAGAGGACATTGCAGTCTCGCGGAATACCAAAACTGGTAGTGGAAGGATTGATTTGATACTCGGTGGCCATGATCACGACATCGTTCAAAGATCTTCCACGGACTCCAATAATGACCCGAGGGCCCACCACCAGGGCTCTACTCCTGATAGTGCTACCGGAATACTCTGCACAGAAGGCAATATACGCATTATCAAGAGCGGAACTGACTGGAATGGCCTGTCGGTGCTGCGTCTCACTGTTTCTAAACAAGCTGACGGCAAGTCTTCTATATCAGAGTCAAAACGTAAGAGAAATAAAACCCCCCTTTTCACTAATATTTATTAACACCCACGTACTCACATGAAGCCAATGCACACATTCAGTATATCAGGTTGCAGACCTGAAGTCCCTGCCGAACTATGCGAATATACCACCATGCCCCATAACCATGAAGGCTATAACAGACGTGCAAACAAAAATAGCCAAACTGGTAGAAAAGCCACTCGTCATAACTGCTATCCCCCTTGAAGGAAGATCTCGGGTCGTCCGCAGCCGAGAGTCCAATCTCGGGAACATGCTCGCAGATGTGGTACGTTCCTTTTACAACACGGACATTGCCTTCATCAACAGCGGAGCTATCCGCTGTGACAGGATCATTGACCCAGGGAGAGACGAACCTTTACAGATCCGGGATATCATTGACATTAGTCCATTTGATAACGCATTCGTTATTAAACGTGTCAGCGGCCATGTTCTTGCAGCAGTTCTGGAAAATTCGGTATCTGATGCCCATACTGATGGTCGCTTTTTGCATGTATCAGGGCTTACCATGGCGGTAGACTGGAGTCGTCCGGAGGGACAGAGGGTAGGGGATATTCTCTATGTTCCAAAGCATGGAATACGGCGTGCTGTATTGTCCAGGGATATGTATACGGTAGCCATGGTGGACTTTATAGCATCAGGGTTTGATGGGTATTCTTGCTTTCGGGATTGTGAGACACTACTTGACGCTGAGGGCTCGGTGACGGACACGAATCTCTTGCTGCAAGTGTTCGAAGCAGATGGTCGTGGAGACGTAAGTCGCAAGCAGCAAGACGAGGCCGTGGAGGGTATCAGGAGAGCCCGAAATGCAGTCATCCGAGGGAGACATCCCCTTAAGGGATTACCTGTTATTTCTCCGTCTGTGGAGGGTCGGATAAGGGTCATCACACCTAGTCTATAGAACTTAGTAATAGAATGTGTCATATTAATGACACTTGTTAGCTGAATAGAAAGTGAATCTCAACAACATGGGCAAACCTCGGTCATTATACATATTTGGCTATTTCTCTTAGCCTTGGAGATGAATGGGTTATAGGAAGGAACAATATATATGCATGTAGATTGTGAAGAAATTATTCACCCATATAATCAATTGAGTGTAGATGCACGTAGTTTATAAAATAAGCGCTACCAATGCAAGGAAAAGTCAAAAATTAGGAGAAGGGCAACCTGATCTAGAGTCATGCGGTCTTTTGAGAAGCAAGCCAAGTCTCATGCGCCTTCTTCTGCCTATCCCATTCTTTCTTCAGCTTCTTCTTCTGACTCTTAGTGACTTCTTCGCCTTTTGCATCTTTCAGGGGTAGCCCGTCCTCATCCCAGGCACTGTATGCTTCTGTCCTGAACATCTCAGAAGGGCTTATTTTCCCCTTCGCGGCCTTCTCAGCAGCTTCTTTCTCACGGGCTTCCTTTTCCAGCAACTTCTGCCTGGCTCTGGTTTCAGCTTCTTGTCTGGCCTGGAGCAAGTCTCGTGTGACGGGGCGTACACGCGCTGGTAGATCAGCCCGGTCCTCGAGGTAGACGCCGAGATCAAATAGGCTTGTGTTTCGGAGGGTATCACAGAGGTCTAGAATCTCCTTTGATAGGTTGCTCGATTCAGTGAGAGCTGTGGCACTAGAGCAGAAATTGTTGAACACATCTTTGAACGAATTGGTGAGCTGGGGGTCAAGTAGCTCGGGAGTAATGGATTTTCGTCCTTCCTCCACGACAGATCTGATGGAATCAGGTGTGAGGCCAGTCTTGGCGATTGCTGTTTGGCGAAGGGTATCACGAATAGTAGAGAGGGGATAGACGTAGGGCTTCGCCTCTTCAGCGATTTCGTCTCCATACCAGCCAATGTTTTCGCTGTCTGGCCCTGCGGTAGAGTTGAGTCCAAATATGTTGACCATGGATGTTAACCATTTGGCTACCGCATGCGTATTCTGGGCACTTAGAGCGGCTTCACTTGTGTTGTTAAACTTGGTGATTAGCTCTGAAATGGCATACATGGCGCCAGCAGTATTGAACGAATCGCACAAGTGTTTGTGGACGCTGTCTTGGGCCGCCTTTAAGGCAGCGGGGAGCTCTTCGTCCGAGGTGGTTTCAGGGAGCTTGACTGATGGGTCCTTGGCCCTGATGAAGAAGTTGTTTACTTTCTCCTCCCAGGCATTCCCAGCCTTGACAATTTCATCTGTAATCTCAATTCCATCTCGCCAGCCACCGAGAAGGAAAACGATGCGAAGGCTTCTAGGAGTCCAGTCACCTCTTCGAAGAGCATCTCTAATAGTAGTGAAGTTCTTCAGTGATTTTGACATTTTTGACCCTTGGATAGACAAATGCCCCATGTGGATAAAGTAGTTGACCCATTGCACGTGTGAGCAAGTCGAGCTCCAATATGCCTCACTCTGGGCGATCTCATTGTCATGATGAGGGAATGCTAGGTCAATGCCACCTGAATGGATGTCCATCTGCTTTCCAAGCCGGGACGAAGCCATTGCAGAACACTCAATGTGCCAGCCAGGGCGGCCATTGCCCCAGGGACTAGGCCAGCTTGGCTCACCAGCCTTTGAGGCTTTCCAGAGAGCAAAGTCAGCAGAAGATTTCTTTTCGGCCTGCTTGTTAGATAGAGACCCTTCTCCTTCTGACTGTCGATTGGCATCATTTCGATTCCAAGGTTCAAGCCTGGCGTAGCTATTTCCAGCCGCCTCAAAATTCTCAATATCAAAGTAAACGGATCCGTCAGGGGTCACGTATCCGAACTTGTGTTCAATTATACGTTCAACGAAGCTCACTATCTCAGGCATAAATTCTGTGACTCGAGTGATCTCGTCAGGATCCAGAACATTGAGGTCCCGTACATCCTGCATAAATCGGTTTTCGTACTCTGTAGTCAGACGGGTAAATATCGAGTGGTCGGAGCCTTGGATTGATGCTCCTTTAAGGGTATCAAGGTAGGGGTATAGTATATCCTGGGTCTTGTCGTAGAAGGTAGCTACCGGTATGCTACCGCCGGGAGTTGAAGCCACCGTAAGCGCCTCGGCGGCAGTAGACAGTGTCTTTATATACATTTTAACCTTAGCCTCCGGCTCACCTGGCTTTGAATTGCCTTCAAGGGGCTTCCCATCAAGAACAGCAGCGTATACTTTTTCTGCCGTATCTTTGAGCTCGTGTGTTGGCGTCGATACCGGTACTAGTGGCAGGTTCTTTGTGATATAGGCTTCATAAGCAGCTTTGGCGGTATCCAGAAGCTCTTGGTCGATTGACGGGTGCTCGGCGCTGAATTGATTATACAGGTGCTGCTGTCTACCTCGCGTGATGATCTAGAAGATCAAAGGTCAACACCCATTGATGCACAACAAGCCAAGGCAGACTGAACGTACCTTGTCGTCCACATCCGTTATATTCATGATATATTTAACATCGAATTTGAAATAGTCTCGGAGGATACGCCGGACAATGTCTGCGCTGACATAGTTGCGCGCGTGCCCAAGATGCGCATCGTCGTACACTGTCGGACCGCAAGCGTACCAGGTCACCTTCTTCCCTTCCGGGTCCAGAGGCACGAACGGAGTCTTCGACCGGGTCAGCGAGTTCCAGATCTTCAGCGGCGGCAGCTCTCGCTGCAAGCCTTGGTGGGGTGTGGGCTGCTGCCACGGAGGCTGTTCGCGGGGAGCTGCCATAGAGACAGACGGTGATGTCGCAAACGCTCTGCAGAGCCCGGGTACAGGTCGGAGACGGCGTGTCGAAGCAGCTGTGACTGTGGCTCGAGGAAGACGAAGGCTCTGCCGGAGGAGGTTCATGTATGTGTCCTGCTGCTGGCGCTGCGCTGAGTCGGCTTTATGACTCTTTTGCGCATCGAGAAGAAGAAAAGACAGGCGAGTCGCTCGCTGGATGGAGTTTGCACTGTTTGCAATCTCTGTGTCTTTTTTTTTTGCTTTCGATGCTCACGAGGAAGTTGAAACTACATAAAACCAACGAAGAGTGAGAAGAAGAGAAGAAGGTCGTTGAAGGACAGCCAGGCTCAATTGAAACGATGGTGTCTCCTTTTCTCACGCCCGGGCCGACTGCTGAGGCTGACTCCCTCGCGGTGCTGCATCTCCGCCGCGACCATGCGATTGCTACAGTGCTCAAGACGCACGACGACGAGGACCTGGGCTACGACGAAGGCAAGGTCACGACGACGCGGTTCGGCTCGTTTCCTCATAGTACACTCATCGGCAGTCCCTGGGGGTCCCAGATCATCGCCTCGAAGGTCGACACCGGCTCTCGAGGACGCCGACCAAAGACGGCCAAAGGATCGAACCCGTTGAAGCGCAAGGCAGAGGACGCCGATATATCAGAGGACAAGTCTACGAACAAGGCGGCAGTGACTGCATCAAGCGGCTTTATACACCTTCTACGGCCTACGCCAGAGTCATGGACCAGCTCGCTGCCCCATCGGACGCAGGTGGTCTACACTCCAGACAGCAGCTACATTCTACACCGGCTGCGCGTTCGCCCTGGAAGTACAATTATAGAGGCCGGTGCTGGTAGCGGCTCCTTTACACACGCGGCTGCAAGGGCGGTATTCAACGGTTACCCCAATGGCACAAATGACAGCCGCCGAGGTAAGGTGTGCAGCTTCGAATTTCACTCGCAGCGTGCGGAAACCATTAAGCGGGAACTAGGAGAACACGGCTTGGATGGGATTGTGAGACTGAACCACCGTGATGTTTGTGCCGATGGGTTTTTGCTAGCAGACAGGCCGGTCAGTAACGAGTCGCCTCGAGCTAATGCTGTTTTTCTGGATCTCCCTGCTCCCTGGCAAGCACTCAAGCACCTGGTCAGGGAGCCTGCTGATGGAAAGGAGTCACCACTGGATCCCACTTCACCGGTACATATATGTACCTTTTCACCTTGTCTAGAACAGGCACAGCAGACTATCAGCACTCTTCGACAGTACTCGTGGCTGTCAATATCCATGGTTGAAGTTGTGCATAGGCAGATAGAAGTTCGAAGAGAACGATATGGGGTAGAATCATGCCACAAGAATGCCTCAGCGCCGGATCCCAAGACTGTAGAACAGGCAATTGGCCGGTTGAGGACTCACGAGGAGCGCGCAAAGGCGTTCCGTGAGAAGCAGATCAGAAACGCTGCAGAGTTCGCCAGCAAGAAGGCTGCACAAGCTGAAGGCAACGAGGACGAGGAGAATGGCGCCAAACCAGAGAACACGGAAACCATATCAGCATCAGTCAAAGAGGATAGCCCTGCAGAGTCAAGACCTGCAAGGGCTGAAAGGACGTGGCAGCCAAAGCCCTCAGTTCCGCAGTACAAGCAGGGAACGCTTATTCACCGTTCCGAGCCTGAGCTTAAGACACATACATCATACCTAGTATTTGCGATTCTCCCCTGCGCCTGGTCAGAGGAAGATGAGAAACGCTGCAGAGAGAAATGGCCGTCAAAGATCACTCCCACAGAGAGCAATGGCAATGGCCCTATAAAGAGCAAAAGACAGCTAAAGCGGGAAGCCATAGAGCAATTCAAAGCCCAGGCTGCTGACGCTTTGTAGATGTTGATATAATATAGAAATGCACCAATTCAACGAAGTATGTAAATCCACCACTTCTGCATATCCCTCTGGATGCTGATAGCACGATAACCCCAGGGAGGGCAATGCCCCAATTCCTATCCCGCTATGATGGGAGTAATCTCACACACAGAATGCTGAAGGATTTCCCTCTTTCAGGGGCAGATGCAGTGAGAACTCATGTACCCTGGACGGAGTACACTCAGCTGACTACGAGAGGTTAACCAGGTTTGGCCTCCGACTCAGCCAGCTCGACCAGGGGGTAGAAAACGCCAAATCCATCTTGATCTGTGCGGAATCTTGTTGATCAACGTATAGCATATTCTCACGGCTGTTCCGTATATCTAATCCACTGTAGAAGGATAGCTAAACGGAGCTCTATTCCCAGTCTGGCTCGCCGAACATATCCCAGCAGTGTGAACCACGTTTGCCAGAACCCGAACCAATCGCCCCCAATTGAATACCTTACCCGGTTCTTGGGATAACTAAGGTTGGCAATAATAAGTAAAGACAGCTATCATCCTGGGCCTGCCTTTCCTATGATACTGATATCTCTGACCGCTATATCCGCTCTATGAAAGACCTCTCCAACGTTGGTCCTGAACTGCTGGCTGATAGTGTCAGGCATTTCCCAAAATTTGCGCCGCCATGGTCGGCAACGATGAACGAGGAGAGTCTGCTCAGAGGAAATTATTGCCTGGGAGTGCAAGACCTGCTGCATACGGAACCTTGACAGATGTGGCTGCTGATGAGCAAGAAGCCCTAGCATCCCAACTGCGAGTGGAAGATGTGAAGCTGTCCTTCTTCAGCATCTTTAGCTATGCAACTTGGCCGGAAACTGCCCTTATCGCCATATGCACTGTATGCGCGATTGTTGCGGGTGGCTTGGTGCCATTTACACCGGTAATTCGCACTGCTTCCTCCATTGATTGCAAAGTATATAAGCTAACGGTATACTTCGATTATATAGCTTATCAGTTCGCGGATTATCCTCGCCTTTGCCAGGGCTGAGTCTAACGGCTACAGTGTGAAACCACTGTTGGACAAGTATGTGGTATACTATGTTTATATCCTTATCACAGCCCTGGTAACATGGTTTGTCTCGACGGCTGGCTTCAACTTCGTGGGAGCTAGAGTTGCACACCGAATCAAAATGCACTACCTTGCAGCAGTCTTGAAGCAAAATATGGCGCTTTTCGACGACAATGGATCTGGTGATATCCTTTCCCATCTCACGGACGACACGAAGGCAATACAAAACGCAATATCCTCCAAGCTGTCACAGACCATCAGCGTCTTTGGCACATTCATCACTACTATTGTGGTGTGTTTCATTCTTGATTGGGTCTTGATGCTTGAAATGATTTGGTCTTTTGCACTGGGCTATGGAGTCCTCTACTTTGGTGGCAAGTTAACCGTTCTATACAGCGGTCGCAGCATCGAGGCGTCGTCGGCCGGATCAGCTGTGGTCGAAGAGGCCCTCGGCTCTATCAAAACGGCAACCTCTTTAGGCATGCAGCCATATATTCACGCAAAATACATGAACTTTTTAGCGCAAGCGGCCAAGCACGGTTTCGTTCTCTCTTCACTCAACCAACTCCTTCTCACCATCTGCATCGCAAGCGGCTATTTCAATGTTGCGTTAGCATTTTGGCAAGGTTCAATTCGACTTACAGAAGGAAAAACGTCTTTTACTTCAATTGTAGCCATCTCAATGATATCCAAGTCTGCTGCCTTCTGCGTATTGGGTGTTGGATCAAATTTGGAAGCATTTGCTGCAGCTACAGCTGGAGCCGGCCGCCTTGCAAGGATCATTCAACGCGTGTCATCAATAGATTCATCTTCGGACCACGGGTATATACCAGAGCGCTTTGACAGCACTTTAGAGCTTCGTAAAGTGAGGCACATCTATCCATGCCGGCCAAACGTCGTCACATTGAAAGACGTGAGCATCAAGTTTCCAATGGGACAAATTACAGCGGTTGTAGGGCACTCCGGATCCGGGAAAAGCTCTATCTCAAATCTTCTCTTACGCTTCTATGATCCCCTGGCGGGGCGTATCCTCTTGGATGGAACAGACCTGTCACATTACCAGCTTCGTTGGCTCCGTCAACAGATCGCAGTCGTGAAGCAGGAGTCGTTCATGTTTAATCGGTCCATCTTCGAGAACATTGCCTGTGGATTTACCGGGCCTCGGTGGGAAACAGCCTCTTCGCCTGAACGGGAACGAGCCGTATATAAAGCTGCCGATATAGCTCAGGCAAGTGAATTCATTGACCAGCTGCCTCAGGGATACGACACAGTCGTAGGTACACGTGGCTCGAGACTCTCTGGAGGCCAGCTCCAAAGGATCGCTATTGCTCGAGCTTTGGTTAGAGATCCTCGGATTCTTATCCTAGACGAGGCGACTTCAGCCCTGGATAGCGAGACAGAAGCCAAGCTGTTATCGACCATGGCAGGAAAAGACAGCAAGAGGACCACCATAGTTATTGCCCATCGCCTCTCCACAATCCGCAATTCGGATAATATCATTGTTCTCAACGCAGGCCGGGTCATCGAGAGCGGAAAGCACGATGACTTGCTAGCTGCCAAATCCTTTTATTATGACCTGGTGCAGGCACAGGATATAGGGAATAAAAATCGGACGTCTACATCAATGATTCCTGAGACAGCCAATGTTACCCCTACTCATGAAAGGGACGAAAGTCCACCTGCCACTGAAGTGGTTCACAAAGTTATGGCAGGTGATAACGATGCAAAATCAAGATTTTCGTCTTCGCTCTGGTCCATGATCTTATTTATTTTCAGGCTCAACGAGGGGGAATCGCATTGGCTCATTATAGGACTTATCTGCTGCATCGCCGTGGGGTTTGAAGAACCGGCATCTGCGGTTCTTTTTGGTAAAGCTATCACGTCCATCTCCCAACCCCTAGACCACGCAGACAAGATCCTATCTAATGCAAGTTTTTATGCATGGATGTTCTTTGCTCTGGCGGTTGTGATGTTGATAGGGTTCGCCGTTCAAGGGGTTACTTTTGCCTTCAGTTCAGAGCATCTCACGAAACGAGTTCGGTCTCTCGCGCTCAGCCAATACTTGAGAATGGACATATCCTTCTTTGATAAGAAAGAAAATTCTACGGCAGCCCTTTCTGGGTTCCTCTCCAACTCTACCAGTAACCTGACAGGATTGAGTGGCAGCGCTCTGGGCGCCATCCTTATCTGTATCTCTTCGCTTGTTTCTGGAATCATTGTTGGATTTGCACTTGGATGGAAGCTAGCGCTTGTGTGTTTCGCGGTGGTCCCCTTGATGATAGGAGGCGGGTATTTTGGCATTATACTTGTTGGAGACTTTGAGAGAAACAATGAGGTCTTTGCCAATAGAGCTGCTGAATTTGCTGGAGAGACGCTCAATGGTATCCAGACTATCGCTGCTCTAACCCGGGAGAAGGTTGCACTGGCAGAGTTTGAGGCAATTCTCAACAGCACTAAAAAGGATGCTCTAGGAGCAAATCTCAAAGCGTCCTTCATGTACGCCTTAACCCAATCAGCTTACTATGCCTGCATGGCTCTCAGCTTCTGGTATGGCGGTCAGCTCATCCTTAGTGGAGAGTATACCCTTTTCCAATCGATCGCCGTCCAGTCTGCGATGCTTATGAGTGCCATCTCTGCGGGTTTGGTATTCTCCTGGACTCCGAATATCGGCCAGGCAAAGCAAGCTGCCGCATCTCTGCAGCGCTTGTTGACACAAAAATCGCCTATAGACCCATCATCCCCTTACGGAGAGAAACTGACCCCAATGCGCGGTGACATCGCCTTTGACTCTGTTAGCTTCTCATATCCTTCACGCCCAAATCACCGCGCCCTAGACCAAGTGAGCTTCAATATCCCAGCAGGAGCAAACGTGGCCTTTGTCGGCGCCACTGGTTCCGGCAAGAGTACTATTATCTCATTGATCGAGCGCTTCTATGACCCTATTGATGGAACAGTGTTTGTTGACTCCAAGCCCATCCGGTCTCTCTGCCTGTCAGAGTACCGCAGTCGCATAGGGCTGGTTAGCCAAGAGCCTAACCTCTTTAGCGGTACACTGAAGATGAACCTGATCCTTGGACTAGGTGAAAATGAAAAGCCAACAGATGAAGAAATATATAATGCCTGTCGTGAAGCTAATATCCACGACTTCATCATCAGTCTTCCGTGAGTTTCTAGCCTCAATCTTCACCTTTATTTTATGGATCTAACAATTAACTATTTTCCAGTGACGGCTACAACACAGAAGTAGGCAGCAAAGGCAACCAACTTAGTGTTGGCCAGAAGCAGCGTGTCGTTCTTGCTCGAGCTATCCTTCGCCGACCCAGGATCTTGCTACTGGACGAAGCCACGTCTGCCTTAGATTCACAGTCAGAAGCAAGCATTCAACAGGCTCTTGATAAAGCTAAACAGGGGCGTACGACGATCACTGTTGCTCACCGACTGAGCACCGTCGTCAACGCAGACCGGATCTATGTTATGAGTGATGGCCGCATCGTCGAAGCCGGGACCCACACACAACTGATATCCCTTGGGGGCGTATATCAAAGGCTTTACCTAGCTAGCAAGAGCGGACAGGCCCTTTAGAGCCTATGTATAGTACGCATGTCTGATAATATGAGATATCATTCTCTATAATCGTACTGGAAGTCTGTATGAAAGGACCAAGAAGGGAGACCTGGCCTGTGCGCGGTATAATTAAGTATTAAAGTATCTCCGTTCCGCCAGCCTCCCCCGGGCGGCCGCCCCCGTCCAATAGGTCCCGATTTAGAACTGTGTAAGTGACGACATCACAACGACTCCTGCTTCTCTGTCTATTTCTCATGCGGACACCGTGAGATCGTCAAGCATCATGAGCCCTCACACCGCAAAATTTTACGCCGAGAATAAGCTAGGGAACACATCCGCCTCTACCGTTATGAAAATACACCTCCGGGGATGTTCCGGGTGCGACTCTGCGGGTTTTGTTTTAGGGTTCCATAGTGCACCAAAGCCTACGCAACCCTTCCAATCGACTGTCAAGAAAGGGCGAACAACAAGCTGACTGAGATATTACGTTGGACAGGAGAAATCCCGCTTCTGCTCTTAATGTCTCTGGATCCTCCCGCAACTCTGACGAATAACCCGAGGCTTTGATGTGGATGACACCGAAAACATCCCTGAAAGTCGGAAGAATGCGTCTCAGGACGATAACTGGGATTAATATATAAGCTCCATTGGTTTAATCCCTTTGGATGGCAAATATTGAAACAGTTTGGGCTTTTTCACGTCATTTTTCTGCTTTCACTCGTCGAACATGGCTCCCCGAGTGTGGTTTATCACCGGTTGCTCGTCCGGCTTCGGATGGGAGATGACCCTCGAAGCCCTGAGACGAGGCGATAAAGTGATTGCGACTGCTAGGAAACTTGAAAGGATTGGCAAGTTAAAGGATGCTGGCGCTGATGTCTTTGGACTCGATGTCACGAGTAGTCTTGACGATATCAGACGTCTTGTCTGGGAGGCCTACAACATCTATGGACGTATTGATATTCTTGTCAATAATGCTGGCTACATCCAACAAGGCGCTTTGGAGGAAGTAAGGTAGGATATCTCCTGCCATCCACCTCCAATTTCTGGGAATGTTTACCCCTAACATTCTCACAACAGTCCGGAGGAAACTTACGCCCTCTTCAACACGAATGTGTTTGGGCCGTTGAACGTTATCCGTGCGATCCTGCCCTATATGCGATCGCAGCATTCCGGTGTCATTGCCAATACGTCCAGCGCTGGATCTTGGACGAATACTGCCGGAGGAGGACTATACTCTGCGACAAAGAAGGCCCTCTCGGGAGCTACAGAGACACTTCGTGTAGAATTAGAACCATTTGGGATTTCTGTCACCTCCCTTGAGCCTGGTGATTTCCGGTCAAATCTACTGGCTGCAGGCCATCGATTTGCTGCACTACATCCCATTCCAGATTACGACAACACTCCTACCAGAGCAGCAATCGAAGAAAGCAATAGCCAAGATCATAAACAACCCGGAGATCTGGTAAAAGGTAGCAAGATTATTGTTGACATTCTCACGCAGACTGGCTGTGCCGCTGGCCGGAAGATTCCAGTCCGAGTTGCTCTGGGTGCAGAAGCTTGCGAGCTGATGCGGGATAAGTGCAAGGATACTCTTGCTCTTTTAGAAGAGTGGAAAGACGTCGTTAGCGATACCAATCACGACGATGTCACACCCACTCCATGAACCCGTTCTCTTAATTCTGTTTATATATCTTTTCTACTTGTTTCTCCCTCGGGTGAGCTCGCCACGGAACCTTGGGAAGAAACAGAGTCACGTGAATATGACGTCGACATTTTGACGTTTTCCATGGAAAGACATTATTTTTTTTTATTCATTGCAAACCTGCTTGTCATGGATCCAGCTCTTTAACAGATCAAAAGCCAGAAAATAAAAGCCATTTCATACATTGGAGATAGCAGTATCTGTGATTCTGTTTTCGCCGAGCACTTTCGTCATCTGGTTTTGTTTGCCTAACTACCCTAGCTTTGAGGGTAGATATGCTTCCTCTCAACTCTGCAACGAGCATCGAAGCATTGAGCGGGATTTGCGGGTAGGTTATGATGGCTAATTTCCTTGCCTTATATTTGACATGCTATACTTGGCGTATAGAGCTAGGCTTGGGGCTTGCTGGGAGGACTTAACCTTATGTGCTGATGTATTTGATAGATCCATATCAATAGCTTGCTGGGTGGTTGTATTTTCTCCTCAGATAATTGAAAACTTCCGACGGAATTCCGCTGATGGACTTTCTCTGGAATTCCTTATCGTTTGGCTTGCCGGGGATGTCTTCAATATTATTGGAGCCGTTATGCAAGGTGTTCTGCCTACTATGATCATACTGGCAGTATACTACACTATTGCAGACATTGTCTTGCTTGGTCAATGTTTCTATTACCGTGGACTCGGTGGATCAGAAAGTACCAAATCTCCAGAGCCGGAAGCTGGAAGAGCCAGCTCGTCATCTGAAACTGCAACACAAACGGTACCATCATCCGAGCGAACGCCCTTACTACACAACAGACCAGGAGGCGAACATAACGGCTCAAATGATGGCAGACCGGCCACTAAGCAGCGACGGGAATCTCTTACTTCAGTCGCCTCTTTGCGAAACCACCTTACAGCTGTCGACGGAACCCATCTTTCCCCAACAGTGCCTCTCAGGAAAGAAGTCGCCGATACTCCCCCACGACCGTCGTCAACGTTTCAGATAATAGCCTTCAACACATTCAGCATCACTCTCGTTTGCGCCGCTGGAATTCTAGGGTGGTATGTTAGTGCCACTTCAAGGAAAAGACACCACAAGGGGGACGATATTCCAAAATCAGATGGCACGCTCCAATTTGATATTACGGGTCAAGTGTTTGGATATCTTTGTGCTTTGTTCTATCTTGCCAGCAGAATCCCTCAACTCTTGCTGAATTGGCGCCGGAAGAGCACTGAAGGAGTATCTCTACTCTTCTTCCTATTTGCATGCATTGGCAATCTGACTTATGTCCTCTCTATCTTTGCATACTCGCCGGTTTGCCAAGGTAAAGATGGCAGGTGTCTACCAGGAGAACGACAAAGTATATATGGGCGGTATATGGCTGTTAATGCTTCATGGTTATTGGGAAGCTTGGGTACTTTGTTCATGGACCTGGCTATATTTTCTCAGTTTATTATGTATCGAAGTAAGGATGAATGTAACAACAACTAGAGAGTAATTGGCCGATGCGTTTTATATAGACTCCATTTTTACTTGATCCTCACTAGTTAATATCTAGCCAAAATAAAAAGGGCCTGCACGCTAAGATATAGCGAGACATTAACTACATGTCTTCACTTAATTAGGGTTGAGTTCGTTATTCATCTGGAAGCGAATGATGTAACCGCATATACTATTATCTGGTGATAAAATAGATAAATACATATTGATATAAGAATGCAGTACCCCATGTCAACAAACAATAAAACTTGATTTCGCTTTGTTATCAGGGTTGCCGTAACTCGTACTCGTAAATTATCGTATAGCCATGAACTGGTGTTTTGTTTTACCAGCTGAATAGTTAGCATCCCCCGGAAACGTATCTTTTGGTCAATAACTAGTCATCAGATGGTGGATGCTCCTTGACTCTGCCTTTTCCAACTTCACTCCAATTGGTATTCAACGCAGTTCCATTACTCTCGTAGAAGCTCTTAGTCATTGCACGTCGGGTATCTGGATCGGAGTTGGCATATAATTTCTTGAAGAATGAATCCACGGCGTCACCAGACCCGTAATCCGATAAATCCGAGTCAGGGTCATCTTCCTTGTCATCTCCCTTTGAATCATCTCCTTTCTCGCTTTTCTTCGCTTTCTTCTCTTTTTTCTGGATGTTTGATACGACTTTATCCCAATCCTTGGGCCCTGACTTGGAAGATGTTGGGTATGCAGGAGCCTTGTCAGTTTTGATGGGCTGGTTTGCTTGGTTAGAGGCATCCTTCAAAGCCGTAGCTCCTGAAGATATCTTCTCTTCTTGCTGACCGGTGCCTTCTAAGGTCGCCCACTTTCTACCGGCTGATTGTTTGCGTAAAGTAACCTCGACTTTGGTAGACATTATATTGAATTTTGAAGAGGATGGATCGACTGGAGCGAACAGAGGATCTAGAACAAAAGAGAATTCAGATCCTGAAGGAAGAGGGAAGGTAATGGAAAACTAGAGGCAGTTAGTCACGCATACTCAAAGCTTTGGGGGGGGCATAGGTCATTGAATTCTAACCGAAGTTTCTTGAATGTCGACGTCTGCTTTGTCCTTGGGGACTCCTTTCGCATATATGGTAATTACCACACTGTCGTTAGACTGATACCACTCATGCCTTGTCCTACTTGGGGTATTAGATGGAAGAGGTGTGGGAGGAGGGTTCGCTGTCGATGAAGCAGGATTGGCCTCCGCGGCTGTATCCTTCTTTTCCTGGGTAGTAGATAATCCACTCGAGTTTAGAGCAGCCGAGGCACTTCCATTCTCGAGCTGTGCACGGTATATCGCTTTCAACTCATCCTGAGTCGGTACTTTGATGTCTGGGATCTCCTTAACCACAACCTTGGTCTTTTCATCCGAAGATTCGAGTTTAGCCATCTGTGATTTGACTTTCATTTCCCATATTTGGAGCTGTTGTCTGGTCTTCTTATCTTGAGAGGCTGTTGGATTTTCATGACTAGCTAAGGCAGCTCTGATATCGCCCTTTTTGCTATCATCCTCCTGTCCCACTTTCGCGCGCACCACCTGGAAAATAAGATGTGCGTCGCCGTACCGTTCACTTTGATAGAGAACGATACCTCGCCTCATTTGTCCGGCAATGATTTGTTCCCGTCTGGCTCGCTGGATGCCGAGAGCAACCGCCATATCAGCATCATGCAAAGCTTCCTGTAGCTTAGGGCCGCCATCTTCAGGCTTTACTCGCGAATATGCAGTTGACCGCTTGATATAATAGTCTGTGGCATGAGGGTTAACAGTCAAGGCCTTGGTATAGTATTTAATTGCGGCAGGAAAGTCAGAGTTATCCAAAGCCTTGGCTCCCCTTTGAGCGTCATCCATCCTGAAGGAACGGTGATTTGATCAGTGTAGGCTTGTTGTTGTTAGTCGACCAGCGCTACGTAGATACCAGTAGGTTGTTTTGGTTTGGATTTGATGGAAGCTTAGCGAAAGCTCGAGATCAATTGCTATCTTCACGTGACCTTGTTCAGGCCCCGGCCCCGGCTGGGATTTGGTGGTTTAGGTTGGTAGGTAACAACTGTGTAGAAGAAAAGGAGGATAGTAGGACATGATTAAAATTTAGAATGGAATGCTCCCTACGAGACGTTATTAAGATTGTTATATATTGAAACCCAGTCCCCCTTTTGTTGCCTGTCCCATTCACATTGATTGAAATATCGTTTGCGGCAGCGTATCTAGACGATCGCTTCATTGCCGAATTTCTTTGCGTAAAGGCCGAGAGCCCGGATGGGCCAGTAATACTTGTAGTTGGGATATGTGATCATGCTGATATATGTTAGTAATGTTGAAGTATAAATAGTGAAGACAAAAAGTATTAAGAGCTTACCAGGACATGTTGAAAACTCCTTCAATGCCATCCTGCAACCATTCGCCATTCGGCTGCTGTCGAGACATGAGAAGTTTCATAGCACGTTGCAAAGGCTCTTTGTGGGGGTAATTTGCTTCCATCAACGCGAGACAGGCCCAGGACGTCTGGACGACCTGAGAGGTATGGTAATGGTGATAGACTTTCTTCGAGCAGCTGAGGTACGATTCACCCCAACCACCATCTTCCATCTGCTTGGACAGAAGGAACTCACAGCCGCGGCGGGATCGCTCACTAGTAGCGTAAATTTCACCCACGGTAGCCAAACTTTCCAGACTGAACATGGCGGCGTATGTGAAGCAAATGCCCCAGCTTCCATACCAACTACCGTCAGGGCGTTGTACACGTCGAATATAGTCTATAGCAGCTTCACGGACTTTCTTGATGTCTTCTGTTCTATAGTCCGGGAAGAACTTGCTAAAGTAGGACAATGCCGTAACGACTGCAGTGGTACATTCTGGGAAAGTGTATCCAATCATTATACCGCCGAATACCTCCGCAGCATTGAGCATCTCGACGTATTCCGAGGCCCTGGCCGGTTCATACTCCGGAAACCCGCCACTTGGGTTAGGCATTTTGAGGAGAGTGTCCACGGCGTACTTGAGGCGTTCGTCAGATATGAGAGCTGGGTAACCAAGTTGTTTTTGCAATTGAAGAGCAGACCGTAGCCCTTCTGCGGTGCAGTCACTAACGGTGTATCCCTGAGTCTTAGTACTGAAGGGCCATCCCCCCTTCGTCTCGAACCGATAGCAATCCTTTTCCTCGCGAATGGTTTCAAGCATCTGATGGTCCTCAACGAATTCAAGGGCCTTTACCAACATTGGCTTCCATTTAGGGTCCTCCGCAAGACCTGCAACAACTACGGCCTGAATCACGAAAGCAGTGTCCCAGAGCTGAACACCGTTTGTGCCGTTCATTAACATTCCCTCATCTTTCATCCAGAGGAAGTCATGTAAACGTTCCAGGTGGCGATTGAAAGACTTGCTCTGGGGCCCATCATGGATGTAACAGCAGAGGGTGTTCATGGGAGCATTGACAGGTCCAAGACATGCATAATCGGTGTTCTCGTCCTCTCGTTGAATCAGGTGCCAAACTCTGGCCTCTGCTGCCTTGACAAGGCCTGGCCAGCGCAGGTAGACCCATATGTTAGCAAGGATCCAGAAGAGAATCTTCAAAAGTGCAGATTTAGGGTGATAGTTGTCAGCATCAGCAATGCAACCTCTGTAAGAGGCGAAATTAATAGAACCGTAGGGTTGGGTATATATTTCTTCCCGTATTTCTCGCGTAAGAGAGTCGGCTGGGTGGCTAAACCGTTTAGAGTAGACATAAGTCATTGGGAGAAAGACCTGTCGCATATGAACCCACCACCGCCATGGAGCAAACGGCACCCAGTCAGGAAGTAGCCTATATGAATTTGTTGTGACCGGTTAGAGCGATGTATACTCCACCAAGGAGGAAGAGAGAGTGCCCACTCACCATAACTCAGGAGGCACTGGATTGAGAGCGTCCCATCCCATGACTCCGAGGACACAGAGCCAGAACTTGGCCCAGTGAGGCCCATACAGAGCACCACCCAACTCATGCAGCTTGTTCCGCGCCTTCACCATTCGAGGATCCTTAGGACTGGCCCCCAGCAGCCGCAAGGCAACATAATTCATGGCAGTGCCAAACACAGAGCTGTGGCCTTCGACGTGAAGGCCCCACCCCCCATCTTCCGGATGCTGTCTGGCAAAGAGATACCTCTTGATCTCGATAGAGAATTCAGGTGGTACCGGGGTGCGTGTCACATACCAAGTGACAATTAGACCGGGTAGGAGGAACATGGGTCCACCATACTCGCAGGCCCAGTTCCCCGGTTCCAATTGAAGTTTAGAGAAGAAATCCAAACCATTGGAAGCGGACTGCAGGGGAGTTTTGGCAGGCGGGAGCTCCGGGAGGTCCTAGAGTACATGGAAGCTGGGTTAGCTCCAGTTACACAGGGGGGTAAAACGTAAACAACAAGCAAGCTGCCAGGGCGGGCCTGAAGGGGAGAAGAGGGGAGCTCCAACCAGAGGCTGACCCAGGAAATACTTGTCTGTTATAGTCTGCGGCCATTCTTCGACTTCCTTGTCTGTCCGTAGATAGTGCCATGTCTGGGTTCCACGGTCATTGCGGAGCCTCCATCGCGAGTGGTCGGTAGTCTGATCCGCGGCGGCCTTCGACATGCTGCGCTCACTCTCCGTTTTCTCTGTTGCTCCGCCCCTGCTAACTGCGTCCCACTGCTGGTCCTCCTATTATCCTCGATTCAGCAGTATTATATGCTATATTGTTCCCCAATCTCGGATTGTTTACTGCTGTTCCTGGCCATCTATATAAACAATTGAATGTTGCTATTTCAGAGGTCAAGAAAAAGTGTTCATCACGTGAAAATAAGGTTCGTGGGGGCGGCGGATCTGTTGTTCCGCGGGTCATGTGACCGCCTTTTTCGCTTTCTGTTTTCTTACTTCAAACCTCCGAAACGTCCTTGTATGTCCTCCTACTTTGACCGCGAACAGGACACCCTCCGCTGCATGAAACGGCCGTCAGAAGCCCCGGTGCCCTGCTGGCAAGTTTGTCTACTGCATTCGCATCTCTGGTCGACTTTTCTGCCCCTTTTCTTACATATCACATCGCTCCCGACAGCCGGCTCCCACCAATCCAGAACTATACAACTCTAAAAGGAGCCTGGTTTGTTCTACATACCTTCACCTGGACTTTGACAGCAACGACATGCGGAAGACCACAGATATTCTGTAAAAACCACTCTGTTATCATACGAGAGTGTCTCTGAGCTGACATTTGCGCTCGCTTCACCCCCCTGTTTTCTCTTTGCCCCCTTTCCTTTGTGCTTGCCTTCTATTCCTTGTCTTGTGTGATCTGTCTCTTCCGCTTGGCAGCACCGCACAAATGTCTTCAAATTCTACCTCAAACGGGCCCGGCAGGTGGCGAGGGGGGTTTAGAGGTACTCGTCGTGGTGGCCGCAGTGTTCGAGGACGCAGCGGCGCCGGCCGGGGTGGTGGCAGGCAGCTGGTGGCTGACCGTGACCTCTCACCAAAGGCAGGCGCTGTTGTTCAGCGGTTTCGACAGCGTCAAAAGGATCTCAGCCAGATATTCCGCAAAGTTGCTGCTGTGCAGAAATCAGCCGTTTTAGCATTGGCCAGCCGCTCAGAGGCTTTATTGATCAAAGACCCAAAGGCGCACATGGCGTCCAGCCTCTATAACGAGGTACTCCAAGGGCTTGAAAAGAAACTTCGCAAGGCGGAAGACTTGATTGAAAAAGAATACAGTTACCGTGAGCGGAACTTAGATGTCTGGCGAGAGACCGAGGAGTTCCGGATCAAGACTCATTTCGAAAACAAAATCGACAATGTGATGAATGAACACATCATTGCTGCCCAAGGCTCGTTCATGGAAGCTTCAGAAAAGTCACGCATTGCCGCAGATGAAGACCACACAGAAACCGAAGAATCAGCTTCTGAGCCGCGGACACCAGTTAGCCCCCGGTTTGCTCGTGGGTTTGATAGCTCCTTTGTCCGGGATCCAGAAGGTGCTGCCTTGTATGAGCGTGTGGAGAATGGGTGGGAAGACCTAGCCCAACGTACCAAGATAGGAGAAGAAATATGGCCACGGATTGTGGCCATGAGCCAGGAAGCTGAGCTGCCAGCGCCGCAGGACGGTGATGGCATCAACGGGCGTTTCACCAATCCACGTTTCTCCCGCTTAATGGGTGCACTGGTTGAAGCTTGTGATATCGCAGAAGGGAAGAAACCCAAGATTGAAGAAGTCGAAGAACCAAATCCCTTAGATGCCTTGGCCAATGCTGCGTTGGATCGAGGTGAGGTGAAAAGGCAGCCACCTGAACCATCGCCTAAAATACAACAACTTCCACCAACTTCTGCTCTGCTTCAACCTCCACCAAATTTACAGGCGCCATCACAGCCTGAGCAACAGGTCCAACAACCACAACCACAATATGGCCAGATGCGTCATGAGCCTCATAGACCACTCCTCCCACAACCTCTCGCACCTCCACTGTACCCTCCGTCTACGGACATGCGAAGATACTCTGCACCCCAATTCGCTGGTCCACCACCACCTCACCTCCACCCTCCGTTCCAGAATCACCCTCATGTCCATCCTGAAGGGCCTCCACAGCAGCAATTACCCCCGGTAGCAACAAGGTCGCAGTCCCAAGTGCTCCCTCACCTCAGTGAACATCTACGTCTACCTAACATATTCCCTCCGAGGACTCAACATCTACCTCCCTTGCAAGAAATGGGTTACCATCGCCCCAGCCTCCCTCCGCCTCCGTATCAGGCACCTCCTCCACCACATCAACCACCACCACCAAATATGCAGCCTCCCGCTCACGGGATGCCCATGGTCTACCCTCATCACCCGCAGAATGTTTACCCTCACCTTCAGTATTTACCTCCACCGCCAAATATGCAATATCATCCACACCCACCACCACCACCTCCTCCGCCTCCGCCTTCTCATCAACCGTTGCATCTACCTCCAGGTGCCCATGGACCCCAGGGATATCACCACCACCATCACCAGGCCTATCAACAACCGCCTCCACACCAACCTCGGTATTAGCTTGCTGTGAATGACATGACATGAAGTTAGCTCGGCTCAAAACCAGTTTTGTACAGGAACCAGGGCCTCTTTGTGTAGTATATGAAGGTTTTTTTTAATACGGTTGCAGTTTTTTTTATTTCGCTTTGCATGTCTGTATGATATTTTCCTTTAGCGATTTGAACCGGGTGTGGTTTGGTTCTCTGTTCTACCTGATTTCTCTAATTCTGATTTGTGTACAGTCGGAAAGCTGTCCTTAGAAGTTCGTTTAATAATCCTTTACCGACTCCTTATTTAATTCCGTAATAATTCACCTGATGCCCCGAGAAATAGCAAATTAGTTTCCTCCGTTCCATATCCACCTAAATCAATTTCCCTTCCATGACCCTAAACTCCGAATGCCGTCCAAATTCTTAAATCCTAGTAGGGTATTCAATCAATTCATGCATGTTCCGTGGCCAACCAAAGCCAATATTCGCAATGCCAAAAATGTATCCAGTCCAATCAAAAATCAGGGAACCGACCTTCCATGATGTCGATGATTCGTTGGCGCTCTTCGACACGGAAAGGAACTTTCTGCGTAGCCAACAACGCCTCCAGCACACGATCATGTTTCTTCACAGCCGCAAGATTCAACGGCATCCAGCCATCTGGTGTCTGTTCCCAGGGGTCAGCACCATGCTGAAGGAGCAGTTGCGCAACTTCGTAGCTACCATGGTTCGCGGCCAGATGTAAAGGAGTAAGGTCTCGCTTGTCTGTAGCCAAGATATCGGCACCAGCCTCAATGAGCTTTTCAGCTATGGCATGGCAGTTGTACTGTGCAGCTATATGAAGAGCCGTCTGTCCTTCGTTGTCCTTCACAGAGACATCTGCTCCGTAGGTAATGTGTAATTTGGCAGTAGCATGCCTGCGGTTGAAGGTAGCCAAATGAAGTGCCGTCATGCCAGTGTCGAGCTTCTTCGAAGGATCCGCGCCTTTCTCCAACAAGAGTCTAGAGATAACTGGTCGTTCAAACTTGGATATGTTGAATAAAGCTCGCGTCAAGTCGTCCTTGATGATGCGTTTCCCGCCAGCCTCGATGATGAGGCTGATCATCCTCATGGTTGCTTGCTGGGAGCCAGCTGCCGATCTCAACGCTGGAGCAAAAACAGCTCGTTCGAGGGGGCATCTATCGCCTAGGTCCAGCATCGTTTTGATATAGAAGTAATTGGCATGTTGAGCAGCTGAAGCAAAGACATGAGTCATGTCAGGGAGCCGAATACCATCACGTAAGTCCAACAGTTCCTCGTCCATTTCGCCGGTAGGTTTCCTCATGGCAGTATAGTATGCCATAACCGGCATTACAAACTTTCCCCCTGAATTCATCAGCGTTCTCACCATGTCGATATCTTCGTTCCTCACCGCAGAGAATATGGCTCTAGCAAGGCATTCGGATTCATCCTTCATACCAATATCAAGCAGAATTCTAGCAGCCTCAGTGTGTCCTTCCTCGGTAACGGCCAGGAGTGCTCTGGCTTTGGCAAAGTCTCGCATTGGAAATGCAAAGAGCATATACACAATTGCCCAACACTCATTCCGGGCCGCGGTGTAAAGATGAACTGACAGATCCTCATCCTCGGACACATATCGGTTTCTCGCTTTATCAGTCATGTTGCAGGACTGCATGCCCACAAAGAAGTACTTGGCTGCCTTGTTCTTAGACTCTTCAGGGGCAACCGGAAGAATGATTAGTATCATCTCGGCCACATCGGCGTTAGAGTGCTGGCAGGCCATGTAGAGAGCCAGAAGAAGGGTCGAGTTTTTGATAGGCTCCTTTGCGCCGTCGAGTATTGCCTGGACCATCGAGTTGCGACCATTGTCTGCCGCCCATGCCAGGGCTGGGAGATTGTTTTTGACCTTAAACTCGGCTGCACCCGCATAGATTGTTTTCTGCAGCAGCAAAGCAAAGTGGTTGCACGTCTTCATTAGGTTGCTGATATTAGGGGTTGACAGGGACTCTGTAATAATAAGCAGCAGCTCATTTGGCAGGCTGAGCAGCTCCACTGGTGAAGACTTGTGAGAAGGCATTGCCTCAACTCCCTGTCAAGGGGCAAGGTAGTCGAAAGGATTTGTCTTTGAGTAGAGTAATGAACAATTATTAATGCCCTTAATTTCAAAGGGCGGCTGGTGTTTTGAATATTCAGCTTGCGTGTGATTCCATTTGGCCAAGAGTAACACTGCGCTGGTCTGCGGCATGCATTTTATATTGGATAAAGGGGTAGCTTCGGGAATCTTGTGGCCACAGAAAGATGTTCTAGGACACTGGAACATCCCCCCGCTCTCCAAGATAACGGAGGTATCATTGTAAACCGATCAGATTGCCAGTAGGTATAGTGGTATAGTCCAGCTTTAGTGGAGTTAGCTGATAACAAGGTCTGTTTACAGCCCAGCCGCGAGAAAGGTGCAGTCAGGGAATCTCCGCGATCTAGTTAGTTCTCTAAAAAAACCAAAAAAAATTATGAAATTTCACAACATGCACAGAAGATCTGGTGGTATTCACCCCTTTTGGGGGGCTTTGCTTTATTTATGTCTTTGGTATTCATTATAGTTGTTAGGTCTCGCATACAGAAACTGCAGCAAGGTTTGTTAATAATAAATGTCATTGATCAAACAAAACCTCCGCCAGGCCAAACCCTTGCTTCGAGTCCGGCAGTGGCCAGCTTTGTTCCTTGAAAGGTAGGATGAGAAGGTAGAGGGTAAAATTGTGGCAGTCGAAATCAGTAGAAACTCTCCACGATGGTCTCCTTGGTGGCTGTCCCAGCACCGCTTGCACCTTCGCCGAGTTTGAACACACCTTCCACAACACTGAGTTCGGTAGCGGTAGTATCTAGTCCAGTAATAGCTAGCCAGTCGTTAACGACCATGCCGGCACCAACGACGGCGGAACCGCGGTTAACACTGCCGGCAACAAGCGGTACTTGTAGGAGGGAGGAGAGTTCGTCTTGGTCTTGTATCGATGTCTTAGGATGGACAATACCGCCCTGATTTGACAAAGCCATGTAAGAGCCCGTTAGGACATTATCAGCAATAGTCTGACGGAATACTTCTACTCCGAGGACATCTGCTATTCTATAACAACGAGGGAAACAATGGTCAGTGGTGTCTAAAACGTAAACTTCCAACGGATAATCTCACATTTCTTCTGTTTCACGCTCTAAATCAGGGTGTACGAGAGCAACATGGTCGTTACAACATATAACGTTCCCCAAGGCGGAAAGTCTCTCTTCTGTTCTCTGGACCTTGACACTGTCCGGAATCGAGTTGCGTAGGTGTTGTAGTTCCTGGTCTGTGGTTGTGGTAGGCACTAGAAGGCCCTTTCGGTTTCTAAGGCACGGTTAGTACCGTTGGCCCTGTTTATGATCTGCGTTGGGATTTTGTCTGGCTTACCCAGCTGTCAAACGGCCCACGATCCTTGTTCCTGCTATCGAGGCATGGCAGATAGGTATGACATCCTGCAACTCAGATTCGAATATGCTATAAAAGTTCTCTGATCCTCCAATAGCAACTATGGCATAGGAATTCGTCAATGTCGCAAACACGCCCACACTATAATAATACACTACAGTTAGTATCGTGGTCCACAGAAGGAATGCACAAAAAAAATGGAAAGAAACAAACTGACTCGTTTGAGTTCTCAAATTGCGCTCGAACAGCCATGATGTGTTGATTAAGCTGAGATCCGGTGACTGTGGGTAAAGAAATGGTCGCGGAAGAAGGTATCGACTTGCTATCGAAGATCTTTTGATATTTGACGTTCAACAGAGCTCTTCCGGGGATGTGTTTGCTGCTATGTATGATATTCGATGGAGGGGAAAAAGAAAGCAGGCGGGGTGTGTGGCCAAGCGTGTGTCTTCTAAGCCAGCAGACAGCTAACTGGTTGAACCGGCTTCTCTTGTCAGTATACTCTAAAGATACTCTGGAGAAAAACAGACGGGTCAGGGGAGAAGAAGCGACAATAAATAGGTTGTTGAATTCGCAGCAAAAGAAGAAGACGAAGATCGATGAAAAAAGCCGAAGTTGCTTGTTAATTTTGCTGGTGGAGAGTGTGTGTGTGACGGGTATATTACGAGAAATACGCTATTTGGGTGGCAGATGACATCACATGTTGGTATTTGTTGCGTAATTACAGCCCTATGAGTCAAAAATACTCATCTTCACGAAAAAGTCGGAGACGGAAGAAGATGACAAGGCGACGAAGGCGAATAAACAAGGTGGAAAGGGACGATGAAAGATGCAGAGTGACTCATGGCAGAGAGGAGGGATGCCAGTGGCGCTGAACAGGCCAAGATGAGCCACATCAATGGTCTTGAATGTTGACCAGGAGACCGCCGTGGAGGGCGCATAGGAGACGGGAGGAATGCCCCCTGGGACTAGCTAACTACGTGGAGTAACATCGTCGTATAAGTGACTGATCAATATTCATACGGCTCAGAAGGTGTCTGGAAGGCGAGAGAGAGAGAGAGAGAGATTGAAGGCTGCGGCCATCAACAGTGGCAGGAGAAGTGAGCACTGAGCAGTGGTCAATATGGCGCCTTCTCTGGAATAACATGCAGAATCATGGTACGTTGAGTACAAATGTCGGCCTAGTTAGCTCTTCGAGAAGCCAATGGCAGTTGTTCCCTGGTGAAATCCTGGTCAAGATACGCCCAAGCAGCCCTTTGCTTTCAAGCCAGCCGGATACCACACAACTCGAAGCAGTATACAGTCCTGATTTCTCTTCCCTTACTATTACCAACTCTTACCATGGAGGATGGTGATTCTTCCTCTGATCAGCAGGGGTATCCCCCACCCTCCTACATGGACTATTTCATAGCTGGTTGTCGACGCATTAGACCCGGCAACGAAATCGACTGGGGAAAGGATCCTGAGGTTGAAAGGGATGAAGCCAAGTCCTTTGTCGAGAAGGCATATGATGACGGGGTTCCTCTGTTTACTAAAAACGCTCTTCGAGAAATCCAGAAGCAGTTGACAAGTGATTTACAAGCCGGCCAAAAGGTGTCGATAAAGGGTATCGACGGGGTGACTGGAATTTGACGTAAAGACCGGCGAGGTTGTGCTATCGGGAATCAACTCAGAATACGTTGCGTACGTTTTATCTCCCCTTCTCAATGAACAAAGTGACGTTGAATCTAAAATAAAAATTTAAAAAGAATGAGGCCCTCCGTATACTATAGGTCTCTAGCAGCCATTTTGGCGTGTCGATATGGCATTGATATGGGGTATTGCACCATGGGGATCCGGCATCCTGTCTTTTTACGGCACGACGTCACCAAGGAATTCATTAATATCAAGCCGACGAAGGACTATGATTCCGTGAAGAAGTCGTTTATGGATATTCAACGAAGATGGGAATGCAGTGATACCTGTCTACAGCTCCGAACAGCGCTGAAGGATATTACGCTGCCCCAGGATCTCATAGTCAATAAAATTGTTGCATTTGCATGCGGCTCAATTTCTGGTGACAGAAATAGCCCTTCGGGTGCCTACCGGGCTGCAAAGTTGAGAGAAACGTCCTTGTATCAACATGCGATGCTATGCACGCTACAAGATACCCTAAAAACGCGAAAAGGATGCCACGAGGTCCAATGCCTTGCACAGGATCCTATATACACTAGCGTCGACTCAAAGGTCTTAGGAGAGGCTGGAATTACCATTGTTGAGGATCCGGAAGGCTTCCTCCAGATTGACGATACGACTGTGGTGGTTTCGTTGTATCCCAATGCCCCTGTCAAGCAGGTAGTGGCGGACATTTCTCGTCCAGCTGTGATTATATGGGATGTCTTTACTCACGATGGTGATGGCTTGTAAGTTCTCGTAATGAATATATATTCTGGGCCTAATGCTGACGCTGCATAGAACGGATCCAGTATCCTCTCGTGTTGAGGCTTTCATGCAAGGCTTTTGCCAGGCATATAAGTTTCCGAGTGATGACGACAATATGATGGATTTAGCTCTTTTCACGAGGGTTGATATCTAGAGCATGGCCAGTTGGAGTTCTGCCCCAGGATTTTTTGGGGGTTACTCAAGGCAAGGTTCTGGAATTCTCAGATAACTATATGCCAAACAGTTTTCAAGTCACAGTGGTGACCGAGAAACCTACATGATTGGGAGCCCGGTTAACCCCTAGTTAGTTTAATAAATCCTCATGAGTCTCCAGCTATGTCTTGAAAAGATATCAGCTGAAAATCAGCCGTCGCAGCTACATCGCCATCACGCTTCAAAGCTTTTCTGATCAAGCTATATTCCTCTCTGCTGATTACTTTTCTATTTCCGCTCCGGCATATCCTGGGCGTCACTGTGATCTTCTTTGCACGATATCCGAGCAGCGTTAACCGCTTGGCATGTCCTTTCCTTCCGACGAACGCATTGCACGCCATTTTATACCGCCGACGCCGCTCCATAGACTGGAATTTCACCATGTGTGCGGACCATCATATCTTCCTATTTATATACACAATCGCTGCTTGGAGCAGGACTCAACGCCCAATCAATCGCCTTTGCTACCCCCAAGTAATGGTCTGGATGCTTATCCAGTCGTACAGAGTAAACTCGTGTCCAGAATTTCCCCATAACTTCAATAAGCTTACCTCGACGTGCCACAGACGCTAGTTAACTAAGTAAGAGTTTACGGGTGTCGAAAAGGGAAAAATTCACTGCGGATCGAATTCCTATCCTTGCCATGAGGCATCCAGCCTCTGTTTCCGAAGAATCGTCGCCATACCCTCAGATCTTATGCACAGGGGCAAGGCTGCAAATTTGAACAGGGGCAGCGTACGGGAGCATCCCACGCGTCAACTGAGCATTAGCTCCGGGGAGTTATAGGGGAAACCCCCAATCACTGGCATTTTCAACGTGGAATGGCTATTTCGATGCTGCATAAATCTAGAAACCTGGTCCCCAGATTGGTTGCTTCGATACGTGGAGTTATCGCCCCTTCGTGTTATATTAATTGGCTCTGCCCCCGGTGTAACTGCGGCCGACTGTCAAGCGCCAGGTATACGAACCACTGCTAGGATTCCGCACGATATCCGAGCCTATATTTTAAGACAACCTGAGAGGCTCGGTTCCCTGCACGATACTGCTTACACCTGTGCTTGCTTGCAAAATCCAGAAGAAGCTGGCTGCTCATGCATTTCAGCCCGCCCCACCGCATACGAAAGTGAGAAGAAAGGGGAAAAGAGAGAAGAGGGGGGAAGTCCAGGAGGAGGAGGAGCGGGAGCAGGATGAGGAGGATCGAGATCAAGTAGTGCAGGTCGTTGCTGGAGTGTATGGAGGAAAATGAGAGCTAAGTCGACTGAAGCAACATAGCAAATGCTGAAAAGGCCTTAGACAACCCAACGGCGTTGCTAAAGAAATGGCTAGCTGACTATTTATTCTCGCAGTGAAATTGAGAAAAGAGCAAACGCCTGTCTGGCTCCTCGAGAACTCGACTGCAGAGGACCCTGTCATCGAACAGGGAAATGTCACGATTACTATATGTACATAACTACTACATGGCATCCCGTCCTGCCAGCATCTTTCGCAGGGACAGGGATGATTTGACTCTCCGCGGAAGCATGGCATGGCATCACACAGTCCATGGTTCAGCCAGAAATACAGCCATGCTTGTTTATGCTTTCAGGGAGGAAACACCGAGACATTGGGCCTCCCCTTGACAGCCCTGAACTGTGCTTCTTATGCCATCCGGTCTTTCGCTACCATCTTCTACTTCTGGCATTTGCAAGGAAGCATCACGATAGTATATTCTGCTCTTTATGCACTTGAAATACGAATATAAAGCGGCTCACAGACACTGTAAGGGAAATCTTCTCTCACCTTATATATCAATCATTATCTGCACAAAGTGGACCCATGTGGTGTCAGCCCTCCCATCTACCACTGGCTTCCACTTTTCTAGCGATCACCTTCTTATCGTGGTGAAAGAAATCGCTATCAATACATCCAATATATTACTAGGAGCTGCCGCATTCCTGATATATACTGATCCGAAGGCATGTTGGACGACGACGTTCCTCCTTCAAAGGCCGCTGCTGGCGGTGTGCAGGCACAGAAACGTAAGGCCATGCAGACGTCATACCCTCCAGAAACAACTCGCCTGCGGATGGCTTGTGACAGGTGTCATGCACACAAGCTACGGTGTTTACGGTCAGAGTCCACAGAGCCCGGCAGTAAATGTGAACGTTGCCGCCGTGCTGCTGTTCAATGCGTCTATAGTCCACCAAATCGTCTAGGGCGTCCGGCGAGGTCACATTCTGGTACAGGAATAGCAGCAAGGCCCACGGCAGGTACAACTGTGAGCACACCGAGCAAAGAATCACAGAGTAGCTCGCATAACGCGAGCGCCTGGCCATCTCCGAAATCCCCACATCCACCCAGCCCAATGCCTTATCAAGATATATCCACTCGTGGGTCGAGCATGGATATCCTAGCAGACGAGAGCGGAGCGTTTGAGGATCTCCATCTAAGCGGGTCCCAATTTAAGCTTGATACGATGCCGCCTCTGATTAGCAGTCCGAAACAGCCTTATGAGGATGTGAACATCATACTCAATAATGGGCAGGGATTCCCAATGGAGAACATACCCAATGGCAGACACGCACCGTTTCTCGACAGACAAAATGCGCAAATCGCACAAGAATTCACGCTCGCGGACGAAAACACAGCTGACTGCGTCCGGAAGCTGACCGACCTAGGCCTTGCACAGTACAATCAACTTCGACAGCTCAAACGGATGCGGAGCTGTACTAACAGGGATAAACAGGGGCTACTTACGCTATTACACAACTATCCAATCCAGGAGATTATGGAGACAGCTCGACAGCTCACAGAACTAGTTGACCAATTCATTCAGGTACCGGTGATTGGGGGTGACTTGTTCAGCTCTTCCCCGGACTCAGCTGGTGAACCGGTTCCGGACTTGCGATCGCCGTTCTTCGGTGATCCTTTGGAAATAACTGACTTTTCGGACTTGCTGTCACAGCCATTCATAGATGTTTCAGCTACACCAAAAAGTACAGGCTCTAATAGCAGCAACAGTCAGCTATCGTCTTCGATCTCGGCCGGCAGTGGCATTCAAATGGACACCTCGACAACACTACATACCATCTCATGCTACCTACGCCTAGCCCGGCTGTTTGTCCTCTTTTTCACGGATCTTCACGATTTCCTTTTATTCCCAAGCTTGGCGGATCCAATGCTCGACGACAAATCGCGTTTGTTTCCTGGGCTTAAGCTTGGCTCCTTTCAGCCTTATGTTGGGATGGAACTAGAGATTTCAATTGTGGTTCAGGTTAGCGAGCACATACTGAATCGTTTATGCAACTCGCTAGGATTGCCTCAGGGACAGGACACTGGTCAGGGTCGACTAAGATCTGAAATGATCACTCCAGCTATGTTGCAGGCAGTTCAGGTGCAGGAGAGACTCGATGCTCAAGATGAAAAGGGGGACACGTTTACCCAGCTGCCACTGGTGATAAACAGTGTGAAGAAGATGATCAAAGTGCGGCCATTTCTATAGATTCGTCAGGAGCAATTATAGATTGTTTACCCTCGCTCAATCCCCTTTTGATCGTCGCAACATCCACGTAATGGAAGCCCTTAAAGTTCTTCATAAATCACACAATTCAGACTTATGCATACTAATTCAATCATAAAAGCTCTATATCAATGGAGAACTTGAGAAATTCTCTCATCTTCCGGAACGCAGGAACTCCTCGCTTAGTCCCCTGCTTGCGTGGCCCTGGTTCCGCGGAACTCGATGTCCGTTCTCCTGCCCTGCAACTGCATGCCTAGTAAGCGAGTCAAGGTGCATCTGCTGCCAAGTGCACACTATGTGTGAACGACGAAGCTGCATTTCAATAAGACCAAGCCCTCACGACTTGGCTAGACAGTTGGGCCGTACTCCTCATCATAACAGCAGCCTGATCATTTGGAATGGGCTTACGTGGGCTCTCAACAGTCACCTGGCTCTTGGGAGGATGTGGAAAACCGCCGAATGTTGACAATCCTGGATAATAACATCAGCTCTGTTGTAATGCGCCGAGACTCATTGGTTACTAAACGGGGCGGCTTTTGAAAAATGCCGAAGGTTGAAAGCCTAGACGGATGCATGTCAGCTTCGTATCGATAATGGTGTTTCCTGATGGTAGTGAATGGTGCCTCCATTGTAGTCTCGAATGGAAAGATCGAATAAACTATTCCAGCTCAGAAAGCGCCGGGCAGACAAACTACAATCGAAAGAAAGCCCAAAGGCAGTAGCAGAAATGAACCGATCCCCTCCGAGATATGATAATGTATATAGAATGCAAGCCTACATGACTGGGCAGGCATCTCCTGGTGCTACCAAAACATCCGGCTGATTACGTCCACGCGCATTTATATCTTCCTGTTGAGGTAGATTGCTTCGAGAAATCAAAGGAAAGCCAGCAAGGATGGCTCCCGCCATAGCAAGCGCCACAGTGACCCCATCCACAACGGCCCATTCCACATGGAAGGCTCCGCTTCGACGAACAGGTGCCATTGACCAATACGAAAGAGAGGATGTCACACCCATCATCGGGACGGAGTTCCCAACAGCCAAGCTCGCAGATTGGATTAAGGCACCAAATGCGGATGATCTGCTCCGTGATCTCGCAATCCTCAGTTCGTAAAATTCTAAGAGGCGCCTAAGAAGACGGCTATTACCATATGCAATGGCTGACGGTTTCTTATGATAGTTTCTGAGCGAGGAGTCGTCTTCTTCCGCCAGCAAGATGGGCTCACTAATACCGAACAGAAGGAATTGATGCAACGCCTCGGTAAATTGACTGGAAAGCCACCGACCAGCCGACTTTCCATACATCCAATCTTTGAACAAGGAGCCAATGATCCAGAAATCAACACTATCAGCGCGGCTCAAGACAACAAGCTGCGTTCTATTGATTATTCAGTCTCGATCCCAAAGAAACAAAGTTCTGCTCATTGGCACTCTGATGTAGCATTCGAGCCTATTCCTGCAGAATACACCACACTAAGGTTAACGCAGGTACCAAAGACAGGTGGAGGTAATATCTGGTCCTACTTTCTCTAACTTAGGTACCCGCAAGAAGGGATGAAGTTAACCTCTCGCGCAGACACCTTGTGGGCCTCAGGATATGAACTCTATGATCGCATCAGCAAACCATACCAACGCTTCCTTGAAACTCTAACTGCTACTTGCGCACAGCCCGGGTATAATAAGGTCGCCGCTACCGGTAAATTCAAGCTCTTTGACGGACAGCGTGGAGCTCCAGAAAACATTGGATCAAACTTCTCCTCGGTTCACCCTGTCGTGCGTACAAACCCAGTGACTGGATGGAAGAGTATTTACTCCGCGGGATTCCATGTGCAGAAGATAAATGATGTTACCGAGGCCGAAAGCAAGGCTCTACTGGACTGGTTCTTGAGGTTGATCAACGAGAACAATGATCTCCAGGTTCGCTTTAAGTGGAAAAACGCCAACGACATGGGTAAGTTTTGGTATATCCGCCGATAATCTTTCAATGCTAATAGTTTGGCTGATACAGCAATCTGGGATAACCGTTGCGTGTTCCATACTGCAACATTCGATCTTGAGGGTAAGGAGGACAGGTATGGTGTTCGTGCAGTTGGTGTCGGAGAAAAGCCATTCTTTGATGAAAGAAGCATGTCCCGAAGAGAAGCACTAAAAGAGCCTGTACAAGCTCTCTGAAACAGGGCTTTTGATGCCGTTGAGCAAGTCAATATATAAGATCCTGCGCTTCCGTTTTCTTCCCCTCATATATTTACCCGCGAGCAAACGTGTGTTTTGGATTCGTTTCAACACGAATAGTATATGACAAGTATTCAACATTAATGAGAGTCTTTTGGTGATGTTTTAGGAGTCCATCAATACTGCACAGCAGAACATGGACTGCTGCCTTGCTTGATGTGATGCGAAATGACTCAGTGTTTTAAAGTTGCGGCTCAAGTGGGTCCAACCCAATCCGCGAGAACTCAAAATCCCACAGTCCACCCAATAGCTAATTTGTTAAGGGCCCGTCATAAGCCAACAATTCAGACCATGTAAAAGTTGCCCGGAAGGCTGAAGATCTCAGTCAATACCAGCGAATCAGTACACCAATAATTTACCATGTGCGCCTGAAACTGATTTAATCCCGATGTTAGCCGGGGGCGTATCATAAAATATGTGGATCCCTGAATTTTTACTTGTGGTGGAATCCGCTCCATGTAAGTATATATCTGCCGATTCGACTTTTTATGGTTGAGGCTAAAGGGTATCTATGCTGTGGTTCACAGTTGCCTATCCTTATATAATCAAGGCATCCAATGAGGGGTGAATCTCACAAAACATCCGTGCTGCGGCGTAGTCGTATTGATCTAGACTGACAAGGCATTGAGTGAGGCGGAAGTTTCATGGGGCAGGGATGCCAGTTCATGGTAAAGCGCATTGCTGCCTAGATTAACAACAGGAAAACATAAGTTTTTGGCTACCCAAAAGACACATGTGACGCTAGATAGCATCTTTATATAAAGGGCAAAGATCCCTTACAGCCCTCAGGAGGACACAACAAACGGCTGTTCATCTCTACAATATTCTTGGGATTGGCTTCCCCCAGACCGAATATTTGATTTCGAGCTACAACATTACAGTATGGACGCCCATCCACACATGCGGGAACAGGCCAACAGAAAACTAACCATATTGCAGAAAATGTGTAGGAGAAACGTCAGCAAGCGAAACTTCCTCTGTGGCCACGTCCTTGAAACTCTTGGATCTCTGGTCCCTGAAAAGGGCTGTGGAGGTTGCGGTATCGAGAAAGGCGAAAATAATGATATCGGTAGTTCGCATGTCCATTCGCCATGTGACGATTGCCTCGCGAAAGACTTGTGGGCCCAAGGAAAGAATGGTAAATGGTATGAAAAAGAGCCGGGCGGGCCATTTCAATTGTCACCAGGATATAAGTTCCCTTGTAAGTTGGACTCAATGAAGTGTTTCCAGGACAACATCCGACTTTCCCTAGGATATAAATTTGGTTGAATTTGGTTGAATTTCATGACCGGCACGAATGCAACGACAAAAACCTTTCTTCTCATGAACGTCACCATCCCAAACAGCTTGCAATAAATATTTATGACATGGCCTAGTCAAGATAGCCTTATCATAGTCAATGAATCTCCACTTAGTTCCTATATATGTGCCAAATAATAACTTTTGGGTATAATTGTTATACATATGGCAGGAGAAGGGATTAGTCAAAGAGGAAGTAGGAGAGAATATCATTTTCAGCAGGGGCTTATTATAGTCAAAAAAGAGGGGCTTATGTAGATGTCTAAAACCAAAGCTATCTACAGAAAAGTGTGCCTAAAAGATTAAATGAACGTTTCCAAAAGTGGAGAAATCTCCCAATAACGGCATGTAGGTATCTTTGCCAGGATGGTTGATATGACAAAGCCTGCTCGGGTCCAAGTAAGCCACCTTGGATCAAGGCTATACAAGCATTTTTCTCTTTTAGGTGGTCGACAGCCTTGTTTCTTGGAGGCGAAGCAATATCCTTGGTCTTGCGTTTGATATCATAAGCGACCAGTGCCATATTTGGATATACATTATGCCAACAAGCAGAGATGAACTCGTCAAAAACCTCATGTCTGTTGAGCTCTGGAAAATCGAAAGCTCTAAAACGCCGTCTCAGTTCTATCGGGTCTTCTTCAAGGTGGATATCCTCATATGGTTCGTGGCCATATACCATTGTGAAAAGGAAGGTGCCAACAGCAAATTGTTCAGTGCGAGCTGACGTAAGGCCATAGGTATTCCTTAGAGGGCCAGATGTAAGCTTAATAGCCCATGGCTCCATCAGGCTCTCAAGAAATTGCCCGATAGTAGTAGCCTGGTCAAAGTCAGACAATTTCAGGTTAAGGTTCTCATCAAGAAGGCAGTTGCGTGGATGTAGGTCGTTATGAGTATATCCCAACTTCTCCATGAAAGCAAGCGCGGAAGTGAGTTGTTGTATCCATCGGGCAATAAGCGCAGGGTCCTCATATTCCTTCACACCTATGAGTTTTCCTGGACGACCATTTGGACGTATCTCCCGTTCTTGATATTTGAATAAGCGGTGTGCGAGAGTACTATTGCAGCAGTATGAAAGGAAAATGAAGTCCGGTGATGCAATGAAGCATTCGACAATATCTGGGCATCTCTCTTTCTCTCCGAGCACACAGTTGTAAAATTTAGCTTCTTGTGTAAAGGGGCTGTTTCCCTCAGCGATGGTGCTGGAATTAGGAACTTTGACAACAATAGTTTCGTTGGCTTTGTGGACATTTGCTTTAGCGCCACTGCCAACGCAATCTTTCCTCCTGATAGGTATCATTAAAGGTTCAAAGCAATGAAGATGTTGAAGGGTGTTGAAACTGTAGCGAGCTTGATGGGTTGGTGCCTAGACTCAGCTCCCTTCGATTTAAAGATTAGGTTCGCTTATATAAACTTGGAACCTACTAGAGAACTTTATTCCGGAGTTAGGGATATTATATATCCGTAAATGTACTTCAAAATATTATGTAATCATATATCAAACCTTAACCTGTTTTCTCTTTTCTGGGAGTTACTTGTCTCTTAATATCATCTCATCTGCGAATCAGGATGAGCTCTAACATGATACCCCATACAATCAATCAAAAAGCGGGCATTCAAGCAGCAAAGCTATCATGAGATAGAATGTTGCTTCTGGCTAGACAAAGAGTATGCCTTGAGATGACACCACGAGCGAGCGCACGAACTCGCCACGCCCTCCAAGAACGCACGACAAGACGCGCAAACGAGAGAGCAAGGAAGAGGCAAAACAAGTCAGGAAAAAGAGGGCGAATGGGTGGCCGAGAATACACGGCTACGGAGTGAGCGGGCAGGGCCAGGAGCCGCCCACGTGTGGCCTGCGGTTCACGCCTGTGGTCCCGTCCCCCCGCTTGGCCGCTTCCCGCCAAGTTCCTCCCGCCCCCTTCCGCTCGCTTGGCGCGTCTCTTGGCTCCGCGCGCTTGGCGGGCCAAGGAGCTTGCGCCAGCACGTGTTACTTCTATAGATAGGCGGAATACCTTCCTTTTCGGTCATGTCATCGTCTCTTGGGCCTTTCTGGTGCCTTTTTGCTCTGCTGGTGCTTACGGCCTCCGCTTGCGGCCCAGGCTGGCGGTTAGCGAGGCAAACTCAAGGCTGGTCTATGCGGGTTTCGTTCCCCCCCGTCGTATCTATATATATAGAATTCTCACATATATTAAGCCGATTCCTATATACGGGGGCCGATATATCTTCTTCCCTGTCAACAACTCGAAAGGAAATCCTCGTGCGCCGTCGACCTTCCTCCCCAGCAGATCGAGACAGAGAGAGCTGCCGCAGCCATGGTTCTTCACCAGTTTGACTACATCTTTGCCATCGGCATCATCTTTGCTTTCCTCGATGCCTGGAACATCGGTGCCAACGATGTCGCCAACTCGTTCGCGACCTCCGTCTCATCGCGGTCGTTGACCATGATGCAGGCTATGATGATTGCAACAGTCATGGAATTTGGTGGTGCCGTTCTCGTAGGGTGAGTGCAGAGTGGCCCATTAATCTACTTCCTTCTGCAGAATCTGGATCGCTAACCGGTGAGAAGATCCCGAGTGTCGGATACCATCCGTAACGGGATCATCTCGACCTCAAAGTTCACCAAGGAGCCAGCTGCCCTTATGCTGGGAATGATGTGCGCCCTAGTCGGATCCTCTTTGTGGTTGACCTTTGCTACTAAGATGGGTATGCCCGTCTCAACAACGTAAGCGAGTTTTCATGACCACCTTTTTGTTGTAGTATTTACTAACCTCGACGCAGCCACTCCATTGTCGGTGCTATCATTGGCGTTGGTATTGCTACTCTCGGAAAAGATGGTGTGCAATGGGCCTACAATGATGGCAAGGGTGTTGCCGGTATTGTCAGTGCCTGGTTCATTGCCCCAGCTATTGCCGGAGGTTTTGCTATCATCGTCTTCCTGATAACCAAATACGGTGTCCTTGAGCGCAAACGTCCTCTACGTGCCGGGTTCATGATGGTTCCCTTCTACTTTGCGGTTACTGCTGGTATCTTGACTATGGTCATCGTCTTCAAGGGAGGTTAGTCAGATCATCTCCAACCCCATTTATGTTAAAGCTATAGGCTAATTGCTATTCCCTGGCAGCTCCAAGTTTGAATCTCGACGAATTGAGCACCGGACAGATCCTTGGCGCCATCTTCGGTGTTGCCGGCGGTGTCGTACTGTTATATGGCATTTTCTTCCTGCCATTCCTTTACCGTAAGCTCGAACTTGAAGATTGGCAGTTGAAGACCTGGGAGGTTATCTACGGTCCTCTCCTTTGGAAGCGTGGGCCCGTCCCACCCCGTCCAGAGGGCACTGCCGTTGTTCAGGACTACTACAGAGGCCACAAGACAAAGGCTGATCTCACTACTACCCGTGGAGCTGCCGATGATATTGAACACGCTGCCGCTCCTCAGACCGACACACAGAGCTCCGAGGATGGCATCAAGCGTGGCTCCAGCGAGGCCTCGCCCGCCGAGAAGAATGGAGAACAAACCCTTGAGGCTCATGAGCAAGAAGCTCTGGGTCCATGGTATACTCCCCGCAACCTCTTCGTTAAGGCCAAATACTACTTCCTCCGTGGTGTCGACCGGGACGTTGTTTCTGAGCAGAACGCCACTGATGCTACCAACTTCCTTGCCGGAGACCTGGACAAGATGCACGCCGAAGTCAAGCACTACGACAACAAAACTGAGCATCTCTACTCCTTCCTCCAGGTCCTGACCGCTGCCACTGCCTCGTTCGCCCATGGGTCCAACGACGTCTCTAACGCCATTGGACCACTGACCACAATCTACCTTGTCTGGGACACTAACACCATCGCCAAAAAGGCCAGTGTGCCAATTTGGATTCTTGTCTTTGGTGGTGCTGCTATCAGTAAGTCCAGTTGACCTCAAAGCCGTCAAGTCAGCTTAATTAACTGCATATGTAACTAACAACGTCAACCAGGTATTGGTCTCTGGACCTACGGGTATAACATGATGCGTCAGCTCGGTAACAGACTTACTCTGCACTCTCCTAGCCGTGGTTTCTCCATGGAACTTGGTGCAGCCATCACCGTCATTCTGGCCAGTCAACTCGGCCTCCCCATCTCAACTACACAGTGTATCACCGGCGCTACTGTTGGCGTTGGTTTCTGCTCCGGAACCTGGAAAGCCGTTAACTGGAGAATGATTGCTTGGATCTACCTTGGCTGGTTCATTACCATGCCAGTCGCTGGTATCATCTCGGGTTGCCTTATGGGTATCATCATTAATGCCCCTAGATGGTCTGGTGTCGGTGCTTAGACTATTACCCTTCCACTTCCCCTCCCGGGCATGATATAGAGAGTTGATGATATATCTCTTTTGTGGTCCGGACTTATGCTTTTCTTAATTTTTGTATACTTCTGTCTTGCTCCCTATATACCAAATAGTTAATTTCCCACTCACCGACGTGAACAATGCACGCTATTCCACGCTCGCACTCCCCTCCCCTTGCAAAGCACACAACTACAGGCTCGAATGTAAATCCAACACCAACTTCTACCTACGTACATATACCAAGTCAAAGCTCATCGAATCCATCTTTCATGAGAAGCCTAAGCTGTGCCAGCCCTTCTTCCAAAACTTTCGTCTCACACGCGTATCCAATCCTCACAAACCCCTGAAACTCCGGGCCAAAACAATGTCCTCCGGGAACAAACATGACCCCAACCCTATCAAACACCAACTTGCACAGTCTAACATCATCAACCGGCACCCCGTTCTTTGAGAACCTAACGAATGCCGTAGTGCCAGCAAGAGGTTTACGCCAATCACATACGGACGAAAACTCCTCGACAAACGCGGCGAGAATGTTCAGATTGTGTCTTGCAATAGTGGTGTTTCGCGCAAGTAACTTTGACACGCACTTCTCTCCAAGCGCAAAGGAAGCTACCCTGTCATCTAGCTGGCTGACGGATATAGTAGTGTAATCGCGGGCATGGAGGCATTGCTCGATTATATCCTTGCTGGCAATAATCCAGCCGACTCTGATGCCAGCGAGGGCATAAGCTTTGGATGCAGAGCCAGTAACTATCACCTTGTCGTAGCCCAGCGAGAATGCTGATGCAGGTTGCTGACTTGTCTCAAGGGAGTGGAAGAGAGGCCTGTACACTTCATCACAGAAGACGTAGATGTTTCGTTCTCTAGCGATATTGATTATCTGCTGGAGATCTTTAGTTGGTATGGTTTTCCCCGTAGGATTTTGAGGGTTACTAGTTACCACCGTCAGCTATGAATAGAAGTACTCCGTAAACCAACGATCAAACGAGTATTTAGCATACTTGAGGATAATGAGTTTTGTGTCTTGTTTGATAAGGCCCTTCAGTTCATCTACGTTCAGCTCCCAGTCTTTCTCTACCGAAGTCTTCCAGAGCGTTACTTCTGCGCCCAGAGACTCCGGAACAGGGTAGAGCTGCTGGTACGTCGGGTAGTGACAGACAACATGGTCACCGGCGTGCACCAAGGTGTAAAGCAGCAGGAAATTGGCGCTGATAGCCCCCGGAGTGATCAGTACATTATCTGAAGCCGGTGCCACATCCCCACTGCCGACATGTACCTGAGCGATGTTGGAGCGCAACTCCTCGGATCCACGGATGACACCGTATCCCAGCTTCTGCGAGGCGTTGAACAAGTCTGCTGGCGTGGTGTCTCCTGCAAAGGCACAGAGGTCGCCGAGCGAGATAGGTGACGAGCATGTCTCTGCGATGTTGTACCTGGCCCGTGTCTCATACTCGTCCATCCACTGCGCCGTCGATGATTATCAGCTACTCCACAGCACGTTAACTGTATTGTCACTATGATGAATTATCGCACCTGCTCCACGGCAAAGGGCTGGATCACCACCATATTCACGAGCTAACTCCGTATTGCATAACTACTCCGTATTCGATCTATCTGTCGTCACACAATCACCGTCTTCCCGAGTCACCGTCCATGGAACATCTGGCAGTCGACGTGTTAACCTTATCCGCATGTCGCAAAAGTCCATGGTCCGCGGATTCTTGCATGGAGAATCAACTAAGAGGAAGCTAAGGAGCGGGCGTTTCAGCGCCTCCCAGCTCTTCCCTGTCACGCCAAAATTGATTCATTTCTGACTGACATTTTGTCATTTTTCAAGAGCTCTCCTGAGGGAAATCGGTAGATCGACAGACTTATTACCAGTTAACCATCCAACAGTTATAAAACGTATCGATCTAAGCACAGTTAGCTATCAGCACGTCCAACCGTACCACCTTCCAGCTCACATCCATCCGTCCATCAAGGAATTAAGATAAAAATCAAGAAAAAGCAAAAATTTGCCTCTCCGACCTCCTTTCCACAATATATCCTGGCCCTGCAGATCCACCGAAAGAAAAATCAGAAGATAAAAAAAAATCCCCTTCTCATTGGATCCATCCAGCTGCCCCGTTTTTTGAATTCTCTGATTGTTCAAGCTTGTGCTTGTGGGACATCCAGGCAGCGGCCAAAAAGGGCCAAAGGTCGAGCCCCTGAGCCTGTTCCCCCCGATTTAATTGGCAGTTTTCAGGCTGGTCGGAGAGTGGAAAGAAATATGGATTCAATTCAGGGAGAAGAAAATAATAATACTTATTATTATACTATCAAATGAGAGCGCGGCGGGCCGAGGAAGCGTGGCTGATGGGCGCTATATAAGGTGGCTGCCGGCGCCTCTTGCTGGCGGATGGGGGTGTTTTTTGAAGATAGATGCGGCTATCCATGTCCGCCCGCAGAATTCGTGCATATAAAACAAGCCCTTAAGGGCGGCCGGGTTCAAGTCGTACATCTATCGGCTTGTTTTTTTGTTCTTTGTCAGTAGAGAGAGGGTCAAGTCAAGCAGAGAAGAAAAAGGAGATTCCTGGAAGAAGAGAAATTCTTTTATCGCGCATCAAGATGAATCTTCTCTTTATCACCACCAGAAGAATATTTTCCTTTGCCTGATATAAAACCACAAGTCAAGCAGCAGCAGCTAAAAAAGAGCTTGGTGAAATAGAGGTAATAGCATGACTATTCTAACTACAGGCTGGTTCAGCTGTGGCCGGCTCCAGCTGGTCCGGAGCAAGACAGCCCTCCTGCTCTGCTTCTTCTCTGGCATGGCCCTGGTCTATCTCTTCTACTTCTACGACAACTACACTCCCGTTCCACCGCCGGCTCTTCAAGAAGCTGTCAGGATACCCCAGGCTGTGGTCCTCCCTAAGACCAAATGGGACAGAGTAGGCTGGGTCAAGCAGCTGGAGCCAGAGTAAGCACCCCCCCCTGTTGCTACTGTACAAGCAGTCTGACGCGTCTGTATTACCAGCCATGCTAACACAATAGCTAGGTGGACCCCCTTCGTCTACTCTGTGGATGGTGATGAAAGATATACCCTGCGCACACCCAAGAATGTAGGCCGTGAAGCCATGGTGTACCTCTCCTTCATCATAGACTACTACCACTCCCTGCCAGAGGTGATGGCATTCACCCACAGTGCCAACAAGCAATGGCACAATGACTTCAAGGGCCGCAAGACAGTCAAGATCATCTCAGCCCTGCAGATCCAGGCAGTCAAGCGGAAAGGATACGCCAACCTGCGCTGTCTCTGGGAACCGGGCTGTCCGACCTCACTCAACCCGCTCAGCCCGACTGAGATAGATATACGCGAGCAGAATGAACGCGCCCACCTGCCGGAAATATACATGGAGCTGTTCAACGTCAGCCGGAGCGAGGTGCCCGAGCATATTGGTGGAGTGTGCTGTGCTCAGTTTGCGGTGACGAGGGAGAGAGTGCAGAAGCGGCCGCGGGAGGATTATGTGAGGATGCGAGAGTGGGCTTTGGACGCCCGGTATACAAGTTTCGGAGTTGGATGGGTATTTGAGCAGATCTGGCATATCATCTTCATGGAGGAGGCCATCCAGTGAGTCTTGTCCTAGTCCTTGCCTGCCGTCTGGTGGCTGAGCTAACAGTATGTAGCTGTCCGTCTGAGGCACAGTGTCGGTGTGAGCTGTACGGCGTATGCACGCTGTAGCCAGGACAAACGGCCACGAGAACGGCGCATTCAAACCGATGGATTCAGTTGGGTATTTGGCAGCCACAGCACAGCAGCGAATCACCCAGGGGAAGACCATAGAAGGACCTTGGGAATATCTCCAGCTATCACGCCGGAGGACTCGAGAAGGGACTTGGGAGCACGGGCGTACGGGCGTTGCATGGCATTGCTGGTTCATTTGCATAGGGAGCAAGCATTAATGGGGCATCTGGATAGACATATCTTTACATTAACAAACATAACCATCGCCATGGACTACTATCTTGTCTCTTGTCTCTTGTCTCTTGTCTCTTGTCTCTTCCTCGTCTCTTCTAACTGTTTCTTCACTTGTTTCTTCTTTCCGCCGAGGCTGTCTTCCACGTGACCTTAAACCATGACTAATCCCTGACTCATCATTTGCACTGTTTGCCCGCGCTAGTCCCAAAGCAGCCATCCCTCGCCCGCCCGCCCTTTTTTTCTTCTCTAGCGGGAAAACGAACTAAAACAGAAGCGGCCGAAAAAAGCTCCTTCAACGTCAACAACGTCAACTTCGCCAGCCCCAGCTTTGCCCGCCTTTGACTCTCTCGCTCTCCGACTGCTGCCTGCTCAGCGCTTATTGCTCTGTGACTACCGCTCTGCCCTGCCTCTACGACCTCTGCCGAGTGCTGTGGAAGCAATAACTACTCGCTGCACACACTGCTTGCAGCCCACCTAGGCTGTTCCTGCTTGCTTGTTCCGCCGGATCGTTCTGCTGCTTGGCTGGTGACTGGCACAAAGATGAAGCTCACTTTCAGGGTGCGCGACCACCACCACCACCACACCCACCTGGCCCTTCTGCTGTCAGGCTGGATATAAAGACCAACTTATAGCTAACCTCTTCCTTTCTCTGCCTACAGGATCTGAAGCAGCAGAAGTTTGTGATAGATGCTGAGCCCTCCGACAAGGTCAGTTGCTTTCCCCGCCATCTTTGTTGTCTCTACTTGCCTCTAGGCTGCTACAGCGAACACTCCTTGAGAAAGACCACCTGTTAACCGCCTGCCCATAGATCTTAGATGTTAAGGAGAAGATCGCATCTGAGAAAGGATGGCCTGCGTCGCAGCAGAAGCTCATATACTCGGGTATGTTGCGCTGAAAGTGGTGGCCACCGAAGTCGTGGCACTCGGCATGCTTGCCGATAGCTGACTTGACCCCCCACACCACCTACAGGCAAGATTCTACAAGATGACAACACAGTCGAGTCATATAACATCGAGGAGAAGGGCTTCATAGTATGCATGGTGTCCAAGGTATGCTCTTTCAGTCGAGACATGTGTGTGGTTTTTGTGGCCTGACAAACTCCGTGTAGCCAAAGGCCGCTCCCTCGGCTTCTGCGGCCTCCTCCTCCCAGACACCGGCTGCTGCACCATCCGCTCCCGCTCCCACCACTCCCTCAGCTCCTACCCGTGCAAGTGCTCCCGCTTCAGAGACCCCCGCTACTCCTTCGCCTGCCGGCGGTGCCAGCTCAGGTGCCACATTCAACGACCCATCTGCTCTTTTGATGGGTAACCAGGGCCAGGAAGCTATCACACAGATGCTGGCCATGGGTTTCTCGAGAGGCGATATCGACCGTGCCATGAGAGCTGCGTACTTCAACCCAGACCGTGCCATTGAATATCTGCTAAACGTATGCCAAATGTCACCCCTTAACATTTTTTTATGAGTAAGTAGTATAGGGTTTGTTTGCTAACTTTACGGTTACAATAGGGTATTCCTGAGGAATCCGCGAGAGAAGCTCCTAGTGCCCCCGCTGCAGCAGGGGGCGCCGCCAGACCCTCCGCCGCCTCCGAAGAGCCGTCTGACGCCCAGGTCCAGGAATCCCTAAATCTCTTTGAACAAGCCGCCGCGCAAGCCAGCGGAGGTGGAGGTGCTCGTGCTCGTGGTGCTGGTGCCGGTGCCGGTGCGGGCGCAGGCGCAGAAGAAACTGCAGGCAGCCTTGGTAGCCTAGAGTTCTTGCGCAACAACCCTCATTTCCAGCAGCTCCGCCAGCTTGTCCAGCAGCAGCCACAGATGCTCGAGCCCATCCTTCAGCAGGTCGGTGCCGGAAATCCTCAGCTTGCTCAATTGATCGGCCAGAACCAGGAGCAGTTCCTACAGCTGCTCAGTGAGGACGTCGATGACGAAACACAGCTGCCACCAGGTGCTCAGTCCATCAGTGTAACGGAGGAGGAGAGAGACGCGATTGAGAGAGTAAGCATTATATACTACCCTTTCTTTTTTTCTAGACCTCGACATAGATATACCATGGGTATGTGGCTAACTTTATCTCTCTAGCTCTGCCGTCTGGGCTTCTCTCGCGACTCCGTCATCCAGGCCTACTTTGCCTGCGACAAGAACGAAGAACTGGCAGCCAATTTCCTATTCGACCAGCCGGACGAAAACGAAGACCAACAGTAGCCGCTTGCCATCTACCCGCTCTGCAGTTTTATGTTTCTTAACGTCCCCCCCGCATGCTTGTTACGCTCGTCCGCCCCGCTCCAGTACAGATAGCAGCCAGTCTCCCCTTTTTTCTCATCGCCGATGACACGACATCTTTTAGCTATCCGAATTCTCTCTCTCTCTCTCTCCATCCGCTCAGACGATTCCCCGAAAAAAGAGGCTTGGCTACACACATACACATAACCCGCGTGCGCGCATAGCTTTTAATTCTCCAGACGACGTGAAATGAAATGACATGAAATCCATATTCAACCCTCCACACTGACTGGCCTTTCTACCCTTACTCCTTTACTTTGCTGCTGGACCTTCTTTCCTCTTCACTGAGATAAAAAAAAAAGAGTAGGCAAAATATGTATCCTAACTAAGTAACGTAACCAACCAATTAACAACTGTGTTCTTTCACATCTTGTCCTGCATAATCTAATGACATGCATTATGCTCATGAGTTTAAAATTATGTTATTTTCTCAAATTAAAGTAAGTAGCTACAGTAGTTAGTAGGTCTAGTTGAAAAAAAAAAAAAAAAAAAATGCTAACAAGGCCTAGTAACCAGCCAAATAACCAACCCATGCCTGCCGAAAACCCGCTCCACAGCCCCCCATAACCCATCATCGCCCGGATCAAAGTCATCCATGTTAACATGTCTATCATACTGCCATAGCTTATGCAGCCGTATCTCTCGGGACGGCACATCCGCGCTCTCATCCTCGCCGCCATCAGGGACGACAAACCGATCTAGAAAACTAGCTGATCGCGGCGCCACAAGGAGCGTCATATCACCGCCTTCCACCTTCACCTTGGGCAGACCCTGGTAGAACTCGAACGGGTTAGAATCGCGCGTGCACCGTGGTATGCTGGAGACCGTCCTGTTAATAAATTCCCCGCTCGCCATGCCCTTTAGATCATGCGTCGTGATGCTGAATGCGGCCGTGTTACTACCGTCTCCTACCAGCCAGTAAGGAGGGGAGTATGTTTTCCACCACAACACAGAGACATTGACGGGCGGTTGCTGGGATGGTTGTAAGGAATCGGAGAGGAGCGTGGGTATATGTATTTGTGCCGGAACGACTCCGCCCTGATGGTATATGCCCATCAGCGCACCCAGAGTGCAATTGAACACTATCCAGCCAGCCAGGAAAGTGCGTGACCTGGGCGGCTTGAAGCATGTAAGCAGTAGTGGAACGCAAGGGAGCAAGAAGCGCGCCTCCTGGTGGGGGAAGAGGGATATGATTAGTGCGCCGAAGAGGGCAGAGTATGCGCGTGTGTTGCGGGTGTGGAAAGTAGGCGATACCATGCCCCGGGTGAATAGGGACCAGATTGAAACGAGGTATGCGGGACCCAGGAGCAAGGGGAGGTTGACGAGGAGGTGGTTGTAGCGTGGATGCAGCCCGTGAGAGGCCAGGTTTGAGCTATCGGAGTTGTAGAGGAGGTTGTTTAGTGGTGTTATGGTTGGGTTTCGGATGAAGGCTGAGAGGGAGTCTGGGAGCGTGTAGAAGGCTGTGTCGATGGCGATTGCGAAGAAGGAGAATAACAGGCCGAAGAATGCGAGGGAAATTAACGAGAGGGGTCTATCGGTTGTTAGTATATATATATATATATAGGTATATAGATGGTACGTACTTGTTAATGAAATGAGGCACTAGCTGCAGTGCGGGTATCATGATAAAAGCGGGAAAAGTGATTCTGTTAAACACGCCCATGACGACCACGAGCGAGAGAAAAGCACAAGTAAACACCGACGACCGATGCTAGATGTCCCGTCAGCGCCAATCCATATATATAGACCATTGCATAGTTTGAACCCACCTTGTTCTCGACAACACGCTGTATCAAGACCAAGCTCCAGAGCACCAACAGCGTCTCCAGCGAGTTTGAAAAGGTATGTGTCTGATACGTCCAGGTAACATAGCAGCTGGCCACAAGCACGACGGCCTGCCTCCTGCGCCGCGGATTCGGCACCAGCTCATGTATGGCCCAGTCCTCGAGGATGAGACTGAGCAGGAACATGGTCAGGCGCAGGACATGGTATACCAGCTGCGGCGGCGGGTTGGGGATGTCGCTGCCGGTCTCTGCCCAGAGCCACTTGAGCAGCGTCATGGGCAGGCCGTAGACGAGCCATAGCGGGAAGATGCTGCGTATGGGCGTGTCCGAGGTGAATTCCCACGTTAGATGCGACGGAAAGGAGAACAGCCGGCCTGGAACCGGTTTGATTAGTTGGGACTGATGCAGGCTTAGTGGGGAGAAACTATAGGGCTTACCGGCAAAGAGCTCGGGGCCCTGGAAGTTCTCGTCTGGATGGATGTAGCTTGGGCAGAGGGCGAGGTAGACGCGCACCAGCAGGAGCAGGAGATATGTCCTCCGCCACATGGTGAGTATCTTGAGGGGTGGGGAGTGACTGGGACTCTCTTGTCCGCGTCTGGGACTGTCTGGCTGTCTAGAGAAGAGTCTGCGGGCGCATCAGAGGGCCGGGCATGTCTGTCTGGCGCGCATTCAGTCAAGCCACTGCAGGTAACTAGAGGGCTAGTTGGTTAGTTTGCGAGTTAGTTGGTGGGTTGGTAGATGTAGCCGCAGTGCAGCTAGCAGGACATGCTGGACAGACAGACAGGCAGACAGACAGACAGACAGGGGGACAAGGAGAAGAGACGAAAAGGCCCAGCAGAGAGAAGATGGTGAAGATGCAGACTCTGAAAGGAGAAGAAGAAAGGAAGATGGAATACGAACAGCCAATGACAAGGACAGCTCACATCAGATTGCACGGAGGAAGCTTTTCACGGAGATCGAGGGCGATGGATCTCGTATGTACTCCGTCCATAGAAGAATATATCGACTGGCTGGCGGGTGAGAGGACAGCGAGGCAGCGCCGTCCGCTGGAGTCAGTCAGGCCAGCCATCTGAGGGCTCTTTGGACTATCCTGGGCCATCTTTGAGCATCTGGACTATTGTTGGCTAGTGATTAGCTGGTCGTTATTTACGATCCGAAAGGCTAAAGCTACTTTGATGGAGCCGGAAGTCGAAGTACTTCTGGCCGTTGTAGATACGGAGTAGAAGTGCCTCGTAGGAGCAGTGAAGGCGGCGTGTCCAGGGAGATATACCTAGAAACCCGTACTTGGGCTCTCACTGTCTATGGTCTTCTCTGTCTGTCTCCTTTACCTGTCACTCCTTTGCCAACGTCTGCTCCTTCACTTCTGTACTCCGTAGTTATAACTGGTAGTCACTATGTAACTAACTGCCTGGAAAGATGGAGACTCCCCAGCGGATAACTAACCAGGCGTAACTTTGCTGCTGTTACGCCCATGATCCAGCGTCTGCCTTTTGCCTTCTTTGACTTTCTTCTCCTCTTCTATCTTCTTCCATCTTTCATCATCAACTTCTCTTCTTCTTTTTCTTTTCTTCTTCTTCTTCTTTTTATGCCATCATCGACTTTTTTTTTGCTTATAAAGAAAAAAGTATCATCACGTGACTCTTTAGCCGCCCTTTTCCCTTTTCGGCCTCCACTTCTTCTTCTTCTTCTTCTTCTTCTTCTTCTTCGACTCCAACGAACAAACAACACTCGCAGCAACAACGACAACGACAACACTGACAGTAAATAATAACACCGGCATCAAGCAGACGACAAAGCCGACAGCTCTTCTCTCTCCTCTGACCTCCCGCTTGTCGCTGGCTCTATAAAAGACCACTCGGTACGCCTCGCTTTCCCCAGCTCTTCCCCGACCCCTCCAACGACAATACATACAGCTAGCTTCAAGAACTGCGCATCAACTGACTGCTTCCACCAGAACACACACACACACACACACACACAAAACACCCCAACACTCCTCGACACCACCAGAATACTCTTCTTTCTCTCCCCAGATTAATCATGGCTTCCACTGCGACCAACAAGATCACCTTGACCAGCTCCGATGGCGTTGAAGTCACTATCGGTAGGAAGACACCCTTGCTTGCTCCGGCGCCAGGCAACAGCCTCTCCACACCAGCGACGAGCTAACTAACAACATCTACAGAACGCCAGGTAGCTGAGCGCTCCATCTTGATCAAGAACATGCTCGAGGATCTCGGCGACTCCGGCGAACCCATTCCTATTCCCAACGTGCGTTTTACCTTTCCCTTACCTCCGTCATAGTTCATAGCTAATTACATCATTCACAGGTCAACGAGTCTGTTCTCAAGAAAGTCATCGAGTGGTGTGAGCACCACAAGGGCGACCCCCCAAGCACCGGTGACGATGACGTCGACTCCCGCCGCAAGACCACCGACATCGACGAGTGGGACCAGAAGTTCATGCAGGTCGACCAGGAGATGCTCTTCGAAATCATTCTCGTTCGTCAACCCCTTCCGTGTGAGAAGACCCATTGAGGTGGTGTTTTAACATCTTACTAGGCTGCCAACTACCTCGACATCAAGGCCTTGCTCGACGTTGGATGCAAAACCGTCGCAAACATGATCAAGGGCAAGTCCCCCGAGGAGATCCGCAAGACCTTTAACATCCAGAACGACTTCACTCCAGAAGAAGAGGACCAGATTCGCCGTGAGAACGAGTGGGCTGAAGAGTAAGCTTCTCTCCTTGCCGCTTTCTACTACTTATATCTAGCTAACAACACATCTAGCCGTTAAAACACACAAAGCATACTACATACTCCCCCATCCTTACACGATGTCTACGTGACCACGAGCCTCTCCCTCAAAAGAAACGTTCCGTCTCATCTTTACTCTCAAACGACACGGCTTCTTTACCCCATCTTGATATGTTGACTCTTTGTCTTTTTACTCTCTTTCCTGTTTGTTCCCTCCCCATTACACGAGAGGCGTTTGGGTTTGCCTTGTTGTTCAATACTCAACTTCTACCCCCCAACATTGTTTTATTTTCTCTACCTCTTTCTTTCGTAGAATATGGGCTGGTTGCATCATCATTATCGTCATGATCATCATCATCGTTCTTCTCATTCTTGCTTTTGTTCAAGGGAAAACACATCCGGCCAGTACAGTAGCTAGGGAAGTTACGCAGTTCAAGTTAACTACAGGAATACATCAATAGTATGAGCCAATGAAAAAGAAAAACAAACGTTTACACTCCTCGACGGGTGTTTCTTTTACATTACTTCTCTACAGATGTGGTCTAATATGCTATAGGTCCAATAAATGCACCAGGACCAAACAAATTTTAGCCACATGGGAAACATTTCCTTGTATTGCTTTTCTTTTTTTAACTATCCCTATCCATATTCTCGTAGCAGAACCATTTCATTCATCGTTCATTTTCCACCCCATCTGGTGCAAGCACTTGGTGCGACTTATGTGGTGATTGTCAAAGGTCAAAGGATCGAGACGTGAAATTGTTGGGATGAAAATAGACGAGAATGTATGCAGAATCGAAAATGTGGAAAACGCCGGAAGCTGGGAGTAACCGTTTAGATTCCGAGACGGGTCTTGCGCCAGTGTCTTCGCTTGGCGTTGTATCTGTTGGGATATCCTGTTAGTTCATGTTCGAGGATATGAAGCGGTGGTTTCGCAGATATATATATATATATATATATATGTGTGTGTGTGTGTGTGTGTGTGTGTGTGTGTGTGTGTGTGTGTGTGTGTGTGTGTGTGTGTGTCTCCGTGTCCATATGTTCTTGTTGAGTCTTCTTGTTGAGTCTGATCGCTTGGACGTTGCGTGGTATAGGTATATGGCGATAGGCGTTATTTCCTAGTTCCTCAAATCGGCATATTGATCAAGTTCTCGTCGCATAGTAACACTCCCGACGTATCACCGACGACTGGCGACCTCCCACTTCGAGAAATATCGACATTTTCTCCCCCCGCGGACTTTTCACCTTCCTACCCCTCGACTGATCCCAGATACTCCATACGCACGCAGACACGCGCACACACACATTCATCTGCAAAACCACCATACCAACGCAAGTAAAGAGCAGCATCCTACCTGATGGTGTTGCCAGTTCTCAACCGAATCCACTGTGGGATAGGTCTGTTCTGCTTCTGGGCTTTGGCAAGCTTCTGCTTGGTGCGGAAGGACTTCTGGCTCTGTAGCGAATCGATCAGCACCAATCACTCCTTTAATAACGCCATCCCGCTGTTCCTCTCGTTATCTTCAATAAACTTACAGGCATCTTGACGGTGTTTCGTGAACTGTCGCGTCCTTGAATATTCTTGAGCGTTGCGACGTGAAGTTTTTCTATCGTCAGGAATTGAAAAAAGGCAGAAGTTCTGTGTGAAGTGGGCTTGGCTCGCTTGGCTGGTTTGGGATGTCACGTGATTGAAGTCCATCCCCGGCCACTTGGCTTTGAGAAAAGTTTTGTTAACGACGAAACAACCAGCGACAAGCATGGGACTTCTCTGACTACGCCGTGCAGCTAACTAGTTAACTACGAGGCCTCTACGGGTTGGATTGGGTTGGATTGGGCTGGGTTGGTCGTTTGGGCGGGTTGTGTCTGATCCATGGAGGTCCAGGGTCGGAAATTGACGTCCAGGGAGATGCATACGCGAGGGTACACTGACAGCTCGAGGTGAAGACTAACTATGAGTCTTCTTTTTAGGGTTACGGTTTGACTGGTGATCATCATCATTATCGTTGATGCCTGATTGACTCGGAGCGATCCGTGATGCCTATTCAAGGCACGCAGGACGATGGATTGGGCGGCGTCCAACTCGGTGAGGACCACGGAACACTCGATCCCCCGTATCCGCCGAATGACAAATACATATAACGCATCCTCTGTCCTCATCTCGGTAAACGAGTAAACGAGGAGCGAAGAACTTCCCTAAAAAGCTTGAACTGAACTGGATATTTTTAGATTAGGGCAAGGCCTCCTTACCACCACCACAGTGCTTGCTCGCGCTGTCCTGTGGTGTCCGACATCCCTTTTGGGCGGTCAAATCAAGTTCCGCAAGAAATAGGGGGGAACGTCGAGATACGGAGTAGAATGGGGCTCTTGAGCTTCAGCTGTCTGCCAAACGGATCTGTAATGGGAAGTGGATCAGGGGTGAGCCACTTTCGCTCCCTTCAGTTTCTAAGCGAGCGGAGACCAAACTGGATTTAGCGCAAGAGCCATCCTCCCACGACGTTGCTTAGCATCCATGCTTTTCCAGACGATTACTCGGCTGCCGACTACTGAAAGGATTTTTCCAAGGCGGATTGATCTACGTACAAGCGCAATTAATGTCTGTTCTTCAAACTTGAGCAGTAGCAATCAGGATTCAACAAATCTGCAAAGGTCCATGCCAACTTACGGCGTATGGCGTATTGAGTATTGAGAACTCCGTATAGCAGGCTCCCTCAATTCAACCCGGAGCAAGCCAGGGAAGGCAACGAAATGCTGCAGCCTAGTCTCGGGCATCGGATAGATTGAAGATGCGGTAGTTAAGCAGCTGGATCCCTTCCGGAGTTAAGCTTTTTGCGCGGCATTCAGCAACATCATTAATACGCACTTCACTTTGCTGCCTGGCCACCCTGGAACGTGGGCAACCACCTGAAACTCGCGAATAACACAGTAATCCATGCAAAAGGACGGAGTAGACATGACTGGTGTCTGCATACGCAGTCTGTCTGTTGACATAAAAATATCTATACGACCCATGTCCCCGATTGAGATATGATTGCGACCAAATCATCTTATTCGCTGGCTCGTATTCGAGGTGAGTCAACCGAAGTTTTCAAAGATGCATAACTTTTTATGCCTGTGACTGTATTAGTTATTACATCCTGCACGCGCCTCAACAAAGTAATTTACAAGCACCTCGATGATGTAACGACGCAGCTGGTGTAACGAGCGGTCGATACGCTATGGGCGCCATCATACCGTGGGTGAGGGACGCAAATGATAGGCGAGGAAGCTTCTCACATATGTAAAGCTTCTTACTGTCGCATGGCAGCCAAGCGGTCAGCCAGCAGTATCGGTATTTTTAACTTAGTGAAGGTTGGTGCCAAAGGCATAACTTATCTTCGGATACTCCGTCTCCAGACTCCGTGCAGGGGTGTGTTAAGTTCCAGAGTTCTCCATGACGGATATGGGGCTGCCCGGAGAATGAACACCCCCTTTAGCGCGGTGGGCCTTGTTTTTCCCACCAGATGGCATCGAGGTATATATAAAGGGCCTGGCAGTTTCTCCCCCTCCTATGCTTGGCCGTGGATTCATACCATCATCGCCAGCATCTACCTTGAACTACCTTGCGGAAAAATCACCCCAGCGAGCACTGTCTTGCTCTGCTCGGGCCGTTCCCAGCTGGTTGATTGCATCGTCGCTCAACGGACTACTGAGAACCGCATGACCTGATTTACCTCGCCGGCCTCTTCCCTCTTTTGAAGAGTTTATACCGTCTCTTAATCTTCTTTCTTGTTTTAACAAGCTAGATATATTCCGGCAAAAATGGCTGAAGTGAGCGAGAAGCCGAATACCCAGGATGACGGTGTCAGCAAGCAGGAAAATCGAAACCCAGCTTCGTCGGCTTCGTCAACTTCCGATAAGGAAAAGGTTGCTAAGAAGGGGAACTCGGATGCCACAAAAAACTCAACCCCGGAGGACCTAGATGCTCAACTTGCTCACCTGCCGGAGCACGAACGAGAGATACTCAAGCAGCAGTTGTTCATCCCAGAGGTCAAGGCTACCTACGGCACATTATTTCGATATGCAACCAGGAACGATATGATATTCCTCGCCATTGTTTCTTTAGCTTCTATTGCAGCCGGTGCTGCCCTACCACTATTCACAGTATGTATACTGTCCCAGTACGAAAGTTTATTCTATGATTGACATGTTATAGGTCCTTTTTGGTTCCCTCGCTGGTACATTTCGAGATATTGCACTCCATAGAATCACCTATGATGAGTTCAATAGTATATTAACGAGAAATTCCCTCTACTTCGTCTACCTTGGAATCGCCCAATTCGTTCTCCTCTATGTATCCACCGTGGGTTTCATCTACGTGGGTGAACACATCACTCAGAAGATACGTGCAAAATACCTCCATGCCATCCTACGCCAGAACATCGGTTTCTTCGATAAGCTTGGGGCGGGAGAAGTCACCACCCGCATCACGGCAGACACGAATCTTATTCAAGATGGAATATCAGAAAAGGTCGGCTTGACTCTGACTGCCCTATCGACCTTCTTCAGCGCGTTCATTATCGGATACGTCAGATACTGGAAACTCGCACTGATCTGCAGCTCGACTATCGTTGCGATGGTTCTGGTTATGGGTGGTATATCTAGGTTCGTGGTCAAGTCTGGGAGGATGACGTTGGTAAGCTATGGTGAAGGAGGCACCGTCGCAGAGGAAGTGATCAGCTCTATCAGAAATGCCACTGCCTTTGGAACTCAAGAGAAACTTGCAAGACAGTACGAAGTGCATTTAAAGGAAGCGAGAAAATGGGGTCGCAGGCTTCAAATGATGTTGGGCATCATGTTTGGCTCCATGATGGCTATCATGTACTCAAACTACGGTCTCGGATTTTGGATGGGGTCACGCTTCCTCGTCGGTGGTGAAACGGACCTGTCTGCCATCATCAACATCCTCCTTGCGATTGTTATCGGATCCTTTAGCATTGGAAACGTTGCTCCCAATACCCAGGCTTTTGCTTCTGCTATTTCCGCCGGTGCTAAGATTTTCAGCACCATCGACCGTGTTTCCGCAATTGACCCAGGTTCTGATGAGGGAGATACCATTGAAAACGTGGAGGGAACTATCGAGTTCCGTGGTATTAAGCATATCTACCCATCCCGCCCTGAGGTTGTTGTCATGGAAGATATTAACCTGGTTGTCCCCAAGGGCAAAACTACTGCTCTTGTTGGCCCCTCGGGTTCCGGAAAGAGTACCGTTGTTGGGTTGTTGGAGCGATTCTATAACCCAGTTTCTGGTTCCGTTCTTCTGGATGGCCGTGATATCAAGACTCTCAACCTCCGATGGCTCCGTCAACAAATTTCCCTTGTCAGCCAAGAACCTACGTTATTCGGAACTACTATTTTTGAAAACATTCGATTAGGGTTGATTGGGTCCCCAATGGAAAATGAATCCGAAGAGCAAATCAAGGAACGGATCGTCAGTGCAGCCAAGGAGGCCAATGCTCATGACTTCATTATGGGCCTGCCGGATGGCTATGCAACGGATGTCGGTCAGCGTGGCTTCCTTTTATCCGGTGGTCAGAAGCAGCGTATTGCTATTGCTCGTGCCATTGTAAGCGATCCTAAAATATTACTGCTTGATGAAGCCACGTCTGCTCTTGATACCAAGTCCGAGGGTGTAGTACAAGCCGCTCTGGATGCTGCCTCCAGAGGAAGAACCACTATTGTCATCGCCCACCGTTTATCCACTATTAAATCCGCTGATAACATTGTTGTGATTGTCGGTGGCCGCATCGCTGAACAGGGTACTCATGATGAGCTCGTTGATAAGAAAGGCACATACCTTCAACTCGTTGAGGCTCAAAGGATCAACGAGGAGCGTGGAGAAGAATCCGAGGATGAGGCCGTGCTCGAGAAGGAGAAGGAAATCTCGCGTCAGATTTCCGTTCCTGCAAAGAGTGTTAACTCCGGAAAATACGCTGATGAAGATGTTGAGGCCAATCTCGGACGAATAGATACCAAGAAGTCCCTCTCGAGCGTCATACTGTCCCAAAAACGTGGTCAAGAGAAAGAAACAGAATACTCGCTTGGCACTTTGATACGATTCATCGCTGGATTCAACAAGCCAGAGAGATTGATAATGCTCTGTGGATTCTTCTTTGCCATTCTTTCTGGTGCTGGCCAGCCCGTTCAATCCGTCTTCTTCGCCAAGGGTATTACAACACTTTCTCTCCCGCCATCATTATATGGCAAATTGCGCGAAGATGCCAATTTTTGGTCCCTGATGTTTTTGATGTTGGGTCTTGTCCAACTGATTACGCAGTCCGCCCAGGGCGTTATCTTCGCTCTTTGCTCTGAGAGTTTGATTTATCGAGCACGCAGCAAATCCTTCCGTGCAATGCTTCGACAAGATATTGCCTTCTTTGATCTCCCTGAGAACAGCACTGGCGCATTAACCTCATTCCTCTCAACCGAAACCAAGCATCTTTCTGGTGTGAGCGGCGCCACTCTCGGAACCATCCTGATGGTTAGCACTACTCTCATCGTGGCACTGACTGTTGCTCTCGCCTTTGGATGGAAACTTGCCCTTGTCTGCATTTCCACTGTGCCTGTCCTTCTTCTCTGCGGATTCTATCGATTTTGGATTCTCGCACAATTCCAGAGAAGAGCAAAGAAGGCATATGAGTCTTCTGCAAGCTACGCGTGTGAAGCCACTTCCTCTATCCGCACTGTTGCTTCTCTTACTAGAGAAAAAGGTGTAATGGAGATTTACGAAGGCCAACTTAACGATCAGGCAAAGAAGAGTTTGAGATCTGTTGCCAAATCCTCGCTTCTATATGCTGCTTCGCAGTCTTTCTCGTTCTTCTGTCTCGCTCTTGGCTTCTGGTATGGTGGTGGCCTGCTTGGAAAGGGAGAATATAACTCATTCCAATTTTTCTTGTGTATCTCCTGCGTCATCTTCGGCTCTCAGTCTGCTGGAATTGTGTTTTCCTTCTCACCTGATATGGGCAAGGCAAAGAGTGCAGCCGCTGATTTCAAGAAGCTGTTTGACCGCGTGCCAACGATTGACATCGAGTCGCCTGATGGCGAAAAGCTTGAAACCGTTGAAGGCACTATTGAGTTCCGCGATGTGCATTTCAGGTACCCCACACGCCCAGAACAGCCTGTGCTTCGTGGCCTCAACCTCACTGTCAAGCCTGGCCAGTATGTCGCATTGGTTGGGCCTAGTGGGTGTGGCAAAAGTACTACCATTGCTCTTGTAGAAAGGTTCTACGACACATTATCTGGCGGTGTATATATTGATGGAAAGGACATTTCAAGGCTTAACGTTAACTCTTATCGAAGTCACCTTGCACTCGTTAGCCAGGAGCCAACTCTCTACCAAGGAACTATCCGGGATAACGTTCTCCTCGGAGTCGACAGAGATGATGTCCCTGATGAGCAAGTCTTTGCCGCATGCAAGGCTGCCAACATATATGACTTCATCATGTCCCTGCCCGATGGCTTTGCTACTATTGTCGGGAGCAAGGGAAGTATGCTGTCTGGTGGGCAGAAGCAACGTATTGCGATCGCCCGTGCTTTAATACGAGACCCAAAGGTTCTCCTCCTTGACGAGGCTACATCTGCACTTGACTCTGAATCCGAAAAGGTGGTTCAAGCCGCCCTTGATGCCGCTGCGAAGGGTCGAACGACCATTGCTGTTGCTCACCGACTCAGTACTATTCAAAAGGCAGACGTTATATACGTCTTCGATCAGGGCCGCATTGTTGAAAGTGGCACTCATCACGAACTCCTCCAAAATAAGGGCCGATACTATGAGTTGGTTCATATGCAAAGCCTTGAGAAAACTCACTAATGTTACACATATACCCACCAGTTTTCCCACACCTACCCTTCACATTTTATACTAATATATATCCCCTCTTCTTCTTCTCCATCTCCATATAGTTGGCGGGAAAAGTTTCTGTTTATGCTATTTCGGTATATATTCCCACCTCCTTGTACAGTTTGACCCCATTTACATACCTCTCACCCTCTTCTGTATATATCCATATTTTGGCGTTCTGGTCTAGGCCAAAGATCGTCGTGGCGAAGCAACGCTGTAGATGGTCGCATCTCTTATTTTAGTCTCTTACATGCATATAGACCAATAATGAATCAAGGTAGCTTTTGTTCTCTCTTGAAAAGCAGTGTCACCCTTCCTCCCCTTCCTGCACTCAATTGGCTCCCTCCAAGTCTCCTGCTCCCATCAAGCTCGTATCTCAAAGCTCTGCGGATTTTACGAGCTGGGCAGTTCCAGCAGTACTTTGTGTGACACACAACAATGCCAACCACAGCCTCACCCTTTCTCTCTACCTCTGCATATACGGATGGCTTCCAATTTCAGAACAGCCCGATGGTGCGATTGACCAATATCCTTCAAATGGTCCGCCACCTCAACCAACAAACTTCGGGTTTGATTGAACCGAATGCCTAAGATCAGCACGAGAAAAGAGGAGGAAATGGATCTCACCCAGACTCCGTAGTTAGGCTGTCGCAGCTAAGCAGCAGGAGAGAGATATAAATATGGCCTCCTGCATCCCATGGAGATACCCCAAAAATAATTTCTCAACTCACTTTTCAATAAGACAACATCACAATCTTCGCTCAGAGCCATCTTATCCATCAGTTTCCTTAAGCAAAATGAAGTACACTATTTTCCTTGCCTTGGCTGCTCTAGTCATCTCTGTGAGTGCCAGGTGTGATGGATCCCCGGACCCTACCTGGAGACATTCCGGCAGTTGCCCGGGCGCCGGTGCTGGTTCGGAAGAATGTAATGCGAGATGCCAGAAAGAGGGCTTTGGTTGTGGCGGTTGCGGAGGCTTTGCGTATAGAGATTGCTGGTGTTGCAGCAATGATTGTGACAGCAAGTATGGCTTCCTACTTCTAGACACAGCACAGCTGGTCTGAAACATTATTGAGCCTCGGCTTCTAACTTGTCAAAGACCTTGAATAGCGGAAAACCAATTTATGACCAATTTATGACCGTGCGTCCGATCGTTTGGCCTCCTGAACTGGTGATCTCTTGTGGACATGGATGTCAGTGGGCAGGAATGAAGCGGAAGGGCTTAGTTGAGATTGGGCATCTAGAGTGGTGACCGTCTCAGTGCATTCTTTGCGCCAGATGCGTACCAAGCAGTTGATTAGTACTTAGTCTTTAGAAATATATCGTCCTATGGGCTGCATCCTTGAAATATCTATTCCGCGTTTGAAGACTTAGAGGCTCAGCCTGGCTGGGGCTGCATTTCACAACCTAAATTGCCAGACACGTGACTAGAATTCACGTGAGTCCCCGTTTTAGGTAGGTTTCGAAGGGAAGCTTAGTGGAGCCGCCGGCCTTAATTTCGCGTAACTTGACGTCCAGGAACATCGACATCAACAATCGACATAACGCATCACACCGGTTCTGCGGACCCGGCATTGGGTGCTTGTCAGTCTATATATATGTGAAATGGTTATTGGGTGTGTACAACCGCCAAACCCTTTATATTTTACTTTCATTCACACGCTTTCGGCCAAAACCACCACGTCTTCCCATTGCGTACTTCTCAACTTATCAACTACTTGTTGTGATGTAGATTTATAGTGGCCTTCCTGTGGACTAAATAGACCTGACTCACTTCATAGCTCCTTGGCTTTTTCAGAAGTCACGCTCTTGTTATGGATGAAAAAGTTGGGCTTTGGGCTTGAACCTTAGCCGTCTCTTCAGACTGCTTTCCTCTTGGCCAGTGCTAATCGGACCATCTTTTAAGCGCAGGATACTCAAAAGCACACCCCTATAAAATACCCAGGGTACTATGAGATGCATATGACGGAGTATACTTAACTATGGCTATCATAATCTTTGTAATAAAGGTTCAACCCGATAGGATTACGTCTGTCTATCCCTCGGTTTTATTGCTACGCTTCAACATTCTGTGACCATCTCCTTTGAGCGTTTTTCTCGATGCTATCAGATACCCTCTCCGCTCACAACCTGTTGATAACTTGACTACCTGATTCCAAAATTCTCTATCGAAATATTTTATAGCCGCTTAACAATACCATGAGGACCTTTAGTATGATTGCTTCCCATACATCACTTTAGCAACAAATCCGTTTTCCAGCCTTAAGAATGCCATCTAACTATTCTTCTCGCCCAAGGCACATTGTTTGGGTGGATATGGAACAGCTACATAGATGATTTGTACTAGCAAATGCTTCTACAACCACCGATGTCTTCCTCTATTCCTCGGAGGCCACAGTTCCATACTTAAGGAACTGAATAAGAGGTGACGCGGCTAGTCGTCAAGTAGCACGGTAAGACTTCCACTTGTGCCATATCTGCATACTCTTAAATTATTCTCATTGGTACTCCGTACCGTTATGTTCCATTTTTGACGGAAGAACAGAAATGCCCTAAAAAAAGAAAAGTGATAACTCCCGGGTCCGATTTCTCCCCATTCAGCCAAGGTAATTACTAGTCAGTGTTAGTATCGCAGCCATGCAAGTGAATCTTTCTTCAACCATTTTTATTCGTCTCTCGGTTTTTTTGTGTTACCTTGCCGTGTCACCTTGGACGTTCGAAGGACTTGGTACGAATGCCCCTACATACGCCTCCTTCTTAGGGGTTACAACTTGAGTTGAAATCCATTACGTCAACTTTCAAGTACTCAAGGCATCGTTACCAAATTGGAAGTTATTATACCTTTATACGGAGTATCGATGTGGTTGATGGTGTATTTTCTTTTAGTATAATTGCTTTTGTCTGAATTTTGAGTGATACGAGATATTTCCATTTTGCCCAAAGCTGACATTAGCAACCCTGGTCTAAATATGTGATAGGCCTGATCTCAATTTCTGGACCTTGCCTTCAAGATGGTTGTTTTCTTCCTGAGATTCAACTTCACTTTGAATTTTAATGGCCTGAAACTCGCAACCCCTCTTCATTCCATTTCGGAGTCTGCGGATACCAGCAAAGATGTCGAAGATGCTGTCCAAACCATGGCTCCTGGAGGCGCGGTCATCGGAGGCGTTTATCATTCTTGTTGTCTCCATTGCTATCTTCGTGGTAAGTAATGCCAGCTCGGATTGGGAATTAGGGTTAGGGTGTACCGTTCGAGAATGACTTCCTAACAGTGTCATAGGATATATTTCTTTACAGCATGGTATGAAACCATGATGGAACTCGTTACCCAGCAGAGTGCTTCGTCAGATGTTTACAATTCGCTCTAGATTGTACCTATTATCCCGAAAGCCCTTGTTGATCGTATCGGAGTATCGCCTGATGATGGTTCGTACAGAGCATCTCCAATTGTTTCGGTGAATCAAGGGCCCGTTAACACATTACTATAGCTCAAAGCTGGATGTCAGTCCTACTAGCGACTTATGGTGGAACTCTCCTACTGGGATCCCGTACGTCTATATCGTATCTCATTCTCTTCGGATCCGACTGTTAACAAAACAATAACCGTAGCAATATTCGGGTATATTGCGGATAGGACTAGATCACCAAAAGGGCCATTCATCGTCGGCCTACTCGCTCTCGCGCTCTCGACGGCACTTTTCATGCTGGCTAGATCTCCTGCTTTATTTGTGATTGCCCGGGGTCTCCAGGGATTCTCCGGTGCTGCAGTCTGGGTTGCTGGCCTGGCACTTGTCGTTGATACCGTGGATGATAGCAGAGTTGCAGAAGCCATGGGATACACCACCATGGGCCTGAGTCTGGGGTCTCTATTAGGCCCGGCTGCCGGTGGAGTGTTGTACGACAAACTTGGGTTCTATGGAGCATTCTACGTGCCGATTGGATTGATAATTTTGGACGTTATTTTGCGGGTGGTCTTGATTGAGCCTAGTGGTATGACCTTTTCCCCTATCCTCTCATTTCACTACTCTCGGACACGGAGGCTGATAAGAGCGTCTCTCAGCTGCCAAACAGTGGAAAGTTATGGAAAGTGATGAACACTCACCGTTGCTGCAACCCCCGACATCCGCTACCAACAACTCAAATAAACCCAATTCAACGTTTCAAATATTCCATTTACTGGGCCAAAGGCGTCTCCTTGTGGCTTTATTAGGTGGTCTAGTTGGTGCCCTTACCTTCTCTGCATTTGAAACAGTAAGGCGAACTTCTCTCCTCTCATGAGAAATAAGACGGCTTCCTGACCTTTCCTAGACACTTCCTCTCTTCCTAATCGAGTCTTTCCACTGGTCTTCCAGCAGTATAGGACTCGTCTTTTTCATTATGGCGATTCCCGGCATGGCTGGTGCCCTAGTTGGAAAGTTAGTTGACAGATGTGGACCGCGAGTCTCCGCCACGGTGTCTTTTACCATTGCAGGTGCAACCTTAATCCCGCTCCGCTTTGTCCATCACCCTGTCCTAGCAGAATATTCTCTGCTGATCGGTCTCCTGGCAACAAACGGCTTAGCAATCTGCGCGGCTTCCCTTGCCGCAATGTCAGAAGTGTTTGAAGTTGTTTACTCTCCTGAGAGCAGTGGTGCATCGAACAATGCGAACCCTGTGGCCCAGGGATATGCTCTGTATAATATGGCATTTGCTGGCGGACAGCTTGTTGGTCCGATTTTAGGAGGCTTTCTCAAGGCTCGCCTTGGATGGAATACCATGACACTAGTTATTGCTTTGGTATCGGGTGCTACGGCTGTTGCCAGCGCCCTATATGCAGGAGAACAGGCCCCATACGACGAACTTATCGGCCCGGAGGAGGTGACGGCTGCATAGAATAGCTCGCATAATAGGTATGGGCTGGCTTGTTTTTATATACCATCAAAAGACCGTCAGTTGGAAAGGTGCTTGTAAGATACGTGTCTAGTGATTTATACCTTCATATCATAAATGATGATTTCTTCTTAGTAGCTAACTAACTAGTTGCCCACCGTATAGATAAAATGAAAATTATCTCCGTTCACCTGTCAAAGTTTTGAACCCATGTTGAAGGTTCTTGTCCACAGATGCCATGTTATGTGACATAGACTCAATGTACAGCGAGCGACTAGTGTAGACGGTCTCGCCACTTGTGATTGGATGCGTGGGACATCGTATCTCTTCATATCAATTATTTTGTGGATACGAACATGAAAAGCCCGGCGCGGCCCGTGGCGAGAGAGCCATCAATTAACTATCCATTTATAGTCCGCCCGATAGGTGTCTTGGGATACACATCGCGCGCAGGATACAGGTCTGCAAGTGATGGACAATCTCTCGGGTCTGAGTAGAAGACTGAACCCAGCTCCTTCATCATCTTGACCTTCTCTTCCATCGACACATCCTATGCTTCTCAAACTCAACACCAATCCCAGATACATTCCCCAAAGCCCAAACACCACCACCCTCCACCACATCTTCGCCAATGTTATCCCGCGCTCGGATGTTCATCCATTCCTGGCCATGCAAAAAATTCACTTAATCCCGTCATCATGCTCTGCGGCCATCCCATCTATGGAGCCGTTGAACAGAGCATGGTAGCTGAACCAATGCCTTCCCCCTAATTTCCGGAGCAGAACACAGGACCGGCCTTCAGCCTCTTGACTCGGTAAGCGTTCCTTTGGCAGCGCGAATCCATCAAATCCGAGGAATCTCAGGTCGACAATGTCTACCCTTGTCTTTGCTATGATGGAACCTTTTATTGCTTCGCGGTTGGGTCTTTTAGACGGAATGCCGTAGATAACATAGCCATTTCGCGAGTAGCTAGATGTGCGCGCATCCAGTCAAGGGATGGCGGGGATTATCATACTCTAGGGGTTTTGGTGGTGGTCTGTAGGGTACATAGTTAAGTACCTATGTACTCCGTAATCAGACACCGGTAGGAACATGCTGAACTACTCGCATATGGTGTCCATTGTGTCTGCAAGGTAACCAATCGATGGAGGCACCGCCGCCATCTTCGCACGAATTGGTGGGTGGCACTCGGCATTCTGTAGCTGAATAGCTGTAATGCAGGTTGTGAGCTTCCTGGTCGCCATCATCTATCCATTCACCCCGTACTCGGCGCCTTTGCCTTGTTATTTTTCAAATTTGGCAGATGGGAAAAAAAAAACGGGTTGGGCCGGGCCCCGGGATATCACATGATGAGGCTCAAGTGGAGTAGAGTTAACTAGTTAGAGTCTAGCTCACCACTGGAACTTTATTTATTTATTTTTTATTTTTATTTTTTTTCAGCTCCGACGGAGTACGAGGTGGTGACAGCAACGGAAAAAAAAAAAAAAAGAAGGCCCTACAGATCTCCGTACGGAGGACGTTTCGCAGGCTAATAAGTGGTTATCAGACTCGCGTCCAGATGTTGATACGCCAACTTTAACAAAATATATTGTGATTTGTAGGGGCTGTGATCCCTATTAGTGAGCTTCTGTTTGATTTCCCGCGATCCTGTATGCATGTTATACCAAACGCTGTGCTCTGGTTGATTGCCCACAGCTGCCACCAAGATTACTCCGGCCACTTAAACAACTCGGGTCCCGCTTTGAGAGAGATACCTGGGCACAGTGCATCAACTCCACCTGGCTGCAATGCAATGGCCATTCTTTTATCCCTCTCCTCCCCTGCCGCGCTTTCAATTCAAGGAGAAGACGGCAAGTCACAGGCATGAAATCCCTTGTTTAGGTGGCCGGACTATTCTATGGCCTAACCCAGACTCTCACAAGCTGGCTCTCCACCGGTCATCGAGCGGTGTACCCTCAGATTTATCGTCATTCCCTGCTCTAGGCCGCTTGTCCTTCCCCACAAGCACGTTCACTGCTGAGTGGCGCCGTTGTGCGAAATGAGGGACAGCTGCGACGTTCAGGGCAATCCAGGCCCTTTACTTGGTATCTTGGCTCGGGCACATACACCTCCCGTTGCGGTTGCGACAAGTTGACATCGAATTTTTCTCACTGCATTAGTGTTAATTAATTGCAGCATATAGGAGCTATAACACGAAGCATGTGTTGCGGGCCACGAGTGTGCGCTTGCTCTTTTGGCTCTGCTGTTTTCACAGTAATGACAGCTGTTGCATCGAGTTTGGCTGGCTCGAATGAACTTCGTGGCAATGCGCCATGCGTGATGTATTAGGTTTGCATCCTGCATGTCGATCGATGGTGCCTTGCTGTTGTTGGCAAATATTGTCGATCTGGGCCGTCTCTACAGCTAGCGGGCCCGCGACAATTCCATCAGCTCCCTCCCACTGCACCAGCCACCTCCAATAGTAGAAAACTTTGCCAGCCAGCACTTCCAATAGATTATCCTTTCGGCACTCCGTAAAAGGCGGTCTCAGATTACTGCGCACATCCCAAGCCGGCATACTCAAAAGCAATGATCACTCTGTACAGCCTGCTCCCAAGCTTTGGGCTTCAGCCATTGTCTGTATCAGTTCCAGCTAACTACCTATGGAGTACTCGTTGTCCATCTTCACCAGTTCAAAGAAATTCCCCAATATGAGATCCTCGACCTCAACCTCAACATTGAGTCTTCTGTCGATCTTACCATTTGCCTTGTGTTGGCTGGCTATTTAACTGCCCTCAATCCTCCCCTTAGTCGACTGACCCCTCTGCAAGAACCACCAAAAACCTCCTTGTTCGTTACTCTGCTCTAAGCCTCACTCAGCATCTTTCCGGTAAGAATACCTAACAGTATTTTGCTGTTACAAGTTCAAATGTCTCTGACAGCAACTAGATACAACCAACATCGCCCTACACGAGGTTCTTGTCACTGCCCAACAATGCGCTTCTCTCAAGTGATAACTGCCGCCCTGCTTGTAGCCTGCGCATCGGCTCAATAGCTCAACAAGGGCGATACCTGTACCTCCAATCGCAATTGCGAAGCGCGTTGCGGTGGGGGCGAGTTCAGCATATCCTCCGGCAAGTTTGTCTGCTCTAATGACAACGCAAAGAATGACAAAATATTCAGTTGTTTGGGTTGTACGAATCTTCCAGAGTCCGATGCGGACAGAATTTCGGAAATATGTACGGCGGTGGCAAGCCTGGGGGAAAATGGTATATACTGCATCACTCAAGATGAAGGCTTTGCCAGTCATTGTGAATATTACAATGGAGAGCTGAAGAAGGTCAAAGAGCTTTCCACTTATGACGAAGCAGTGGATGCTTGCAAGAAGGCATCGGGACAATAAATTTAGTTAAGACGAATATTACGGAATCAATCTTGTTTTCTAGTTATTTAGTTAACTAACTAGCGCTAACTAGTTAGCCATCACTTTTCTAGCAGGAGAGTTGGCATCCCGCCCCTTTTTCTAAGGTCTTATTCTGATATACCTTGTAGTCAGCGTCTTTTACCACGAAGTTTCAGGTTCCTAGTCGTTGTCTTCCTGGCCTCGCTGCTGACTCTTGTGATCGTGTCATTGTTGTTCTCAGCGATATGCTGGATATTGCCCGTTTCTTCCTTGATGGTGCCGTCCGGCTGAATGTTGTGCGCGTTTGTCCGCCATACGACCAGGTCTTCACGACGCTGATGTCGCAGCTAGACCGTTACCGGGAATGCCTCAGGTTCATCGAGGAGCGTCTCATTGGACCGGACAACATGTTGAAGTAACTAGATACCCAGGAGACGATGCATGTTCGGGTTCCGGGAGCTTCCCCAGGCTCCGCCAGGCTCGGCTTTCGGGCGACGAACAACCATGCACTATGTGGCAGTTAATCAATGACGTTCGTTAATCGTTAGTCACAATAAGTCAACTTATTGTAACTAGGATGTAGTTAACTAGGATGTTGTCGACCCAGCGTGAGACTCGGATTTAACTAGCTTAAGCCCGCCTTAACTACCAACAATTGGAGCATAAAGAGCGCTCTCGCAGCCTGGCCAAACGGTTGCAAATTGCAATAGTGTAGTTATTCCCACTCACAGCTAGACCAAGTTTTTATCTACTAGACATCCATTCGCATGCTACAATGACCATCCTTCTCACCGGCGGAACAGGCAAGACTTCTATTCGCCTAGCTCGCTTCCTCCAAAATGCAAATATACCATTCCTCCTCGCCTCCCGTCGTGGCTCGTCCGCAGCCCCAGTAGGCATGCCAGCCGTTAAATTCGACTGGCTCGACAAGGAAACATGGAAAGCACCCTTCGGCGGTAAACCCATCTCCGCTATCTATCTTATGGAGCCGCTGGTTGCAGAGCCCTGGAAGCCTATGATCGAGTTTATCGACTATACGCGCAACGTGCATGGCGTTACTCGCTTTGTCCTAGTGGCAGGTACCTCTGCCGACTTATCACGGCCCGGTATGGGGGTAGTCTGGAAGCATTTTCTCGAGACTGATGTCGACCATTGTGTGCTTCGGCCTAGTTGGTTCATGGGTAACAGGATCACACAACCTTAACTATAACTATTTTGATGTCCCCGCTAACTTTAATTAAACCTATAACTAACTAGAGAACCTAACTGATGAGGCTCCCGGCCCTCTTATCCGCGAGTATAGCAAGATCTACACAGCCTGTGGTGATGGGAAGATCCCCTTCGTGAGCGCTATTGATATTGCGGCAGTCGCATTCCGAGCTCTCACAGATCCTAAATCGCATAACTGCGACTACCGTATATTAGGACCAGAGCTCCTTACCTACGATGAGGTGGCTGAGAAGCTGTCAGCTCACCTAGGCCGGCGTATCGAGCATGTCAAGCTATCGGGAGATGAGCGTTATAAGAGTTTGACGGACGCGGGTGTCTCGGACTACTTCGCTCGGTTTTTAACAAACTTGGAGGTAGCAGCAGCTGATGGGTTTGAAAGTCGCATGAATAAGACAGTGGAGGAGATAACGGGCCGGGCACCCAGGAGCCTGGACCATTTTGCTTATGAAAATGTACATTCGTGGCAGTAGATATAACTAACCACTCGTTATTATGTATATAGAGCAATCCTAATATCACTATGACAGGCTTATTGGTGAGAGTAATAGCTCCCAGAGGTGTACCATTCATTGAAGGACTTGATCTGCTAAAGATTTATATGAAAATCCGCTATATACAGCAAGATACGTCACATTCTAACCATCTAATCTTTGAATACTTTCTGGAAACGTATCAATTCATCAAGCCACGGTATAGCTGACTCGGGACGTGCCCTTGCTCCGAGAAATCTTCTTTACAGTCGTTTGTCCGCAGAGATCCGTCGAATCGACATGAGTACCACCACAAGGATACACCTCCGCCCCTACAATGTTGACTACCCTGGACTTTTCACCTGGAGGCACCAATGTAGGATCCGGTATCAGTCTCTCCAACCCTCTAGAGCGGAAATCATCTTCATCCCACCACTCTATCTCGACCGGCATGGCCGCAGCAATAAACTCATTGACCTTATCCTGGATATTTGGCTTCCATTTTCCCTCAATAAGACCCCGGAACTCACATGCTGCCGAGTCGGGGAAGTGCGATGCCTTCAGCTCTTCGAATCCCTCCACATCCTTTTCCACAAGATGCTTAACTGCAGCACCCAAGACATGGCCGGCAGTGTGCAGCCGTGAGTAGAGAAGACGCTTTTCCACATCAATTTCCTGCTGCACCGTCTCACCAGGTGCGAAAGTGGATGGCCCGAAACGTCCAAAGTGCAGGACCTGGCCGTCTTGAAGGGCGTCCATCCGAACCGAGGTAACGGTAAAAGAAGCGCCAGAGGGGGAAGTGATCATGCCTATGTCAGAAGGCTGGCCGCCGCCTTGAGGGTGGAATATAGTTTTTTCCGTAACTACCACATGGTCTTCTTCGCTGCCTTCCTTGAAGAGCTGACGGTTGGCTTCCTCGAGTGCCGCGAAGGGGCGCACGGCAGTCACGAGAGTCTGAAGGGTATACAGCTTTGCATGGTGCTGAAAAGCGAGAAATGTGCGGGCCATTTCTATGACGAAGGTAGGATGGATGAGTTACTTTTCTCTACCTGTATGATTTGATGTTGGGAGTCATAAAGATTCGCCCAAGTAGATGGACGGAGTAGTTAGTTAAACTTAATTGGCTATGCTAAAATAACTAGTTAAATTCACAAGGAAGTTTAATGAATGAAATATTAACTACTTAGCAGATGCGAGATTCTAATTGGATATAAAAAATTATTCCATAAATATACACACCAATGATATTGCCTTTAAAATATTCGGACCTTTAAGATCCAACCAATAAAAAACGTATGATACGCCTCCTGTCAAAGATATATACCGTATATTGGCTTATATATAGGATTCAACTGGCGGAATGTTTTGCTCAGAGAGCCACACGTTGCTTTGATAATCTGTCGATCTAGGCATTCCGCTAAAGTCGAATTCCATAATCTCAACTTTACCTGCCAATCCAAATACGGCAAGGTTGTCTCTAACAATGAGACGACTAGGTCTATATGCATGAGGAACCCAGAGGACATTGCATCCATCATACATAATCCAGCTATTTGTGACAAACAGTGAGTGTATGTCAGAATTAGTCAAGGTCGCATCATTGGAAGTGAGTATTTGCAATGGTCCACAATTGGTGGAAAAAAGATCATCCCGGACGCTGCTTGGGAGCAATTGCCAAATATTGCAGTCTGGAAGCTCACAAAGTGTTGTGCTTGTTATTACCTCTTGAAGGTATTGTTTCTGTCGAGGGCCTGACACCATAAACAACCTTTGCCTGTCCATCGAAAAGGCGAGGGCCTGGCATATATCCATTGTTTTATATTCCCGGAGCATCTCTCCAGTATCCGTGCTCCATACTTTGACTGTGCGCGAACTTCCGGTGGCTATAAGCCTACTATCTGGCGAGAAAGTAAGGGCCTCTACCTTTGCATGGCGGCCGTTGAGTTCTAGAAGGAGTTTTCCAGTGTTGAAATCATATATGTGATATTCCTCATGCATTAATTCAGGTGGGTACGTATCCAATGCCACTAGTACCATTCCCTCGTTTGGTGAAATAGCCATATTTAAAACAAGTCTGTGAGATTTGTCAATCATTGGAAGTTCCTCGAGTGAAGTAGTATCCCAAGTTACCAACCAGCCATAGGCATCCGCTGATACTAGCCGCTTATCGCTTGGCCAAAAGAGAATATTCTTGTCAATGGAGTAGTTTAACTTCGATTGCTGCAACGGAACACCCTTTGCCACATCCCATATTACGACCGGAGCCCCTGTAGCATCTAATCCGCAGCCACCTGATGCGGCTAGCTTGCCGTCTGGCGAAAGCACAAGAGCAAAGATATTACCACCATAGGCGCTCGCTATCTTTTCTTCCGGTGCTGGCGCGCTCCAAAGCCGCTTTATTGAATCTTTGGCCTTATTTAGAATTGGTATAAAATGTGCTGATGTTGGGGTTGGCATATCCCATATCCTAATGAGGTTGTCGGGTGATCCTGATGCCATTACCGTACCGTCGGGGGAAAAGGAAACCGAATTGCTGTTCTTGAACAATTCTACCAGTTCCCCCGAGGCCACATCCCAAAGACGCAGGTAACATGCCCAGTTATAGGTAGCCAGTAATTTGCCATCTGGAGAGAATACCATATGATCAACGTCCATGTGCCTAAGCTCTGTATCTGGTGTCGACGATCCGTTTAGATATATAGTCGTACCAGTTGGTTTTCCCGTGGCTGCAGCCCTGAATGATATTTGTGTTGCTCCTAGGATCTCTAGCTCGGCCTGTGCTAACGCCAACTTTCCATCTAGGGAAAACGCCACGTTGGTGCAAGCATCAATGGTGTACAGAACCGAACGCTTCCTAACGTCCAGAATCTGCGTTTTTCCTGCAATTGCGAGGGCTATCAACTTACTATCAGGCGAAAATGTGTATGTATAGCACCCTTTCAACTGATACACAACAGAACCATCTTCTGCATTCCAAATACAGGTCATGCTCCATGTTTCAGGGTGGCCTCCCATGATGGAAGCCCCTATCAACTTATTATCGGAGGAGAAGGCGAGATGGCGGGGCGTACCAAAATTATTAGGGCAGTGGCATCTTTCAAGCGTCTTCAACATAGTCCCACTCTCTACGTCCCAGACCTGGACTAACATTTGTGCTGCCCAGACAATTACTAGCTTGCCATCAGGTGAAAACGAAACCGAATGAATGGCAGAATTCCCATGGCCTGTGGTTTCAAGCACCCTGGTCACCGTGCCGGTTACTGCGTCAGAAATTTTAACGGAGTTCGAAAAATTGACTGAAACCACCAGTTTTTCACTTGGTGCGAAGTCTGCATCCTTGAGGTGTTCAATAGTATTGAGCAGTGCACCTGTGGTTGTGTCCCAAACGCGGAATGATTTCACCTCTGTTGCGGGCCCTGAGATTGAGGTTATAAGCGTGCCGTCCTTGGAAAATGCCGGGGATATGAAGTGGCGGGCCTGGGATGGTTTACCAGCAAGATTTCCTAATGTTTGGCGAAGTAATGTCCACTTTGGTTGTACTTTTGGGTATCTCACAATCCAGTTGGGCAAATCTTTGGCAAAGTGTTTGCGGAGCAAGCTCTGTTCTGGTGCGAAAACTAGGGCAGAGCAATATACTTGAAGAGGAGCCTGTTCAATGATTGCACGGTTGTAGCGAATAAACCGTTTTGCATCTTCGACAAAAGCATAAAGCTGAGGGCTTACATTGGCCTTCGCAATAACATTAGTAGTTGGCGAGTAATACCATATGTCAAGAAACTGGAACTTACGTTTATCATACTACTCAATAATTGAATGGCGCGCATCCCTTCAGAGCTTTCTCCAAGCAAGCTCAAGGCCTCAAGCCAATGAAGCAAGTGGTCTAGCAAGAAGATGTGGACTATGCCATTGTCACAGAGACCAACATCCTGGCGTTGGAGAGGGTCCAGTTCCTTGAGGTGATATATCCAGTGTCGACTTGCGTACGCAGTGTGAATAGAAAGATATTCCTCTATTCTAGTTCGAGCTATTTGATTGATTTCGATACCAGGGTGGCGCAGGTTACAAATATCTCGTCTGAGTCCGTATTGTGAATTGCTGGATAACAGTCGGATGCAGGAGGTGAATAAATCCCGGTGCATCTGCTCATTAATCCAGATCCTGCGGTTTTCTTCATGCTTTCTCAGGAGAAATTCGCGAAAGGACTGGTGAGAGATATGCACCGGCTCCTTGGGCGATTCGGGTATCACCAGAATCGAATGGAGAGAATCGAGCCTGGAACATACAACTTCAAGCTCCAGCCTTTTCGGGCACAACTCACACAGGCTTGTTTCTGGCATTGGTTCAAATAGAGCCACAATAGTTCCAAGAATCATCCGGAACTGTTCTACCAGTACTTCCTTTTCCGGACCAGTCACTGCCTGGGTTAGGATGTGGTCGTACATATTATCGAGAGAGTCGAAGGCTTGGTTTTGAAAGATCCGGGTTAGGCGATCATTCATTGATGTGGCCCCTGGTTCTTTGATATACCGGCAAGTTATCGCAGCATAAATGAAGAGACCATTTGCTCTCTCAGTGAGTCTTGATATAGATTCCTCACTCGGCCAGTGGGCTTCGACCCCACGTTTCTCCGTATGTAGATTTCTGAGCTCTCCACGAAACATCTGGGAAATATCTAGATCAACAGTAGACTTATCAAGTTTGTCTAGTTCAATATGATAGACGTTTTGAGGTGATTCTTTAAAAGCGGCTTGGATATGGCTCTCAGGTCTGCTGGTTATGAGAAAGCGTAGTCGGATATTTTGCAGCGCTGCAGAGTTAACGAACAGGTTGATGATACCCATGATTTGTCGTTTGCTGAGGCCTTCGCATTCATCCAATGCATCAATAACCATAATGATAGGGCTCTGTCTTGGACTCAACAGAGAAAGTGGATTGTATATAAGCTTTTCCCACTGAATTCCCATTGCTAATTGTTCTATTTCAGTGCTGTGTCTCTTCTCTGTTGAAATTGCTACTCTCAGGGACGGGGACAACCCGCTGAGCTGATGAGCAAGGGAACTGACAAACTTTGACAGCGTTCTGAGGTCCTTTTCGTTCTTCGAGAAGAAAAAGGTTCCTCCAAGCTGCCCCTGTTTGGAGTACTGCAGAGCAATTGTGCGAGAAATAGTGGATTTTCCAGTACCCAGTCTTCCACTAAGCCAGCAAATACATTTTTCAGGGGTACCATCTATCCAGGCCTCTATTTGGCGGAACAGTTCAACCCGGGTGCCAGCAAGACAGGTAGGTTCATGTTCATGAGCAAGGGCTCGCACATCAGCAGCAACCGCATGGGCTAATATGGGAGCATTGGGGAGCATTTCACAATCTGCTGGCGATGGCACTGCGTCGTGCAGAATATTAGACAGCTTCTGGCCAGCAGACTCTCGGGCTTCCACGCATCTGTCTTCGCAGTTCCCCCTACACTCAAGCAGACTCCAAGGCCGCAGGTAGTTGAAACCCTGGAAGTTCTCGCTGATAGCTACAAATATTTTGAGCATCCCTTCTCGCGTCCTCACTTCATTCTTCAGGGAGTCAGCAATTTCGAGTCTTCCAAATTTGTCCTGTCGAAAGAACTCGATGAAGGAGGCCGCTATTGCAGCCGCCAGGGGGGTAGCAAACGAGGTGCCAGTATCTCGGTATCGAAGGCTTGAAGAGTCATTTGGCCGCCATGCATCCAATACTGCTTCGCCGAGGGTGCAGAAATTGTAGTGGTCCTTCCGAGGAGGGGGGTTGAAGTTCGACACCTTGCCGTACCCATCAGTCGAATTGATGCAAATGACTTCAGGCATGTTAGCTGGGAAAATGGGCTTTGGTATATTTGCTCCAGCGTTAGATGCAGCTACGAGCATGATCTTCCTTTTCTCGGACGCTTTGCGAATGGCACTGGCAACTACATCATACTCAGAGCCAAACCCCCATGACATAGATATTATGTCCACGTCCCATGGATGAATTGCATATTCAATAGCCTGGTATCACATATCCTATTAGCAAGCTGTCGTTGCGAGCAACTATCCCCGAGATCATCCTACTTTTGCCACACTCTCTGGATTCAACGGGGAGCCATCGTCCTCTTTTACTCTTGCAACGTAAATATCCGCAAAGGGCGCTCGTTTTAGCAACAGGACAGCAATTTGGGTGCCGTGACGACGCGAATCCGAATCATCTGCATCGTCGACAGGCCTGTCAATAAGAAAACTCCTACAGTCTATGATTCTCTTTTTATCCTTTGTAGATATTTCTGTATGGGATATGTCGATGCCGCTGTCAAGAATCGCCACTTTCGCCCGGGTCCCCCTTCGAACGATGCCCCCGGAAAAGGAGTCGATTGGACGACGGAAGTTCTCAAAGTAACTGAACCAAGTGTTTGCGTTATCCGTGCTAGGAAAAACCGTATGAGAAGATGTGCTGGGGATATTTTATTGCAAGGCGGACCAACCTTCTCAGGGTGTAGTAATCTGTCCCCATTGTCGTGGAAGCCATCACGACGTATCTCTTATATTTGGGCCGCTCCTCCGTAAGAGCAGCCCCGAGAAGCTATAGCAACTCCCTCCACAGAAACAATTCTTGTGGATTTATGGGCTTGGGGTATCACTTCTGCCTCTATGGACGAGCAGAGGAGCCATAGCAGACACTGCATTCGCTAATTAGTTATACGACGAAGACGGCGACAGCCCCATCCCGGCGGCAAGCCGAAGGAGGGGCGGCATGCAGAGAGCACAACTGGCTAATGTGATGGAACTGATACTTTCGAGATATGCAGGTAAGCGCCCAAAGACCCCCCTTATACGACGATTGGTATGTCAGCAAGGCTGAGTCCTGTCTATTTAACTAACAAGCGAGCAGCACGGTAGTTAGTTAGGCCAGCGGGGAGCTGCAGCTTCGCTCATCTGGAATGACTGCACGAATCAATCAATATGCCACTCCCCGGACAACGTCGGACGTATTTCGTCCCTGCGAATTTTGACAACCCTCCTCCGCCGGATGGCCCGATCAAGCTCGGCCAGCTGGTGGTTCAGCCAGAGAATCCAGGTCGCCCCGTAGATCCAGCCGGGCCCCTCGCATTTGAAGACTTCGAGGGGATGAAGCGGTACACGAACTCGACCAAGTTTTCCCTCCAGGATCAAAATCAAATGGCGTCGGAGGGCGGCCTCTTCGGGCGGGCTCTGCAGGCTGTGAGCGTCAGACTTGGTGTCAGCTTCTCCAGCTCGGCGGTCTCGTATGTTCTCAACGAGATTGAAACGCTGGACGTTGAGTTCATCGAGCCCACAGATGATTATGTCAAGGCCAGCATGGACCGTCCGAGGGTGAAAGCAGCGTTGAAGAAGCAGTTTTTCAAAAAGCGGCTGTACATGGTGACCGGGATCAAGACTGCGTATCCAGGCGCAAAGCTGGATCGGAAGGATGCGTTTAGCGCAAGTCTTGCTGGTGAGAGCGAAGCCTCGGGGCCCCAGGGGACTGGGGCTGTAGGGGGTAACGCGAAGTTCTCGGCGTCGGAGCTGCGGGCGCTGGCTTTGGTCCCTGCCAGGCCGTTCGTTTATGGATACCGTCTACAGGAGTGCTACTATCGGATTCGAAGCCTGAACCATAAAGAATATGTCGATGGGGCGCTTTTTGGCGTTAACAAGCAGTCTACGAGTGAGAAGGAGGTTGAGATCAGGGAAGAAGATATCGATATTGAATTCAACTTTATTGATGGCAAAGACCTATGCGATTTGGAAGCCGAAGACGACGAAGCCGAGTTCGAGATCGTGACCTTGGTAGATGAGCACGACGGCTCTGCCTGCGATGTTATCATGCCTCTTGCAGCTTAGATACCCAGATCTCTCCTTATACTTGGAATAGAAGAAACTCTTCATAACATGCAAGTACCCGGCGATAGGGCGTTTGTGGGCTTGGTTAAAGCCTGAAGAGAGCAGTTATGTGCTATCACTGATTAGGAATATAAACCTCATGAAAAGATATTGCTGAAAGCAGCTCTATAACCTCCTGAAACGCTGTTCTTTGCATATGGTCTCGTTTGCTCACTCATTTGCTACTTTGTTCAAGTTGGGTAAGTTAGAAGATGCCCCAAACGCATCGGTGAGGAGCAAACGAGTTTGAAACCGGGACTCGGGTGAAAATACACAGTTGGTAAGGCAATATAACCTCTATTTCTCCACCATATATCTAGAAGGGTAAGCAGATTTCGTCTCCTACATGATGCTTGTGGTTAGTTGCAGAATCACCAGTGGCTTTGCTTCCATTATTTTTGGACAATTCGTATTCTAATACCAGGTATGCAGGAATGTTTACATCCGGAATAAGGAGAGATTAATTCATTGACCTGTGCCGGAGAAAAGGTAGGATATAAAAATCACCTTAGAGTCCCCTTGAGGTTTGAAAACTACAAGATCACCGTCCTCATCAATTATCGTTTCTCCCTTGACACTTATTACTCAATATGAAATTAAACGCTGCTATTGCCTTTTCTGTGCTTGCTGTTGTAGCATTAGCTGCTCCAGCCGCACCAGTTACACCACCCACCACTTTTGCATATACCTCTCTAACTCCAGACCCTGCCAGTAAAGCCGAAAACATCTTTGCCCGAGGAGGGACCAACGACTGTAGTGAATCAACCTTTGACAACCAGACTTCGGAGTCTTCCCCCCTTGTCACCGACTGTCTTAAAATCGTCTCCAATATTGCTGGCGGTGGGACATGGATTGTTCAGCCATACGCCCAGCGCAGACTTGTCCAGTTTGGCACATGCGCATTCGGTGTCCAGACGGGATTGGAGGGGTCATGGCATGCGATTAAAGTTGGAAACGCAGATATTTCTGACTTGATAAACGCGTCAATTGATAAATTCCAATGGTATGGCAAGGTCGGAGCTAAGGGCGATATGCCTTGCCAGAAGGTTACTACCGGGGACCAAAGAGTCAGATGGGGTATCTACCACACTTAGAGGAGGTTGAACTGACCACTATACAGACAGGTATGTTAGGTTTTGGGAGTTCTATCTATACCTGCTAGGTCACATAGCTAAATATGTATATGACAGCAGCGGCCTTGCACAATAACCATCGGAGCACTACATGAAACGTCACCCAGTTAACAGGTTTTCGCTGCAAAGGGGGTTGGAAATGTTGAAATTAAGCGCGCCAAGTTTCCATAGGCGTAGGATATATGTCATGGGACCCTGTTTAATTTACCAAAATCATATATGTTATAGATCTTGAAGTCATAAAATGGATATCTTCATTTCATCATCAGTTCAGGCGATTCAGACAGTGGTATAGCTGCAGAGAAAAAACTAGCAAGTTGGTGTAAGATGGCGACTGTGTGAGTAGAATGGAAAGGCCTGCAAAAGGGAGGCTAACTCGAACAGACCTATAGTGCCCGTAAACCTATATATCACAAAGAGATTCGTCACGTAACAATAGTCAATATATTCATTAAGATCAGTTGTTAATGGTAGGTGATAGTTGGAAAGCAGTTATTAGTAGTTAGATATCAGTTTTTCCTTCCTCTGCTTAGTTATTGCATGCTTTTAGCGGGCTTAGTAGCCTCGTTATGTTCAGCTTGCAGTGCAATCGGGTCATTCAGCTCAAAGTCTGGGTTCCAAATCTGCTTTGCAACATCATCACCAGAACCATCTTTCGAGCTTTTGGCACCAATATGCTGGAAGACACTGGGGGTTAAAGCCCACCTAATTTCGTTATTTATGTTGGCATATTCCTCCAAAAGGGAGTCCGCAAACCCAATCTTCTTCTTCTCGTACCAGGAGACAACATCCGGGACACGGTTATGTGGGAACACAAGGGCCTGAGAACAGCATCCAAAACGCGGCATTTGGTGGACCCCTGAGGGAATCGGTAGCATTGACAAACGGCCCGAGGCAAAGAAGAGCACGATGCAGAGAGGCCCGTATATAAAGCAGATGACCAAGACGGCTTTATTTGTGAGTAGGCTGTTTGAGCGAGGGACATACCGCCGAGTGGTAACAAGGGTACCCCAAAGGGCTGCGATCACAGCCACGGAGCAGAGGAGATATATAAACCATTCTTCGCTATTCCAGCCTAGAAGGCCCTGGGTATAGAACAGTCGAAGGTATAAATCTAATCTCAATGAATCAGATAGGGAATTTTTAATAAAGAAAGGGGAGACAGCTTACACTGTGACGCTCCCAGCCGGCTGGTCTGCTGGTCAGCATCTACCAGAGCTCGCTTTGTACGATGGTACCAGCCATCCATTGCGAGGACATCATCTTCCACCATTATGGTATGTGGAGCCCCAATTTCTTGACACGCCTTTAGCAGATAGACGTAATCGAACAAGCCTTTCTCCCTAAATAACCCCCCTTCCTTTTCCAGTTCTCTGAGGTGATCGAGTTCTGCCGTAGTAACGTTATAGAGCAGGACTCTGTCTGCCATGGCCGATAGCCATTTACTCTCGAAGGAAGGATGGATCGTCGGGTCTACGTGGGGTATAAATAAGATCAAGTAGAGATCTTCACGCTCCCGCGGACCGAGATCCATGAGCAAGGATCCAACCGTTGCTTCAATGTAGCTCACATCCTTGCGAGCGATGGAGGCAATGCCCACGCAGAGACTTGCGTTTTTGTTCTCCGGCGGCGGTTTGAGAGCTGTGGTGGCATTGGTGGTGGAGCTGGCCACCGCATCGATGTATCGGATAAAGTTAGCGCCCTTTGAGGCTCTAAACCCGGAGTATATCGGCTTGTATCCCTCCCGCGCGTCGAAGAAGGCAGAGGTTGGGTCGCGATGGCTACGAATTCGACAGTACTGGACCAGGAGGATGTAGCAGACGAGGGAGGCAAGGATGCAGCGAGATGCAGTCCGAGAGAACAAAGAACCGTTCGTTGGCGGCGAGCTGAGAATCCGCATCGTCTGTGTCAACTAAGTAACGAGCTGGGTTGCACATTGATGAGCTGGTGAGTAACTACTACGCTGCAGTCTCTGTGTAGCATTGCCGGATGCCTGCGGAATAGGAATAATAAGAATGATAACGGGAAGAGCCCGAGGCTGAAAAGGTCCATGGCTGCGAAAAATCTCTGCCTGGTACCAAAAGGGTCAATCAATGACCTCAGAAAGGCTAACGGGATCCGGAACCAGTTAGTTAACTAGTCAGACGGCATTGATTGGGCTATAAAAGCGCCATTCCGAGTCAGTTAATACCTATCCCAAGCTAACTAACTACTCTGTCTAAGCTAACTACCGTGGAGGCCCACTGGAGGACTAGCTAAAGGTAGCAAGTCTAGAGTGTTCCATATCCGTGTCCCAGAGGCTGCGGCTGATCGCTGGCCATCGACTTCTATCGACTTCTATGCGTTAGGGGAGATAAAACAGGCAAGGAAGAAACAGCTACTGATAAAGTCGGATTGGGGCCGCGTGGCCTAATGGTTAAGGCGCTGGTTTTCGGTTTTGTCTTTATTTAGGCGAAAATCTGTCCACCAGAGATTGTGTGTTCAAATCACACCGTGGTCGTTTCTCTCTCTTTTTTTTTTATTTTTTTTTTTTTTTTTAATTCTCTTTTTCCTTATGGCCTTCCCTCTCTAAATGAAGGGCAAGATAGTAACTATTTGCTGCCAGATGAAAAGATGAAAAGACGAAAGGGAAAAGATGCAATGGAAAAGAGGCTTCTGTCCAGCAGTTCTGGCAGTGCTGTGTTGGTCTTACTCTTTCCAGCCTAGCGTGGTTCTTATTATAGTTAGCCCTGCACCGCCATGTTTACCGCCGCCCGATCTACATCTTCGACTACTTACATTAAGGACTTGATAAAGACTTGAGTGCCAGTCACTCGCTCTTGTCACTCTCCGTTGCTACAGCATCTCCTGATAACTAGTTAACTGATGAGACCATTTGGGTTCCGTGGTTGGCATTTTAACTAACTAATTATAAGGCGCCTGTGTTTCGGCGTCCGGAACGAAGCGCCTAATGAGCTGAGCCAAACTCACGTCGAGCAAGGAAGATAACAATATCAATATCTGCCTTCTAAGAGGATAGACCCGGTGACGGAGTGCTATGTCCCATATCCGTCACTGTCCAGAATTCCAGCTCGCTCGCTCGGATTCAAAAAACCCAGCAACGACCTGCCAAGGGCTGACTGCCGATGGCCGAAGGTGCCGACGAACAGTGATACCTACTGCGTCGAGCAGGCAAGATGACTTTCAACGAGGAAGAGGCGGTGGTGGTAGAGGAGACCACATCACGATAGAGACACCAGGCGGCTTGTTTTGCTGGCAACACAAGACTCAAGGTGAAGCAGCATCGTCGCTTTCGAGGCAGAGGCCATCCAGACTACTGAGACCACGATCCAGTCTGGATACGCTCATCGAACGGGTGGGCATGTTGTCTGTGGATGAAGTGCACTCTGTACGCGGTAGTAGTGCTGGCATTCCGGGGGGCAATGCTGATCGAAATGGAGCATCTGGCCGTCACTCGGCTGATGGCCCATATAGACGGACAGAGCAGGTGGCTGGTATAGCTACGCTTCATGTTCCAAAGGCCCCAAAGAAGAAGTCAAAGCAGCGCATGAAGTTTGTCTGTTTCTTTGCGCCCCTTGACAGCGATGATGAGCGTCATCCTGTCCCCAGAAGAAGCTCGCATGTCCGGCCCGCGCCAAATCTGGGTGATCCCGTTCCGCAACCTCTGCCGAACGGTAGTGGGCGCCGACATGCTAGACTTGATCATGAACGGGACCCCCGCTGTCATAATAGATCTAGCTGGGAAGAATACACGCCGCCTAGGAGGAAGCAGCTTCCACCCACTGTCGAGGAGCCTTCACCATCCAACAATCAACCACTTCGCCAGTCACTTTCTGCCAGACGCGGCCCATCACAGACAGAATACCTTCTTTCCTGGATCCCATCAAGTCTATCACCCGACACAACATCAAAACTGCTCCAACGACTTGCAGAGCCTCTATCACCCGCTGATGAAGCGGGATATATCTATATATACTGCGTGACATCTAGAGACTCCCAACCCCAAGCGGACGAAACTGCTTCTTTAATACCGCCGTCTCCAGATAGACATGGAGCCAGAAGAAGACGAACAAGCGATATCATGTCCTCTGCCGGCATTGCTCCTACGTCCCGCATCACAAGACACGACTCAGCCGGCAGACGAACTGCAGCCACCATAACCCTGAAGATAGGCCGTGCAGTCAATGTCTGTCGTCGACTAACCCAGCAATGCTCTCATAACCTTACACTGATCCGATACTACCCTTACCACCCTTCATCTGGGGATGCATCGTTGCATCTTCCACAGAAAGCGCCAAACGTGCATAGACTGGAGCGATTGGTGCATCTTGAACTGGCTGATATCCGAGTCAAACCTGGCCAGCCGTGTGAGGAGTGTGGGAGGAAACACCAGGAGTATTTCGAGATTGAGGCGAGTAGAGAGCAGCTCAGGAGGGTGGACGAGTGCGTTAGGAGATGGGTTGAATATAGCCAGCTCAACCCAACAAGCTGATACATCATGTTTATCTCTTTACTATATAAATATATTACATATGAGAAGCAGATGTTGATAAATAATGGCTACATTTTGCAGGAGAAAATGTCTCCTTGCGAATAGGACAATGTGAATAGCAACATAATTAATAAAGAGCTCGAGTAAATTCAACTATTCAAGAGGTATCTAAACTGTGGCAAAATGTGCTAACAGGTACCTGCTATCTAACTAGCTAACCGGTTAGTTCGTGCTATTCGCAGATCCGGCTATGACGTCGGCGGTGGCTCAGCCGTAAATAGTTATTGATAACTAAAGCACTCCTTGCTCAAAGGCATCATCCATCCATCCAACCATCCATGCTCTCTTCCCTACTTACGTTCAAAGACATCTCGATCCCCTGCATGATATCACTTTGCAGCCCTGAAACGCACGCCAGACAGACATAAACCAACTAGTTAACCAGTGAACTATCACAATGGGTCCTCCCCAGAGCACCGCCTCGCGTCCAAGATCCTACCTATCCTCAATCATCAGGTCAATAATCAACATCATCAAAGCTCTCATCATAAACGCCTACACAGCCATCCATGCATCCCTCGATGCAGTCCTTCCCCCTCCAAAACGAGCAGAAATAAGATCCCAGCTCGCATCCTTTGCTAGGGAGCGTCCTATCCTCGCCTCCTTCTTAGCCTCCCAGCTTCTATTCTGCGGAGTCCCACTCGTCCTGTTCGTCGTGCAGGTCGTCAGCGTGCTGGTATTCGCATTCTCCACCGCGCTGGTGCTTGCTTCGCTTTGCGCGCTTACATTCACGGCCGTGTGCACTGGTCTGGCGCTGCTGGTGCTTGTGCCTGTGCTGGCCGTTACGGCTTTCGTGGGTGTGTCGGTTTGGTTCTGGGGATGGGTCGGCTGGTGGGCCTTGGTGTCGTTTGGTATTGTGCAGACGGAGCCTTCGACAGGGAGAGTGAAGAGTGAAGGGGCTGTTCCTGCTGGGCCTCAGGGACAGACCAGGGTTGATGGATTCAATGGCGTCAAGGCTCCCAGAGATGGGGTGCCGCTCGGGATACCTACTTCCTAGGCGGCCAATATGTGTGCCCATGACGAGCGAATACAGCAGCATCTGGATGGTTTGGAGATATTGTTTCGATGGACGGCCAATTCGTTTAAGATATTCCTCTTTATGCCAGTTTCGGTTTTAACTATTCAAAAATATGTTGTTTCTAGCTATTCACCTTTCAGATGCAGGCAGTGGTAATAACATTATATCTCTGGTGGAATACAACGTCGAAAGGATATAGCAGGATGTTGATATAACATTATCTGCCACTGCCCTTCGTTTTTTCGGACTCTTAGTGCTAGTATTTTATTACTTTTGCCATAGTTCATCCCCCCTGTTTCTTAATATGCCGGCTTCAAATGCATATCCCCACATTCAATAATAACTTCAGCCTCTCTACTTAGCCTTCTTAGGAGTCTAACGTTCAATTGAACCGAGGCTTTGCTCTTTTCTATATCACACAAAAATGGAGCAAGAACTGATGCGGATGGTGTGTATATGCATCAGGGAAGAGAGAAGCTTTAGCCACACGAAACCATATCCTAGCTCAGGCTTTGGTTAAGCACGGTTAAAGTCTTCTCACGAAGCTCGCCAAGTTCAATCTCTAACGCTTCGTTGCGATCCAGCGTCTCCTGGAGACAGTCAGCAAGCTTTACTGACAGCTCGTCTCCCTTACTCTTCTCCGAGAGCATGTTGATGGTCTCCTTCCAGTTCTCCAGGTATATCGAGGACTGGCCATGAAGAGCATTGATCATTGTGTCCTTAAGCTGCAGCTTAGCGCGACACTCGAGTAACTCGTTCTTGAATTTCTTTTTCTTGCTTGCCCATTCACCCAGCGCAGTCGCGAGACGGTCATTGAGCTGAGTTTCCTTGTCCCGAGCCTGTAATAGAGACTTTTGGTAGTATGTGAGCGAACGGCTGGCTTCCTCTAGCTTGTTCATGTATTTGGCGTTATATGTCTCCAGGTTGTCGAGCTGTTCCTCCAGCTTGGTATTAGATGCCTGTAGATTCTCGATCTTCGCATCTCGTTCGGCTAGCTGGGCCTGCAGCTTGTCAAGCTCTTCTTGCTGGGCCTCGGCCTTACTCTTTAGCTCTTGGTTGACCTCCAAGGCCTGCTTGAAGTCATGATGCATCGAGAATTCAGTAAGCTTCTTAGATGGCTGTCGGATTTTCATGACGACTTTGCGAAGGATAGCTAACTCCTTTGCAGTCTTCATGTTCTCCTCCTTGGCCTTGTCGATGTATGCCTTGGTAACTTCGCATGCCTGGGTAAGCTGCGCGACCGTACCTAGGCAGTTGGATTTGATTTCCGACATTTCTTTGTATTGCTTGTCGATGATATCCTGGATAAGCCCCATCTCACGCTGGAGCATCTTATTGATCGCATCCATGCGGGAGTTATCCTCCGTTAGGGAAGAGGCACGTGAGCGTTGTTTCTCTCTTCCTTTGATTGCAGTCACGAATTTGGTCTGCCAGAACATCTTTTCGGTGAGCAGCTGGTTTCGCTCATCGGCAAGATATCTGATCTCATCATCGAATTCATCTTGGAGTGCAGCAAGGTCATTACGCCTAGTTACCTCTGCATTTTCCAGAAGGAAATCTACTTCCCGGGATGGTATCATCTCCTCCTCTTGCTCTCGTTCTTCGTTGCCACCATCTTCTTCTTTCCCTTCTTCGTCGGCTTCTTTATCGCTGTACCTTTCGTCATCAACAGAGTCCTCTTTGGGGATTTCCTTGAATTCTGAACTGGCACCTGTATCAGTTGCATAATCCAGGTCCTCCTCCAGTTCGGCCTCCAGGTCTTCCTCTACAGGAACTTCTTCGTTCGAGTCACCTTCTACCTCTGCGGCATTTTCCTTCTCTCCGCTTTCTTCAGGTTCCTGGTCATTTTCTGGCTCTCCCTGTGGTTCCGGTTCAGACGGTCCAAAGACATCATCCCCATCTAGGTCGGCAGACGGGGAGGGGCTACCAGATGATCCTTCAACGTCCTGTTTAGTACATCTTTCTTCGCTAGGAGTAGTTGAACAGGCCCTGTCTGGAGGTGAGAAAGGAGAGACCATGGTGCTATTACCGATATCCACACTTGAGCTAGCAGTGGAAATGGCAGGGGTAGAAGGGACTCCCTCTATGCCAGGGCCTTCTTCGGAGGTCTCAATCTCTTCCTTACTACAAGTGGACATATCCCTGGGTGATGGTTCCTGATCCTGCCATTCTCCGTCAGAATGGTAACATCCAGCTATAAAAACAAACTTACCTCGCATATAGAGTCCGCTGCGCCCATCTTGGTAGAGTCCGGCGGAGAAAGCTTCGACTTCATACGGCTGACAAGGGACCGAACAGTAGAAGTGGGAGCGTGGCGCGGAGAGGATGCCCAGTGGTGCCACTATTACAGTTAAAACTCTGACTGGGACCGTTTATATAGCAGATGGGCTAACGGCATACCTTGTCACGGTGGCGGCCTTTAGTAGTCATGTTGGGAGTTACTGGACTAAGTGACCCCATTGGAAAACAATAAGTCTCTCGTGAATTCCTCTGAGATGTCTTAAATATAGGTATCTTGGTATATGAAAGTGAAGAGAGAAAAAAAAAGTTGATATGTTTTAGGAGTGTGGATCAAACTTCTCACTCTAGGATCGCGGATATAATGATGAAGTTTGTGGGAAGGTGTCTGAGTTTGCTTAGGAAGAAGTAGGTCACTGTGTATACGCTAGGGTAATAGAGAAGGAAGTGATGGATGTGGCAGCCTGAATCATGTCCTTAAGTATTCATTCCAGACATGATGCCAGCCAGGAGCTCTCCATGAAGATGAATGCCCACCTCGAGCAGCATTCTGTTCTGATTCACTTTTAGATGGTTTTGGTGGAATAAATACCTTTGTTGCAGGGTATAGAAAGGACTATCAAACAACAGATGGAGTCAGTAATCTAGAGGACCAGCTAAACAATCTCCAAATTGCATTGTTTGATGCCATGTCTGGTCTCTTTGGGTATAAAGAAATAGCCAAAAAATATGGTCATGAGGCTATTAAAGCTTGTAAAGCATGCATAATGCCCTTGTCACTTCAACCACCTCATACCAATGCATCATAGAAGCATTATCGGAGTCTATATTGCGCAGGAGTGCAGCCCAGTAGGAGTCCCTTAACTCAGCCATCCTCATCCGGTATTGGACATACACACCGAGGCTTGTAGTTATTTTGCAGCAGAGTAGATAGCAGGGAGAGCCACATCTACCAATCTCTAGGCCACCAAAACGGCACACAGCTGCTAAGACAGCACAGGCAATAGTTGTAAGATGAGGAAAATGAAGAAGATGAAGAAGATAAGAAGATAAAAGATGGACCAAACGAAGAAGCGAGAAGAAAGCCCAAAGAGGTCGCGTGTAGTCTTTCTTAGTCAGCAACTCCGTGATGCGACCAGAGTGTCCTCAAAGCGCTAGTAAGTTCTTTTTGTCCACAAAAACATCCAAGAAGACGAGAACTTCGACCTTTTGCTGCTTCAACCACCTTGTCGTCTCTCCCTCCCCTCCCCCTTCTTCCCCCTTTCTCTCCCGATCGCTTGTCTGGGTTTTGTTTATAAACCTCTTTAGTTCTCTCTTCTTCCTCTTTTGTTCAGTCCGGGGGAAACAAAGACAACCGCCACCATGAGCGGCCGTAAGTCCATCTCCACCGCCAGACCTCCATTGCGACAGCAGCAGCTGTGTATACGCCTGGGAACTGCCTGCTGACTGATGTAGTTCGCTTCCTCGATCTGATCAAACCCTTCATGCCCCTCCTCCCGGAGGTGGCTGCCCCCGAGACCAAGGTCCCGTTCAACCAGAAGGCTATGTGGACAGGAGTACGTGAGCCGTCATCAGACCGCGTGAGAGGATTGCAATTGGACTGTGGCTGATGGTTGAGATCTAACAGTTGACCCTGCTCATATTCTTGGTCATGAGCCAAATGCCTCTGTACGGAATCGTATCTTCCGATACTTCGGACCCCCTATACTGGCTGCGTATGATGTTGGCCTCTAACAGAGGAACCCTCATGGAATTGGGTATCACCCCAATTATTTCCTCCGGCATGGTCTTCCAGGTAATACATATTGTTCTTTCATCGTTGCAGTATGGTTATTTCGATTTCTAATGCACTTTCTAGCTTCTTGCTGGAACCCAACTCATCGACGTTAACCTCGACCTCAAAACCGATCGCGAACTTTACCAGACTGCCCAAAAGCTCTTCGCTATCATCTTGTCTTTCGGCCAAGCCTGCGTTTACGTCCTTACTGGCCTTTATGGTCAACCCAGTGACTTGGGAGCCGGTGTCTGTGTCCTGCTCATCGTCCAACTTGTTGTTGCCGGACTCGTCGTCATTCTCCTGGATGAGCTCTTGCAGAAGGGTTATGGTCTTGGAAGCGGTATCTCGCTCTTCATCGCTACTAACATCTGCGAGTCTATCATCTGGAAGGCCTTCTCTCCCACTACTATCAACACCGGCCGTGGACCTGAGTTCGAAGGCGCTGTCATTGCTCTCTTCCACCTCTTGCTCACCTGGCCCGATAAGCAGCGCGCTTTGTACGAGGCATTCTACCGCCAGAACCTCCCCAACATCATGAACCTCATTGCCACTCTTGTCGTTTTCGCCGCTGTTATCTACCTCCAAGGTTTCCGTGTTGAAATTCCCGTCAAGTCCTCCCGCCAACGTGGTGTTCGTGGATCCTACCCCGTTCGTCTCTTCTACACCTCCAACATGCCAATCATGCTCCAGTCCGCCCTCTGCTCCAACGTCTTCTTGGTCAGCCAGATGCTGTACTCCCGCTTTTCCGACAACATTCTTGTTAAGCTTCTTGGTGTTTGGGAGCCTCGCGAGGGTGGCTCTGCTCAACTCTACGCTTCTTCCGGTATCGCCTATTATATGTCTCCACCATTCAACTTTAAGGAAGCTCTCTTGGATCCCGTCCACACCGTCTGCTACCTCATCTTTATGCTGGTCGCCTGTGCCCTCTTCTCTAAGACCTGGATTGAGGTCTCCGGCTCTGCTCCACGGGATGTTGCCAAACAGCTCAAGGATCAAGGATTGGTTATGGCTGGACACCGTGAACAGAGCATGTACAAGGAACTCAAGAGAATCATTCCTACCGCTGCCGCTTTTGGTGGTGCCTGTATTGGCGCCTTGTCCGTGGCCAGTGACCTCATGGGAGCTCTAGGAAGTGGAACCGGTATCCTTCTCGCAGTAACGTAAGTCATATTCTCGTCTAACAAAATTTTGCATGCCTCTTTACTAACCGCCGATAGAATTATCTATGGCTACTTCGAAATTGCCGCTCGGGAAGGTGACTTCGGTGCTGGTCTTAAAGGCCTAGTCCCTGGCAACTAAAAGTCCAGGTGCAATATTTTCTTTAACGGGTCAGCAAGCTCTGAATACCGTTACACAAACATTTTTTCCATCATTATTCTTAAATATTTTGATTTGTATTATCAGCAATGTCAAGTGGTCTTTCTATATGTTTCTTGGGAAGGGAAGATGACTAGGCGCGAATTGTCATTTACAGGCAAAAATAAAATCCAAAGGAACCATGAGGCGTGGGTTGAGATTCGATAATTTACAAGCCAATCCTTGTTTCTCGTTCATTTTGTTCTTTTTTTTTTTTAACATGCACATTTGAGTCTTCCCCCTTCATACCAAAAATCGGGTACTTCGACAAAATGGCCTTCAGTAGGTTCTCTAATCTGTATATAATAGCTGCCCGTTGATACTTCGTTCTCAATAATGACCATCCAGACCATCTTGTTGCTTGTTCTAAGTAATCTTCGAGTAAGTATTCAACCAATCTTGTATAGCTAAGCTTATTGCACCAAAATCATGTTCTGTAGTCTCCATTGATAGTCACATATTCATGACTGAAATCACAGAACCAATAAACAGCCTCTTCGCCACCCTTGCCTGCGTCTCCACTAGCTCCACCGCCTAGATCCACTACGATCTCAAGATCCTCATGTTGCAAGATAGTAGAGGCTCGCTCCTCGTCCACAGACTCTGGCTCCCCGTTTACTAGAAGTTTGAGTTCGGGACTTCCGTCAGCAGGTTTGAAGCTCACGCTCGTTTTCTCAGGCACAACGGTCCCAGGGGCCAGGTCTGGTGTATATCCAACCGCACAGAGGATACGACCCCAATTAGCGTCTTTGCCATACAACGCAGTCTTCACTAGCGGAGAACGGGCAATGGTGGAAGCAATGCGTTTGGCATCTTCATAGGAAGGCGAGTTTTTAACGCGAACAGTGACGAATTTAGTGGCTCCTTCACCATCACGAACAACTAATTGGGCCAAGGATTGCGTGAAGCCTGTTAATATAGACTGCATGGCGGTATAGTCCTTTGAATCAATTGAGGATATAGAAGTTCCTCCTGCAGCTCCATTGGCAAGTATAGCTACCGTATCGTTGGTGCTGGTATCACCATCAACGGATATAGAGTTAAACGATCGCGATATAGAATGAGAAAGAAGCGATTGTAATATCGGGGCTTCAATGGGTGCATCGGTGCAGATGATACCGAGTAGAGTTGCCATGTTTGGGTGGATCATACCAGCCCCTTTGGTCATTCCTGCTATATTATAGGTACGGCCAGGAGAAGAGGGTAAAGTGAAACTTTGAGAGGTGAGCTTTGGGAATGTATCAGTAGTGCAAATAGCTCGAGCCGTGCGTAACCATGCAGCGTGAGTCGATGACAGGTTCGATTGCGCTTCAGGAACCTTATTGAGAATCCTATCAATCGGTAACCTAAGCCAGGAGAATCAGTGCCCGTTACGTTCTCGAGAATATTAATTTATCGCTTTCCTTACAATTGGCCAATAACACCAGTGCTCATGACAAGAGTACTTGAATCGCCCTCTGTAAGCCCATTGCATTCGTCCGCCTTTCGGCTCATGCTCCTGGCATCCTGCAGTCCCTTTTTCCCGGTAACTGCATTGGCGCAGCCAGCGTTAACAATAACACCGCGAATATTATTTCCTTTCTTCTTTCGGATCAATTCTGAGCTCACTTGAACCGGAGCAGCTTGAAATTTGTTCGTAGTAAAGACGGCAGCGGCGGAGCATGGGTCCTCGGACCATATCAATGCGAGGTCAGGAGCGGATGTATTCGACGCTTTCACCCCAGCATGGCTCCCGGAGACCTTAAAGCCTTTTGGATATGTTCCTGAAGACGGTACAAACTTTTGCTTCGACGCTGGGATCGAGGTATCTATTGGTGTTGTGAATTGACGAACCTGGCCCGACACCGGAGTTCCAGGCTTCGAGAAGCGGCAGGCATAGTGAGATATCTGGCCAATGGCTCTAGCATGGTTCGGGGCCATCTCGGTTGTGGCAGCTATATGCTGTGAGTATCCAATTGACTGAAGTTCGGACAATCTCAGGGAACAGAAATATCGGGGGAGAGTGAGTCAAGCTTGTGAGCTCCTACGGTCGCTCCAAATTATAGTTCGACGGCGCTTCTAAGCTCGCTGATAAGCGCCAGTCACGTGGTTTCGCGTTTCTTTGCGCTTCGAAGCTTTCAGGGCGAAACCAAAATATATCTGACGCCGGGAGGAGCAAGAAAGGCTCTAGTTTGCGCGCGACGCTGGACAGTCAAGATGAAGCGCAAGCAACGGGAGGTATCCTCGGATGAAGACCCCCTACAATCAGAGCTATCAGCTACTCCAAAGAGATCCAAACAAACGTCCCGAAAAGATAATGAGTTGAACGGAACTCCGACGAAACACTCCGCTCCTGACACACCTTCAGGCCGACTGAGGTCTCGATTGACCAAACAAACGCCAACCAAGAATGTAGATTTTGCTCCCGATTTAGCGTCTCCGCTCAAGACACCGACAGCGAGGGCGTTGTTCAAAACGCCCACCAAGCTAAAGAACGTCGACCACGGAACGCCGAATGGAACGCCATCGCGGATACGGAATGCTGACAGGTCAGCAAAGAGGAAAAGTGCAAGGGTGCTGCTTGATCCCCATGAAGATGATTTATGGGATGGCAGCAATAAGCTGGCGCGAGAAATTTGGGATGTACCGTCTGACGACAATGCGGTGCCCGAAGTTGATACAGTTGCAATGGGGGGAACAGATAGGCCAAAAGAACCAGATTCTAAGCCGGAATACGCAGCTAAAGAAGTACCTAAAGAACCTCCAGCCACTCCCCGGAAACGAGGCCGGCCCCCGAAGGTTCGAGGGCCTGAAGATCAAACACCTAAAACACCGAAAACACCAAAAACACCCAGTACACCAAGGAGAAATGAACGGGTTACGACACCCGAGGGGGATTTGCCACCACAGGAGAAATATTTTTTTCAGACTCGGACAGGACCAGTACAGACATCTAATAACACTATGGCTAAATCGTCCCTATTTACCCATGAAGAATTTTTTGAACAGCTCGGAAAGTACAAGGATCCGCTGCAAGAGGAAAAGGATTACTTGTTAGAGCTTCATGGACGCTCCTTTCCACAGTGGCATTTCGAAATGACTGAAGGATTCAATGTGTGCATATATGGATATGGATCTAAAAGGAAACTTGTCCAAAGGTACGCAGATTGGTTGTATGAGCATTACAATCAACCCCCTGCAATAGTGGTTGTGAATGGATATACACCGGATATTACCATCCGATCTATTCTAGCAACTGTTGCAACGGCTATTTTAGGCCCTGATGATACCTCAAAACTCGGTGTTCAGCCAAATGACGTGTTGGAATCTATCCGTGCGGTTCTGCTCAAAAACCCACCTCCACAACCGATAACAGTTCTCATTAACTCCATTGATGCACCGCCATTGCGTCGTGCGCAGCAGCAGTCGCAGCTGGCTCGACTTGCTGAAATACCCTATATCAATATTCTGGCAACCGCTGATACTCCTAACTTTCTGGTGCTTTGGGATATTACCCTTCGGGATAAGTTCAACTTTGTATTTCACGACTGCACAACGTTTGCTTCATATGATGTTGAATTAAATGTTGTAGATGAGGTGCATAGCTTGCTTGGACGTAAAATCCGGCGTGTTGGCGGTAAACAAGGTATCGGCTTTGTTCTGAAAAGTTTACCGGAAAATACACGCAAGCTGTATCGACTATTGATTACAGAGATCCTTATGATGCTAGGAGACAATCAAGATGGCGAGGAAGAGGATGACGCCCAGATTGAGGCTGATGATCCAGAGAGTGACACCAGAAGTGGAAAGGTGGCTGCAATAGAATGGCGAGCTCTTTTTCATAAAGCTTCGGAGGAGTTTATTTCCTCATCTGAGATGATGTTTAGAACGCAGCTGAAAGAGTTCTATGACCATCAAATGATCACATCAAAGCTAGATCCCAGTGGTGCAGAACTGCTCGGTGTTCCTCTGTCACGAGAGGAAATAGAAAGCATTTTGGAAGACCTTGTCATCGATGGGTGAGAATGAATAATAATAAACACCTTCTCGCTACTTATGATACCCTGTGGTCTCAATTGTGACGAAATATAAACGATGTATATAGTAGCCATGAAGTGCATCGTGTACCCCACGGATGGTAAATAATGCACATTTCTTAGCTTTCCCAGCCGCAGACGTGAAGACAAAGGAAATCTATATGAGTATAGGTCTAAAGTTCACCAAAAGCAGCCATAGCCAGGGTTGTTCCAAAGCTGGCTTTGAAAGGGACATTTTCATGCGTCATCTTTCGGAAGTCAACGGATTTGATGTGCCTCTGCAACCAGCTGGTCGGCAGGATGTCGTATCCTTTGGATGCAGCCCACTACCCAATCGTTAGCAACAGCTGGGACAGACATTATTGAAGTGACTGCGAATAAAACACACCTCAATGATTATAATAGCAAGGCCAATAGAAAATGCCAGGGTTCTCGAGAAAATACGTAGTCCAAGGCCAGTGAGGACCCCAAGCGCACTGCCGAGGCTGATCTGACGGGCGGTCTCGGCAGTTATTAAACCACCGAACAAGGCTTTCTGCTGAGATGACGGGCCTTCATGCTTGAGGGTGAATTCAGATACGGACGGGTGCAAAGGTCCAGATGCATAATCGCAGAGTATGGGGGAACTGATTCTAGTTTGTAGGACCGAATAGGAAGCGCATAGCGGTACAGCAAACAGGAGCGGCCGACAAGCAGATCGGAGGAATTGGGAGGCCATTGTGGAGTTGCGGCGGTGTTCTATAATGAGAAGCGGTGGTTTAGGGGTTGTAGAAGCGGACCTTGGAGGAATATGTGGCTGCTTCCCGGTTCAATGGCGTGAAAACTGCTGCCTTTCTATGCCAGTTTGATGGCTTTTGTTGTTATCGTTGTTGTTGTTGTTGTTCCTTCCTTCTTCCGACCTTGTCGCTCCTTCCTTCTTTTGCTATGACGTCGGAGGGCGCGGCAAGCACGGACCATAGTTTATCCGCCAATTCGGGTCCATTGCCCAATCAGGACATCCAGCGACTCGTATTTCAACAACAGCGAAGAAGCTCTCCAGCTTCATCCATTCTCCTTCAGCCATGGTGATTCTACATTTATTACTATTCTTAGATATGACCGATAACTTGAAAGTTACATTTGATCTAGACTGGCCCCTATTCTTATCTTCGCATACTAATAATACAGAAAACCGACTCAACCATCGATTGAACTGACAAGACACTACCTACTCTTGACTGTCCATGGGCAGCACAGCAGGGATTCAGGACAACACCATGCACAACGCCATGTGGACGTCCATGAAAAGGATCTTACCCCTTGTTGTGTATCAACAAAGCCCATATGGGATCTCGGCCCATGCTAGATGATGTGTTTCGGTCAAAAAAGATGCTTCCCTAGCGCGGCCGCGGAGAAAAAGGGCATGTGCGGAGAGATGGATACGAGGGTACCTCCCTCATCTGATTAACTTCCAGGGGCCTATTTCAATTGCATCTAGACAACATATGTCATCACCTGTGGTACACACGATTAACACAAAATTATGAAAAAGAAAACAAAAAAAATAGCAAAACATATTGATAGTCCCCAAGGTCTTGCGGCTTACTCGCTATCGGCGGGTATACGGATATCCGCGGCGACTGTTCAACGATCCAGGCATGGCATTCAGATGCAAGCAAGCTAAGGCCATGCTCATATGACTTCCCCGTGAGAATTCTCCTCCGGAGTGCTCGCCATCAATTAATATATGCTGCATTTATCAGCGACGCCCTGCCAGCGACGAGAACACCCCCCTTGGATAGGCACAGTCTCCAAAAGCAAAGGGGCTTTCACCTGCAAATTGGTCTATTTTGACTCATCCCTGGCCGTAAACTTTACCTGTTCCGCTCTTGAAGCTAAAACTCAAAATCTTTTTTATCTCTCTCAACCGAATTTTTGACTAACTGCGGGGGCAATATTCCATCTCTCCTTTCTCTTGACCGAATTCATTATCTTCACCTCTCTCTCACCCAGGCAATTGCTATTTAAATCTGCGTCGCCTTCACTTCACCTCGATATCCTCGTCGTTAGACTCATTCTTATCTACATTGAATTAACCCCCCGCTACTGAGACAATGGCACAAGAGCACCCCGCCACCGGCACTACCGGCGAGAATGGAGTCACCAAGGACTTCACCGTCAAGGCTGGTCTTGCACAGATGCTGAAGGGCGGTGTCATTATGGATGTTATAAATGCCGAGCAGGTGTGTATATCTTGAATGCGCTATCATTTCACTGCGATGTATATTTAGAATACAAGCCGAAGACGGACATCAATGCTGACTCGGCATTTTGATCTGCAGGCAAGAATTGCTGAAGAAGCCGGAGCTTCTGCCGTTATGGCCCTTGAGCGTGTCCCAGCCGATATTCGAGCCGAGGGTGGTGTTTCCCGCATGTCTGACCCCGGAATGATCAAGGAGATCATGGCTGCCGTCACAATTCCAGTTATGGCCAAAGCCCGGATAGGACATTTCGTTGAGTGCCAGGTTAGTCAATTCTCCTCCGTATGAAGTACGGGGAAGCATCTGGATGAACTGAATGCTGTGCTAACTCATAGCCAAGATCCTGGAAGCCGTTGGTGTCGACTACATTGATGAGTCCGAGGTCCTCACTCCAGCCGACCATGTCTACCACGTCACCAAGCACTCTTTCAATGTTCCATTCGTATGCGGATGCCGAAACCTGGGCGAAGCCCTCCGCCGTATTTCCGAAGGCGCTGCCATGATCCGTACCAAGGGTGAGGCCGGAACCGGTGATGTTGTCGAGGCTGTAAAGCACATGCGTCAAGTCAACACTGAAATTGCCCGTGCCAGATCCATTCTGCAGTCCGCCCAGGACCCTGAAATCGAGCTGCGCGCATTCGCTCGTGAGTTGGGCGCTCCATACGAATTGCTTCGCGAAACCGCCGAGAAAGGCAGACTTCCCGTTGTCAACTTCGCTGCTGGCGGAGTTGCCACGCCCGCTGATGCTGCTCTTATGATGCAGCTTGGCTGTGATGGTGTATTCGTGGGATCTGGAATCTTCAAGTCTGGCGACCCACGCAAGAGAGCCAAGGCTATCGTCCAGGCAGTCACTCACTTCAAGGATGCCAAGATGCTGGCTGAATTGAGCGAGGGTCTCGGTGAGGCAATGGTCGGTATTAGCGTACGAGACATGAGCGAGAAGGAGAAGCTATCTGGACGAGGTTACTAAATTGAAGGCTTGTTGACTTTTCTTTATATTAACGGATTCAACACACCCAGATGGAACCCCATAAATCAGCCTTTCTGAGCCATTGTCCCTCTATTATGTTTTAACATTCTGGGATATTGCGGATATACCTTTTGTGTTCTCCTGATACGAGTATTTTTATGAATGGCGTGACTGGAAAATCTTGTAATGATGGAATAGCGTTTTCAAAAGTTGTCCCAGGCCCGAAGAAAACTGAGGTTCATTTATACCATACTAGATTATAGATAGACCAAGGAAATAAGGAAGCCTTCTCTCCATACACAGCTATTGTCACTGGATCATATTGTTGAATGCTATATTTAATCTCATCATACATGATACATCATATACCCGAAAAAAAAATCCTAAACGCATCACGCCTAACTAGCCAAACAACGTTCGTGGAAATCAAATGCCTTGAATATACACGCTGCAGGTGCAATTCAAGTAATAAATGGCGAATCAACATCCCATCTCATAGGCTCGTCTCTGAAACATGGCTCATATCAAATCAAAATCGACCTCCCAGAAGAGAAGAGCGTACCAGATATAAATTGCGAACAAGGCTAGCCACCCTTCGACTTCGACCCACCGACCTTGTATTGGCTCTGAGGTCGCCGGGACGGAGCCTTTTTATCACTGAGATTTTTCACAGATCCCGCATCGAGAACTCCACCATGTTTGGATTGCTTATCAGCCGGGCGTGTGTCAGCGAAATAGGCCGCGCCATCCATGAACCAACAGCAACCACAGCCCCTATCAGTGAGGCAGCACTGGGGATTAGCACCAACTGTGCAGAACCAGCCCTGGCAAGGACCGTTGCAGAAATTGTGGTAGCCTTTCGTGGAATTTATCAGTATCTTCCTTAGATGTTAATGATTGGATATGCTCTTACCATCACTGCTGCCGCCGTCGCGTTTAGCCGCAGACACCGCGGGGATGAAGCCAACCTCCTGGCCATTTCGGACGTGGATAGAAGCTGGTTATACAATATTAGCAACAGTGGTCAATGAATATCGGGTTATCACTGTCAAATTTAGGCGGCATAAGTCACGTACTACTAAGGCGGGCCACCTGAGCTGGATCTGGTGCAGCAACGGCAGCCACATGGGCCACGAACAGGGAGATAGTAGCAACAGAGAATTGCATCTTGAAGGTTGAGGATTTTTGAAGACGAGTTTGGTGATATGGTTCAGGTGTGGAAGCTAAGATGAGGTTGGATATACTGATGATGGGAATGTTATCTCAAATGGACGGGGTATCAGGCCCCATTTATAGAAAAATTTGGTATTCAAACAAGGTATGATATCGAGGATCTAGACATACCCCAGATTAGAGGCTGAACGCCGTAATCTGGGGCAGAATGGGGTATATTCGAAATTATCTCATGTATATCCCCACCATGGCACATTCATAGAAATGCTTCACACGACCAGATACTCAACTGATTCAAGGGGGATCAAGTAAATCGCGCAGTCACTGAAACACGGCAAGTGTTGTATGCATCCCCACAGTGAATGGAAGTTTCGAGTATCCAAGAGTAGAAGACAGTTTCTAGATTGCTGGGTATTCCGTAGTGTCATGTATATGAGAAATTAACAATCAGTGGCCCCAGGATTATGCATAGCTATGTCCTTAGCTACCACTTCCCTGCAGTAGGTGGCCTGTTGCAAGCTGCTCATATTGGGTCTGAGAATATGATACTCCGGCCTTTCGTGGCTAGAATGAGATATTTATGTCGTCATACCAAGGGCAGAGTGTTTGTTGGGGGATCGAGATGATAAAGAAAATGAAACGGCATGAACAGCTAAAGCATCGCTATTTAACTTTGATGGAGCGGACCGCAGTGCATCAGCCGTTACTACTTACCTATGGATCTGTTGGGATATATGTTGGTAATATCTTGCATCTAAGTGCACAGCAACATTCCGCTTTACCCCAGGCATCATACGAGCAAGGCGTAGGATTAGGAAACGAACTTACGAGTCCTCATATCATTACAGTCTACCATGCCTTCATCCATTCAATCGGTTATTCGTTCTTTTTTTGTGTAACTAACCATACATCCCGTGGGGTTAAACATCTGCACCTCATATCTCCGGCTTAACAGTAAAGGGTGGGAATTCTCTTTCATAATGTCCCGGTATTAAGCTCCGGTTATGCGTATGCGAACCCTTTACCCCGGTTAGATACCCAGAAATTTTTGACATTTGCATTCGTCTGTCTTGCCCCCCGGAGAGAAATAATGGTAGAAAGAAACTTTTGTAAGTCCTGCTGTGTAACAGATGGTGCCGGCAATGGCTGTGTCGCTCCAGCGTCAGAGGTAGGGGCTTTGCGTGAAACATCCACAGATGCCAGTCCATTGCCAAAATAGAGCCGAGCAGCGCCCTGATGTTTGAAGACGAATTTCTTAATGACTTCACTGAAATGGTCCAGGTCGGAACGGGCACAGTTTCCAGCAATCTGGTACATAACAGATTCACCAAGTACGCGAAGATAAGGGTCCAGGAATCCTGGAGGTTCGTTAGGCCGGGGAGGGCCCATAGAGGCCCCGGTTGAGATTAGCCCGGGAGGCAGGTCGGTTAGGGATAGTATGGCAGCCCAGAATGAGCAAGATGCGCGAAGAGGTAGGGGTTCAGGCCTCTTGAGCACATCCAGAGTGAAGTAAAGGATTGTAGGAAGAGGGGGCGGAGTAGTATCCACGCACTGCAGATTAAAGAATTGCACATAATATCTTGGGATGAGACGGGTAAGGAAGTCTATACAGCTGTGTGCCGCTTCTGGATCATAGCTGTTGGCCGAGACTGTCAAGGTTTGTATCAAAGTAGCTGTGTGCAGGGTCAATTCCGTAACTTCCTGTTCAATGACAAGAGGGGTTGAAGACCGGGAGGCCAAAAATGCAGTGGCAGTAGCCATGACGTTAGAAAAGCGAGGAGATGAGATATTTGTGGCCTTCACAAAGCGAACGGTTACTTGGGTTGGGAGAACATAAGGGCCTGGGTGCCTCTCAGTGTAACCAGCCTTGAGTACGTCACAAGTCGCCTCAATCATGTAGCTCTCGTTGGGGAACTGGCCCACTAATGTGTCAAGGATGCGAATAACAGTTTCTGTAACAGATACCCCGAGAGGGTCATTGGCCCAGAATGAGTCGGATGCAGGTTGGGAATCATGGGTATCAAGATCAATCACATCATCATCTGGAGCGCGAATACCCCTTCCAATACTCGCCGTGCAACGCATTACTATTAAACTTCGTGCCAGACCCTCTTCATATTGCCCATTGCTCGCTTGTTGACTGGCTGCCTGTGCCTCTTGGAGTAAAGGGTTGAGTAATTTCAATAGAGCAACGGCTCTCTCTCTATCAAGTTCCGTCGCCTGGATGACCGCAGCAATTCCCTCTGCAATACGCTCTAGGGTGGAGTCACCGAGTGAACTTTTGGTGCATAGCTGGTGAAATTTATCGATAAATCCCTGGGAATGCATAGGAAGGAACTTTCGGCACGACTGACAGAGCGAGGAGATAGATCGTGAAGCCACTGGGTCGCAAGAAGGGAAATCAAGGGAGCTAAACAAGAAGTTCAACACTGGGGTAAGGAGCTTCCCATTCCTAGCAAAATACGGAGTATAATGGTCGATCATGTCGGCCATAGTTTGCCGTACCTTTAGAGGAATTTCCTTGTGGCCGAAACATACTGACTGAAAAACTTCTGAGCAGAATAGGTCATCAAGAAGATGGTCGGCATGCTCGTTTTCAGCAACAGATTCCGCAAGGGATCCCAAACAATAGATTGCAACTTCGAACCCTTCCCAATCGTCCTTCGCAATTGAGTCTGAAGCCTGTTCCAGGATATGGCGAATAACGTCCACTCCTAATAATGGATATACCTCAAGGAGATACTCAGCAAATTCACGGCGGAAATAAACGAACAGTCTCAACTCGTTGTCATCCCAAGTCTCAGAAACTTCGTGGCTTGGGAAACGTAGTTTGTCATAACCCTCAGAAATAACTCTGGCAAGCTTTTGTTTAATTTCCTCAGAAACTGCCAGTGCACCATCAAGAACCAGCTCGTCTATATCGCTTGCAACTTCAGTCCAAAATTCTAAAAGCAGAATAACGGCACAATCATCAACCTGGGGATAGCCAGGCGCGTGGAATAATTTGTATAGTAGGAAGAGAACCTTCTCCCGTTTTTCATCAGATGGGCCGTTGATGATGATATTTGACTGGTCGAGTGCTGAGAATCGTAAAAGGAGATCCAAGAACTTCAAGGACTCATCATCATACTCACCATTCATCAAGGCAATCGCATACTTCTCCCCAGGACCGACGATAAAGTTTATAATGGCATCCATGTGGTCCTTACCAACCAGCTTATACTGATTGGCAATTGTTTCCGCAAATAGCTCCATCACAGGCAAAGCTAAGGCCTCAATGCCAAAGAAGTGCGCGGCAAAGCCCAACGGTTTCTTTACTTTCTCGGCAAGACCTGGAGGATTGATTTTTCCATTATGGAAGGCTTGTAGCCATGCCTATTGTTGCGATCAGCACCAAAATAACAAGAAACGCAGCTGGATCGGACACATAATACATACATGTAGTGTTTGAATAGATTCCTTGGCTACATCAAGAGAATGGTCTGTTACATTTTGATTTGAGACACTGCCCGCATTGTTTACAGCACGCTCAAAACCGTAATCGATTAAGTGGAAGACGTCATTAGTATTGGCTTGCAGTCGGCTACCAGATTCAGTACTACTAGACGCGTAAGCGGGAGTTAGAAAACACGGGAAGAATGGGAAAAGTGCTAACCCTTCGGTAAGGTATCGCGTGGATTCCTCGGCTAACGCAGTGCAGAATGACAGTAACGCGACCAGACGTTCATGGCTGAGAGCCGATAGCGCATGTAGTGCGAGAGTGGGTTCCTCCGACTTATCTTCAGGGAGGTATTTCCCATTAGCCAAAGTCACGGTGACGTGACGCACGCTGTATGTCCAGGGTGACCCGGGCTTGAAAAAGAACGTGGTTAGTGTAGAGAAAAATTTTCTCATGACCAACGGTTTCTCTGCGGAGTCGATGAGTACCACGAAGCAGTTCATCAACTGTGCAAGAAGTGCCAACCGCTGCTCCACATTGAGAATGTCCCTAATAAAGCAATAGAAGACCAAATTAGAGTGGGCGACTTCTTGTACTCAAGGTATGACAGATGTCTCACCATTCCTGGTTAATTTTCATCGTAAGGGTAAGAGGTCCATAGAACCTGATCTTTGGATCCTCGCACCCGAGAAAGCCATCCGCTATCATCCACCCTGCACTCGACTTCTGTAATTTTAGCAAGCGCTCTTGAATGTTAGCCACTTGGCTCGCGAGACCAGGGGTAGTCAAGTCAGTCGCAAGCTGTTGGAGATAAGTCAGTCAATAGGAAGGTTCAAGGAAAAGACACTGAATCAAGAGATATTCGGTACATACCTGCCTAGCCTCAAAAATCAGGGCATCAATATCAGCTTGCTGCATAGTTGACCCATCTGGCTGGTCCATCTTGAATGCTATCTCCAGCAAGATCAGAATATTTTTGTTATTGGTCTTTTTTTTTTTTAAGGTTAGCTCTCTGGATATAGATAGAGAAGAGAGATTCTGGCCAGGAAAGCGGGTTTCGTAGAAGATATTCTTGATTTTGTTATCAAAAAACAGTGACAACAAGTGTGCTCCTGTGAGAGATAGGAGTCAAAAGGTTATAATGGTTGTAGAGAGAAAGAGAGAGCCACAGTGAAAAAAGGTCAGTCTCTCCCACAAACAAGGAAGGGAGGAGTGAGTAAAGAGAGTCAAATCAATCAGTCAATCAGTAGTGGTGGAAATAATAGTAATAAGTACGTATTAGTAGCTTAGACCGCACCAGTTGCGCCAGTTGGAGGTTGCACCACAACAGCAGGGTTGGCCAGGAGATAGCTGGCTTACCAGGCGTCCAGCAGAGATTCAACAGTAACAGCACAGTACTAATGATGGCTGTTCCATTCTCAAGATATGGCACAGTCCACGAGAGAAAGAAGAATGCTGGCTAATAGTCTGGTACACGAGAGTATATCCCGTTTAATTTAAGGAACGCATGGCTGCCTGGCTGCGGGACAGAAACTGGCTTGATAAATAGCATTGTTCGCTGTTACTTGGTCAAAGGAGGGGCCCCAATTCGCTTCACCGGAGGTCAGGATAGCAAATGGAGACAATGGCTCCGTAGCGGGCCTTTTTCTTCTGGTATATCTGATAGCTACCGACGCCGGTTCATCGGGTCAGGCCATCGACTGCACCACCGCAATAACACTCCTTCAGCACCGAAACTTGTGGTGAAGTCGAAAATTCCCCAAAGCAGAAAAAGCGACGTCGAGCGACGATATGGTCACGTGGCACTGAAACTCGCAGGCCCAAAAAAGGCCGACATCAACAAACAAACCAGCACGCAAGGAGGTACAAACACACGAACTAACTACACATCAGGTACATACATAACTAACTGGCTAGCGATAACTAGCCAAACTAACGAGCGGACTAAGTAGTCAGTTGTCTGGCGAGCTCGTTCCGGCCCGAGGGAATCGCCTTCGTCAAACGACCTGGCTAGTTATCTCTATCGCTGAACTACCCGCCCCCTGTATACTTTTACCAACAAGCCGCTGCCGGGACAGCAAGAGGCCAACCCAAGCAACACAAAAGACTAATAGCGAAAGGTCACAGCATCTTCTCCGCAGCCGCCCTTGCATGCGGATGATCCCCCGGACACGAAACCGCCCCTCGTTCATTCTATAAAGAACCCCTCGTCCGCCCGATAAATGACCATTTTCCGCCCGCATCTCCGGTTTCTCTTCAAACCACACTTCCTCTACTTCCAATCTCCCATCGGAAAGTCCAGCAGACCGTTTTCTACCTCTCAGATACTCCGCACTGCTCTCGATATGCCGCCACCACCGGTTGACACGACCCAGCGTCTCGCAAAGCTGCGAGAGCTGATGGCTCAGAACAAGGTCGATGTATATAGTATGCAATTCAGATACACCATCAAAGCTCCCTTGATAATAACAGTCGTATACTCATTCTTCTTTTTTCTACTCCTCGCCTTAAAGTTGTGCCTTCGGAAGACAGCCATCAGTCAGAGTACATTGCTCCATGTGACGGGCGTCGAGGTTAGACCTGTCCCTCCATAAAAGAATACCTACCCGTAATACCAGCCGGCAGACGCTCATACGTATCACTGCAGCTTTCATATCCAGCTTCACTGGCTCGGCAGGATGTGCCATCGTTTCTATGAGTAAAGCTGCTCTGTCGACGGACGGCAGATACTTCAGCCAAGCTGCAAAGCAGCTCGATGCCAACTGGACGCTGTTGAAGCGAGGCGTCGAGGGTGTCCCAACCTGGGAAGAATGGTATATTTGTCCCTGGGATCGACTTTTTCGGTATAATGGTTAACAGGCTGGATGTAGGACTGCTGAGCAGGCCGAGAACGGCAAAGTTGTTGGTGTTGACCCGTCACTTATTACGGCCGGTGAGAATCTACAGTATTCACCTCTTACAAGTGTCATCGTGGTTAACTGTAGTTATGTTATAGCGGACGCACGAAAGCTTTCTCAGACGTTGAAGACTACTGGAGGCTCCTTGATCGGAATTGATCAGAACTTGATCGATGCCGTCTGGGGAGATGAACGCCCTGCACGCCCTGCCAACCAAATTACCGTACAGCCTGTCGAGCGCGCGGGAAAGTCATTTGAGGAGAAAGTGGAAGACCTGCGAAAGGAATTGGCAGCGAAGAAGAGGTCTGCTATGGTTATTTGTACGACACCAGCTCTATTTTCGATCAGACGTATACTAACGAACACAATACAGCCACCTTGGATGAGATTGCATGGCTCTTCAACCTCCGTGGAAGCGAGTAAGTTTTTATATCATTGCGATCTTCACTTCATTCAAAGTCATACTGACTGGTGTAGTATTCCATATAACCCCGTCTTCTTCTCGTACGCAATTGTGACACCCTCAGTTGCTGAACTCTATGTCGACGAGAGCAAGCTATCTCCAGAAGCCAGAAAGCATCTCGAAGGCAAGGTCATTCTCAAACCATACGACTCAATCTTCCAAGCTTCCAAAGTCCTCGCCGAATCCAAGGCATCGGCTAGCAGCGGTTCCTCTGGGAAATTCCTATTGTCTAACAAGGCTTCCTGGTCTTTGAGCCTCGCCCTCGGTGGGGAGCAGAACGTCGTTGAGGTTCGAAGTCCCATCACTGACGCCAAGGCCATCAAGAACGAAGTTGAGCTGGAAGGATTTAGAAAGTGCCATATCCGTGACGGCGCAGCTCTGATCGAGTACTTCGCCTGGCTTGAAAATGCATTGATCAAAGAAGGTGCCCAGCTGGACGAAGTAGATGGGGCAGACAAACTCTTTGAGATCCGCAAGAAGTATGACCTCTTCGTCGGCAACTCCTTCGACACCATCTCTTCTACCGGTGCCAACGGTGCTACCATTCACTACAAGCCCGAGAAGTCAACTTGCGCTGTCATTGACCCGGAGGCTATGTACCTGTGTGACTCTGGTGGCCAATACCTTGACGGTACCACTGATACGACCCGAACTCTCCACTTTGGAGAGCCCACGGAGTTCCAGAAGAAGGCTTATGCACTTGTTCTAAAGGGACATATCAGCATTGACAACGCCATTTTCCCAAAGGGAACCACCGGGTACGCCATTGACTCCTTTGCTCGACAGCATTTGTGGAAGGAGGGTCTAGATTACCTCCACGGCACCGGTCATGGTGTTGGCTCATTTTTGGTATGGAGTTTCCTTTTCCCCTTTTCCAACTTCTGTCTTATGCTAACACATCCTCTCTAAGAACGTCCACGAGGGACCTATGGGCATAGGAAGCCGTGCTCAGTACGCTGAAGTCCCTCTCTCTGCTAACAACGTTCTTTCCAACGGTAGGATTACCGCATCTCAACTTTCTTGAATCTCTACTAATTTCCAAATAGAGCCCGGATATTACGAAGACGGCAACTTCGGCATCCGTCTCGAGAGTAAGTCTAATGACTACATCCCTTTTTAGTTACTTAATGCTAACAACGTCTTTTAGACCTTGTAATCTGCAAGGAAGTCCAGACTGCACACAAATTCGGTGATAAGCCTTTCCTCGGATTTGAGTCCATCACCTTGGTACCTTTCTGCCAGAAACTCCTTGATGCTTCTCTCCTAACTGAAGCTGAGAGAAAGTGGGTGAATGATTACCATGCGAGAGTCTGGGAGAAGACCAGCCCCTTCTTCGAAAAAGACGAGTTGACAACCGCCTGGCTAAAGCGCGAGACACAACCTATTTAAATGCCATTTGGTAGCGTCGTGCGAAGCCTGCTATAAAAAGCCTGTATATACGTATCAATAGCGAGACCGGATAGGTTCATAAAAGCAGGAATGTGCCAAATAAAAATGTATTCTCTGTAGTTCCTCGACCGGGGGAGGCATGCGAGCATGTAGGAATAGTAGTATCTAGGGGTTAGGTTTCTGATAACCATGCCACAGGGACGAGTCATTTTCTGGAGTTTATATTAGGTGAACGAAGGAGGCTGTCAAAACCTATTTGAAAGAGTGACATATACAGCGAGTCGATAAACGAAAACATGTCAGCCGTCCCATGCATCCCAAGCCATGCAACAAAAAGGAAAAAAATCGTTCATCGGAATCCAAGACAAGGAAATCCAACATTCGCCATACATAAATCAATCAACAGCTAAAAAAATTAATTCTGTTGTCCTTTTTCCTTGCAGCACCGATCCAATGGTTGACCGACTGAGACTGTATTTGACTCTCCTTCTCTGCGCCAACATCCAACGTCTTCGCTGCGGCTGAAAGCTGGAGCCAGATATACCGTGATATGAACCATGCAAGTACACTTGAAACCAGAACATAACCCAAAGTAGGCACGAGAGAAGTTGGGAGAATATTGAAGATATAGGGGTCGAGAATGAGGTCGACGAGGACTGGCGGAACATCTGCCATCAGTCCTTTGTCAGAGGTGAAATAGTCTGCAGCTGCATCGATGACGAGATACAGCGTTACGCCAGCCGGGCGGACAGAGGTTCCTCCTATTGAAGTGCTGTTTTTGTTACGGTAGGCCTGGATCTCCGAGAACTCGGCTAGGGAAGCCAATAGATTTGGAGACTGGAGGATCTCAGATGGTTGGTGAGTTGATAGAGTGAATTCAGTGGGTTGCTAGAGGAAGTAATCAGCATAGCTTATTATAGCTAACTTTTATCTGTGAAGATATTCTCGAGTGGTTACTGGCATGGAATACTCACTGTTGCTAGCCAGCATACTCGAACTTCATAGCGCTGTCCAGGAACCAGCCCCTCGAGACGGTACCACGACCTCTTCCCAGAAGGAGCTGTGTCAGTTGGAAACGCAGCTTCGAGATATTCCCTGATACTCGGTGCTGAAGGTGAAAGAGCCTTTAACTCAACGTTTAAGAGGGCGGACTGGGCCATGTCCACGTTTGGCGATATAAACATCGTCTTCTCGACGTTTGCCAGCGCAATGCCGACAAGGCCACTGACTAGCCCTAGCATAAACCTCATATTCATCCTCGAATGTACAGTAACGTTCCTTTTGTTCTGTTTGTATTGGTATATCCGTAATCTCTATTTTACCCGCTCAGATGCCTCCAGGTATAAGAGAGCCGAATAACACAAACGACAAGGAAAACCCCCCTTAGCTCTGCAGCGGGGTAGAGAAAGGTATTATTATATCCTTCTAACTGATGTCATCCACGGGATCTTCGATCTTCCTTTGGATTGTCGCTAGCCAACTCGGTAGCAAACGAATGGCTCCAATGACAAGGCGGCGCTCATGTGGGATTGGACTCGAGCAGCCCCAAACCCAAGCACAAGCCAGCTAAGCAGCAGCACCTCTTGCAGCAAGCTTCAAGCCACCAGAAGGCTATATACTGCCAGAGTCAGCCGTGGAGGCCCTCACGGCCGACAACTCGGCCTGGTCGACCTCGGTGGTCTGGTGGCTGCTTCAGCTGCCCAGTAAGCCCTTTCACTACTGCCTGGCTGACAGCTGTCCCACCACACGAACCAGCCCTGCTGCTCACGCCAGCGTCGCACTCATGTCGAAGGGGAAAGGGTCGTACCACAGATAGGCGATATGTCATATAAGAACTGTCTATGCGGTCTCAGTATCAATAGTAGCTGTCATCCGGCACGAGTAAACACAGACTCGTGGTAGGCTGTTGGTCCCCTTTGGGGAGGTTAGCCGGGGGCCGTGGCGCTTCTCCCAGCGCGCTTATTTTCCCTTCCGGTCCAGGAACCGCCGGGCGAGGGAGAAAAAAAAAAAAAAAAGGGAGCCAATGACACAACAGCCGCTGTTTTTTTTTGTTGACAAAAGGGGAGAGAAGAAAAAGATAGAAAGGAAAACAAGACTCCCTCGCTGCGCACGCTCACTCAGTCAAGCTTGAAAGGGCCTCAGAGATACTACAGAGCACCTGTCTGCCGTCGAGGAGAGTCGAAGCTTTTACTCCGTACCAGGATTGCCCATCCCACCTTTTGAAGCCTGCCGTTGGTGGTCTTTTCGGCCGTTTCAGCTTGGGCAGCAAACCTCGCATTACTGGAGCAGAGCCTCCCCTATTACTGTCAACCGTGGGGCGAGAGACTCGCTTCATATTTCTGCTTAAACAACATTACCCGAGAGCTTTGAGACCTCCAGTGATTCGCCATGAGAGAAGTTATTTCTTTGAACGGTAATACATACATGAACTTGGGCTGCAGGCTCCCGTGTTTAAGACGATCTTAGATCTGTTTGCTGACATTGTTGCCTCGTTAAAGTCGGTCAGGCCGGTTGCCAGATTGCAAACTCCTCGTGGGAGGTATGGTATTAACCTCATATCTGAGCCTATGGGACTGGATAACCTTGTGGATGTTGATTGTATGGACATGCTGATCGTCTGACTGTCCCGGTCTTAATAGCTATATTGCCTTGAACACGGACTCCAGGTACCTACTTAACCCGACCTCTCCCTCGACACCCCGAGTCTCTGTCTCTCTCTGCCTCCGTTGAATTGCATGAAAATTGTCTCCTAATATGTCAATGTCCGTTATTATAGCCTGACGGGTATCTGACTGAAGAACGCAAAGCCGAGAATCCAGATAAGGATACCTTCCATACTTTCTTCTCTGAGACAGGTAGGTTATGCTTTCTCTTCCACCCAATGGCTACCAAGACCCTCTAACAGGCTTTTAGGAAGCGGCAAATATGTTCCCCGAACGATATACTGCGATCTCGAACCGAATGTGGTCGACGAGGTTCGGACTGGTACCTATCGCCAGCTCTTCCACCCTGCCCAGATGATCACTGGAAAGGAAGACGCCTCGAACAACTTCGCTCGTGGACACTATACTATCGGCAGAGAGATAATCGACGATGTTGTGGAAAGAGTCAATCGTCTTGCTGAGAACTGTGATGACCTGCAGGGATTCTTACTCTTCCACTCCCTAGGCGGCGGTACGGGTTCGGGTTTTGGAACACTTCTCCTAGAGCGTCTAGCCACCCACTTTGCAAAGAAGAGCAAGCTTGAGTTTTGTGTCTACCCTGCTCCCAACCTGTCAACTTCGGTAGTCGAGCCGTACAATTCGGTACTGGCTACAAGCTCGACTATGGAGTTATCGGATTGCAGCTTCCTCCTTGACAACGAAGCCATCTATGATATCTGCACGAAGCAGCTCACCATTGAACGGCCAGGACTAGAAAACTTGAACCGTCTCGTGGCACAAGGTAAGCAGTCTGATACTTGTTTTCAATTAACGAGCCAGAAAGGAATAAAGGAAAGAAACAGCTAATATTTTTTTTGAACAGTCATATCTTCGGTTACGGCATCTGTCCGTTTCGGTGGCTATCTTAATGTTGATCTGGCTGAATTCCAGACCAACCTTGTTCCGTTCCCTCGTGTTCATTTCCCCATGTTTGCCTATGCACCCATCGCACAGGACTCCAGGGCTACCCATGAAACAAATACTATCCGTGAAATGACATTGGCCTGTTTCGATCCAAGCAACCAGATGGTCAAATGTAACCCGCAGAATGGCAAATACATGGCAACCTGTCTGCTCTACCGCGGTAACATCATCCCCAAGGAAGTCCATTCTGCGGTTGCTACTGTCAGAACCAAACAGACCATCCAGTTTGTCGACTGGTGTCCCACTGGTTTCAAGATTGGTATCTGTGATAAAGCTCCTGAGCACGTGCCAAATGGTGACATGGCAAAGACGGACCGTGCAGTGTAAGTCTGAAACGAATCCCCTCCCCCTTCCCTCCTTACGGGAGAGGAAGGTATGAAACAACAGGAGGCAGCCGGGCTAACATCACCATAGGTGCATGCTTTCCAATACAACTGCCATCGGAGAGGCATGGACGTCTCTCTGCCACAAGTTTGACCTTATGTACTCCAAGCAAGCCTTTGTTCACTGGTTCGTCGGCGAAGGCATGGAAATGGGTGAGTTCGCTGAATCTCGTGAAAATCTAGCGGTCCTGGAGCGTGACTACCAGGAAATCGCCAACGCCGAGGGTGATGAAGAACCCGAGCAGGAGTACTAATCAGCAGCACTCCGAATCAACATATCACTAACCAACTCCTCTTCTGCCTTCTGGTCTATCACTACAATAATGCACAGCCGTCTACCTGTTCGGCTCTCTGGCTCATGACAACTAATCTCCAGACGCTAACCAGCCGAAGACGCGGTTCTCTAATAATATGCGTGCTGTTGCTCCTGAGGGCTTGATGGAGAAGCGGAATTGGGGGTGCTGGTTGTCAATCCATGCCATGTCCTCGATTTAGGGAGCGTCCCCCCGGTATAATATGTTTTCTGTCGTCTTCTCTTTCTCTGGAGGTGCAAGGAGTTTTTCCCTATATTTTGCATTTCTTGAGTAGAGCCTCTTTCCCTCCCTACATGCAAAATTTCTTTTTTTAGAACCGGTAATCCACAGCAAGCGTTTGAATATATAAAAAACTAATTCTCCTTCTCTCATCCTCGTCCTTTCTCTCTCGATCTTCGCGGCTACTTCAGATGATGATGTAATGATTAGATAATCCAACGTTCGGCGTGAGTTTATCCGAACTCCGCGCGCCTCCTGATTGGCTGCAGCGACCTCGTCGAGCTTCCCCCCCAAAAGCAGAACGACGACGACGAGGTCGACGACGACAGACAACAACGTCCAAAAAAGCACCTTCAACGCCTTCGTTTCTCACTGCTCTTACGCCGCCAAAGAGCTTGTCTCCTTCGTTTTGCTCTGCTCTCCCCTTCTACGCTGCGACAAACACTCCGGCTCTGCTGTTTGCTGGTTATCAGGGGCACCCATCCATCCGTTGTTTGGGCTGGCTGATATAACTAACGACGCAGCCTGCGCGCCGCCGCCCTCCCGACATTCGCACATTGTACAATATCGCTGTCTCGCCGGGAACTACTCTCTCTGGGTTCTTTGCAATATTGTCCTCTAGAGGGAGGGAGTTACTGGCATTATGGCTGACTGTAAGCTCTTCTGTCTTGCTTTTACTCCGCATTTTCCGTCTGTCCCTATTTTGCCGGCACCTTACCTAGCATGCCATCCGCGCAACACCTTGACTGACTCGTTTCGATATTGAACTTATAGCTGCACAACATCCTAATTTAAACCTAACTCCCGAAGAGAAGCGAGTCTTCTATCAATTGTTCCAAACTGCAGATAAGACCAACTTGGGCGTCATCACCGGGGAAACGGCGGTTTCGTTTTTTGAGAAGACGAACTTGGCTCCTGAGACTTTGGGTTTGGTATGTCACTCTTCATCCACCCGGGGCACACAAACGGGGACCTGTATAGCTAGAGAGAGTTGCTAATCTTTAAGTTCAGATATGGCAAATCGCAGATACACAGAACCGCGGACTTTTAACGCCGTCTGGGTTTGGAATTGTCATGAGATTGATCGGTCATGCGCAGGCGGGCCGACATCCAACAGAGGAATTGGCCTTACAACGTGCGTCTACGCGATTTATATATCTATAGTTGCCGGGAGGTGCCACTTACTGACATATATCGATTGTATAGCTGGACCCCTACCTAGTTTCTCTGGCCTCAACATAGATGTCCCAACTGCTACAAGTCCGCCTCCAACCGGCCCACCTCTTAGAGTGCCACCGCTAAACCCCGACGATGTTGCGAAGTTCTCCGCGCTTTTTAATAAGTCAGATACACAAAACGGATATATATCCGGTACGAGACGCGTTTAGCCACTGATATTACCTCCTTGACCAATTGCTGACCATAGGATAACAGGAGAAACTGCCAAGCAAATATTCGAGAGAGCTCGATTACCAAATGAGATCCTGGGCAGAATATGGAATCTAGCTGATTCAATGCAGCGCGGTGCCTTGGATGCCACGGAGTTTATAATTGCTATGCATCTTTTAACCGCCTACAAATCGGGCGCTTTAAGAGGGATACCCCAATCTCTTCCACCGGGGCTGTATGAAGCTGCGGCGCGGCGAGTAGTAGCCCGGAATTCGACTGGCTCTCGGTCCATTCCAGATGTGCCGCCAGTACCTGCCATTCCGAAGCAATTCAGTGGTTCAGGCCATGTTCCCCGTGCACAGAGCCCCTTAAGCCAGGTACACACAGGAAGTGACTGGCTCATCACTCCTCAGGACAAAGCACATTTTGATAATGTGTTCTCAACAGTAGACAAAGCAAGAACTGGGTACATCAATGGAGACCAGGCTGTTGGCTTCTTCACTAACGCGCGACTGCCAGAGGAGGTCTTAGCACATATCTGGGATCTATCAGACATTGACTCTGATGGCCAGCTGAGTAGGGATGAATTTGCTGTTGCCATGTATCTAGTGCGGCAGCAGCGGACAACAAAGGAGCCACTACCACAGACCCTACCCCCTAACCTGGTGCCTCCCAGCATGCGACGCTTGGGTGCCCGTGCTATCCAGCCCCAGACAACCGGAGCTAGGTCGGCGTCTGAAGACCTTTTTGGCTTGGATGTGTTCACGGCCCCGACACAGGTGGCCCAGTCTACAGGAGGCTCTGGCTCCCAATTCCAACCTCCTTCTTCACCCACGCGCCAACCGCCATCCTCCACATTTAAACCCTTCGTACCAGCGTCTTCCTTTGGCCAGAGCCTAGGACCTATTGCCGCCGGTCGCCCGACACTAGCAGCTCAAAATACCACGGCTTCTCCATCGGATGATCTCCTGGGAGACGCGGATCCTGAGGAAAGCAAGAAGCTGACTCAGGACACTACTGATCTTGCAAACCTCTCAAATCAGGTTGGCACGCTTTCCAAAGAGATGCAAAATATCCAAACCAAGCGCAGTGCTACCGAACAGGACAGTGGTCAAGTCGAGCAACAGAAGAAGGATTTCGAGGCCAGACTCGCGCAGGCTCGAACAATGTATGAAAATGAAGTGAAGTCACTCAAGGCGCTTGAGGAACGGCTAGCCACCTCGAAGGCAGAGGTCAAGAAACTTGAGCAGGAGTTCTCCCTTATCGAGGCCTCCCGACGCGACGTGGCTACTCAGTACAATCAAATGGCAGCAGCACTGGAAGCCGACCAGCGCGAAAACGCCTCTTTGAAGGAAAAGATCAAGCAGGCTAATGCTCAGACAAGCCAGCTAAAACCACAGCTGGAGAAGGTTAAGTCTGAGGCCCGTCAACAAAAGGGACTGGTAGCTATCAATAAGAAACAGCTTGCGACTATTGAGGCTGAACGTGATCGCCTTCAGGAAGAGCTCGACCAGTACAGCCAGCAAAACGAAGGGTCAGAACGAGATGCTGCTGCTCCCGGCTCCCATAATTCACCATTCGAAAGCCCTGCCGCGTCAACCGGCAGTCAGGCAAAGAACCCGTTTTTTAGACGTGGAACGGGCGTGTCCTCCCCGGGAACCCTCTCTCCCCAGGCTACCGTTCAAAAGCCGCAACCAAATGATAACCGCAGTGTTTTTGACAACATGTTCGGATCCTCCTTCGCTCCGTCGTCTACTTCTACCCCACCTCCGCAAACTACCTTCAGAGCCGCGTCCCCTCGCAGTGGAGCATCCACCCCCGACGCTAGCAGAGTTGCAAGCGGTTCCTTTACTCCTTCTGCAGCTTTTGATACTCAATTTGGGGCTGCCGCTGCTGAGCCGCCGGCGCCACCACTCTCGAGGCAGATTACCCCAAACAATCTCCCTCTTGAAGGTCACGCAGTATCCGTGACTTCGTCCAACAGACCTTCCCCACCAGCGAGTCGCTTTGACACCTCGGGTATTTCAGAGGCTGATGCTCTAAGAAAACAATCCTCTCCTTTTGACGAAGAGGCTGGCGATGAGGCTGCTGGTGCTGCAGACGATACCACAAAGAGCGGAATAGAGCCGCAGCCAGTTGTTCCCGGCGCATTCCCAACAAACACCACGCCACAGCCTGAAAACAAGAAGGAAATCAGCTTCGATGAACTCTTTAGTGGTGTGGCACATGCCAGATCTCCGTCTCAGAAGGCCTCTGATTTTGAGGAAGCATTCGCGTCCATGAAGAAGCCAGGTGAAAAGACAGAGGGTGACAAAGATAAATCCAACGGCTCTGCTGCTGCTGGTAACAACGAATTTCCCCCAATTAGGGAATTTGATGACGACGATGATTCTTCTGACGATGACCACGCCGGATTTGACGATGATTTCGCCCCCGCCTCTCCTCCCCGGGATACCACTTCCTCTTCACAAGAACCATCGAAGGATGAAGCTCAGAAGTCCAGCTTCGCTCCAACGGACTCATTCAGCAAGCCTCTTTCTCCACCACCTGGACCAGGTGCCCAGAATACCCCTCCAGAGTTCAAGGGGTTAGTCCCAGGAAGACATGATCCGACCTCGGCGGGCGACGCTCCCCATTCAGTCGAATCAACAACGAAAGACCCCATCATTGGAGGCGTCCCCCATCATGATGCTGCCAATAAGAAACCAACAAATCCTGATTTTGAAGCAGCTTTTGCCGGACTTGACCTAGCCCCAGCTCAAGAAGTTGAAGATGACAGTGATGATGATACTTTTGAGAGTCCATTTAACAAGGACGCGTCTAACTTTGATATGTCATTCGATACAGCATCTGGACAACCAAAGCCTGCAAACAGCTCCGGCAATGCAGATTTCTTCTCCTTCCAGCCAAGCCCCGGTGCAACAGCTTCCACTAACAACAAATCTCCATTCTCCAGCGAGGCCCCTTCTGCTGGTCCAGCAAAGAACGCCAGCTCTAACCATGACTGGGATGCTCTGTTTTCTACCCTTGACTCTACTAAAGCCGCCGCTACCGCAAACAAGGACGGTTCTAGTCATGCCGCAACCGAAAACACTTCAGCCATGTCGTTCCCACAACCTCCCAGTCAGAACAAACCTGCTGGATGGGCACTAGATGCCAGCACAGGTGAAGATGATATGATCCTCCAGCGGCTGACCGGTATGGGCTACCCACGCGATGAAGCTCTTGCCGCCCTGGAGAAATTTGACTACAAGCTTGATGAAGTAAGAAATCTCTTATTCCTCTCCCCTACGATTCTCATACTAACATGTCTAGGCGGCCGATTTCCTCGCTTCAAAATCATGAACAATTCAATGCCTTTTTTCTCATTGCCATTGGCACGGCCTCTTGAGTGAAAATAGTTATTTACACCTCACCGTTCGTTCTCGAGCCACGACACACCTTCAAAGCTATGTTTCATTTGTCTCCGTCTGCTCTTGACCGAAGAATACTTCAATTCCCGCCATCAACGTACATACGTCTTGATATTTTACTCTCCCTTTTTCTTAACACTGTTGCTCACGCGCCATCGCGATGTTTGATTCCATTCCTTTTCTCATATCTGCGCCTTGTAGCTTTAATTTTAACGACCTTTCAGTTAAGCATATATTTCTTACTTTTCCCCTATCACGAATGGTGTTTCTTGCGCCGCGGTCGCTTTGGCTTGTTTTGTATAGATATTGCGCTTGTATATGTACAACCCTGTGTGCCTCGGGGGCTATCCCGTATTTTATTTTGCTTCTTCCTCCGTCTACCAATGATCAAGATGATGTCAGTGCATTAAGAGTTCGAACCTCGTTTCGTTGATGCCCTGAACCAAACACCGTATATAGTTAAGGTACGGCCCAGGAGAAGGAACCGTGTTTACAGGGAGCTAAAATGAGCCGGAAGTTTACCTGTAAGAGGAAGGTTAATACCTGATTTCATACAGCCAGCCTTGCCGACTATGTACTGTCCACCAACCAGAGTCACACGGCACCATGCATACACGAACATTGACGACATGGAATGGTCGGGGGGGTAAATAATTACGATGGGACAAATGCTGAACAGCAAACATACAAATGGAAATTTCCAAAGTTCCTTTATTAGCATCGTCATAGCGCGCATAGAGAAATCAATAGCTAGACTAAAGGCTCATTATCAACTTAATGGGTATCATATATTATTCAAGCACCGATGTAAACTCTCGCGGCTTGAGAAGGGTATTAGTAACTATCCAAGGGAAAAAAAAAATAAAAATAAAAATAAAAAATGATAGAACAGTCATTTAGTTAACTAGAGTCGAGCGCAACCTAGACTACAGGTTGCTCTTGGGCTCCGGAGGCCCCTTTGTTTCGATTGCTAATCATGGGCATCACGTTAAGCGCGAACGTAGCAACGAAAGCGGCCCTATAAACGCCGTTAAAGGTGCCCGTCAGCAACAGGGCTAGTTAAGGTCGAGATATAGATATCTAGAGGGAATCACCCACCATTCGAAAGCACCAAAAGCTATAGCAGCCTTGACAACACTGCATACAGTACACTGTCCAATATTACTGGTATCGACAGCCAGGGAAATGAAGGCAGAGAACCAGAAGAGAACGGTGGCTGCCTCAACACCGAGAAGCGCATACTGGTGAGCAAGCGCTGGGAAGAATTTGGGAGAGAAGACAATGAACGGTAGGGCGATAAAGAGTGTCCAGATACTGTCGAAAAGTAAGAAGTTGGCACTGTCGAGGCCTCCGAATACAAGTCTTTCGCGGACCCAGTTAATAACTAATGTTCGACGAGTTAGTATTGCGTGTGGATAGTTAACTATATATGGTTGATCTAGAAAAGTAGCTAAGGAGGTACTTACAGTATGAGATTAGCCCCAGAGTAACAACGGCCAGAAGCGCCTGGACGCCGCGAAGGATGAGGATGATGTTAGGCATGGCAACGGGCCTCTGTAGACCTGAAGAGGTTGATATAGAACTGCGAGTCGAAGGAAGGATTTTGGCCAACTAAAGACCTGTGCGAAGGTTGGGTTCGCCGTGGTTATATGCACCAGTAACCAGCAGAGGTGAATAGAAAGCAAGAAGGCCGAGATTCCAAAGGGAGGCAGTGAGGAATAAATATGAGCTAAATAGCTGGTAATATGACGTCGGCTCGAAAATGTATGAAGAGCAATGTGCCCACTGTGCTATTATTAGATACTTTAACTAGCAAGCTTGCGATTTGGAAGGGCTGAGATACATCAAAATGGGCTAAGCCATCCGCCTTTCACACATGATAAGGCGTCCACATTTTAATTTGTGGCCTAAGAGCACGAGTCGTATTGGACCGACCGTTCGGCTGAAGCGAAATTGGAGCTCTGTCACAATCGCGGCTCTTGGTGGCAAGGAATATCCCAAACGTCAAGCGGGTCGGGATGTTCGTTAGTTAGGACAATCAAGCTAAAAAAACCCTTAACACCAGGTGCTAAGTTTGCTCACAGCCTCGTTGCTAACGACCCCTTCCGTGTTCCCGTACAAAATCATCATCGATGTTTGATACCTCAGCATAGAGGTGTTGACAGACTCGGTATTTGTCATGTTAACTGATTAACTATTTAAGAAGGCAGTTATCCTGATACCTAGCTGGGCCTCGATACGCCTCTGGTTGGTTATGAGGGGCAACTATACAAGCCAGGATATAGTTGTGAGGTGGTGCATCGTGTTTCTATGCAGGGTGTGAAGTGGCTTGCCGTAACTAGCGGGGAGACGACTTCCCTCACTCCACGAGAAAAATGAATCTCAGGATTTCACTCTCTAAGGCCTGAGCACAAGTCGCTGCCCGTGATCAAAAATGGACTTATATCCGAAAACATCCCCAGTGGTTCCACGACCGAAGCCGATGAGGTTGCTGGTTCTGGGACTACCACGTACTGGTACCACATGTGTGTAGTTATGTATATACACAACTGACTGATGAAGATACATACCTAACTAATATTGGGAGTCAGCTATTTGTGCCGCCCTGGGAATTCTGGGTTTCAATCCGTATCATTATAACGAAGTGTTGAAAAACAACAATAATAATCACTTCGAGATTTGGCTGGAGGCTGTCAGAGCAAAATACGACGGAATCGGCGAGCCGTTTCAGGGGGCAGATTTCGACCAACTGCTCTGGAATTATGATGTAAGCTTCCTTCTCCCTTGGACTCCGTAGTTAGTTAATTCTCCCATTCAAGCTGAGGGCGGAGCCGGGTTGAGAGGTTTATTTTCTACCATTTTTTCCCGCCCGGTTTCCGTGGTTCACTGACTGGTCCTCTAGGCAGTGACGGACGACCCTTGTTGTCTCTTTGCTGAAGAGCTTATTGCCGCGTACCCTGACGCGAAGGTGATTCTAACCACGCGGCCGAGTGACGCATGGTTCAAGTCGATGAAAAAGCTGATTCTCGAAATTTTGTCCTGGAAATCCTGGCGTTTGCTCTGTTTTTTTGACAGGGAGTTTTCAGCTCCGTACCAAGCTCTTCTTCATCGTACCACTTCCGTCTTATCGAAAGGTCGTCCTCCATGCGATCCGTCCTCCCAGAATGCTTTTCTTGAGTCTTTTGAGGAGCATAATGAGTGTGTGCGCGCTGCCGTACCAAAGGAAAGGTTTTTAGAGTTCAGAGCAGACCAGGGTTGGGGGCCATTGTGCAAATTCCTCGGGGTGCCTGTCCCAGAGAGTAAATACCCGCACCTCAACTCGGGGAAAGATGCGATGCAGCTGGAGCACGACTTGTATTGGTCTCGGTGGTATTGGGTAGGCCAGCAGATGGGAAAGAAGGCGGGAATTGCGGTCTCCATATTGGCTGCGGTATGGTTTGCCCGCAAATATTACACCTGAAATAACCATGCCTTTCCAGAAAGTCCTTTTTGTACTGAGTCTAGTTGATGCACTCTGGTTGTGTGTATCATGATTAAGAGGTTGCACAGCCTCTGAAGCCCGCTGCACATGGCCTCGTGAACTCGCTAGCCGTGCACGCTGCACACTCTGCATCAAGGTGTAAAACCAAGTCGCATGAAAACTCCTCGCTTTCCAATTCCCTTTGTTGAAGCTACGTGTTCAGTGGCTAATAATGACTCGCTCCTCACAACAGGCTAACCGGCTGTTGACTAGTTAGTTATGTTCCTTTGAAGAGCTTGGGCGGCTGAAATGCGGTCTTTATCATCTTAGATCCCCCCCTTGCAGGCGTTTTCTTAATATTTTAGTTACCCTGATGAAAGGTTCAACAGGAAACAAAGTGAACCCATGTAATTTTGCAGCGTTGGAAGGGAAGGATTCGAAGAGCCTCATAACTTGGATAACTAATATAGTTACACCGTTTGGCTGTCAGATAATCTATGTGCGTAGATCTCTTGGTTCTTACCCCTCCAACAGACGGCTCGGGAATAGATGCCCTGGTGATCATGCTGGATAGCCTATTCAACGCACCCAGTTAGTCGAGTTGAAGCCCGCAGAGTCGAGATAAACTCACTAATGATGCACGAAAGGATGGGACCGGATTGTTGCTACTCGGAGAAGCAGGCCATTTGCAAATCTGCCAGCAGGGATAGCTAACTAAAAGCATCCGTGTGGTTGAAGAGTCGAAAAACTGTTGTAGAGTTACCCGCATCTCTATACGCACAAGTAGCCACTCGGCTGATGAAGCTGAGGATCTGAGGGAGGAAAAGAGCGAGAAGTCAAGTGAATTTGTAGGAAGAAAAGTCGAGTCGTCGGATATTGCCTAAAGCGGTATCTCCAACGTCCTCTGATCGCTCACACTGTAAAAAAACTGCAACTTCGCATATCTAAACAACTTCATCGCCATAAAAGCAGAATTCTAGCATGTAGTTATAGTGCAGATAACTGTACAACTTATGAATAGGTCCTCCATACTGTCCAGCTCGCTCGCTTCGGAATCTACTAACAAAGCTGATGGAATAGGGTCCCGCGGTAGTTACTCCTAGAGACATCCCCAAAGTCAACTGCTTAGTTCTGGATTGACTACCGGCTTGCCGCGATGTCTCTACTATATAACTCGCTGGCCACGGGCGTTCGAAGTCCCCCCGTACCCACCTGCAACCCAAAGCCCCCCTGATAACCATCGAACCTACCGGATCACGCAATACGGGATACATCGAGATCGGAACCGGTGTTAGTTAGGGTGGAAAGGCAGCTTGAAAGCCCTGGCGTCGCGCTGAAAGTACAAATGCTGGCATCTTCTCCCTGCGGATTTTAATCTTGCATCCTCATCTTTTTTCGCTTGTCCACTCCGGGTTTTTACGTACGCTTGCTTCTCCCTGATCGGCTGGTAACTAGCGAGCAAGAGGCCATATCCCTACCCTCTTCCTAAGTACGTACTGCCCTGGCCTAACTACCCCGCCTCGACGTGGCTCTGGCTTTGTTTAAATACGGTCGTCGAGCCTGCAATTGACCAGTATAACTTGATCTCTCATCATTCTCATATAGTTTCAGTTGCTGTTGTCTCTACATAGAGTGAATATCGCTCATCATGGCTTCTGACAACCGCCGTTTCGAGACTCTCCAACTGCATGCTGGGTAGGATTGAACTTAACCATTGATTCGCATGGCGCAATGCATACTGATAGAATGGATGACTAGACAAGAGCCCTGTCCGGCTACCAATGCCCGTGCTGTCCCGGTTTATGCCAGTACTGTTAGTTGAACTACGGATGCCGCTGCTCCTCGAGAACCTAGAATACGCTTTGCTTACTCTTCCTAGTCCTTCACTTTCAAGAACTCTGAACATGCTGCTCGGTTATTTAGTCTGAAGGAATTTGGCAACATCTACAGCCGTTTGATGAACGTACGGATGGCGTTCCCCTGCCCCTCTCTAGTTTTTCTTACCTCCAATTGAAAAGCGAAGTGGCTAATTGGCGCATGCCTAGCCCACCGTCGATGTCTTTGAAAAGCGTATTGCTGCCTTGGAAGGTGGTGTAGCAGCCGTTGCTGCATCTTCCGGGATGGCAGCTCAGTTCATGGCCATCTCTGCTCTCGCCCATGCTGGTGACAATATCATCTCTACCACCAACCTCTATGGAGGCACATACAACCAGTTCAAGATATTCCTACCCCGTCTAGGAATTACTACCAAGTTCGTCGAGGGAGAGGATCCCGAAAAGATTGCTTCGTTGATCGACGACAAGACCAAGGCCGTGTATGTCGAGACCATTGGAAATCCACGGTTCAACGTGCCTGACCTCGAAGCCATCGCAAAGGTTGCGCATGATAGGGGCGTTCCTCTTATTGTAAGTCGATTGGCTGCGCATAATTTAAATCGGGAACAGGGAGAGCGTTTTTTGAGGCTGACGGGTTCCAGGTTGACAACACCTTTGCAGCAGGAGGTTATTTCTGCCGTCCCATTTCCCACGGAGCAGATATCGTCGTCCACAGTGCCACTAAATGGATTGGAGGGCATGGCACGACGATCGCCGGTGTAGTCGTTGACGCTGGCACTTTCGATTGGGGCAAGCATGCCGCTCGGTTCCCCCAGCTGGTCGAGCCGTCTGAAGGTTACCATGGACTCAAGTTCTGGGAGACCTTTGGCAAAGTCGCGTTTGCCATTCTAGTCCGCGTCGAGATCCTTCGTGACCTTGGCTCCGCTCTCAATCCGTTTGGCGCACAGCAGCTGCTGCTTGGTCTCGAGACACTCAGTCTGCGAGCTGAACGTCACGCCTCCAACGCTATGGCCCTCGCCAAGTGGCTGGAAAAGCACGAGAATGTCGCATATGTATCGTATCCTGGCCTCGAGAGCCACGAAAGCCACGCAACGGCGAAGAAGTACCTCAAAAACGGCTTTGGCGGCGTTCTGTCAGTCGGAGTCAAGGGCGGTGCGGCCGCTGGTGTCAAGGTTGTCGACGGCTTCAAGATGATTTCCAACCTCGCCAAGTAAGTCCATCTCGGATACTCCGCAACTATCAATTCAATAGCGAGTTGAGGCTAATGTTTGTATGCGGTTACTAGTGTTGGCGATTCGAAAACGCTGGCCATCCATCCATGGTCGTCAACCCACGAGCAATTGACCGAAGACGAGCGCCGTGCTGCTGGTGTCAGGGACGACGGCATCCGCATCTCAGTCGGAACAGAGCATATCGACGACATCATCGCCGACTTCGAGCAGTCCTTCGCCGCCTGCAACGCTGCTCTTGCCGACCGTACTGCGTAGAGCGCACCGTCGTCGTCGCCGGGTGTTGTTTGAAGAGACGGGGAAATGGGCGATATGTTCTCCGCAAGGGAAGGAGATACACAACGTAAATAGCCAACTAGTTTATATATTCTCTGGCCCAGCCAGCCCAGCTGGAGAGCGATAGAACGAATGACGATGCATGTGAAGTGATCGCTGGCCGTCTCTCTCTCTTCTTTCTTTCTTTCTTTCTTTCTTTCTTTTTCTTTTTTTTTTTTTTTTTTTTTTTCTCTCGGGTAGCCCGACGTCTCGGATGCTCTGCTAACTCGGAACCAGCCCAGCCCAGTGAGTTACAGCTGGCCCCCAGCCGAGGCTTGCACCGTCGCAGCGCAAGTACCGGTACCTGCGCCGCCCCCGACGTCCCCAGGACAGCGCCCGCAGGGTGCAGGTACTCTTTTGCCGGCGTCTCCCGCGAAAAGGTACCTGCCGGGAGCCCATGTGAAAGGACGAGGAGACCCATGTCGCAGAAGTACCGGTACTTCCTCGGCGCATACACCAAACGACGGGCGTCGGCCGCAAAGGGAAATCTTCGTCCATCAATCTTCCTCTCTGCTCCGTCGCCTGCATATACTCCTCGCCCTCCCTCTCTTCTTCCTCTTCTTCTTCTTCTTCTTCTTCCTCCCTCCTACTCCTCTGCTTGAATCCGTGGTGTGGAATGACCGGCTAGCTATCCTTATTTCTCGCATCGCTCTGCGTCCTGGTGCGTCCATGCCGGCTCCCGTCTATTAATTCCCTTCTGGTGCCACGTCTGCAGTTCTAGCTCTTCCATGCGCATTTCCCCCCAGCATTTCTGCAGCGTCTGTCAAGCTAACGGTGTGTCTGGTGGCCGGTGTAGTGACGGATTAATCCTCCCTAATATCCATCTCCGTAACGTTCGCCGTATTCGACCCTCCAGCGGAGGACAGAGACAAGAGACCACAGAGCCCGTTGGGATACCAGACAGCTGGCATTGGCTATTTTTGCGGCCGGCATCGATACCTGCAGTATACCTATCCTCTAGCGTTGAGACACGCACGCTGCCGCAATGCTCTTCTCGTCCGAACCAGCGCTCCAGGCGGCTGCTGCGCAATACAGCCAGAAGCCGCCCAAGGGAACGCCAGAGTCCGTCCCGGTGCCCAACTCTGAGCTACCAGGCCGGAGCAAGGTGTATCGGCACTGGAAGGTCGGCAGCAAGGAGCTCCCCAAGACCCTCGATCCAAAAGTGAGCCATACACAGATCTATACACTATTGCACCTGGAGTCTCTAGCCTATTTTCTTTGTTCTACGAAGAAGCGCCTTTTCACAATAATGCGACATGTACTGACCTGCTTTTCGTTTCAACAATAGGTCCGCACAGGCCATGACATGTTTGAGTCTGCCGGTTCGTTTGGCCCCCTTTGTTACACATGATGTGAGTTTCGAGAGAGCTGTTTGGCTAATTTCAATTTAGCCTCGCTGTATCCAAAGAGGCCTTGTCTCGGATACCGTCCTTGGATCCCCGCCACTAAGAGCTATGGACCATATGTTTGGATGGACTACCAGACCGTGCAGAAGCGACGGGCAGCCATCGGAGTTGGTCTGGCTGAACTCCACGAGCGCATCGGGGTCCAGGGCCGAAACTATGGAGTTGGTCTTTGGTGCCAGAATCGGCCGGAATGGCAGCTTGTCGGTGAGTTTACTCTCCCTATGTCCGATGCAGCGTTGTAGCTAACAGCAATTTAGATATGGCCTGTATGTCTCAGGGAATATTCTCAGTCTCCATCTACGAGACCCTCGGTCCAGAAGCTACCGAGTACATCATCCAGAATACTGAGCTTGCCTGTGTGGCCTGTTCCTTGCCACATGTCCCCACGCTGCTTAAGCTGAAGCCCCGTCTTCCTACCTTGAAGTTCATCGTATGTCTTGAAGACCTCGATTCCGACGAGCCCCAGGGCCACACCAAGCGTGATATCCTTAATCCTATTGCCAAAGAGCTTGGCGTTACCATTTACACCCTCAAGGAAGTTGAGGAGCTAGGGGCGTCTCTTAATCGTCCCTACACCCTCCCTTCGCCAGATGATATTGTCACCATCAACTATACTTCTGGCACCACTGGCCTGCCCAAGGGAGTTGTCCTCACCCATGCAAATGCCGTTGCTGCTGCTTCCTGCTCTCTGAGCGCCTTCCCACAGGGCCCAGGGGACGTTGCTTGCTCCTATCTACCACTTGCTCATATTTATGGACGAATGATTGAACAAACTCTTCTCTGGGGTGGCGGCCAAATTGGATACTTCCACGGAAACATTCTCGAGCTTGTCGATGACTTCAAGTTATTGAGGCCGACCGTGCTTGCCTCTGTTCCACGTCTTTACAGCCGTTTCGGCGGAGCTATCCGTGCCGCTACTGTCGAACAGCCTGGCTTCAAGGGCGCTCTCTCGAGACATGTCGTTGCTACCAAGACTACCAATCTAGTCGACGCCAAACCACAAGATGCCACCTACAAGCACTCAGTCTATGACAGGATCTGGACTAAGAAGGTCGCCGCTGGACTCGGATTCGACCGCATGAGATGTATGGTCTCTGGCTCAGCACCTCTCGATGCATCCCTCCACCAGTTCCTTCGAGTTGCATTTGGTACCAATATTGTCCAGGGATACGGATTGACTGAGAGCTACGCCATTGCCACTTGCCAGGGCAACCATGACTTGACTGCTGGCCACTGCGGCTCCGTTGCCATCGCTCAGGAAGCCTGTCTGCTCTCTCTCCCCGAGATGGACTACTCCGTCGATGACAAGCCATATCCCCGAGGTGAATTACTGCTTCGTGGAAACACTGTGTTCCGGGAATACTTTAAGAACCCCGAAGAAACCGCCAAAGCTATGACGGAGGACGGATGGTTCCGCACTGGAGATGTCTGCCAGATCGATGAACATGGCCGATTCCACATAATCGATCGCCGGAAGAACTTGCTAAAACTTGCGCAGGGTGAATATGTATCTCCTGAGCGCCTCGAGGGCATCTACCAGAGCTCCTGCCCATACATTGCGCAGGCATTTGTCCACGGTGATAGCGTCCAGTCGCATCTCGTCGCCATCCTTGGCATCCAGCCAGACATCTTTGCTCCTTTTGCCAGCAAAGTGCTGAAGAAGCAGATTGCTATGGGCGACGCTGAGGCCCTGAAGGCCGCTGCCAGCGACGAGAAGGTCGTTCTCGCTGTCCTAAGGGACATGGAGCATGCTGCTAGAGTGAACAAGCTCTCGGGCTACGAAAAGGTGAAGAACGTTGCTCTCATGGTTGATCCATTCTCCATCGATAACGGTCTATTGACCCCTACGTAAGTTCCCATCAACTGTGGTTTTGATATCACCAGATGCTAACATGGTACACCAGCCTAAAATTGAAGCGTCCTCAATCCGTCAAGATGTACCGTGACATCTTTGATAAGCTATATTCCCATATTCCTGACCTCTCAGCAGGCAAGGGAGCTAAAGCTAAGTTGTAAGGGGGATAAGGTAACCAGGTGTGGAGCGCCGCATTAGACATGTTTCTCTTCTTGTATCAAGTACTAGGGTAGATATTATTATTATTCGGTATATAAACAAAATATGATATCATTACGCAATTCATACTCCACACGGGAAATATATCCATAACGCAGACACCAATCACCAGTTTTTTGAAAATAATTAGGCCAATGTCTCGTGTCGGGTGGCCTCACTGTAAAATTAAGATATCGGAGAGTCCGACGCGGTGCGCCAAGCCCAAAGAGAAGAGCCGCCCGCCCAACCCTTGGCGGAACTTTGAGCTTCTCGCAACATCAACAATCTCGCTGCAACGGAGTGCACAAGGTGGCAGCCAGCAACTCCGCCGCCATGCGTTTTCCATATTCGTCCGTTCTGCTTTCGCTCCTTGCTCTGTCCTCCAGCACTCTCTCCGCCGCATCCTCGCTAACGGTCGCCCTCCCATCTTCCGTCCGAATCGGCTCGCTGCCGTCATCCACCTACGCAACGCTTACCACCACCTCTCAGCCCAATGGACCTCTAAAGGCACCACTATCCCACCTTTCGACCTTCGTATTTGATGATATATCACTTCCGATAGCATCTACGGGCCCCGAAAAGCCGATATCGTACCTCCTGGATATCCATTCAAAAACCCATGTCTTTGCGCCGTACAGAGTCGACGTCTCCTCGGAGACTGGCAAGATAATCGGTGTCTGGGAGACTTATCGTGGCAACCCATGGGATAACAAGGGAGCGGAGAAGATTATCTCGGGCGGCGATTATGAGCCTGGGGTAGTCGTTGTGGAAGCGAAGGTGCTTGCAAAGAAGGACTTTTACGAGCAAAGAGAGAAATGTAATCCTCCCCGCCCAATACGTTTTGCTCCAGTCATGGATACCTTATATTCAATAAGCAGGAAGACTAATCTTTCATTTCTTTTTACGTTTAGTCTCTCCATTGGCATTACTGAGAAACCCCATGCTTCTTCTCGCCATCTTTGCCTTGGCCGTTACGTTTGGAATGCCATACCTCATCGAAAACAGTATGTCTATCTTTGCGTTTTCTTGGTTTTTACACCTGCTGTTATTGTTACCTGTTTATGGATTTAATCTAACTATGGGAATTAGTGGACCCTGAAACCCGCGAGGAGTTTGAGAAGCAGCGTGCTGCAAAGAGAAATAAGCCTGCCAACCCTGCTCAAGACTTTGATTTGGCTGGATGGATGGCCGGAACAAATCCTAACCTGATAGATACTGGAAAGTCGGCAGGTTCTAGTGGGCGAGAGCAAGAATCAGCTGCAGCAGCAATGCGAAGAAGAGGCTAAAGTTTGGGACTTTGGGTAAAAATCACTTCCCAATTCTACTCCGTACCTCTATACTAAGACACCAGGCGTGACATAATGATACTAAAAGCATGCAATTTAATGTTTCATATTGTATGTTCTAAAGAAGACTTCGGTTGTGTTGACTGAGAGCATAGGCTGATTGCAGCCCGAAATGCAGACAGTTGAAGTAGTAGCACCCATACTGATATTGCAAATACTAGTCTTTTTCAAATAGGAAGTCAAGCATTAAGGATACATTATGAATAGTGCCGTTCCTCATACTATTACTTGGCCTGCAATACTCTATTTTTTACACTTCACGGGATGTGTAAAAGATAAACATCTGCACCACTTGATCCATATCCGAGCGATGTTCGAAAGCCCATGTTGTGCTCATACCTGAGCCATAAAGATTAACCCCCAGATGCACATATTTCCCGAGAGATTATGAACAATATGCCCTGGGTAGGTACAATATGAAACGGTTGAACGACTCTTGCGAGGAGGGTTCGCGGACACCTGCAGTAGTTCGCGCTAAATCAGCCAATGGGCGCTTTCAGGATCGGATTATCTTTTCGCCTAGTGGCGCTTATGCAGCCTAAATTTAGACGTCACCTGCGCCGCACTTGGCGGGTTCCCGGGGTCTTATATAAGCCAACGGATCCCCCGGATGGTTCGTTCATCGACAGTTTCACCGTGGATGGACGCGAAGGGTTGCGTCATCGACAGGAGAACGCCCTTTTACGGAAAAGTTTCGTCCTTCGTCTTTTAAGTAGCCTTATAGGCCTCGTTGACACCTGTGAAGATAATATATTCCCAGTGCTGGCCGACCCCGAATCAGGTGGACATATCTACTCGGCGTTTACCGCCGTATGCGCGACCTTCACGATGCCTGACGAGCACATACCTGGTTCAGACGGGCAACCAGTCCTGTCTGAACAATCTGCTATTCCTATAGTCGATCACGACCCGGACCGGGCCAACAACGACAATATCCTTCCCTTCGGCCTTGCAAACGACGTTCCTTCAGTGGTACCAGTCTGGCTATCTGAAAGTTCCAAGTCCTTCCGCTGGGGCTGGGTGCCACTTCCGTTGCGCAAGGCTGGACGTGCGACAGTTAAATGGTTAAAGGGCCCAGACCCACCCCATAATCTACGATTTGAACCTCTCTTCCCAAGTATTCAGGAGGCTCCTGTTCTCTTCTTGGAGCAATACTTCCCGAAGAGAAAGCAGAAGATATTCTTACTACTGGGGCTTTATTTCGCCTGGTTTCTGTCATGGGGTCTTATCCTACGACATTCAGCATCTTCAGGCCACATCGAAGGATATGGGATTCCGAGCCCAATAGGTTGCAGTGCGAATTACTGGTGAGAATTGCTGACCCCGGAGAGTTTGTCTTTCATTATCATACTTATCATCCTCTCGATATAGGACCAACGCTCATCGTTGTGGCTTAAACGGCTATGACTGCAGGCCTTTTGAAGCCTCCTCCTTTGCGTTCCGATGCCCGGCTTTCTGCACAAGCACAAAGCTACTCAACCCTTACATTGTTGGCAATCAAACGCTGAATTATCAGCCTCTTATCGTCGGCGGTCCTGCACCGGGAGCTCCCAAAGAAGATGCAATATATCGTGCAGACAGTTACGTTTGCCAGGCTGCAATACATGCTGGTGTTGTTTCTGGTGCCAACGGAGGATGCGGTGTTGTGCAGTTGGTAGGCTCTTCTGACGAGTACTTCGCTAGCGAAGCACATGGATTCAATTCCACCGGATTTCCATCCAAGTTTCCAAAGTCATACAAGTTCGTGAAGTTAGAGGGGAAAGAATTCAAGTGTCCACGGGATATGAGATGGGTTCTACTCGCCATCACCGCAACCACGCTCGCGCTTCTGTCTATATTCACCACCTCACCTGCCGTTTTCTTCTTCAGCACGTTCGTTATCCTTATCATGCATGTGGGTCTTGTCTCAGACCCTCCCGGAGTTGCTGGTATGGCCGAACTGCTCTCCATGCTGTTCTCCCGTCTTCTACCGGCCAGTTTCATTGCCTATGTCCTATATCTATATTGCGCGGTACCGCTGCTTAAACCGCTCTCCTCTCCACCGATGTACCAGATCACCAGAACCATCTTATACCTAGTTCCAGCCTTCATCGGAGCGCTCAACAACTACACTTTCGCGAGTTGGATTCCAATTCAACGCCTCACCCCACATGACATACAGAATCAACCGGGTGCTCCTGTTGCATTGGCTATTGTTTTGACTATCGTCATCTCTATAGTCCTTACCCAAGCCTGGCAGATACGCCAGGGAGGCCTATTTTTCCACTTCATCAAAATTTATCTGGTCATTGCGATTTCAATATTTATTCTGCTTGCTCTTCCGGGACTACGTCTACGTATCCATCACTACATATTAGCTATTCTCCTCATGCCCGGGACTGCTATACCTACTCGACCCTCTATTATATACCAGGGCCTTCTCCTCGGCCTCTTCGTTCATGGTGTTGGAAGATGGGGTTTTGCTTCCATAATTGAAACCCCCGATGCACTAGGGGAGATTCCGGGAGTCGGTACTTGGTGGGGTGCTACCTCCCCAAACATCACCAACTCATCCGCTACAGTCTCTCTTGCCTTGCCATACGAGAGTCACTATTTCCCCGGCAACGGCAATATTACATTCGAGCTATGGGATCGAAAGCTGATGAAAGAGCTAAATGTTGACGGTGTTAGTGTTCTTATTAATGATGTCGAACGCTGGCGTGGATATGTGGATGAAACCAAAAAAGGGATATTCACATGGCAGCGTCGCGGTCGTCAGGGGCTAAGTACTAGAGAACTTAGTGCCCTATCTACACTGGGAGAGTCTCCGTTGAGGAATTACTATGACGATGATGATAATGACGACGATGACAATGACGATGAAATAAATTTCCCGCCCCAGGACTTATTCTTCCGGTTTGCGTTTTTGCGTGGCTCGACAGCGGGGCTATACGGTGGTGTTGGTGTTTGGCTAAAGAACGGGACTTGGGTGCCCCCACCCCCACCAAGGACATGAGTATAGAGGTTTTTATTCAATTATCTCGAGGTGATTATATTTGGCGTTTCCGGGCCGCTAAATCGCTGCTAGATCCCCTTCTTGGGCCATTTAGATTCTGTTAGATATTGATGTGTGTATTTGGAGTTATTGGTGGCTAGATTGGAACTGGAAGTCGGTGAATGGTACCTTGAGCCATAGAGAATTTTTCTATAGTTAAGCTGCTCCTTCGGTTTCAACCTGAAAGGGCATGAATACACAAGCCCTTTAACTTATGTTTTGTTAGCTCACCTTAGAAAGTCAAAATAAAGTGATTAATAATCCAAACCTAAACTTTATTCCGACGTCCATGGACGGATCGAGATATAAAGTTGGAACAGACAGGGATCGAGGAAGAGCGTTACATTCCCCGCTGTCAGCATATCTGCAATGTCAGCACTTCCATTACTGCTCACACCTCCCAAAGTGATGCACTATGACAATGCATAGAGTTTACTTGGCATCTGAATCTCTTGATCCATTATACCCGTGCTCATTCGTGAACAACAATGAACACCCAGCAGTGTTTTCCCAGGACAGCAGATTCTCAACCTTGGGATGCCCTTATATTCTCCTCAGTAGCATCAAATGCAACTCAGTCATATATTTTCAATATACTGAAACTTGGGGGGGTCAATGATCCAAGATGGGCCAACCGTTTACCTACCACGAGGTGCAAACTGACTCCGATATTGAGGATTCAATTCGGATGAAAAGGAAGTCGAGTCGAAGTTCAGATCGTCGATGTTGGGCAACACTCTTTGTGTTTTTACTCGGAATAACAACTCTTAATGTTATAGCGGTCTGGAAACTATGGGATCTTAACAAAACCACAGCTTCGCACACACATATGGCATCACACACTCACTCGCCTTCCACCCTTCATTCATCCGTACCGTCATCCACGGAACCCGAACCGATAACAAATTGTGGCAAGTCGCGGGCAGAAGCCATCTCTCGCGGATGTGTCCTTGATATCATGGCTGGGGCGTGGCTGCCAAAAATATGTTACGATGAAGAGCTTGCGCTAGATGTTCTCTCAAACTCGACAGACCTAGCGAAGATTGGAGGTGCTGGACCTCTCCCTTGGTGGGAAGACCACAATCATACCATTCCTATCGCTGCCGATTCGCTGAAAAATCTTGATTCACTGGTTGCAAATACCTGGGAGCCATACCACTCCGCGCACTGCTTGTACAATTGGCGCATATTGACCAAAGCAACGAAGCGCGTGAGGTGGGGAGAAAAAGGTGTATACATCCATACGCAGGCTATTAATTTCAACCATGTGAATCATTGTAACGAAGCCCTCATTACCCAACCACCAGGACTAGGAAGAAAGACGCAGGTTGAATTTGGGCTTGGGACATGTGTTCGCTTGGATAAGGATTGAACTCTCAACGTTTGACCTCATTGTTTCCCCTCCCAACAATTCGGTGATGTAAAGTATCTCCCTGGTTAATTCAGAGTTGACAGAACGCAAATACAGAATTATGACTTCCAATTCCATGAGATACGTAATGTATGATAAATTCTTGGGGGTGAAAAAGTCGTTAAGCAATAGATTCCGAAGTAGTCTCTATTCGATACATTTATGGCTTCCTTATAGATTCTTGATAACTTGAAAACCAAGGTATTGATAGACTGGGAGATATAGATACTAGGTAGCTACAAAGACTTATACAGTAAGGAGAAATTGATGTGAACTTGTAATTTATTAATCTATCGGCTATATTGCCTAGCCTTATATCAAGCCTGATGTGAAACTTCTTGATATGCCATGTTAGCCCCCACGGGCCTAACATACAAGCCTCAATTACCACATACTGCAGCCTACGCATTCTGTACATCATTCCCGTAATCTTCATCGTCCTCCGCCGCAGGAACATAGAAGCCATAGTAAGTGTTAGCGCCGGCGTCAGTGGCTGGGGTTTCACGGCGTGCAATCTTTCCATAATCTTCATCGTCTTCCGCAGGAGGAATATAGACGAGATAATCCCCTTTCCCTGCCGATGTTCCATGGTGTTCAGATTTCATGATATTGGCGTCCTGACAAGGAACCATCAGCATTATTCAAATATTTAAAGTATCAAGTATTAGACTTACCATCACAGGAGCAGCATAGGCAGAGGTAATGGCCATAACAAGTGCTAGAGAAACAGAGAGCTTCATTTTGGCTGGTATGCTTTATTTGAATATTCGATAAGATAGCTACCGTTGCAGTTGAGTTATAAGGGTTGGTTGATGCGGGTATGATTCTGAACTGAAGATAGAACATGTGCAGTTTCGGGGTTTTAAAGAACGCTGAAAAGTGGTGTCTGAAGCCATACATACCTATATTGTCGCTCTACCCTCCGCTAGGCTAACGTTGGATTGATGACTCCCTGCAATGTCAGCATCTATACGATCACGAGGTTGCTGACCTGCCCCTGCTTGCTTACCTGGAGGATCACCTATTTCCAGCCACCAGGGTGTCATCATGATCTGCCGGTCAGTAAAGCTCTCTCTATTACGTGATACTCTTTTCTATCTATCATTACTCACTGACATCAGGTATGTGAAGGCAATGCCAGAAGAATTTATAGATCTCCTTGTTCTCAAGGTAGACGAGATGTCGAATTCGAACAGTGCATCTGACACGAGGTTGTCTATTGATGCATACGAGAATGACCCCTTCTTAAATAAATATAAGGAAAATAGCTTTCAACGACGCAGAATCTCCATTCTCATCTTTTCGTTCATCTTTGTGCTGGGTATCTCCGTCTTCTGCAACATCATATTGATCTTTGAACAGTATAAGCGTTGGGACCTGGATAATGTCTGTACAACCTATACTTCGCAGTATAGTGAGTGTACTCTATCCCACATATGAGCCAACATTCCAAAATCCTGTCAATTGACCAATCCATAGGATCGCCAATTTCAAACGATGTCAATCTAAAATACAACACTGTCACATTTAATGGTTCCCTCTTCGGTGATCACGTCTGGCGTCGATGGGTCGGCGATGATGTTGACCAAGCATGGCTTGACCTTGGTGTTGAATGTAGGCCAGTTCCAGTCTGATAAACCAAGGGGTATACCCGAAAATCTGGGTGCTAATGCTATCTCAGACCAGCCTGTTGCTATCCCGCATGAAGATAGAGCTCTGTACGGCCTCCAGGAAGGCCAAGTGAAAATGATGGAGAAGTATGGCGGAAATTTTGTGGCACATATTGAAGTTTTCCACCATCTTCATTGTCTTGTAAGTACAAAGATTTCCCTTGATTATTTAGTGATTGGATTAAGGCTGATTAACATGAAAGGACGTACTTCGGAAAACTTCACACTATAGCTATGAACATTATCTGAAAAAAGGGGGGAGCCTGTTTACCAACAATGAGAAGACTGTAAAACACCATGCAGGTAAAGATTCCACAGTATTCTACCCCACGGCTGATGTATGTATTAACTAGTCCATCATTAACTAGCGCATTGTCTTGATATCCTTCGACAGCAGATAATGTGCACTGCTGATACTTCAGTTTTTGGACAATGGTGGGTGAAAGGTATTGGGCCCTTCGTCGACTTCAACACAAAGCACCAGTGCAAAGATTACGAAACAATCCGGTCTTGGGGAGAAAAACACCAGATATCTCCGGATGTAGAGGTGGAAATGTGGCCTGGTGACCCAGAGCTGCCAGTGGTACCCTGATACTTGATTGTTTAATAGAATTGAAATCGAACCTACAATTCATGTACCGGCAATTTGAACTAGCTGGAACCATTATTATCACTTGTTCAAATATACTGCTCAAGGTTCAAGCATCAATGTCAACACCCGACTCTACTAGTAGACGAACTGCATCCTCATGTCCTCTTTCTGCCGCCATATGCAATGGTGTTCGTCCGTGATAGTCTTTGATATTTCCATCAGCTCCGTTATCCAGAAGGACCATTACGATATTTGTGTGCCCCATTTTTGCAGCATAGTGTAAAGCCGTAGCTCCTGAATTATCTTTGATTTTGATATCGGATCCATATTCAAGCAGGCACTTCACAGTACCAGTATGGCCACGTTCCGCTGATAAATGAAGTGCAACCTTGCCGTCTAACTTGCTTCCATGATCTGCGTGGAGTGGCATTATTAAGGAACTATCGGGAAATTGTATACTTCGATCAACAATGTTGGGGCATGTTCTAGCTTTTATATATAAGCCGGGAACTCCTAGATCCCCCGCAGATGATTGTCGTAGGGAACCGGGGTGCCCTTCAGGTGTTGAAATTTGCATCTTCTGTATAGACGGTTCAACTGATCCAAGATCTGGCTGTAAATAAATCCCCATTGGTTGATCGAGATTGCTCACGGTGTCAAACCCATTCCCCAAGGGTAATTGAGCACCCCTACGGGGAACTATAAAGGGGTTTAAGGAATGCGTATCCCAGGACTCTGTGTTTAAATTCATTCTTGGTCCTTCAAAAGGCTCGCTATCGAACAGGCTCTCAGGAGCAATAGGTACGCAATGGCCATCGTTGGCTTCGTGGAGGCGTCCTGGCTTATCAAGCAAGATCTCTGGGCTTAAACTGTTTGGTGGTGATAGATATGCATATAAGTTTTCTTGGGCGTCAGCCACATGGCCAGGGGTAACAGAGCTCGGTGAGTTCAGCAAGGAGCTTTCTGGAGCTTGTTGTATATAACCGCCAAAAACATGGTTAAGAGGCTCTTGGGTGTCAACCTCTTCTGGAATTTCTTGAGAAAGGCTTTTATTTCTGTTGTGCTTTCTCCTCCCTATACCAAACGGTTGTGAGTGATTAGGCCTATTCAAAAAAATAAGGTCATCGCCATACTGTGATTCCTTTGAGCTATTCGATTCTGGAGACGACGCCGCTCTTTCATTTCATTCTCTCTTTGAGCTTCCTCCTGCTCGTTCGGTTTTTTGGTAGAATCTGAGGGTTTTTCCATGTGCATTGGCTATAAATTCGAATTATTGATCGACTAGGGCTCTTGAAGATGAGCAAGTAAATAGTAATCACAGGATTGATATGTACCGCCAGGGAAGAAGCCGAACTTATACCCATGATACCTACGAGTGAACAAGCCAGTATATCTCCGAAGACCATGCAGGGTTGCATGTCGTTGGCCTGATGTCGACAATATTCATCATCCTCCAGGTTGCTCGAGCTCTTTCCCCGCTTCCTTCTCCATCGTATTACCGGGTTTTATGATTTACCCTTGTAGCAATGCGACCGGAAACGTGGAGGATGAGGGCGGGAGCAGGCTCTCCCAGGGTATGTATGGAGGATGCATGGCAAGATCTCAGGCGAGTGTGGTGAACGGGGACAATAGGAATAGGGAACCATGAGCAACCGGAAGGCTGGGTAGCGTAGAAAAGGAAGTCCAGTATTGCCTTCAAACCATTGCTATATGTATTTCCCGTTCATTCTCATTTGTCCCACTATATCGTAGACAGCCAGCGAGATGGCTGGGAATGGATAGGTTCACAGTGAAAGGCGGTTTACGTCGGGATTAAGTACATACAAACACTTTGCCAATGCGTTGAGAACCCCTGATGTCAAGCCATCGTAACTTACATAACGCTCTTTTCACTTCGAGCAACTAGTTATCAAACAACCTATCAAACGGTAACTATACCAGGAAGCATTAGGAAATATGTTGGAAAGAATTGTGCACTGTTGGAATCAAATTCTCCTGGTCTAGAGTAAAAGGCTCTTAGAGAGGGGCGAGCTAATGGTATGAACGTGATCCTGGCGTATCTGAACCGCAGTTCGTGAATATTCCTCTAATGGTAGTTGATTTTTTCCGGAGATAGGTTTACATTCATCCTAAGTTGATTGAAGCCAAGGTAGTGAGTTTAGAAAAAGTAATGAACACATAAATCGCTCTTGAAATTAATGGCTATAGAACCACTTATAGAGTGGCGTGGACATGAAGACTATATAAACACAAGGAAAATTGCCAGAGGGGTTATCCTTCTCTTATGCAGCTTTTTCCCCTTCCTTGTCTCCAGCATGGAAGTCTGCCACAGCAAGTTGGTTCAGTTCGTCCTCAGCCTGGTCAGCCTTGCGGTTGCTAATCCAGAAGCCAATACATCCAATAAACGATAGGCAGGCGGTAACAGTGTAGTTCCAAATGAGAAGAGGATCAGCTGACAAGCCAACCAGGGCCTGGAGCAGAGCGGAGGAGATGGCGTTCATGAAAAGTGCGAACGCTTGAACTAGAGATCGCATGTTTCTCGGGGCCTTCATGAATGCATATTCAAGAGATGTCACTGATGCAAAAATTTCAGAGACACCACCGAGGACATAGGCAACAGCTTGAACCCAGACACTGATGGGAGAGTTCTTTCCATACTCTGTCTTGCATTTGCTTGCCTCGTTACCACATGGGTTGGTTTTGTAAATATAATACTGCAGGACAGCAGAAGAAACCATTCCACAGCCAGCAAGGAAGAAACCGGTGGTGATACGCTTGATGGGGGTGAACCGGATGCCACTCTTTCGGAGAGAAGGATAAACGATCCTGTCCATGATTGGAATGAAAACAATGAGGGTGATGGGGTTGAGATTGTTGATGATATCGTTTGGTACTCCAGCGAGCTCCAGAGTGGCGGCCTGAGAGGTAAGGTTGGTAGTTCCTTGGTTATATGCTACCCAGAAAAGAGGGTACCACAGGAAGACGGAACAAGCAATAATGCCTCGTCGAACTTCGTCAACCCAAGCATCATCAAATGTCATCCAAGCTGGCTTGTTTGCAAGGCGACTGGGTTTGCAAGCATTCCAGCTGTCTGGGTGCTTGAAGTCACGGCTCCTATTCCATGAATATGATTAGTACGTGAAAGAGGGGAATAATGGGAATAATCAGGCCACTTACATCTTAGCGACGTTCCAAGAGCCCTTGCCCTTGGCGACGAGTCCAATGAGTTTCATGGCCTTGTAGTAAATTGAGCCACCTGGTTTCGTACGGACGTATCTCTTGCGGCAAATGAACAGCACCAACGGGCATAGGCAAAACATAAGTGTTGGAAGGAGGAAGGAGAGATAGAATCCGACATATTTTTCAGCGAAAACCATGCCAATTTGACCACAGAGCGAGCCGATGTTGATCATGAGGTAGAACAAAATGAAGATACGAGACACTGTTGCAGCAGGGTCAACAATAACTCGTTCTCCTGACTTTTCCGTTCGGATATACATCTGGGTTTCTGTGTATTGCTCAGCAATCAGGGGGGAAATGTTGGATCTGCAATTACGGTTAGCATGGGCTGTACCTCAACACTCGACTTCAGTAAGGGTTATAAACATACTTGAATCCACCAGTTCCGACACCCATGATAACAAGACCAATGACGAAGCATGGAAGTGCACCATTCGGATTCTTAATAACTGGAGGGATGGCGGAGATGATAAGGATGGTGTGTCCAACAAGCGCACAGGCAATCGAGTACATGATTGTTCTGAAACGTCCAAGATGCTCCTCCGCGATGTAGGCACCAACCAAAGGCATGATATAGGCCCAGAAAGAGTTAACTAGAGTTAGGTTAGCAAGACTCAGATGGTAATTGATATTTGGAAAGAAAAAAATGCATACATGTACTGATAGCGGTAGACGCTCGTTGACCTAGACCGAGGGCACCGGGGACACGGCTGGTGATAATACCAGGCCCGACGCTGTTACCAGCAGTCGAGCCCTTTGGAAGTGGCTGTTGAATGAAGTTGACGACTATGATGAATAAAGGTCAGTCGAATTGGCCAATTTTAGACTCGAATAGAGCAGAATAGATAATAATGGGATACTTACAAACAGCGGTTGTTCCATAGTATGAAAATCGCTCGCACAATTCGACGAAGGCAATGCTGAAAGCAATCCATGGGATCCTATCAGGGACACGACGCAAGGTCGCTATCTCCTCATCTGTAGGAAGTTCCTTACGGAGGCCGGTAGCTTCATCGTCACTCTCGTGGGCACCATTGGCGGCAATGGCCTGGACGGTAGATAACTCTTTCTCATCAAGGGCCGAAGTGTATTTGGGGCTGTCACGGCCGTCGGCCTCAGAGCCTCCTGAAGCAGTCATGGTCGTAGATATTCGGCCGCTTGGTCGACTGGCACTCTTCGGTTGAGATTTGACTGCGGACAGGATCGAGTGGCACAATCAAGACCAGAGCTGAAAAATCCCCGGAGCGTCCGTCAAAGGGGAAACGGCCCCCTCTATATGTAGGCACCACATGGTCCAAGGGATCTTCAGTCACCCAAGGTCTAACAGACGACCCGCTTGTAACCGTGGAGAACAGAGTCCCCTCTTGTGGTGTGGGATTGTTGAGTTGCTTGAGCCTGGAGGAGGGACAGGGAGGGAGGCACGCTACCCCCAAACGAGCAACGAACAAGATGAACCAACGCGAGAGTTTTGAGTTTAACTTGCTGTGTTTTTTCTTTCTTTGCTTCTTCTGCCCCTTGGCCCTTCCAGATTATTCGCCATCTCAGACGTCGCCACTAAAAATGGGGACTCCAGTCCACTGATTTGGCGACGAAGGAGCTGGGGAAGCTCGCAATTGAGCACCCTGTCGAACAATCCACTGACTGCAGGCTTGGGGGGTTGCAACGGGGGTCCCGTGTGGAGTGTGTCGGGGGAAACCTTCTAGGGGACCAGGAAGTCAGTCATTCCCACATTAAACATGCATAGATCCCGAAGATAGTGGCACATTAGCGTAGAAAGTGCAGGTGCTTGTTCGGTATCCGAGCACTCATTTGACAGCTTGAAAATAGCTGAACTCTGTGCCACCACCAGTCATTCTGCTAGAGCCGCCTCCTCCTCATCCGATGTACATCAACAGATGCTTATTCGGAAATTGCATTTGAGCAGGACCGTGTTTGAGGCTTGCTAGTTTGGCTAAGTTTGATTTCTATTTTAATATCCGAGTCTGCTCCTTTGGTGCGGTAGCACGTGAAATTGGCCCTGAGAGGCGGACAGAGCTGACACAGAGAGGTTTGCCTCGCATTTGTCCACAATTAGTTTGAGTGTGGTGCTGTCCAAAGGGCGGCGCCCAGTGTGAGTGCATCGGGGGTTGCATGGGCTGCCAGGTGCCGTAGGTGAGATTTGGGCGCCTCGACACAAGCAGCAACAGCATTTCTATGTTGTAATGATATTAGCGGAAGCGAACCTCCTCCCGCTTTCGTCCTAGGGGGGAATTTCCTCGAGGAGTAAATACCCGACTAATCATAGCCCACCAATAGGTGCTGCATTGTATTCGTCGCCCTCCAGAAAGGCCATCGCAAGTTCTGTTGGTTTTCGGAGGTTTTATTACGACGTACACCTTACCAGGCACCCATGTCACTTTCTTTGGCGTCTCCATATCCGACCTCTAGGCTATCCCTTGTCTTCTTCCTTCCCCAGACAAGACCCTTGCTTGATTGGATACGAAGGGGCTAGTTGATAACCGCCAGAGTTTTGGACAGATATGGGGACAACCCCTGACCGAGACCATTAAGATAAGAGGCTGTCTGGACAACGGGAACTCACTTGTGCAAAGAAAACCCTTGACCTTTTTTCGCTTATAATATTGAACACCAAATTATAAAATGTTCGTGATAATAGGTGAGCGATAATGGAGTCGGAAATATTTCTCCACAATAAGCCTAGTTGCAAGGGGTACAGAGTACATTCCCTTGACCAGTGGAAAGTCTTTAGCTCTGTTTTCTGGGCGTTTGCTGGGCGCATCCTAATGGAGGCAATCTGCCCATGGCCAAGTCATCAGTGGTTTCTTCCCAAGAAGGGCCAAGCTGTTATACGGAGGAACCCGGGCACGCAAGCTAGGCGTACAGGACACAACGAGAAGAAAATATCGAGTGGCGGAATTTAAGAACAGAAATCATCCCTAGGCTGTTTGGGCGAAAGAGAGGGATGCTGAAAGGGAGTCGAGAAAGCAGGGGGCTGGTCGACTGAGATCGTTCCAACAGATAGAGATGCCGTTTCCCACTCCATCATTGGCTGACGCTGTTCAACCCATCACTCACGCGGACCAGCGTGGGCATCCTGGGGTCAAACCCTGGAGGGTCACGCAGCCGCCAGAGACCGTTGGCGGATTCCCCATGGACCTCAACATGATTTGCTCCACGTGACACGGCAGCGAGGCAGAGAGTCAAGATAGGGTTCAGAGATACGACCAACCGGCTGGTTTCAATTAGTTGCTTTATTCGTGTGTGGCCCGAAGGGAGAGAGAGACACATCAACTCATGCCTCCAGCGCCATCCTAGACCCTTGGCTTAATCATAGCATTGCTGACTTGTCCCAGAACAGGGTTAGAGCGCTTTGCGCCTTTGTTTCTTCGCTCCGGCGAGCGACCGATGTGTCGGACACGCCCTCCGGCGGACAGGAACCGATTTGCTAATGGTTTCATAAACAAATCCGTTGGTGACTGTAAATAACCTCCCAAGGTGTTACCCAGCAAGTCGCGTGTCTGTTGATTCAATCTAACAACCGACAATAATACAAAGTAATGAGTAGAGGTTAAACAATCATGAGGATGGTACGACGGGGTGTCCCACGGCTGAGGATCCGTCCAGGGCTTCGGGCAGGGTCGCTCGCAAGGCGATGATACCCTACCTCGCTTGGCGCCGAAGCTAGGCTAAGTATAGAGAGATCCCCGGACTCGTACTTAGTTGAGCTGTGTATGGAAATGAGTTGAGAATGCATGGCTGGGGATGCATGTACGAGAAGATGTCTGCCTCTCATTATCGAAATCATGGCCTACCGAGTCAAAGAGGAATGCATTTGCGCTGGGGTTGAATTGACTCGTACGGAGTACAGTATTTATTATCCCCATCACCTCCCATGTTGGCTGTTATGTAACTCGGACTTGGGATCAACGTCTTGTCAACGCAGCCAGATGGGGTAGTCCTGGGTTGTGTTGTCCATATGTAGTTGAAGTCCTGACCACCTGGCTTGCTGTCGAAGCCTTGACCAGTCCCTGGTCTGATAACGAGCACTTTGACCTGTCTGCATACGGAGAGAGCAATATTTCCCTTGTTTCTTGTTCAACAGAGGCAAAAATGCTTATAATTAGAAGCTGTGGTTAGCAATTCCATCGAGGCGAAGGCGATCAATGCTTGGACCTATTGTTGAAGCAACGAAAGGAATATTCAGGCCGTCTTCTAGAAAGCCTTCGCTTTGCACTAAGATATGCAACTCATTTTGTCCCACGCGTGAAGGCTGCTTTCTTGTACTCTTATTGGCTTGCTTCTCGGTAAAGCATCACATCACGGCAAGAGAGGAGGAAGGACAGCAATTCACCAATAAGGCGCGCTGAGGATGATATTATTGTTTTCCTGTCTCGGGCAAAAGTCACCACGACAACTCGCATGCTAGGATTCCCCGCATCTGCACCCAACCAGGGCTCATTGGGTCGTTTTCAGAGCGATGGAGGAGGTCATTTGAAGGGTAGAGTGAGGGAGGGGGCCAGGGTTGACAGCGCCAAAGGCGAACCAGACCAGCCCTCCCTGGCCTTCGGCTGGGAAACTCTCATCTGTTCGAAACCCGCCCGTCCAGAGTGGTGGAAACTCATCCAGACTTGGGCATCGTTGACCTCTCTTGAGCCTTTCGCCTTCAATCCGGCCCACCATGAAGCGCTAGCTAGTCAGGGACCTTTTTCTATCAGGTAATGCGAATTGATCCAAGGCTGGAGTCTCCCTTCACGCGGCCCAGGCAATCCTCCTTGTTTCTCTGTTCCCTCCCCACAAGCCCCAACAATAAATGTCTATGAACAAAAGTAGCTTCCGTCTTATCTCACGCCATATTATTCCGAGATACCCTGGCTAGAGAAGGTTGGCGCAGCGAGACGCTTAGTTCAGGACCTATAGTACCATGCCTGCTCGTCACTCTATACGACGGATTTTCCAGAATCATCACAGCAGCAACCCTTTTTCTGCTTGGGCCCCCATGTTATCAGCCAGAGTCACAGGGGTTTTGGCGTGGTCCCCACCGGCTTAGCTGCGAATTGTGCATTGCAGACCCGTTGATGGCCTTTATCTGGCGAGAAAAACTGGGGCCCAGCAAGTTAACTTAACTTAGCTGTCGGTCTTCCAGGGCCGAGTTCCCTGTCGTTGGTGTTGGTGTTGGCGTTGTTGGTTGTTCGTTGTTTGTTGTGGACAGCAAGACGAAGGCGTTGCTGATGATTGTTGGACGTCGATGGCCGGTCGTCTGTGTTGCCCTTTTGGGCCATCTCCAACACTGCGTCACATGATGCTATCTCGACGTCGTCAACTTCAGCTTCAACTTCAACTTCGCCTTCAACCTCGACTTCATCTTCTGCGCTGCTGTTGATCTCGCAATTGAAGTATCAGATCTTGCAACTGATCCACCGCTGCACCTGGATGGGGCCCCTTATCAGCCCGCCAGCGTTCCGAACGCTGTCAGGGTCAGGGAGGCCGGGGAGGGTCGGCTGGGAGAAATGGGCTGCAGTTCCTGATATCGCTGCAGCAGCAGGCCTTATATGAACAAATGAGAAGAGATATGACGGACACTTGGTGCATGTTATCTCTAATAATGATGGCTGCTCTATGTGACCAATCCTCTATTCACAGCGGCATTATACAGATAGGAGATGAATATCACTTTTTAACGCCAACGACGACGAGGTTTCTGGGGCTCTGCGAATACTCGAACACAGGCTCAACCCAGGCGTCTTTGACACACTCTTGCTCTCGAAGATACATCCAGCGATCAGTCACAATCATTGACTCCACAACCGAGGCACTGAAGGCCATCAGACTCCAGACCACGCTCAGGTTCTTCTTCGCGGACTCATAGCGGGCAACGTATGCCTCTAGAGTGTCGTCAGACAAACCTTCAACCCGCTGCTTGATCGCATTGCCGTATTGAGGATCGTGCACTAGCTTTGCCACTGCCGCCCGAGCATAGGCCGTGAACGACAGGAACGCAGACTTTCTGAGTGATCCAACTATGAGCGGACACCCAGGTACCTCTGTGTCCTGCTGTGTAACTCCTGGCTGCGTCTCGTCTTCCCTTCTAGCCGTGTCACTGGAGCTAGAGCTAGCTCTGCCCGGGACAGGGACGATACCATAATCGACCAACACCCGCTGTAACAAGGCACGGAAGAAGTGGCGCGTGAAGAATGCCTCGCTATCCTCCTTGCCCCAATTGTACGGAGCTTGCACGGCCATCATTCGAGCGGTGATGTTGAGCCGGATTCCATTGCCGTTTTCGTGCGAGTACTGCTCGAAACGTCTCGACATTGGGAAACCATGGGGGTCACAGGCATTGGACGTTTGTTCCAGGCGGGAGTTGGGCAGCCTTAATGAGGGTAACTTATATGTTGCGGGAGCGAGTCGTTCAGTCATCAGGTTATAGCAGCACCCGATCATTGCGACCGCAACGACAGACGGATTCAGGATGAGTGACTTGATGCCGTGGTGCACGAGATTCCCGCATGAGTGAAGGGATACAACCATTACTCGTGACGATAATGGTGCCGCGGGAGGCGAGGACATGCAGCCGTTTGCAGCGACCTCGTCTTGCTCTCTGACCTCTTCTGCTGTCCCAATGATGTGTTCGATGATGGGTTCAAGGTAGCCATCCTGGATTTCATGTTCTACGTAGTCCAGTAAGCCTCTGGGGCCCGACTTTGCAGTCTCTTCCCCCTTTCCTCCATTTTCAACAGAACCGGAATCAGCAACAAGAAGTATCGTTGCAGCAGTATCCACCGGGCTTTCTTCTTGTTTGTCTTGCTGTAAAACTAGCGTATCTGTGGAATCCTTTTCCCCAGGTGAGCATGTAGTCGGGGTATCCATTCCGTCTAGAGCAGCAGCTTTCAGTTTCGCTCTATGCTCCTTTTTGTTCCGCATCACAACCGTCTTCTCGGCAACTTTTGCCCTGATGTCCTTCCTCTTTGCACTGGCAATATCGTTATGCCGCCGTTCAATAGCAATGACATGCCGGTTATATGGCGGGCTAACCAGCGCCCTGCCTAGGTAGTTCTGTCCAGATCCAAAATCCACAATATGAGAGATTCGCTGCTCTGCTGTAGTAGCGTCGTCCCCCGAGACTCCCCTGATTCTATCCACGTCCTCCGTAAGCGAAGCAACGTATTTTGCGAAATTCTCTACCTCATGGCACTTCTTCGGCTTCATGCCCGTGAAGACATGGTACGGTATTCCCTTCCTGCCCACAGGCCGCTTGATATCAGGCTGTTCGCCCGCAGGCGTAAACTCCCGTAGCAGAGCATGCCTCCTGATGCTATGGATATATTCGACCAGACTTCTGGGCGGCACCGGGCCGTCTCTCCATGTATCTCTCTTTTCTGGCATGTCTTTTTCTTCATCTGCGTTCATAAAGGGGCCGATGTCTTCCCGCATCAGGAGGTCCAGGATATCTAGTATATCATGGCGGGCAAAGAACTGACGCCAGTCCTCGGGGATGACTGAGGCATACAGGTCTGGCTCTCTTATAAGGAAGTCTAGAATATGAACTCCTCCGCAGAAGTCCTTGAACAGCTGTGACGATGTAGCGAAGGACAGGAGGGAGTCCAGGTAGGCGTCTGCAGACGTCCACTCGGCAGGGAGAGGCAGAGGCCGTCTGGAGGGCGTTTCCCCGTTATCCATAGCTTATTACGGGATATCAAGCGCTGAAATGACCATTTAAATGCATGTAAAAGGGAGTATGCCGGCTATAGGGCAGCAATATAAAATCCTTCTGAGGCTTGACGGCGCATTTTTTTATTTTATTTTTTTTTTTTCTTTGACAGCCAAAACTTTTGCCTGGGACGACCCGAAGATCAACGTCAACACAAACAGCGCATCTACAACGTACAATCTACAACCTGCAGGGACATCAGAAGACAGTCTGCTGCGTCTATAGGGTGCTATCTAGATATATCCGCATTACAGGCCTCTTCTCTTGCCATCATGAACTCCGATATGGACCCCTTTCTGCAGGTGCAGGCGTACGTCTGGCCCCCATCCCAGCTACCTACATCCGTACAGCACATCTAACCACGATCTATAACAGAGACATCCTATCTACTCTCTCTACGACACGACCGCTCTTTTCCTCGTACCAACGGATACGCTCCCTTGCAACCTCGCCGTCAAACCCCGAACTCATCCAGGCGCGCGAGGAGCTCGAGGCTACAGTCGCAGACCTCAGCGCAGACCTAAAAGACCTCGTCGAAAGCGTGCGAGCAATCGAATATGACCCGTACCGATACGGGCTGGAGCTGGACGAGGTCGAACGGCGTCGAAAGCTGGTTGATGATGTAGGCAAGGAAATCGAGGAGATGCGACAGGAGCTTCAGCGGACTGTCCACGAGCATCCCGGAACGGCGGGTAAACGAGCATCGTCAGGACCATCTTCGGCATCGGCAGCAGCAGCAGGGGGAAGTGGACTGCCTGCTCCGTCTACGTTTGATAACCTGCTTGATGAGGAGGGACAGGAGCGAGGGGAAGATTATTACTCTGAGATGGAGCAGCAGCGGCAGGTTGAGCTGATGCAGGACCAGGACCAGCAGCTGGACGGAGTGTTTCGGACGGTGGTCAATCTACGGCAGCAGGCGGATGATATGGGGCGGGAGCTGGAGGAGCAGTCTGTGATGCTGAAGGATGTCGATACGCTGGCTGAGAGGGTTGGGGGTAAGCTGCAGGACGGCGTCAAGCGGGTTGGGCATATCATCAAGAAGAACGAGGGTGAGTGGGTGTTATCTTCCTTTCTGCCGTTTTCCATCGATAATAATACTAATATGAGACAGATACAATGTCGAGCTGCTGCATTGCGGTTTTGATAATGGTACTGATCCTACTTTTGGTTTTGGTATTAATCCTCTAGTATACACCAAGGTCTCCTATGGTTACAAACAATATCGAAGGAAGCAAAGGAAAAGAAACGAGAAGAGAAAGAAAGAGACGGAAGTCAAGGCAAGGGAGAGAGAGATCAGGCCTTCTTAGCCTTCTTGCGAGGTCGCTCTTCCTTGTCGGCCTTTTCACCCTTTTCCTCATCGTCGTCATCTTCGCCTCCGGCAACGAGGGCTTCCATCTCCTCGACGTCGAGCTCATCGAAGTCCTCAAAGTCGTCGGGAACCATGTACGAGTCGACTATACAAGTTAGCAGAGGAAGGGGATTTAAGAAGCCAAAAAAAGAAATAGGGAGGCCTACCGTAGGACTGGAGAGCTTCGGGCCATACTTCTTCGCCAAAGGCAATGGCAACGTTCTGGCCATCAGCAAAGATCTCAGCAATGGCCAACGAGTCCTCCTCCTCCTCATCCTCGTCATCGTCGTCGTCGTCTTCTCCAGGGATATCTTCACCCTTGCGCCTCTTCTCGGTGGTCTCCTTGTCCTCCTTCCTAGCAGCCTCAGACTCCTTCTCAGAGACGTCAGCGCCACGGTATCCGAACCAGGCGAAGAAGCTCAGTCCAGCGGGACTAGCGCCGTCCTCGTCGCCGTCTTCCTCGCCCTCATTGTCTGGGGCAGCCTGGGCCTCGACCTTGGCTGCGAGTTCAACCAGCTTTTCGAACTCGGGCAGATTCATGCGCTCGTCCTCGCTGATCTTGTCTTTCTTCTCCTTCTTGATGAAGGCCTTTTCGGCCTCGGCCAGGTCACACGCCGCATCGAGCAGGCCGTGGGTGGGATCCATGTCGGGCTTCCAGCTGATGCGGACAGGCTCAGACACCAGCCCTTCCCAGACACGGCGCTTGCCGGACGCAGTGATCTTGAGCTCCCTGCGCCAGTGGAAGTCCTTGACAAGCTTCTCGTTGGTGAACCAGATGTTGTCGTCGCCGGTGTCGAACTCGAAGGTGAAGCGCAGGGACCGGGGCTCGCCCTGCCCGGTGGCCTCGTCGACGCCGATGCGCTCGATGTTGAAGTTCTTGAGGCAGGAGGCGAGGATCTGGGCGTCGGAGGGGAGGATGAACTCGTCGATCTCGGCGGGCAGGTTGGAGAAGACGCGAGGCCAGAAGTCGAGGTCCTTGAGCTTGGAGGCGATCAGCTCGTTGCGTTTGGCGTACACGGGGCGCATGAGGTTGACGCCAACGCGCACTTCAGCCGCCAGCCGTCAGTATCAACAGATATAAGAGTAGATAAAACAGTGCAATGATATAACGATGGCATAGAGGGTCTTCTTACTGTGCTCGACCTGGGCGTCGGCGAACTCGTCCTGCAGCAGGGTCATCTCGCGCTGCAGCTCCTTGGGCAGCTTGGAGGGCATCTCGACTCGCTCGAGCAGCGGCACCTGGTCGTCTCCTGCGTCAGCCATGTCCGTGTATCCTAGAGTAGCGTCGCCGGCAAGCTCGCGATGGCCAATTGACAGTTGGCGCTGCAGTTGATGGCTGATAGTTGACGGTTGGCGGTTGATGGCCGGCGAAGGTCGAAGTTGAGTGTGGGAAATAAACAAATTTTCTTAGTCAACTTGGCGGCGTTAGCGGACTTATACATAGAGAAAGTAGATATGACATTATAGAAGTAGAAGTAGATATATGAACAAAATAGAAGTAGATATAACAAAATAGAAGTAGATATGACATTATAGAAGAAGATTATTATATAGAACTTTTTTTGGCTACAGCATCCAGTCGAGGCCGTTGGCCTCCTCCTCGACGGGAAAGGCCTCGCGCGCATACTCCTCCATGCTGCGCCAGCCTTCCCACAGGCTGCGCGCCTCGTCGACGACGGGCAGGGGCACCACGCCGTCCGGCCCAGCTTCGAGGACGACGGGCTTCTCTGAGCCGGCGATGCGGGCCGGGGTGTGGAACTCCGGGTTGGGGAAGTAAGGGGCCTTCATCTGGCCGAAGAGGACCTCGATGCCCTCGAGCTGCTCGCGGTAGCCGGAGGGGACAGACACTTTGATCTCGACTTTGGGCGACCAGGTGTACCTGCAGGGCCGCTGGAGGGCGCGCGAGAAGGCAGCGCAGACCTGCCTGGGGGTCAGCGTCTCGAACGCGAGGGCGATCCTATCCTGACTTTAGTATATAACCAATAGTATATATATAGTATACGGTGTAGACGTACCGGTCGCCGTTCCAGCGCTTGGGCCCGTCCTTGAAGAGCTGCAGCACAGTCGGCCCAACGTCGTGCTCAGCGTCGAGCCAGGGCAGCGGGATATCAGGCGGGAAAGGCGAGCGCCACTCGAAGCCGCCGTCGGGCAGCAGCTCCATGCAGAAGAGCGGGTAGGGCAGGCTGGTGAAGTTGTTGTGGTAAATGCCGGCGTAGACGAAGGTGGCGGGCAGCCCCAGCTGGCGGATGTAGTTCTCGACGGCGAACTTGCAGCTCCAGAGCGGCAGGCTGATCCAGCTTGGGTTGTAGACGGAGTGGTCGGGCATGCTGCTGTAGACGTAGTGCTGGACGGTTCCGGCGCGCTTCGCGGCGTCTGCGAGGGCGCGGCCGATGGCCACCTCGTCGCCGGCCTGGGAGGTGGTGTTGATGAAGGCGTGCGTGGCGCCCTGGAAGAGCGAGTTCATGAGGGCGGCATTGTCGAGCAAGGGGCCATGCAGCAGCGAGACGCCGGGCAGGCTGGCGAGCTCGCGGGGGATGACGCCCTCGAGGGAGTGCACCTGCGCGCGCACGGCGTATCCGACGGCCGAAGCGACGCGGACGAGGGACGCGGCTTGACGGCCGGTGGCATTGACGACTGCGATCGTTCTGGCCTGTGGCATGGATGTCTAGATATATATTTATATTAGTATCAGCTTCTGTAGTGGTGATGGGGTATTGGTAGAGGGGACCTGCCAGAGAGGACGGTAACGACTCAGCAGCAACAGCAGCGACTGCGCAGGCGATCAGGGCGAGTCTGGGGCCAGCGGCAGGCAGTCATCCAAGCGCGCCGTCTCGTCTATCTCTGTATCTATTGTAGCTGTCGATGTAGATGTCGATGTAGGTGTAGATGCGGTGGTAGCGAGAGTGGCAGCGGGCGAGAGTCAAGGCTGAACGGCGCTCCCGTCGCCAGGATCCTCCATGTAAGCGTTGACAGTCGCTGAAGACGAGCTCGATAGGGTCGCCGGTTCTCTGTAATCGCCGTCTGTCGCTATAGCAGTTGGTGTCGCCGTCGTGGTTGTTGGCTTGTATATAATAATAATATAATGGTTGATATAATAGTCTGTATAACTAGAAGTTGAGGAGAGAAGAAGATCTGGCGGAGAAAAGGAGAAGTAAGGCCACCCGCAAGGCAAAGACGCCAGCAACAGCCAGCAGCAGGCAGATTATAAGGGATATCTATTGCATTACGGCTATCTGGGACTGTCGTTTACTCTCTCTTGCTCTCTACTATATATTACTGTGTGTTATCAGCTGCAAACTCGGCTAACCAAGCGTCTCCTAGCTATCTCGCCTATCTCTGCTATCTCGTATAACTAGCCAGCTAGTTAACTAAGGCGGCTGCCCACGCTGGGGGGATCTGGGGGCGGATCGGCCGTCTCGATCGCTGTCTGCTTGATAATTGATAATACTCGCAGCTGGCCGGCCGGTTCGTTGGTTCGTTGGTCGGTTGGTCGATTGGCCGGCCAGGGGGTCGCAGTAACTAGTCTCGGTCGATATCACCATCACCATCACCATCACTCCTTGTCTTCAGCATTAGATGTCTCCTTAGGTATCTCTGAGGTCAGTGAGGTTGGTCCAGGTTTGCTTGCTTCGGCTTTCAGCTTTTCAGCTCGCTCGCCGTTCTGCTGGGTAGACGAGGGCACGTCGACGCCCGCCAGAGCCCAGATATCGGGCAGCCGTCTGGCATGCAGCTCGGCGACGGCGAGTTCGTCCGCGTGCAGGTGGGCGCCCGAGCGACGCAGCAGCTCGACGTGGTCGACCAGGCCGGCGTTGGCCGCCAGAAACAGCGGCGTCTTGCCCGTGTTGTTGCGCAGATGGACGGAGGCGCCGTGCAGCAGAAAGTACCGCAGAATCGAGATCTCGGGCGACGTAGCCGCGAGGTGCTAGCATCTCGTTAGTATATAGTGTTGTATAGGGACATGGCTATATAGTAGTTGTACAGGGGCAATAGGGTATCGTACCAACGGGGTGTTGCCAGAGTAGTCGTGGTCGTTGAGCAGCCACTCCTGGCCGCCGCGCATCAGGTCCGTCACCTGGGCGAGATCGCCGTGCGAGATGGCATAGCCCAGGGCCGTCAGGGTCTTGACGCGGTCCGGCAGGGTCCCGTCTGGATGGCGGAAGCGCGGGTGGTGGTGGTCGGATATCTCGCCGCGCAGGTCCAGCGACATGTCCCTGGCCACGGACTCGGGCGTCGCATCGTGCATCGCCAGCAGGTACGCCAGCTTCGTCAGGGCCGCCTCGGTGGTCATGTCGCCGCCCGCAACGACGCCGGCGCGGGAGAGCGTCATCCCCGTCGCATATACGGGCGAGACGCTGCCAGAGAGGCCTACCAATGTTAGTATCAGAACGTAGCATACTAGATATCACAGCGTAGATATAGACATACATTGAGTGACGTTGACGATGACTATCCCACGCTTGATGGCATCGGCCAGCACCTTGGTCATGCGGTTGTCCTGGCCGCTGGGCGCATTGCCGGCGCCAAAGGTCTCCAGCACCAGCCCGCGCAGCCCGTCCAGCCGCAGCACGGCGTCGACCATCTCCGGCTGGATGCCCGGGAAGATGCGCAGGCAGGCGACGTGCGTCGTGTCCAGGTTCGTGCGGATGCGGAAGTGCTCGATGCTGGTCGGCTTGCGCACCAGATGCCAGGCGACGTCCGTCTTCATCGAGCTCGTCGTCGCCAGCGGCGGCGCATTGGGACTCGCAAAGGCCGCGAAGTCGCTGGCGGCCACTTTGGTCGTCCGGTTGCCGCGAAACAGCTTGCCGGCGAAGTACAGGCAGACCTCGGGGATCATGAAGTGGCCGGCGACGACGAGGGCGCCCAGCAGGTTGTCCGCGGCGTCGTTCTGCAGCTGCAGCATCGGCGTCTGGCTGCCCGTCAGGATGACCGGCTTGCCCAGGTTCTGCAGCATGAAGCTCAGCGCCGAGCAGGTGTACGCCAGGCTGTCCGTCCCATGCAGCACCACGAAGGCGTCGAACAGCGTGTAGTTCCAGGCGACGGCGCGCGCGATCTGCGCCCATCCGCGGGCGTCGATGGAGCTGGAGTCCAGCAGCTCGTCGAACTCGAGCACGGCGTAGCGCACCCGCGTGTTGTAGCTGCTCAGCGGCGTCCGCAGGGTCTTATGGGCGACTCGCTGGCCTGATCCATCGACGGCCACCTCGAGGTCGCCCGGCTTGCTGCCGTCGTTGAAGGTCGGCGACGGCTCGAGGACGGCCTCGCGGAAGCCGCGCGCTGGCACGAAGCCGGACGGCGACGGGCGCATGCAGATGGTGCCGCCGGTCATGATGATGAGCACCCGGGACTCTGGCCGGAGGCCGTACTCCTTCAGCTTGTCCATCTATCTGATATTATCTGGGTATATCGTATATCTTTGGTGATATTGTATCTGTGGATGGATATGGGATGGGTATCTGGTTGAAGCTGGAGTTGAAGGAGTTGCATGTTGAGTCGATACGGGCTGTGGAGCAGATGCAGGTTATTCCTTTTGCCAGATAAGCCGGTCTATATTCGTCTATATTCGTCTCTCTGTCTGTCTATACTATGTAGAATGTAGAGTGTAGATGGTCATGGTGGTAGATGTTGGATCTATACTGCTGTGTAACTATTTCTGCAAGGCTACCAAATAACTATCTACAGCCATCTATATATCTCAACATCGTCCTATATCATTCTACCTACTCTCAATACCAATCAATATCAATCAATATCAGTCAATATTAGTCAATATCAACCAGTATAGTCAGTATCAAGACTCCACGCTGTTCACGGGAGTCACAGGCTTGCCGTCGCCAAAGAAAAAGGCCTCCAGGTTGTCCATCGCGATCCGCTCAAAGTTCTATCACTGTTAATACCAGTCAATCCCGATCCAGATAGTAGAATAGACATACCGCTTGAGTGTCGACCGTCGCGCCCCCTATGTGCGGCATCAGAGTGACCTGCCAGCTGTTCAGCAGCCGCTCGTTGATCTTAGGCCTGCACCCATCAGCAGATAGTCCACAATATAATAGAAAGAATATACAGAATAGATAGAGAGAGATACTCCTCTTCGTAGACGTCCAGACCCGCCGCACTCACGATGCCGGCCTCCAGCGCATCCGCCAGCGCCTCCTCGTCCACACACTTGCCCCGGCCGATATTCACCACCCGCACGCCCTTCTTCATCATCGCAAACGCCCGCGCGTCCAGCAGGTGGTGCGTCTCCTCCGTGTGCGGACACGCCAGCACCACGCAGTCCGCCACCGCCAGCAGGCTCTCCAGCCGGGCGTGATACACCGCGCCGCCCAGCCGCTGCTCGACCGCCGCGCTCTTCCGGCGCCGCCCAGTGTAGTGAATCGCCATGCCCAGCGCCCGCTGCGCCCGCTCGGCCACCGCCTGCCCGATCTCCCCCAGCCCGACGACGCCCAGCAGCCGGCCGCGCGGGTTCTGCGCCGTCGCCGCCACCGCGCCCTCGATGTCGTAGAAGTTGCCGCGCCGCAGCGAGCGCACCGTGTGCTCGCAGAAGCTCGTGCGCCGGAAGCACGCCAGCAGCAGGAACAGCGCCAGGTCCGCCGTCGAGTCGTTGGCAGCGCCCGCCCCGTTGCAGTACCAGATCCCGCGCGCGGCCAGGGCGGCCGTGTCCTCGCCGTCGTAGCCGTGGTTGACGGAGGCGACCAGCCGCAGCGAGGGCGGCAGATGCGGCACCAGACGCTCGTCCAGCGGCGGCAGGTTGTCCGCCAGCGTGTTGTTGGGCCGGAAGATGGCCTCGATCGTGCTGTAGCGGCCGCCGGGCTGCAGCTCGCGGACCAGCTCGGGCAGCGCCAGCGGGCGGTAGTAGAGCACCTGCAGGCGCGCGGACAGCTCGGCCCAGCGCTGCGTGTGGCTGCGGATCGGGTTGCCCACGTAGAGCACGACCGGCTTCATCTTGTTCTATATCTTATAGCTATTATATTGGGATAGGTCTGGGGATACGTTGTTATAGTAGGGTGGTTGTGGTGGTGTTGTGACTTATATACCTAGATACTTGTATACTCGGTGTTCGTATTAGACGCCCGAAATCATGGATTGATATAGCAATACGATTGAAAATAGATAGATATATACTAGATACTGGATGCTAAAGGTATGCTAGTTCAGGCTCCAGGCGACGGCAAAGCGCTGGGCAAACTCGCGCTTGAAGATATGGAACGCCCGCACCTGCACCTTAACATCGCCGCCGGGCACCTTCGCCCACACCACCTGCTCGACGTTGTTCGCCCGGTCAAACTCCTTCTTGTCGCCCATATTGCCGTGCCGCTCGCTGCCGTCCGCCGCCGTCACGATCAGGTCCAGGTCGTTCTGCAGCGATGCCCCGGCCGGGTCCGTCCACACAAGCGTCACCTTCAGCGTCTGCCCCCCGTCCTTTGGCACCTTGATCACCAGCTCAGAGTCCGTCTGGCCCTGCGTCAGGGGCCCGCCCTCGCGGTAGCCGCTCGCTGGGTTGTCGCCTTCCTTTGCGGCCGGCGGGATCGAGTTCTTCAGGTTGACCCGTCCGTAGCCTGAGCTGCTGTTGGGCGACGGCCCGGCCTCAGAGGGCACGTACTGGCCCGGAAGCTCGACCGCCCCGTTGATCAGCAGCGCCTTGATCAGCGCAGCGGACGGGCTCTTGTTCCCGCTCTTCACCAGCGCCTCGCGGATCAGGGCCACCCCGCCTGCCACCAGCGGAGTCGCCATGCTCGTGCCCCCGTTGAAGAACCACTCCGGGTCCGCGCTGGTGCCAAACGTCGTGCTGGGCTTCAGCAGCTTCGACGAGCGTGTCGACAGGATCGACGTTCCCGGCGCTACCACGTCCGGCTTGATGCGTCCCTCCTTGGTCGGCCCGCGCGAGCTAAAGGCCGCCATCCCGTTCGGGTGGTCGGCTACCCGGTCCGTGTCGAACGGCTTGTTCGGGAACCACGAGGCATACGTCTTCGCAATGTCTGGTCGGTCGTTCTCGCTGGCTCCAACCGTGATGCAGTTCTTGGCCGCGGCCTGCGAGCCAATCTGGTTCTTGTCGATGATCCCGTCTTGGTCTGCATCGATTCCCGCGTTGCCCGCTGCAAAAAGGATGACCATGTCCTGGTGCTCCCACACAAACCGGTCGATCTCCTCGCTGTTGACGTTGTACGGCAGCTGCCGGCCGGGTGCGTTGCTGCCCCACGAATTGGTGTGGATGCGCGCATCTTGCTCCTCGTATGGCTGGATGAACAGCTTCGTCAGGTCGTCGGGGATGCCCCCCAGCCCGTTCTGGCTGTCCAGCAGCGACTGCAGCACAAGCGTCGCCTTGGGTGCCGTGCCCTGGATCTTGCCCCCCATCTTCTCCGATGTTCCGTCTCCAAGGACAGACCCGCAGACGTGCGTGCCGTGGCCGTCGGGATCGTCAGACCGATCCGTGCGTCCAAGAGCATACAGGTGCTTGACACGGCCCTTGAACGCTGGGTGCGTGTCGGTCGTGCTGCCCTTGTCGAACCCGGTGTCGCCAACCGCAACAATCTGTCCCTCTCCCTCGTACGGCAAGGCACTGGCCTTGTCCTTCGCCTCGGCAGTCCCAATGGGGTGGTCTCCACTTGTGTTTGCATCACCCTTGATGATTGGGACCGCCTTGTTGTTCAACAACAACACGGCTGCATGCACTTCATGGATGCTTCGTACCCCGTCAATGGCGGCCACTTCATCCAGATGCTGGTCCTGGACCATCATGCGGACCTTCTTGGCACCAATGTTCATCGACGAAGTGTCGGCCCTCGTGGCCATACAAAGGGCCTCCTGGATCTCCTGCGAAGTGGGATCTACATCGTGGTGAAGCACAACATCGACCATGCGGCGGCGGGAGGATTTCGGCACGGCCTTGGCAAATCCAGCCACGGCGTTAGGGACAGATGCAGACTTCATGCTTGACTGCACAACAAACATGTCCATGTAGACGTTTGCCCAGGCCACAAAGGGGAGGGAGCGGATGGCAGCCAAGTCATTTGGCTTGTAGCAGCACAGGTACGTCTTCTGCGAGACATATTCCTGGATATCAACGCCCAGACGCTCGAGCTCGCCCTCCTGCTCATCTTCAAGCAGTTCCTTGGTCTGGATGAGAATGTAGTTGGATTTGGACGCATCCTCCGACTCGAGACCAAAAGCCCGGAGGACAGGGCCCTGGTTCTCGGGGTTGAGATCGTTTCCGTTGATCGAGATGACAGGCATAATTGCTCCTTTGACACTTTATTTTTAGAAGAAAAAAAATTGCAGCGAGGTGTATCAGGTTGATAAACAGTAGGTATAAATGTGCTTTTAGCAAAAGACTTGCTATCTGTTACTTTGGCAAGGAGAACAGAGGACAGTTTATATATTGAGCTATAACGGGGATATCTGCAGGACTCTGCTGATAGGGGAAAGGTATTCTTGTAACCGGATTGACACAGCTGATTCGTGCAGATGCTGCGATCACCGCAGCTGTGACTTGACTGAACAGATCATATTCAAGCAGCAAAGATGGCCTCTTTCCCGCTTTTATAGACAGATCGACGGGGTAGGGACGGCAGCCCATACTGGTCTCCCTTCCCCGCTCCCCTCGATATCAGCTGCATGGCCATTGCCATGGAAGAACTGCCCTCTGCAGCTCGAGTTCGGCAGCAGAAACTCAAACACGGCCATCGTCATAGGAGCGATCCGTCCAGTCGATCCGACTCCACGCGGGACCAAGCTGCAGCCCTTCGCTGGCAGTGCTTCTGGCCCCTGATGACGCGATGGAAAGCTGAGGTATCATAAGACAGCAGCCAAACAAAGGTCGCTCCTAGACGACGTGAGGAGGCAATGTCCGGTGGTTAATAGCTCATCGCAGCTCAAGGGCATGGCTAGGCGAGTTTTCCCCTCCTCACGCTCGCCTTCGAGCTGCAGCTGCACGAGCGGCAAGCAAGCCACAGCTGCCCCTGACTGGTTGGGTCAGCAGCAAAGCAAGTCCTTGGTTAAACCCGGCATGGCCCGTCCAGCTGAAGTTCTTAGCTGAGGCTTCGTACTACCTTGGGCGTGCTTGTCTGCCTGCTCGCGTAAGACAGGAAAAGGAATGCCAACATCACCGGTTTGGGGTACAAGTCAAACGGTAGCTAGTTAGTCTAGTCAGTGGGAGATGTTATTAAGGAGTTACCCAGTCGTAGTCCTGGTGATGACGATGATATTGTTGTCGTTGCTGAGGTTGAAGTTGAAGTAGATTAAGTTGATGAAGTTGATGAAGTTGAAGAAGTTGAAGAAGTTGGAAGTCCACGGGTTAAGAAGCGTCATGTGACCTTTTTAAGACCTACGAAGCTCTCCTCCCTCAGTATCAAGTGTCAATTACCTCGATATACGGCATTTCTGGATATTCCACGTATCCAGGCATCTAGATTACAGGGTTAGTACATACTTCAATTGTGGCTGATGCAGAGTTATTGATATAACTATGCCAGAACCGGGGCCTGGCCTGTTCTTAGTGTTATTAGACTCGCATCGATATCACGTCTCGTTACCCATTCACAGCTGCCATTCGTGTTCAGTAAAGGAAAGCAAAAGAAAAGAAGTGTTCATAGGTGATGTATGACAATGCCCCGTTAGCCGGAGCTGTCTTGTCCGTGTCCTGATATCCAGGAGGCATATATGTCTCGAGCTCCAACATCACAAAGTTAGACCTTCTGGCCTCTGGGGCCTCTGCTGTTGCATATTCGTCCGGTCCGTTGATATGCAGATAACCCTTGGGTATGAACATGGCTGGGACTCTACCAGGGGAGTTAATACATATCCTACCGCATAAGGTATATCGTGGGTTAAGGGCGTATGATTGCTCAACTACTGCGTCCGAACTTTGAGAATAGCTTCTGGGCCTGCATGCCGGCCTTCAAACTGATGTTCCAGCTGATAGCAGTGATATACTCCGTGGGACTCGGTTAGAATATCCTCAAAGTCGCGATTTGCATAAAAGTCCATGTACTTCTCGCTAATCTTTCAGCCAGTATCCACTGGTTTTGATCTGGGAATTTGATAATATAGCCATCGAAGTGGTAATCTATCAAGTCATGTATGCAGTGGCCGGTTGTATATAGCTGTAGGGAGAGTCTGCGTGCGGCATAAAGATAGTGATTACAAGGAGAGATAGTGCATCCTGAACGTTGAAAAAAAAAAAAAAAAAAAAAAAACGAGACAAAAGGAAAACAAAAGGAAACACCTCCCCCCCCTAATCCCACGTAGCCTCTGCAGCGCCATTCACGAGCGCCTGAAAATCAATACGCTTGAACTTCTCAAGGTCCCATTCCTCAAGGTCACGCCTGTCAGCTTTATATGGTTCTATTTCTCTCTCCTCGAATATAAATGTTTGTTCATGATCGATGAACCAACTACACAATTAGCCCTGTAAAAAAAGTAATAATAATTTGGGACAACGAAGCCATACCATTTGTCCTCGACTTCATCATAAATGATATTTCGAAGAGCTGGGTCCGCAGCATCAATGGGGTAAGATTGAAATTCACTGCCATAGGAAGTTAACCCAAGTGTAAAACGTTAAATTGGGTTATCTATACCTGAAATCTCTTAGAAAAGCTTTTCGTATTTTCTCCTTTTTTGATTCCTCAAAACTCCAGAAATCAGAAAGCACAACCCCAGGGCATTTCTCCATAACCAATATAGCCATATAACCTCCGGGTATAGGCATATTTGGATCCTGGGAGTAGACCAAGCAATGAAGAAGACGCGGGACCACAGAACAACCCTTTTCAGTAAAATACTGTAACGTTGATATTTCTGTAGCTGTGGGATAGGCCAGCCCCTGTGCATAAGGTTTAGATGAATGCTTGGTAGGCACCCTATGAAATAAATAATGTTAGAATTTTATTCCAAAGGGGGGTTTCATTCTCCGAAGGGTATCGTACTGCATCCGAACTTTCACGATGGCCTCCATGCCAACATGCGGACCTATAATTTGCCGACATAGATATACTGCTTGAGCTTCTGCGTATAATTCACCGGAGTTACTATACGCATGAAATTCGACTGATTTTTCGCTGATTTTTTCACTGATTCTCCACTTGCTTCCGTCTGGACATTTCAGTGTAAAGTTATCAAACGTGTTGCCTATCCAAGGTGACATAATTCGACATGTATTGTGAAAGTGTGAAAAAGGGTGTATTAAGGTATAAAGTAGATGACACCCATCAAGAGATAAAGCGCATATTGAAGTCGCCAAAGCAAAGTAAAACAGAGGAAAAGGCGGGCGGCAAGGGAATAAATGAAATAAATAGACAGCAACGGCAAGTCGTTGTTGTTGACGGTTGCTTCTCTTAGCCAGCCAGTCAGAGCGCGACTTTTGAAGTTGGATTACGTAAACAACTAGAACCTTACTAGCGCCGGCGCTTAATGGAATGAACTTTCTTCGACTTCAAACCTCGTCCTTGCTCTAGGGGGATGGCAGAGGGACAGCAGAGGATGGGACAGCCACTCCCTACTGCTTGCATCTGCTGTAGCAGCTGTTCTCTAGGTATTTCCTCTATAACTTTTGAATGAGAATAGCTACATCTATTTGGATTTGAAGTCGAATGTGTTGCGATAAAAACAGGACGGAATGCTCCAGGTCAGGATCTTCTTTCATGCCGCTGATAATAGAAGTACCCCTGGATGATACCCATAAAATACTAGTGGGGGCCATTTTCATGTGATTCAATGCAATATTCCCCGCCCAGTTGCTATAGATAGGAGCATTTCTCTACCAACATATATTGACTGGTTCTCAGTGCCTCCATCCTAGGTAAGCGCCTGCCATGAAGGCTAGGATCATACGTATGATGCATCGAGTCATCAACCTATTATATCCAACTATTACGCGCTGACTTCAGTTATTACCTGGAATCCTGGTCTGTGTCGCATGTTGCCCGAAGTATTATCCCATACTTCGATGCAACATTTCCACTCAGCTTCTATGGATAGGAACGTGCCTTTTACTAATATATACTGACTGGTTCTCCATTTCTGCTATTACCGTTTCTAGGCGCTTACCATGAAGGCCAGGATCATGTTTACAATGCATCTCTGGAATTACGGACTGGTCATGTCCAATCATTACGCGCTGGCCCTAACGACTATATGAAATCCTGGTTGGGGCTGCTCGTTGCTCAAAGTTATAAATAAGAGGTGAAATTCACCTCACTATAGCAATCATTTCATCAATTCACTTCATCAGTTCACTTCATCAGTTCACTTCATCAGTTCACTTCATCAATTCACTTCATCAATTCACTTCATCAATTCGCTGCTCCAATTCAGCGCTCCAATCCAGGCCCTATTCTTTCCGTCGCCATACTTCTACCTAATCAGCCAAGTTGTGACACTATCGCGAATTATATTCGCATCTACCGACTACCCTCGTTATGGATTACCATGATAGTTACACCATTCTCGCATCTCCAGTTCCTAGCATCCTTACCCGCGAAGGTTATCAGACAACGACCAATGCTTTCCATCAAACCTATTACGTGTGCCCAAGAAAAATGTGGGCTCTATCTAGTGAAGTGTGGAGTGTAATCCATGGAATTACGAACAGAAAGCCACTCTCCTACACCAACTACGAAGTGGCACAAAATTCCTCTTGTCTAGACCATGAGCATTACCTTTGCGGCGATGAACAATCAGTATGTGGGAGATTTGCGCAAAATGTACTAGGACCAGTGACGGCTGTTGCATTTGCAAACGGAGTTAAAGCCCGATTTGGCGATTTCAAGGTCTGTGCCGAGTCACAAGGCGAGGCTGATGTTCCGGATTTCGTTGCAGTACACTGCACAGCCAAGAACCTCCACGCTCTTGAGCAACTAGACTCCAGCGAGGTCCCATATTTGAAGTTTGTTGGAGAGGCAAAAACACCTTGGAGGCATGATCTGGGCAAAATTCACCATGATTTTACAACCAGAAAGAAATCAACCATAGATCGTGCGCTAGGTATGTTTTTATCAGTTGCTATCCATGAAGACTAAAGCGTGCTAATTCAGATATATGAAGGACAAATTGCGAAGTATATGTACGATCATAAAATGCGTTATGGTTTCCTTACAACCTACGACGAAACCATCTTCCTAAAACAAGAGTGCTTCGAGGGGTCTACATGGGGCCTCCTTATTTCTTCTCCAATTCCATTCGACACAAGTGCAAATTGGGGGACTCGTACTGTCTCTCTTCGTCAATGCTTATACTACCTTATGTGTGTTACCGAAGAACCCAAAAATCGCATTGCGAATAACACTACTCCGCGTCATAAGTGGATTAGTGACAAGTCTCCGAAAGACTTAACCCAACCCCAACTTCATACCCCCGTTAGCCAGAAACCTCAAGCCCCAACTGAGCTCCTACAGCATCTATCTCAGTCACCTGAGCTTAAAACTGACCTTTCTTCTCTCACCGACCGGATCAAGCTCCACCACATCCCTGGCTCGGGTATATATTCGGCCATTCTTCAATTCAAGCACGAGGATATCAGAACCGAGGGGAACAGATCCTATGTTCGAGTTGGAGATCAATGGATACAAGCGGAAATAATAACTTACGGCCAGAGCCATAGATCTAAGGATGCCGAATCTAGCAGTCTAGGCCATGGATTTAGCTCCTCTCCCTCACCCTCTGCGCGTCTCAGAGCACAAGAATATGGCGGCAACACTCCATCAAAGCATCGGAAAGAAAAGGTTTCTTTGATGGAGAGGATGCAAAACCCTAAACCTTTCCAGTATACCGACTCCAATTATGACTCAGGCCCTACTTTATTTGTAGATACCCCTACGCGACTACCCAGTCAGCCACAGGGCCACGGAATTCCAGCCCCATCCTTGCCCCATTACCCAGTACCGCCAGCTGGACAATACCGGTCCTCGTCAAGAGATACCTCCGGGATGCGAGGAACATTCCATTCGCCTTATGCACAATTTTCTACTGAGCAATCTCCGCCTAGAGATCTCTCACAGACAAGGGAGATGACCTTACCGCACCGGCCACCACCATTTGGTCACCATCAATCTTTATCCAGAGATCCATCCATGGAACCAGGACAAGGAGGATCTCCAGACAGACGGGCCGAGAGACACGACTCGGGCTCCAGGGATAAAGGCAAAGGGAAAGCCAAAGAGCGCCTCGATAGTACTGGAGGGTACAATCTTAGGTCTCGTAGCGACAAGGGGGAGAGCAGCAAAGGCAGGGGCAAAGATAAGGACGATGATGAAAAACGGGGCAGGTTTCCTGGACCGTTTTCCAGGAAGCGCTGAGAGGATGTTAAGGATATAACTACTCTCTTTGCCGCCAACTAGCAACTAGCAGGGCTCTCCTTTTTGGCCCAGCAGTTTAAAGGTGAGTATGGGCTGGTCCTTACTCTAGTGAGGTTGGTTGTCCTTCTTTTTTTTTTTTTTTTTTTTTTTCTTCTTTTTTTTTTTTTTTCATTTGCTTTCCTTGATTGTTCGTTTGCTTTTCGTCTCTTTCTTCTATGTTCCTTCTTCTACGCACAGAACTTCGAAACGGGGGCGCAGAGCAAGATGTCGTGGCGGCGGCACTGGCAGCTGGGAGGTGCCCGTAAGAGAGGGCTTTGTGTTCCGAATGGAATCAGGGGATTCTGTTCAACGTTTCGATGGCTCAAGAAAAAAAAAAAATAAAAAAAAAAAAATAAAAAAAAAAAATAAAAAAAAAAAATAACTTGCCTACCACTGGTGCTGGCTTACCCTGGTTGTTTTCCTTTTCCTTTGCATTGCTTTTCATTTTCATTTTATATTTGACACCCGTCACTCGTTTCCTTTGCAATGTATCAACTAGTTAACAGCAGCCTACGAATCGGCCGCAGTACGTCTGGAGCCACCAGGGGGCCAGCAGTAACTGTGAAATAGAACTTGGTTGGTGACAAACGGCTGTGAATGACACGGGGCCGTTATAATATGACAATCGTTCAGTACTTTCGACATAGTTCCAAACAATGATGGATAAAAGCCCTAGCGTTTCTCTGTTAATTTCCCTCTTATCTCATGGCTGCTACTTCAGGCCCGAGCAATTACAGATGGGACCAATAACACAAGATCCGAAGAGGAATGATTTATCAATCAAACTCCAAAGATATCAGCTCTCCCAACTCCCTCTCCAGATATTATTTACGAAGCCGGCCGGGAGTTTAAATCGATCGACATCGCTTTCAAGGGGAAGCCCCTGACGCGTCGCTCAGCGGCTGAAAGATTCTACCCAAGAATGCGGATGAGCAAAGATCCACTGCGAGCAACAAGAACAGAGTGGATCGGCAGTCGAGGGAGTCTGCAGCAGTCAATGAAATCCATCCAGCGATACTTAGATGATGACAAACGACTGAACTCCGTACACGACACTAGGCTGTTAACGCTGAATATCCTTTCCACAACCCTGTCCACATCGGATAACTCTGGCTTGATCTGCCGTTACGGTGTGGCGGCTTGGAAGCTTAGCAACTGACGGCGTGGCTTAAGCCCTAAAGCATGGTAATTAGTCGGGAACACAATCAACCGTCACACTGAGTACGATGCTGGTGGTGGCGGAAAGAAAGTTGGATGGATATGGAACAACGATGGAAGTTTGGAAGTTTGGTAGAAACAGCAGCTGTTTGCTCGTGAGAAGGCCTAGCGGGAAAGAGATATGTGCACGATTCGATATCATGCCTATAAGGATATCGGAATTGGCAAACAAGAGTGTCCAGAAGAAGCAAACTGCCGTGACGTATCGACTCCTTTCTGGTCAAGCTTCGATTGGTCACAGGCCGTCAAGCATGTGGAGCAAACGTTGTCATGTAATTATTAAGTGAATCCTCCTGGCTAAGCAGGATGACCTGTCCACCAATCTGTCCAGTGAGCTTTTGCCTCCCCTCGCAGACATCTCCTATTATTCTCGCTTGAGGGAGCCCTTTTTTTTTCATGCGTCTTTGTTGTCAGAGCTCGCTTGCCATGGCGAGCCAGAGAGCATGTTATAATAAGGTGGTGGCTATAATTAAAACACCCCACGTCTCATTGCGGCCCCTGGGCTATAACACAGGGCATAAGCTGACCGAGGGCCGGGATGGACTTTTTAGCGAGGACCCATGAATAATCAATCTCTCACGTAAAAAGAGAGTTCAAAAATATACTCCTGCTAAGTATAATACCCCCTGTCAGAGAGGGGAAGGAAAGGGCGGCAAGCACTTGGCAGGGCGCTATTTTTTATCCCCTTTCTCATTCGCACGAAGCAGCGGAGTACTCCATCCCATACGCAAAAACCCGTTCCTGGGAGGCAAGGCCATGATTTAATATGGCTCAGCCGCGAGGGGACCGTATACCTGCCGTATTTCTGAAGATCTCTGGTTCGGATGGAGCCCCCAAGTCGACTCAGCCATGTCAACCACTCTTTTTCGCCCGTCGATCCGTCCCGAGGAGCTGAGCAAGGCTGCATCCAACGGGTGTGGTTGACTCTGGCACGGCACCCCTGGACGGGAAAAAAAAGGGACCAGGCCGCTGTCCGCACTGAAAGGGAGGGAGAAGAGCGAGAGAGTTTGGCCATGTTATGCATAAAGCATTCGGAATATATCTTCGCAGCCAGTTAGAGTGACATTATGGCATGTCTATGCGCCCAACCAGGGCCACTCACCAGGTCCACGACTGTCCTCCCCCCTGCGCAGGAACAAGGCCAGGCAAATGATACTTCCCGTCCCAGGGGCAAGTCACCCACGAATCGGCGTCGACAAAGCCGATCGAGAGGCGTTATTGGGCCAAGGACACACTGCCAACGCAGGAACAGAACCTTCATCTCAGGATGCGGCCACCTCATCGCCCCGTCTGTCTCCGTCTGGCTGACCGTCTTGTCTGCTGCGCTGGCTCCCAGTCTCGCTGGCTGCCCGCCCGGCCATGTGTCGGTCTGCGGTTGACTGCCCTGCAGCCAGCTGACCGTGCTTATACCACCGTAACTCTGGTACTCCGGTGCTGCAAGTATACCTACTTGACTACTTGACCGCGATGGAGAGAGGGTGTCGCGGTTTTAATTGAACTGTGTCAGATCGGCGGTTGGGCTGTTTCACTGATGCCCGCTTCGGGACTAGCGGCGCCGGGGCGTTCTCGCAGCGACTAGCCGCCCGCCGCTCTTTATCAACCATCCCAGGCCCGTCACTTTCTCCTCTGCCTGTCCTCTTCTGCTGCTTTCTGCTTCTTCGTTTCGTCGTCTCTCCCTGTCTCTCTCTCTGTTTTGCCTGGCAGCGCTGCTTGTCGTCTTCTCTAGACATCTACACTCCTTCGCGCGCCGCCTAGTCGTTCCTTTAGTTGCCTCACGCTCTCTGTCTCTGTCTCTGGCTGCCTCTGATATTGACTATCAGAACAACGTCTCTCTGGCTGTCTTTGCTCGCTTCGATACCAGGAAGAAACCCGTACATACCTGCTGCCGAGCTGAAATACGTCTGGAACAGTGGTCTTGCTCGACTCGCTGGAAGATAAAAAGACCTGTGAATACACGCTCCTTTGTTGACATAGATATCTACATCTCGACTGGGTCGGGATCACGAATTCCCTTCTGAAAATTCCCTCGAAACCCAAGAAGAAGGGGAAAATACCTGAGAGGGGACTTCGATCACGATGCATACCGTTCAGTTGACCGCTTTGGCGGCCTCGATGCTCTCCATGGCTGCGCCGGCCGCTGCGTTCTGGCGTATGCCTTGCCAGGGCCGTCTGGGTCTTGCCCGCATGGACCCCATCGTCAACCCAGGAGAGCTCTCGCCTCACGCCCACGCCATCCACGGTGGTAAAAGTACGTTATTCAACTGCTGCTGCCAGCAAGAAAAGGGGGGGTTACAAGAAAAAAAACGTTCTAACATGCTGTTTTAGACTTCGATTTCAAGGTTACTGGTGATCAGCTGGCTGAGTCTGACTGCACTTCATGTGCTGTTACCCAGGACAAGTCTGCCTACTGGGTCCCTACTCTCTACTTCCTTCACGCCAATGGAACTGCTGAGCTCGCTGAGCAGCTGGGTGGTACTCTTGTGTATGTCTTCGCTCTCTACTTCACCACCTGACCCATGACACCTGAATACTAACTCGTCTTGATAGGTACTACCTCCTGTATGGAAAGGATATCAAGGCATTCCCTCGAGGCCTTCGTATGATTTCTGGAGATACCGGTCTCCGTGACTTCCCCTTCGAGCAGCCTGATCCTCCAAAGTCCAGCTGGACCAAGGAGGAGAAGACTCAGTCTGCTCTGGGCCAAAAAGCCATCGGCTTCAACTGTCTCAACTACGCCAGCCCTCCAGAGGCCTCCATGTACAGACACACTTTCCCCGAGCGCTCGTTCATCGACAACACCTGTGCAAACGGTCTCCGTCTTGAGATCATGTTCCCATCTTGCTGGAACGGAAAGGACCTCGACTCCAAGGACCACAAGTCTCACGTCGCCTATCCTAGCGAGATCAACGGCGGTGACTGTCCCGAGGGCTTTGGCACCCGCCTCCCCACTCTCTTCTACGAGACCATCTGGGTCACCAAGCCATTCGCTGGCATGGACGGCAAGTTCGTCATCTCCAACGGTGACCCAACTGGTGCCGGTTACCACGCTGATTTCATTGAGGGATGGGATGATGGTGTGCTCCAGGAGGCTGTCGACACCTGCACCAACGACTCCGGTCTTCTCGAAGACTGCCACGTCTTTAACATCCAGGACCAGAACAAACAGAACGAGTGCAAGATGAACGTCCCCCCATCCATCATGTCTGAGGAGTACACTCTCTGCCCCAAGGGTCTGCCCGGTGGTGTCAAGGTTTCTACCGGACCCGGATACGTTAGTGGCGCCAGCCACCACGAGCCCGTCGTCAACATTCCTTCAGTCTCCATCCCAGTTCCCGGCGGACCAAAGCTCAACGTCCCAACCCCCTCCCCCCCAGCTCCCCCAGCTCCTCCATCCGACCAGGCTCCTCCGGCTCCTCCGGCTCCAGAGACCACTCCTAAGCCATCTGCTCCCGCAAACCCCCCAGGTACTACCAGTACCTACACCAAGGACGGCACAGTATTTGAGGTTGCCATCGTCACCCAGACTGTCACCACCACTATTCAAGCCCAGGCTACTCCAGCCAAGAGAGACATAAACCTTCTCCGCCACCACGGCGGCCACGGCCACGGCGGTCACCGTCGCCGTCATGGACACTTCTAAGCTGTCCGCTTTCCCCCAAATATGATGGCTATCTCTGGATTCTTTTCTTACATTTGCACCCTTTTTTTTCTTCTTCCCTGACAGAGAGCTGTATTCACGAGAACCAAATTCTATCTTCGCTGTGTATCTATTTGCACTGTTGAAACATATTACTTCTTCAGCCGATAGGGGATTCCGATCCCCTTGATTTTCCAAGTTTTCCCCTTTAACGTTCCTGTCAAGATTGGCAGCCAATTTCATATGGAGGAGGCGTTGGTGCAACGACGTTATCCCCCAGCCAATCAGACTCCTTTGATTTCTTTTTCTTGTTTTTTCCTTTTTCTTTTTACATAACTTCGAGTACATATTTCTTCGATCCCCCCCACCCTTTTTCACCATGTATATGTTCTTTGCTTTCTTGTATGTATGGTGTTATTGTTTGCTTTGTTAGCCGGATGGAAAAAAAAAGAAAAGAAAACCAAAGGGCGCAGTTAGTATGCGGATATGCTTCTTTGTATGTGTTACGAAATGAATATGGCTATGGATATAAGACTCAAACATTCTTTATCTGTCCCCATCTTCGTGTACCACATTACTTATTTATGACTCAAGGTCATACATAACAAAGAAAAAACAAAAACCATTCAACTCGTCCATTGATAGACATTCTAACAATAAGCTATTCAATCAATCACCAATCATTCAAATACACTTTCCTCCATCAACAACAAAATCTCCACCGTTAATAAACCTCGCCTCATCAGACCCCAGATACAAACACATGTTAGCAATGTCTTCTGCCTCCGCCAACCTCCCCAACGGCACATTATCAATGAACTTCTGTCGATTCTCGGGGGTATCCGGTATACCAGTGAACATCTCAAACAAACCAGTTCCAGACAGTAGCGGGCACACATTGTTCACTCTAATCTGGTGCTTGCCGTACTCCGCCGCCAGACCCTTGGTGGCGTTCGACACCGCCCCCTTCGAGGCATTGTACCATACTAGCCCCGGACGGGGCCGTTGCGCACCTGTCGAAGAGATGTTTATCATTGATCCGCCATGTCCTTGCTTGATTAGGACCGGGATGAACAACTGAGAGGCAAGGAAGATGCTCTTCACGTTAACATTAAAAACCCGTTCGAATTCGTCCATTGTAACTTCGGTGGATGGCTAGAGTATCGTTAATAACCCGTCACCTGTTTATTGAGGACTGATCCGATAGCCCCCTATTGATCGGGAGGATGGGATACCTTGTTCTTGTAAGTTGTCCCCGCATTATTCACAAGTATATCTACCTTTCCATGCTTCGACACTGCAAGGTCTAGAACTGCCTTCCAGTCCTCGGATCTAGTGACGTCCATCTTCTGAAAGGTGATGCTCGACGGGTCGCTGGAAGCTACCTTTTCGCCTCCATCGACATTTATGTCACCTATTATCACCTTTGCGCCTTCTTGGGCATATCTAACAGCAATTGCAGCACCAAATCCAGACCCGCCGCCTAGTTGATATTGTCAGATATATATAAACTGCTTGTTGCGAGTGTATATGTGACGAGCACTTACCAGTCACGATGGCTACTTTATTTGCTAGTCGGGAGCCCTGTGATTGAGACATGGTTGGTTCAGCTTCGAGATAGATAGGTATATTGACCAAAGTGAAGACCTGGATGTACGGCTTAATGTCTTAACAGGCCACTTAAGAGCGGTCGTTCTATAGTTTGCGGGGAAATATGCAGCTAGCCGCGGGCCGCGGGTAAACATCGGCTGTGGCGCCAGGAACACCCGCGCCTCTTTCTTTTCATAACCGCCACGAACGCCCAACCTCAACCTCAACCCATCAAGATGGGTGACATGATTTGGAACTCCCTGCTTCTCTAGAGACTTGATTTTTATGCAGGTTCTGTGTGCGACGGTAGGCGGTCTTTTCAGTTGAATCAATTGACTTATTTATTTCTCCAGTCGAAGGCGCGAACTAGCTGTATACCTACGGTGTTAAATAATTGGATACCATCACTGCCTATTAAGATAGAGAAGTTCCTCCGTCCAATCTGATCGAAATCAGTGACTTCTATGAATTCGAGGCATGCCCTCCAGCGAACCTCATTCGAGGGTCGTTCTCCCGACGGTGAAAACCGGTCGTCTCAGCAATACCCAGGCAAACTGCTGTTAGTAAAAACATACTTGGAACCTTCATGAATCAGGTACGACGAACGGGTATAGACGGTCAAGTCATGAACATATTGTATCTGAGACAGTCGTTCGCGATGCAAGTTCGATTACTCAAGGTGATCCTTGGGTTAATACTATATATCAAACTGAGACTCGATCTATACTCCGCATCTCACCCTGCGGCCCTATTTTAAACTAAGAGATACCCCAAACGATCGCTCGACAGAGAAAACACTTTCGAAAACAAGTGTGCATGGAGAATATGGAGCACTAGCCGTTATATCCGTCTTCCGAATGGGAACAATGCAGGTATGCTTGTCCCTGTTATGCGTTTTAGCCAAGGACGGCTACATGGCTGCTCCTGATCTCCCTGGGGCTGGAGCATTGACCATAGCTGTGTAAGGATGTGTCTAGTTGAGACTCCCTCGCCGGCCCCGGTGTTACGAATAGAAGTTCTGAAACAACGCGATGAGTATCTTCCTTTCCCGCGATCTAGGAACTCGATTATTATTATTTTTTGGGTGCCATATACAATTAGATTACATATATGCATACATATATCATCATAGAGTCCCATCTTTGTTCTTTCAACTTTTATTCTCCGAAACCCCTTTTATGACATGGAAGTGGTGAATGGATCACTTCCCTGCTCTTGAAATTAAGCTAGTGCATCACTGCTTTACTTCCGGACTGACAAGATCCTGGGGTTGTCCCTCAACAAACTTGGAGATACGTGCACTCGGGAACCAGGATTCCTCCGGGATGACCCAGTAGGATATTAATGCAATAATCGTGACACCAGCCAGGATTATAGGAGCATCTGCGTGGAGATCAGGTATCAGATACAGTTCTCTCTCTAACTTGAAATGGTAGGAGAGGGAAAACAAAAAAGTGACTTACAATTTAACGTCTGGCCAGTGACAGGGAAAACGTAAGGCGAGAATAGGATAGCGACAACCCATCCGTTCCAAAAGATTCCAATGATTTGAAACGGCTTGCTGAGGACACCTAGGCTCCATCTTGGCTTGGGGAATTTCTTCGGGGTAAGAAAGACCCGCCCAAAACAGATGAGACCGTATGCAGCTGCAGACGGTACACCGGCGGCTGAAACTAGCGATGTGAATGCAACATTTGACGGGAGTATGGTGCAGGTTACTAATGCAGCAACGCCCCAGACTACCTTGATGGCATTATAGGGTTGGCCTGATGGAGAGACACGGGAGACCCAGCTGGAGAATGGGAGGACGCCATCTCGGGCAACGGCAAAAACAAGTCTCGATGCAGCTACAATGGCGATAGTGGTATTCTGGATGACGTTAGAGTATTGTCCGTGTGGGTTGGGGATTGGTAACGAGGGTACTCACAAACCAGTAGGTGATTATGCACACCACATTCATAATAATATGGGCTCGCTGGCCCAGTACAACAGCATAGAGAGGGACGAATGGCTGAGGGGACCCGAAAGAGAACAAGGTCTTGGGATCGGGCTATCAAACAGCACCTGGTGAGCAAACAATTCAAAGTCAAGCAAATGGAAAGGTGAAGATCGGCCGTGTATACGTACTGCGCAGAATAAGAATAATACAATTGTACAGGCAGCACCAATTCCACTGACTACCGTACTCCAGAAAATACCCCTGGCTGCGGTCAAAGAAGCGTTCTTGGTCTCTTCAGCAATATGCCCGGAGGCGTCAAATCCAATGAGAATTCCAGCAGTGGCAAGGTAGGAAAGACACCAATTCCAGCCGGCCGGGGCACCCGTGCCGTTATAGGTAGCTAAGAATGCTTCACTAGGGGTGCGGAAACCCCAGGTATTATGGGCACCGATGGGCAGCCAGATAACGTTCATCAAAAAGTCCAAAAGAACAAAGGTGGACGAAAGGTAGAAGACGAATCTGAACATCCTCGCTACATGATGTGTCAACCTTGAACGCAAACGAATGAATCTCTATAAAAAAGAGGGAGTCTTACGCGGGAGGAAGTTGACTATGGCTGCAATGGCAAGCAGAGCCTCAGTGCATATCCACTGGACAGCTCTGAACTTGACATCATCGACATTTTTGGGAAAGTCGACATTGAACACAGTCAGTTCCTGCGTTCAAACCGGTTAGCTGCTGTGTTGACCGCTGGGGTATCAAATGACATACGGATAGAATGTAGTTTACAGCAGATTGCGTGTTGCCTGCGCAAATCAATCAGTCAACGGGGTTCCTGCAAAAAGATAACAAAAAAGCAACGATCTCAAGCAGGTCCGTTACGTACTGGCACAGAAGGTCGTCCATGCCGTGGTACTCCACCACGCAACGACGAATCCTAACAGTCGTCCGTACTTGGGACCGCCGGCCTCAGCGGCCCAGAGGTAGATTGAGCCAGCAGACGGCAGAGCAGAGCAGATCTCCGCGATGACCGACGCAGTGATCCCCGTGAAGACAGCCGTAACCAGGTAGTTAGTCCTATCTGCCCGGTTAGCTCTATTCCATCCACTATTTCGAAGTTTCACAATATTTATTATTCTCCGTGAAGGAGCAGGCAGCCACACACGGAGCGCAGGGCGCATAGACTCACCAATAAGCCAAGTTCCCACCGGCGGCGATGCCAGTGCTGAACGTCACTCGTACTCCGCCGACGAAGTACAGCGCAGCTGATTTGCATGTGTTAGCAATAAATAGCTATTCCTTCGGGATCTCTTCTCGAAACGCTTCCATCTTACCGAACGTCGTTGCGAAGCTCTCCAGAAACGTGTACGTTCGGTGCAGAACCTAGACGGAGAACATATGCACGAATCAACCTCCACGAACTCCCCCGAAGCAGGCTAAGAAGCAGCGCGATGGGTCTCGCTCAATCTTGGTATGAAATCATGGGAGCAAGTCATACCGGTTTGTACCCAAGCGTTTCCTATGCGTGGGCTGGTCAGTTATGCGACGATGAAACAGCGAGACGACCGCAACCCCCACACACCTCGTCGCGGGAGTACGGAAGCACAGCAGAGGGACCAAAGGGATCAGAAGGAGGATCAGAGATCAAACGTCGGCCATACGTACCAGGAGCGCGGTGTCCGAGAGGGCGTCCTTCTCCTGGCTGCCTCTCTCGACCTCCGCTTGGCTTGTGTCTGCGCTGGCGGGCTTCATGTCTGGACGGCCTTCGCTAGTTATCCACCTGCGACTTCGCAAAAATAAAAAAAACCCACCGCAGCGTCCAATCGGTGGAAGGCGATATATATAGAAGCGAGCAGAGCTGGAATACGCTGTGTCAAGCTATATATATATATATATGTGTGGAATGTGGATTTGATATCTAAAGGGCGTGTTATATGTCCCGACGGCCACACCATGCATCTGCGCACAGAAGATATGCAAGCAGCAACCCATGCAAAAAGGCAAAAGCGCTTCAGCGAGCTTCCCGGGCGAACAAACTACCGGACGGTGCGCTAAGTTAGCTTGCTAGCTGACCGTTGGGCTCGTTTGTTAGTAAGAAGAGGGCAAAGCTGGTGATAACTTTGCCGGCGCTGAAAAAACTTTGACTGGCGGATCCGCCTCGGATGCGGCCGTCGTTGGGTAAAAGAAGCTCAGCCCTTTGAAGCTATTTTTGCCTTTTCCAAGGGCCCAATGACGGATGCGATGATGGCGACGTGGAGAGAGCATCCTCGGTTGCCGCGTTACAAGGGGGGATGGGTGGACGGAGGAGTATCAAGCTTGCGTTGACTGACGCAGCGTCAAGGCGATCTTATTATTAGAACTAGCTATTTTCTGGTGGATTATGTCGAATAATGCCGGTAAGTGGATAGCAGGTATTCAGTAGCTGTATATGTGCAGCATGTGCAGCATGTGCAAAGGGAATAAGGTAATGACTGTAGAGAAGGAGAACAAAGCACTGCAGTGTATAGAGTGTGTATCCGAAGAACCCAACATAGGAAAACGAACGAAATGATGAAAGTGACAGAAGAGAGAGAGAGAAAAGACACACAGGCAAGTATATGCTATTAAAACAAAAAGACGAAAGTGATAGGAAAAGGCATTAGCAGGTCATTAGGGATGGGATAGTAAAAGAGAGAAAAAGGGGCAAAGCAAAAGACGAGACGAAAACGACAAAAGCCCACCCATGACCAGAATTCCCGATCCTATTTTTTAGATTCTCCCAGTAAAGAGATGAGATGCAAAGAAAAGTAGACAAGTAGAGGGTATATATGTGTAGAAGGATGGAAAATGAGACGACACAAAACAACAATTAAGTAGCTGTGTACGGAAATAATCGTGATTTTTAAGAGGTCGTTGGCAAGGCCACGGACTTCTTCTTGAGGATGGAGCCGAGCTTGTTTCCCGCAATAGACATGCTCTCGCTGGTACCCTGGAACCACTTGATGCTCTTCGATCGAAGATGCGCGTTGGTGCCGTTGCTGTTGTTGTTGCTACTGGTGCTGCTGGACCGGCCGGTGCTGATGCTTGCCTT